CTCTCCACTTCCCCTCCTCGTATTCGCCACGCTCTTTCTATTGCTTCGATCCTTAACAATGGTCTTCTTAATAATAGATTAGCTTAACCATTCAACGTATAAATGTTCTTTTACTTAATTTAGTACTAACATCACTGATTTAAAGAGTTATTTCTACATGAATAAATCAATAGATCAATGTATTATCAATTTTGTTTTGTCATAACAGATTGTTCTAATAGAATCTTCCCATTAGTATAACTATTTTCCAGACTATAAGAAACCGTCTTTGCTCTTTGCAGTTTTACAGTCATACAGTAGTTTTTACCTACGCTTAATTTATAACTTTTATTCCGTATTCTTATCTATACCCCACACAAACTTTCTATCATTTCATCAAAAATTTTCTCAAAATGAAATATGCCATTCATAAAACTAATCTGGCCATATGGCAATGATCCTTTCCTAAGTTTCCTCTTTTGCTTACTTTATAAACAGATTTTCCAAGCTCTGAACTTTTCAAAGCCAATGAATATGAGGAATATATTTGCGTATCACAATATGTGGCGCATTGAAAAGTTTCGCACAAAGGGCGCACACATGTCGCGCTTTGTCGATTTGCATTTGGGGTCATGCGTTGCGCAGATTAATACGCCGAAAAGATCGACTTCGAATTCCATTGGGGGTTTCATACGACAAAGCTGATTGACACGCACGTGGCGCCAATTCGCGCACTTTATTTTGTTCTTCAAACCGAAAATGAGAAATGCTACAGCGTTGTGGTTTGCCATACGTTATTTATCTTTTACATCGTTATTTATCTCTTGACGTATGTGTGCCGTGCGGTTTTCATCGCATTACACTGAGGATTCGAAAGCTGCGATGACTATTTTACCTCTTAGATGGTATGAATTGTATTAATGTACGGATATTCATTTTTTTTTTGCTAATAAAAATACGGTAATTCATTGGTTTGTAAAGTTCTTTGTTTTTCTTTCATTGTTCCATAAATTTTCAAATCTTCGGACATATTCTATAATAAAATGCACGTCAAATTAATGATCAGTAATGAGACTTTTAAATGACACAACTAATTATATAACAAGAAAAATTACAAATAGATGGTTATAATTTCAATATTTTGAAATTTTTATATAATTCGATAATATTTTTCAAAAAATGAAATATGATTACGTAATAAGAGCAATAAAAAAGGAAAATGGTGTTTTATTCGATTCGAATATTTTTGATTAAGAAATACATTCTCTAAATTCAACTCGTAATAACAGGACAGAGGGTAAGACAAAAATTTACCCAGAATTGCAGGACGAATAACATTTTCGAACACCCATCATTAATTCTATAAACTTTTTATTTCTACAGGTACCTATTTTAATAATTCATGACGATTCATTGCGAGATAGTATATAGAAATAAATGAAATGCGAATAATACTAAGGCGGTTAAGTTGAATAGATTTAATTAATTGAATAAAAGCTCCTGCCTAAAATGACGTTCTACAATCTCCAATCATTACTTCTCTTATTTGGCATACAATTATTTTAATATATGCAAAGTGGCTTTCGAAGAATTTCGTTGTATTTTATTTCAAATACTTTTGCCAACGCTAATGCGAATTTGAAATTCCACGTACTTGGCAAGTATTCAAAATCGGAAACTGCCTCTCTCACTCGAGTATTATTGGCAGTACTGCGAACGTGCCTTTTCAATTTGATAACACTCGTAGTAAATTCAATATAAACAAAAAGTTTATATGATATGATTATTAAAATTTTTGGTAGATAGTCAAACAGAGATATTTAAGCTTTGCGTAGTTTGGCGGTGGCATCGATTGCTCACAGTATAAAGTCTTAGCTAATTCGCAAGATAAACATAGGTAGGTTGATTCAAGAGAAAACTTGATTAATTTATAATATCCGGTTTGATTTTCTTGCGGCTGTGCACTGCACAAGAGAAACCACTTCCTTCACGAGACAATGAATGAGAGAAAGAAACAGAGAGACAGAGAGACAGAGAGAGACAGACAGAGAGACAGAGACAGACACAGAAAGAGAGAGAGACAGAGAGATAGAGAGAGTGGCAGACAGGGAGAGCCAGAGAGACAGAGAGAGCCAGAGAGCCAGAGAGACAGAGAGAGAGAGAGAGAGAGAGAGAGAGAGAGACACCTTGTTGTAACATCCAGGTATCTGCATCATCTGTAGAGGATGTTTTCTTGCTTTCTATCTATGACTCTACGATTGTCTTGATTTTTTATATAACACGTTAAGGGGTATCATAGCTTACTCTCGCAAAAATTAATTTGTCTTCTAGCTGTCCGGGATATTGAGTTTTGACAAATATTTGTGCGTCTACTGTAGTACGTGTTTTCAAGTGAGTCAAAAGTAAACTCTTAATGAGCTTAGTGAAATATTATGATAGGAAAAATAATTTTCAATTAATTCAAAATTGTACAGCATTAACATAATGTTGCTGGGGGTGTTAGTTTCATAACGTGACACGGCGACAGAACCTTGCTTTAATATTTTTAAAGCTGTAGTAATTACAAATTAATTTTCGTAATGAATTAAACATTTTTTTCTAATAATACTAGCATAAAACGTTATGTTAAGAAGATTTAGATTTTTTTTAAATATTTAGATTGTATTCACGGCGCACTGTAAATTAATGTCGCTTAGGTATGGACGAAATTAAGTAGCGCCTATTAGACAAAAATAGAAAAAAAGAATAAATTCTATTGAAAAGCTGAAGGATAATATTTTAAGATAAAATCATCCGCGTTTCACTAGCACCTTATTTACACCCTCAAAATTCAATCAAAAAAAATTTTTTTAGTCGATACAAAACATCCTTTTTATAGTTTTTAAGATGACGAACAAAAATTCATTATTTAAATAGAGCTTTATAATTTTACAACTCTTAAATTTAGAAATGTTTTGATATATGAACGTTTTAACTCTAATTTCTGTTCTTATTCATTGGTTTGCTTGAAATTTGAACAATATCTGAAGAAACAAATGTAGAAGATTGAAAATCTTCAGATGATACTGTCGAAGAGAATATAGATTGTAATATATTATAAATCTTTTTTTTCGATGATCACATTCTTTGTGCTTAAAAGTATATATTTCATTTATCATATAATTACTCTATCAATTTGCAAGATTATTTTGACAAAATTATTTTTTACCTATACAACGAGGTGAAAATCTACCCCATGATTAAAAATCCAAGGGTACTCATGGTATAAATAAAAGGATGTGTTTGTTTATTTTAATTTATTTATCTATTGTCCAAATTTCAAATAAATCGACGCATAAGAACAGAAATTGGAGCTAAAACCTTCATATACTGAAATATTTATAAATTTAAGAGTTGTAAGATTATTTGGCTTAATTTAAATAATGGATTTTCATTCCACATCTTAAAAACTATTTAAAAAACGTTTTATATCGACTAAAGAGAATTTTTTTATAGGTTTTAAGCAAAAAATGTAAATTGTATACAAATTTTACATTTTAGGGGTGAATTTTTGAGTAAATTGGGTGTAGGCGAAACGAAAATGATTTCACCTTAATGTATTACTCTTGAGTTTTTCAATAGTATTTTTCTTTTTTTCTACCTTTTTTCTAAGAGCCTCTACTTAATTTAGGCCATATCGAAGTGATAATAAATTATAGTACGGCATATAGTACCATTCATTTTCAACGTCTTATTACACATTAATCTATAATTATTCATAAATGTCGACAGCAATGAATGCAACAACATAACAAAGCTTTGCCTAAAAAATTTTGGTCATATAATTTGCATTTGGAATGTTTAAAGATAATTGATATGAAATGCGGAAAAAGTAAATGGATTTTTAAAAAGAACTATAAAACGAATTCCAATAAATTAGTATTTTTCACCCGTCAATCGTCAATTAATGAATTTACATAGTACCTTTTTCCTCTTTCATCAGTGTTCATTTTTTCCTCTCTTAACAATTCATTTCCCTTTTGCGCTTTCGATTTTTGTCTGCCAGCCCAGAGCGAGAGAGAGAGAAAGAGAAAGAGAGAGATAGGGAGTGAGAGAAAGAGAGAGAGGGAGAGGGAGAGAGAGAGGGAGAGAGAGAGGGGTAGAGAAAGAGAAAGGGAAAGAGAAAGGGAAAGAGAGAGAGAGAAAGAGAGAGAGAGAGAGGGAGAAAGAGAGAGAGAGAGGGAGAGAGAGAGAGAGGGAGAGAGGGAGAGAGAGATAGAGAGAGAGAGAGAGAGAGAGAGAGAGAGACAGAAGACAAACAGACAAACAGACAGGCAGAGAGTAGAGCTCTGTGTAACATCGCGATCACACATGCTCGACCCAGTTTTATTGCTTCGATCGAGCGCCGAGCCTCCTTCTCTCTCTCTTTCGGAGCCAGACATGCCTCTTCCATTTCCTCTCTTTTGGGCTGCCTGCTGCTGCTCTGATCTTTCTTCTTCGTTTCTCGTGCAATGCGCTCGGCCTAGACGTCATGTTATGTATACGACGCTGCTAATCGATCGGATCTAGTTCTCAAATCAAAGTTTCGCTTGATTGCGATTGTCAAAGTAATCGTTCTGAGCATCTTTTTTCCCTCTTCTTTTATTTTTTCGAACGTTCAGTTTGCTGCGCGTTAGATCACTATTTGTAAAGAAAAAAGGAAATATTCATTTGGTTTGTAGCGACAATGACTAGTGGATTTGGTTCTCCTTTGTAGTGACTATATTAATTTAACTTTCTTTATTTGTTGTTTTCGTTGTTTTTTTTTATTTAGGAATGAAAAAGAAATGAACTTCTAGGTGAAAGGAAGTTTATGATACTTAGAAATTGTGAACAAAAATGTAATTTCAAGAATTCGTAAACTGAAATTCTCGATAACCTATATTTAAAAATACGGAATATCCGGAGTCAAAAACAAGCAAGGTCATAGCGCGGGTGTACAAACGTTATCGCATTGACTGAAGGTTTCGCGATTGATAGCGTTCTCTTTTTGCTTTGCATAGAGTTCGTGGAAAAGCGTTGTGGCGACGACGGCCGGTGGGAAGGACGCGATGGCACTACAGGCGATCGAGATTCACCAAGCGGATGGACCAATTATACACCCTGCTTTACCCCGGAAATGTTGCTGCTCATTAGGAAGCTCTACACTGGTAGTGAGGATCTCGCCAAGGTTGGTTTTGAAAAATAATATCTTTTATTTTTTAACCTAGGGATAGTACCTGCTAAAAATATTTTGTTCGCGCAGTCTAATTTCACTACGAAATTATTTTGTTGGTAGCGAAATGTTAGTTGTTTTTTTTTCTGTTAATATTGTAGTGTTTTTACTGTACTTCATATAGAGAGAGAAGAAACGACGTATGAAATGAATTCTTGTTCAAATGTACCTTTATCTTATAAAAGCATGTAATCTACGTACAGCTATGATGGCTGTAATAAAAACATTTTTAGTAAAATGAAGAAATGACTTTGTGAATTTGAACCAAAGATTGCAATCGTTTATAAACTTTAGTGAATTAGTATAAAGATCCCTCGAAACTAAGTGTAAGATATATTACGGTCATATTCACAAGTCAAGACATAATTTCCACAATCTTTCAATAAAAAGTTAAAAAAATGACAAAAGGCACGATAACAGTACAGGTATAGCGAACGAATTATCGTATACATCCACCTCATAACAAATGATCAATATAAGCACATTGCATGCATGCGGTCACTCCGAGTAAATTGCATCTCATCAAATATAAACTGAAAATACTGAATAGCTTTTTTGCTTTACGTAGGGCAATTAAATGCAAACAAGCGCACTTATACGATTTTCAGCGCAATCGAGTTTTCGCTTTGCTGAGCTGATTGATGAGGCTGCAACGAAGATCAACAGTAATGTTCTACTCTGTTACCCGTACACGGGTTATCGCTGTCACGGGATGAGAGTATTACAATTTTATTTGCTTCGTTTAATTGTCGAATTTCATAATTTTTTTGTGCACGCGAAACAATGCTTACGATGTGGTTAAATTTCATTTAGGTATGAATTTTTATTAAGGCGACATTATTCGGAATTTTTTGAATGTAATCAAAAGTACGACGCCGCGGATTTGTTCATGTCAAATTTAAAGTGTACTAACTTCTTAAAGTGTAATGACTTCTTTTTTATTATTAAATTATGAAGTTTTCTTGCAGATTAAATTTTGTCTCTCGAAATATTTTGGTCTCGAAACTTATCGGTGTAGAGCGAGCACTATATTTATATACTTAAATTTTAATTACTTTCCGAGCAACTCGTAACTACATTATAAACTTTTTTCTTTTGCTCGCGCAGGTCAAACTGGACATCGCAGCAAAAACGAGACACTTGGAGTTTGTTGGGCTGAGCATATCTTTAACGGCACTACTCCTCTCTTTATCGATTTTTTGTCGATTTAGGTACGTTAATTATTAATTTGTTGATCAAAAATGACTTTGGTCATTCATCATTTCTTTGTTCGTCGGTCGAGATGTAAAATGTACAAATAGTATACAAACTTATCTATTGCCAATTTGAATGAATATGCATCTACGTACATGCTTCATTCAGAGGGTACATATCCACGCCACGCGTATACACTGGTATCAATTTTGATTGCATCGCAATTCGAAAGAGGATTAATTTTCCAATTTACCAATTATCCCTGACAACTTTTACTCCAAAAAACAAAAAAAACATTCTTTCAAGTCATCAATATTTGATGATATACTTAGCAGGTTTGGCAATATATATGTACGTGTGTGTCCCTGTGTGAATTGGTTATTAGCTACTACGTCTCTTCTGCAAATAAAAAGAAATCACATGCAAATATACTTTTTCCTAGGTCTCTACGAAATACGAGAACACGAATCCATAAAAACCTCTTCGTCGCCATGGTGATTCAAGTCGTTATAAGATTGACGCTATACATAGATCAGGCAGTTTTTAAATCGAAGGTGCCGGGAGTTCAGCGAGGCATTCAGAACACCGTGAGTAAAGCAACGCTCCTATATGTCTTGTTTTCATCCGCGCGTTATTCCCTCGATTGACTATTTTTTGTTTATATTTACCCCTGGCTAAAGTAAGCTAAAGTAATATGCATGTAAGTAAATGCATACCGTATCAGATCGTCAGACATATGTTGAGGGCGGCTTATATTTATTCTATATCTTTTTGTTCTATGTTAAGCTTGGCTTACAACTATTCGTACCCGACATACGGAGATTCAGTTTTTTTCCATTTGATATATAAACCTACATTTTACATTTGTAATGTTACGAGATCGACTGACATTTTTGTAAACTACAGCCAGTCTTATGCGAAGCCAGCTACGTACTTCTCGAATACGCAAGAACGGCAATGTTCATGTGGATGTTCATTGAGGGCCTCTATCTGCACAATTTGGTAACAGGTGAGAGACTGGGTAAGATAAGCAACATTCTTTTGTTTTTTTTTTAATAAAGCTTCAAACATTTAATAAAGGTCTTGAATCCTCGAATTTAACTTTTTAAGGATGAACGAATATGTTACTAAATTATGTTACTATAATGTTTGAATAAACAGTCATTTATTTACACTACTATCTGGATTCTAGATAGGCCGCGTTTGCTAAAAAATATATACTTTTAAAATATCTGTGCTTAGGGTAAGTAGTTTCATTTTCGTGACTGATTATTTGGCTGTATATAATTAATGTTTCATCGAATAATCGATCAATAATTTAACTAGCATAACTTATTTATGAAAAAGCGTAATGATCTTTGCGAAATTCGTAATTGATTATTATCCTTTGGAAGCAACTAGCGACTTATTTATTATACTTAGCAATAAATGTTATACACTGAATTTTCGAAAAGTATTATTTGAAATTTGATATCAATGATGTTGGAAAACACAAACACTGTTCTCAAAAAATTCTATAATGAATGAAAAATTGATAAAACATCGTTGTAATGATTCAATCCACTTCAATGTTTAAATATACATGAAATATTGTTACCAAAACAGTGACGCAGATGCACGAAACCACGCACTACAAAATGTATCGTATAGTTGGCTGGGGTTACCCTATGATCATGACCATGACTTGGGCAATCGTCACTGCGCTCAACTATCATCCGTCGAAGTAAGTATCTCTCGCCCTTACAATAGATTTCTTCTCCTCTTCGTTTCAGTTGACTTTGCATTACACATTCCGCGTTTAATTTTCAAGTGCTCACCAAAAATCCGATAAAGGCTGAAACAGAAAATCCGCTTGAAAAAAAGAGGAGCAGTAAATTAAATAGACCCTTCCTTTTTTACATAAATACGCACGCACGCACATACAGACGAGTACGTAATTTTAATTTTATTTTTTCTGAAATACGGAGGGATTACATTTATTACAAGTCGATTGTTTACAGAGATTTTTCAATATTTTTTGCAGTAAAAGTAGAAAAAAGCTCCCTTTTCTTAGCCGTAATTCTGAATTCAATACGAACATAAATTATTGTAAAAACAAGTGCTTTCAATGAAAAAAATAATGCAACAAATAATATAATCTATTGAACACTCGTCCTCTTATAAAAATAATCTTAAAAGATGAATCTTTTCGATTATGTTTGATTTGTAGATGCTGGTGGGGCTACAACTTGTCCTTATACTTCTGGATCTTGGAAGGACCGCGAATGGGAGTGATATTGGTAAAGTATTTACGCACAATCTCCACGCCGTCTTCACCTTTGCATTTCAAGAAAATTAGATTAATATTATATATATACCGAGTGAATAACACCATCGTGTTCTCTTTGCAGTTCAACTTCTTGTTCCTTCTTAACATAATACGAGTACTAGTGGTGAAGCTTCGGCAAACCCGCACCAGTGAAATACAACAAGTGCGGTGAGTTGATCAGCAGCTAATCTTTTCTTATTTTCCTTTTTTAAAATTTTTCAATTTAATTTACGTTATGTGCTATAAAAGGAAACTTTTGGAAAAGAAATATGAGAATTTATATTATACACGATTTACAATGAAAGGTAATTTCAGATTTTCTTTTAAATTTACAATGAGTACAGATTTGATATAACTTTTCGGTTGTTTCCTAAATTAGATTAGAGTCAAAAATTCTAAATGCTAAAGAGAATTTGTCATTTTAACAACTGATTGAAGTTCAAGTTTTAATGCAAGTTTTTATAAATAACAAAACGACGCAGATCAACGATTTCCTTTTTGGAAAATGCATATTAATTTTTACAGACTAACTCATGGAAATTCAAAAAGTTTAACACAGCTGTTTATTTACGTATGGTACGTAAACTGTACATAAACGTTTTCTAAGACTTCAAATACATAAATTGATGTACGATGTTTAATGTTTTCAATGTTATTATCCGTGAAAAATTATGACACATTCTATGTATAAAACACGATATTTACTTTAATTTGAACATTTTTCTTGCATAATTTTTGATTCTATTTAACAACTTAAATAATGTTATTTTATTCAGAAAGATATTTTTTAATGTCATGTTTATCGAGCAAATGTTAAATATATTTTTTTTATTTTTGCTGCATATTAATGGAATTTTTAGTTGAACGTTAAATTTGTATCAATGAAGATATTGAAAGCTGTATAATCAGATTATATTTTTATGAAATGTATGTTTCATTATTTGGTCGTATATTTTTTCCGAATATTGATAAAAAAGGAAATCGAATAATTATACAAACTTTATAATATTACAATTACTAATTAGTTTGAAAAATTGAGAATTATAAAAACTAGTTACCAAAATTGTTCAAAGCGATAGAATTTTACGTACGTAAATGGAACGTTCGAAAAACCTCGACTAAGCAAGCTTGAACAACGTAGGTTTTTTCCACTCGCATAAATAGGGCAGTATTGCCAAGGGGCGCATTGTCTCGAGCCTCGCGGCGTCCAACTAATTGCAATTAATCCAAAATGACTTCCGTAGGGAGTCTTTGAAGATGCTGCACTGCTCGGCAAGCTTCTGTCACATTGTACTAACGCACATTTCCTCTTATTTTTAAAAGATAACTTCTACGTCTGAATAATTAAGGGAAGCTTGATGGCTGAGAAGAGAAAGATATTACGCTATAGTTTTCATCTTCCTCATTTTGTGTACTTTCACTAATAACTTAGCTCGAGTTTTGCCGTAATAAAATCCCTATTAGTCGAGATAAGAGCAGTTCACTTGGAGCTGCTAAGTTTATTAGTTTACTTTCTACTTACGGATTTATGACTTCGTCAGAGAGTTCTAAGAACTTCGGACTGCAATTTTTATTGGAAAATTCTCAGAGATGCGACTTTGTTTGCGATATGCACATTGAATTATTCTTTAGTCATGTGGTTGTATTGTTTTAAGTGTATTTTGCCGTGTATATGTTCAGCATCGAGAAATCGAACACAAAAAAATGAAAATAAATAAACTTCTTTAAAATTAATAGATGACAGTAAAATTTAATCATTTTTTTCATGTATTTGTGGTTACTCGGCTTCTTCAATTTCGGGACAAACAAGATTTCTATACGAGTAATTGAGAAAATTTCAGTAGCAAAAGTTATTTATTAACAAGTCGTAAGAAATTTACTTTACTTTGGCTTTAAGAATTCCTCAATTGTTATTCAATAAATTTCGGTTCTTGATCGACGGTAATGCGAAACTAAGTCGCTAAGTTCATTGATGATTATAATGTTGCATTGAAATAATTCTTTCTTTTGATTAAAATTGTATGAATAACAAAAAATTATTTTATGATATTACGATGTAAAATAGAAATTGAAGGAACATACTGTTTTTAGTAAATTAAAAATTAAAACATATAATATTTTAAAATGGAAATAAATTAAAAAATTAAATAATATTTGAGGTTTGAAAAATTAATTAAAAATATTAGGAACGTAAGCAATCGTATATGAAAATAAATACCAAGAGTGCACAAATCGCATTCCAGTATGATAAAACTCAATCCATTTTACGTAACTACGTTAGCATCGCGCCTAAAAAGTAATGTTCTTTAATAATTGATAATATCCCATGTGCAAAAATTAATTAAAATAGGAAAAGAGCATAATAGTAATCAATACAAGAAAAATAATGGAAGAGCACGCGTTTATTATGCACATACATTAAAACAATAATCAATCTTTCTCAACGAAGTAACCTTAACGCGTGGTAAAAGCGATTAATGATTAGACCTGTTATTTAGTGGCTGAATTTTGCAGGAAAGCCGTGAGAGCGGCATTGGTGTTGCTGCCATTACTTGGAATCACCAATCTCGTATCAATGACCGAGGCACCATTGGAGAAAAGCGTGTGGGAGTTCGCCATGTGGTCTTACTGCACGCACTTTCTGACCTCCTTCCAAGGATTATTCATCGCAACCCTTTACTGCTTCCTCAACGGCGAGGTAATTGTAGACGCCGCTCTATATTGTGTCTCCCAACTCAGCCTCCTTAGTACGTAATGGCTTGCATTTTCGAACGTGGCAAAGCAAAGCGAGGCCAATTAACACAGTCCTCGATGCTTACTGGCCTTTGTCTGCATCTTCCTCCTTCTCCTAGCCTTGGTTTCTTGTAATTGCACTTAATTTTAATGGATTATAATACCACGCTGAGAGAGCTTTTGCTGATCCACTAAAACCGCTACAGTGCTTATAGATTTTTGACCGCACGGCTGCTTCATTTCTATTGTCTTGCATCCTTTCGTTATGTCGTCTTAGCTTAATTGACCTTATGATTCGACAAGGCGAGGCCGCAATTTTGATCTCAATTTTATTTCTCATTTTCAACATGTCAATTTCGGAGCCCGCTCTCTTATAAAAAATGTAACTACGCAAACGTAATAATTTTTAATTGCCAAAATTATATATTTATTGCCAGTAAGATATGAAAGCTTTTACAGTCTTAACATTTTAATACTTAATGTGAATGTAATTGAAATTTAAAATCAGTTTTAAAATTAATTTCAAAAGTTGCTCCCATTTGAAGTATCGAGCCAATACCAATATGAAACAGAAAACGATTCGTTTTCGATTTAAATTCATGAGAATCCCTTCTATTACGAGTGTCGATTATTTTTAATGGAATTTCTATCAAGACAAGCAAGCTGCTGCTGCTACGGCAATGCTCGTCGGGAATAACAATTTATGCGTATAAAGCTTTCCCAATCAAATGCAGTAATCCAATGAGCAATATGCGATTTCGCAATTTCAACAACACAATATGCAACCTTATTCCACAGAGATGAAAAATTAATCGAGTGACGTGCACGTGCCTTGTTGTTTTCACGAATAAAAAAGAAACCGGGAACAACAAATGCAGCGAGATACGTGCGCGAGGATATCTCGATTATAACGAATACCCGTGGGAGCCATAAGATGTCGACGACGATACTGTTGCAATGTTAGAGAGATCCCGATGCGCGTTGCGTATGCATGAGCCAGCGAACAAACTGTCAAGAGAATCATGAATCTCATCGCGCAAGACCTGACATCGCCTCATCGTCGTCGATGCCGCTGCTTGCTAATCTGACGGTCCATTGATATTCTTTTCTTTTCTTTAATTGCTGAGGGAAATAATTTTTACTATATTGATTCCATTAACTTGTATTGTGAAAGTTATGTGTTTGAAGAAAGTTGTGTGTGAAAGTGTCCCTTCGATCCGCAATCCTCAAGGGCATCAGAAGTGTCTCGTTGCAGTTTCAGATCAAAGTTACCTAGACTCCAATTACAGTCGAAAATTCTATTGTTGAAGCTATGTCTTACCAAACTCGGAGTCTGTCTACTTAAGTTTAAATGCCATACAATTGAAGGAGTTGTTGAGAAGATCTTACCTGTGAGAATACAGATATTGTAATTAGACGTTCGTGAAAAGTACAAATTTCAATAATGAATATGTAAAAAACGTACCGAGGTGCGCACTTCACCTCTCACTAGGACAGGCCATAAACTAAGAAGAGCTCTTAGCAAAAAAGGATCGGGCAATAAAAATTGGGACGACGCTCGGGGAAACGCGTCGCGAGTGCCTCGCGTGCATCGCACATGTGCACAAGACAGTCACCCACTTCGTTCTCACCTCATTAAACGAGATTTTTACTGCTCAGGGTATTGTTTAGTACCAACAGCCGAGCTGGAGATTGCTGTCGAGCACGTTTTCTTTTCAACGCAGATGCAGAAAAAGAAAGCTGGCTTTCTTGTCATTCTGTGAGAATGCAACTTAGTTCTTAAGGTTGGCAGATGTAGAATGTATATCAAATAATTGTAAGCATGATATATGGCATTGAGTAAATACATAAGCCATAATCATGTAACAAATTGTAAGCGCCAAACATTGATTAAATGTTGAGTGGCACCTTGTATTCCAATCTGGACACGTGGACATCAACGTGAGCTAGAAGCCTAAATCGTTGCCGTAAGCCACCCTTTCATATCCGCTCCGTGGAATCGGTACCTACAGGTACATTTCTATACAAATTCAGATTTACCTATCATCGGGTAAGGGATTTATTAAAGTAAACTTTCGGTCTAGCAGTATGCGAGAAAGACGCATAGGGGACGAACGTACGTATTTACGGGCACCGCATCAGAGCCCGACGAGAACATCCGTATCCACTCGGAAAATGACGAGGAAGAGTGCGATAAGTGCTCGAGTTGAATCAGAGGCAGCGACAAAAATTGATGTTCAATTCGATTTTATTTTGAAGTAGCTAAGTTACACTCTTTCTCTGAGCGATACGATCAGTATAACAGGCTTTTTCCTTATAAAATTGAATTTTTTATGCTTTTCTTGTTGTGAATAATTGTAGAAATCAAACTTACAAATAAATAAAAACACGTACACAGTATTTTCTGTTATTTCGGAAATTATCATTATTATTAAACAAATCGTTCCATACTTCATCATTTAACAGCAATATATTTGATATCGTAACTGATATTTTTCCTCGTATAATGCAGGTGAAATGGAGATTATGGCTATACCTGCTATAAAGTATTCACTTGCCTACAAAATCGATATGTCATTGCTAACCGACTCACACAAGATGCATTATAATTTGGCTCGCAAATATTTGATAATTCTTGTCGGTTTAACCTTAACGATTTGATTTTTTTGAAAACTTTAATTAACGCAATATCAAATTATTTTGATTTGCAATTTAGCTGCAATAAATTTGTTATTTTAAGCGGAAAATTATTGAAAATATTTTGTAGAATATAAAATATAACAGATATGGTGAAAGCATTCGAATCCAAATAGTAAATCTGTATATAACTACAGATAAGTGATTTAGTTGAAAGACTGAGAAGTAGGCTTTCTTTATTATTCCATTAGCCGCGCATATAAAAATCAATAAAAAAGTAGAACGAATTTGTCATTAAATTTTTTAGTATACCAGTTCTGGAAATACCTCATCTAACTAAAATAACAAAGAACACGTGACATAATTCGCACAGTTAGCACCCGAACTATTCAATAAATTTGACTGGTTACCATCACGAGCTAAGAGACGAATGCAATTTTCCGAGCGATCTAAATTATCAAGCCATGCCCACGTGTAGACGTGCAATATAGTATGGAAGCCACGGTCGAATAATATAAGTCGTAGGTAAAGCCGCCGGCAAGACGATCAAAATTGCAATGTTTACCAACGGATTTTTCGAGGCCCTTTGTTACACGCGCACACGGCAGCTCCTTGAGGATTCTGCCAAGATTTCCAACCCACGAGAAATTGTCTCGGGTTATGCTCTGGGTTATGTCAACAGACTCAACTGTTGGCTTTGTAAATGGCTAACATGACTTTGTTTTTCACTTGCACCAAAGGACAATTGTTTCAATTACGCGATTTGCTTTCCTTTGAATCTTCTTTCAATTTAATTTATCGATTCCGTGGCTTCTATTGGGACTTTTTATGCAAATTAAAGCCGACGATGGCGTTCTAATCAAAATACCAATTAAAAATGCACGGCCACTAATTAAATTTGATCAATTATAAATAATATGTACTTGTATAGGTGAATATAACGTAGTTTGTGAAATTTTTCACTACATTGACTCTAATCAATTATCGTTCAACATCACCGTTCGCCTTCGCGTGATCACGCAACCTTCTACAACGAATTTCCACTGAAATTAAAAAATAAGCAAATACTTATCGTGCATGGAAGATGTTTCAGTTAATCAAATTCTACATTCTCCATTTTTATATAGTCATTTTTTTAAACTGTGATTTTAGGTGAAGCTAGCTTTAGACAAAACCATTTCTGTGTACATGTCCGTGCGAGGCACTGACGTGACGAGACGCCAATCGATGATCAGTGGCTGCCAAACTCAAAGGATGGCATCAGGTGATAATATTTATTTTATTTCAATTTAATACAACAGTAATGTAATATTTGATTTTCAAATTTGGTATTTCGGTTACAAACAATCCGATGATTACTATATTGCAAGTCCATTTCAGAAAGAGAAATTATTCAAATTGTATGACTGTTTCTTATACTATTGAATATTTTATATAATATCAATTGCAAGTGAGTTAAAATAAAAATCACTTTGTTTACAAGAAAACTAATTACGAAGTCTTACAATAAGTGTAGGAATCCAAGAAAGGGATAAATATAAAACTCATCAATAATAGTAGAAGCGAATGCGATAAAAAGAAATTTTCCTTATCTATGAGAAGGAATTTGCAAAATTAACTACGCTAAACTCGTATTCCACGGTAGAGCGATCAAAGAAGCAAGAAAAAAAAATAGATTCCCGAGAGAGAAAGATGCCCAAACACTTAACGGGGGAGGAAGAAACGAAAGAGAGTCGCGCATCCACGATTCTTATTTGAGATTCTGAGAGAAGGCGTTCAAAGACGTTCTCGTGACTATAAAAAAAAGTAGACGCGAGCAGTGGTTCAGACTTCCTTTCGGAAACAAAATTTCACGGGGGTTAATGGTTAATATTCTCGAATAAACCACCGCTTAGTTTGTTCATTATTGCACGAAAATTGCACTATTGCATGGGTAAAAGGGGACAGAGAGAAGGGTTTGCTAAAAATATCGGTATTACTTCTATGAAACTTCATTTTTGTCAATCAATATCTCATACACGGCTACGATATTATAATTTTTGAATATTAATAATAATTAATATAAATATTAATATAAGCTCGTAAAGCTCCATTCTTACAAACTCAACTATGCAATATCACTACACTAAACCGTAGCGAAATATTACCATGACTGCTGAGTGCGGCAATAATATCTTACATAGCAAAAAATGCTCAACAAAAAACTAATAACTATGTGGAATACTATGCTGATTTATTTTTATGAGAAATTTTGATATTCTTATTTGAATTATCTTTAATATTTTTATTGATATCGATGAAATTCTACAAAAATTGTTGTTTGTTATAGTAATAGAGGTAGAGGAAACGGAGGTAAGGCCAGGTGCTGGCTGGATTAGATTATGTTGTCGAGGTGGAAACATACCTCCTCCAGATCGACCAGCTGAGTAAGTTAAATTAAATTTCTTCTGAAAACTCAGTAAAATCATTCTATACTTTTTAACAATCAAGGTTTTAACGGACTTTCAACTAATCATAGTTAAATCTAATATGTATTTCCGAATGAATTTATAAATATATTATTTTTTTTTGTTAATTTTCATTCATTCACTCCAGGTAAGTATTGCAAGGTTATAACTTGATAGAAGATTGAATCCGGTCAATAGATCAAAATTTGCGCATAAGTATATAAAGTGATCATAATATTGACAAATATAACAGCTAACACTTTCGAAAACCACACGCTAAGAAAACAAATTAATTTCATTATTCTCCATAAATTTTTTAAATATTTTATATACTGCTTTTGTATTTCGATATTTTACTTAAGAAATAATATTTCATCAACAAAATTAAACTTTTTAATTTTATATATTTATTTTTTATTTTTATTTAATGAGTAAATAAAAATTCGAGACATAGAGCACACGTAATTGAAATAAAAAATGATATTCGTGCATTAAAACTGTTGAAATTTTATAATACATACTGTATTATTAAAATGAAACAGGGATCGTCAATAAATTGAAACTTCCAAGAAGTTTTTGAAAACGTATTTCTTTTACATTGTAATGAGTATTGATATATATGTCGTTAGACAGTGAAAGTACAAGATATAGTAATAATAATAGTATACGTTGTTCGATAATTAATCTACAAATAGATTACAATTTTATAAAACTTCTACTTCGGAATTTGCGTTAATTGACTATATCTTGATATTGCCGACTAGTTATTTTCTCTGCTACTACTTAGCTTATGATTCGAACGTAGGTTAATACATCAGTAAAGCTACATACCATCTGGTCTTTTGATTAATTAATTAAAAACATATAGAAAATAAAATTCTTTTCATCAATTTTAATATGACTCTTACACACAATGTTTAAAAACCAAAAAAAGACTATTAAAAAAAATTAAATTCCAAGTTACTTAAAAGTTTACATAAATTAGATAGTCGAAGTCTGATTAGTTTTTGGATAGTGATTCGTCGGCGAAATTTCCATGAAATCTAATAGCAAATGCCTTTCCCACTTATGTATTCAAATATTCTACACGAGGCCGAACAGTCCAATGCATTAGAATAGCGTTGATCATTTCGCTTGCCGAAATGATCAATAATTCTATCCAAGTTCTCTACAGTTTCAAAGCTCAAAGTATCAGAGCTATTACTCTATCTCGACAAGCTGTAAATTTATTTAGATGCGATACAATACCACAACGAGAGGTATTAAAAACTAATATGTGAAAAATTTGAGATGTGAATTTGTGTAACATAAATTTAATAGTTTTTATTATGGAATTGCAATAGGCAAAGTCAATATTTTATCCTAAGATGTAAGCTCACTACATTAATAAATTAGAAATAAATCGTTCTGTATACAACCTTTTAAGAATCAATCAAAACAAAGAAAACAATTGACGTAATTCCAGAACAAGCCTATGACCATGGTGGCGTTGGCGCCTGAAGAATGACGCCAAACTAGGTTCGGCTGGCTGAGTCAAATTCTCTCTCTGTGCCTCTGGAGGTCGTCATCGTTGTCGTCGTCAGGGCTTAAGGGTAGGACAGTAGGTTGTACAAGAAGAGCAAATAAACGAAAGAGGATGCTGCTTGTGAGACAATGGACGATCAAGAGAAAAAAAGATATCACATCACAATATACTTTTAAACAGCCGACTGATTGCAACGCAATCAAGCGATAGTTAGGCAACCAGAAAAAAGCTTCAGTTATAACTATTATATATAGCTAAGTGTTTATCTCAATTTGACGAAGACGAATGTCGGCAATTGACTGCTATAAATTTTTTTTCGTTTCTTTTATTCTTAATCGTTCATCGTGGGGATGATATGCTACTCTCTGAGAATTGGAGGCTGACGTTTCATGGAATTATTCTTTAATAACTTCATCGAGATAATTGCATCGATTGAACTGTGATCAAATTTAAATTGTTGTATGTATTTGTTTATTCACAGCTTTTCCGAATGATTGTCAAGATTAAAGTACACGAATCAAACATTTCTTCTAGTCAGCTCGTGCATTTTTTCGCTCATAACACAACCATATGCCTCAATCTATACTTCATTATTCAATATGTAAATATGAATATGTAATTTAATCCTTACATGCCAAAGAAACGTTTTACACGAGTGCAATTATATTCAGAATCAATCGATATAGGCCTAAGCAAATATAATGTGAATACACGATTCTTTTTGAAATTTTCATGTTTTCAAGATCTGCCGATTTTAGTTATTGAATATATAAGTTTTAAATGTAGAACACACAATGACGAGAATGTATAATGTTGAAGAGAACACAATTTGCTACATTTTTCCTCAAAGTTTTCTATAAAAAAATAGTAATAGTGCGCAACTTACGAGACCTACAAAAAATAATTAAAGAAACTATGATGGTATAAACCAATGTCATATAATCAAAATACAACTCCAAAGTTATCTGACAGTTATTATTTAATATATCATTTAACAGATGGTGCTTCCGAAGGGGAAATATGTTTTAGAAAACTGATTCAGAAATTTTTAATTACTCACTATTATTCCGTCTCAAACGTTCCATACTTAAAAAGTTACTGTAATTCCAATTATTTTTCTTTATTATTTTATTATCTTTTCTCCTTCGTAAGCAATCGTTATATTATCTGAAAATTTACATATAATTTAAAATTTTTTAAACTGGTACTTAATTGAATATTTAATTATAATAATTATTATTTTTATCTTTTGATAAAGTTGGTAATTTCTCTTTTAAGAACATATCGTGGATATGGTATAATAACTATCAATTATATACAAATATCATATGTAATTTTTAAAACTGTATAAACTGTTTCAGATTTGATATTTTTGAAAAAAAAGGCTTGTATATAAGTAATGGAATAATTATTTTTCTATATAATAACTACGCTTTAAAAAAATAGTAAGAATTATTATAGTAAATACGATTAGGTAGAACAAGTTGGGTTTTGTTTTTAGAAGAAATTCATAATATTCTAACTTAATTTTCACTAATAGCTTGACAGTTGATATTTTTACAGAACATCAAATTTTAGCTGAAAGTATTTGTTTTATAGTACTCGTGTAAAGAGTTTCTTTCATAATGATCTTCGTCTATCGTGAAATATTAAATTCTTAATAAAAAAGACTATATCATACTGTTGAACAAAATTTAATAATACAAGTTGATAATTCAAAGTTGATGAAGTTATAGTTTATAAAAGAAAAACAAAAAAATAATTTTAAAGCATCGTGCAATTTAATGTATTTTAATTAAAGCCATTTAAAAGATTTCAATTACCACGTCAACTCAAGTAGACATTAATATTTTTCCACTGCGCTGACTAAATCTTATGAATTACTGTAATGATTTTTATTCATGGTATTAACGTCAATGTTATATGAAAATTGTAAGAGAGAAAAAATATGTTCTTTGTTAAATGTTATACAAGATATATCTAAAATTTTAATAATGATTCAGTGGGGGGGGGGGGGGACTTGGGGGAAAAAAATCAATGAAAATTTTAATGCAATGAATTAAAAAAATACTAATTTGATGATTTTTTAAAATAAGCTTATCATTACGAAATTCGTTTAATCGTATATAAATGTTTTCATAATATGGAGATGAATGTATAAAACGTTAAGATTGTAAGTTAATATTTAATTAAGAAGAATAAACAACTGTCTTTTGTCTAATATTTTGCAAGAGGTATATATTTTTTAAAGCTCTGCATGAGGAGAGAATTTGTGATATACGAGCGATAAAAAAATAACTGTCTTAGCCTATGAAGAAAAAATCAAAGAATTACACTTGCATTTTTCTTAACTATTATCTAATAGTTAATTAAGATTTGCTAAGTTTTTTTAGTGACTAGACAAAAATGTCTATGAAAATGATATGGAATGTATGTTATATGAAAAAATATTATAAAAATGATGTGAGATGTATGTTATATGAAAAAATATTATGAAAATGATGTGGAATGTATGTTATATGAAATATTGTTGAATAAAAAATAAAATGTACGTGGAATGTCAAATTATTTTCGTTGGAGTCATGTCATGTCAATTATAAGTGAAATAACGTAGGCTTTTTAATTAAAATAATCTACAGCAGAACGGAAACAACAGAATTTGTTAATCTAAATCAAATTTTATAGATCTTTTAATTCGTGCGAAATGATTTTTTGTATGAAAAATGCTCGAACTGACGTTATTCATGATGTTTCTCAATTTTTATGGCTCAATAGACTGTGAAAATTTTGATTTTACTGTAAAAATTATGCTTAAAAATAAATGATAATTTTTTAAAATAACTATAGTTCTGTCATTTACGTAAATAAAGATGAAGACATTTTGGCGAATTGCTTTTATCTAACGATTTATTCGATTTATTTTTCTAACGATTGTTTATTCACACATTTTTCATCGTGTTTAATATGATATGCAGTAATTTCAGCTGAGGTAATGACTTTGATTATTATATTGACATTTATCCGACTACATTGATTAGTTACGGGTAAGTACTTTCTGTCAAAAACTTTTTTAGTCGATCCTATTCTATCAGTATATCGAATAGCAGTCTTTAGTCAGATACTTGATTAGCAGTTATTATAATTATGTAAAATAATTTTTTTTTCGCTGAAACAATTTGATTCTATTATTACTAACTACTCCCATTAAAAAAGAATCAGCTTAGAAAATATTCTTAATCGAATAACATCTTATTGTTAGAATGGTTAGGAAGATCACACGGTAGCTTTGATTATTCTAAAAAAAGACCGAGGAACTATAAGCGTTTTCGCAAAAGTTTCCGTGACGATTAAGTACCACAGTCACTATCTAATATATCAAATACTCTATCGGAACTCATCGTGAAAACTGCCTTCAGTATCCACCATTTTACTACCAAGGAACAAGTCCGTTTTGCTGAGTATCTCTGGGAGTTTGAGTTTTCCGTCTCGATCAACATCCGATAATTCGATCAGATGGCGGGCCTCTTGTATCGCGTGCCTTGGATTCCGTGGATCTATGTAAGTCTAAACAAATAAAGTATATTGTTATTATGATTTTTAGAACAGTACTTAATGGATAATATATATTCAATACGAATATTTTCTGATTACATATTCTTACCAGCAATTCGGATCGATCAGCTTTTCCATTTTTGTTCTTGTCAATCAGATGTCGAAATTCCTCGCGTCGTTCCTTAATCACTGGCATAGAGAAACTTTGATCGACGTTAGCACCTTCAGATGGCAAGTCAGCAAATTCGTCCTCCGTTAACTGTTCATCACCGTCACGATCTAGTCAAGAACAAAACAAAGTTTTAATTGAAAGAGAATAAAAATATACATTTATACTGAATTATGATGAACAAATATACTTTGAATACCGAAATAATATTTCACGATAAAAGGTATTCATTAAGTTAATAAAAATAAGAAAAAACGTACATACAGTGTGGAAAAAAATGGAAATACCTAAAGAGTTTTTAGGGAAAGTAGAATTTTGTAAACTTCAATAGTGTTTCTTAGAAATGCCATGTTCATTTTGATTGCCAGCTAATTTTATCCTAAATTTTAATACAAACCCCAACACGGCACGGATTGCACAGTTGAAAAATTACTTTGAATTGTCCCTCGGAAATTCAATATTTCCTCGCCACAGTACGGACAGACACGAGCTTAATCGAGCACGAGGAGGACCTATGTGCGGGTTTCACTCACTAAATTCTGACGATTATATGTGATCAAATAATATTGAACAATTGTCACAGTACGTTATACATTTTGGCAAAACTTAAAAGATTGAAATAAATTTGATGTTTATAAATAACTTGTAGCCTTTCGGGAGATTTAGATAGCTTGGAACTTGAAGATACATTATTTCTATTTTTGTTTGAATTTGAGTTAGATATAAATTAAAGTTTTATACTGTCAAGCTTTCTAAGTTATTGAATTTATTGAGCTAGTAATTAGGGAGAGCATTATTCGTAATTTTGAAACATATACATTAATTAATCATGGAAAGTATAAACTTTCAGTTTCTTGCACGAACTTACGGTGATATATTCACAGGAAAATGATATTAATTGCTACTTTGATGCATGTAGACGATACATTTTAATATATCAAGTTCGTTGTGATAAGAAGATAGTTTTTGACAGCACCAAAATCGGAGACTTGAGATTTTACATATGACTGTCAAAAGTATAAGGTTATATAATCACGTTTTGATATAGAATTTGATCATTCTTTTTTTGAAAAATACTTCAAAAAATGTATTTTTTGTAGCATAAATTTTCCAAATTTCATATACCCGATGTCTATACAACTTTAAAACCAACGGTCGAAACCAGCGTATTTGGGCGTTAAAGGATTAATTTTGTACACTAGTATTAATAAACTAAGCATAAAAATGACCTTATTCTATTTTTAACACTGTGTTTTTTTTAGAACGATGATAAAGGTGCTTTTTTATATTAAGCTTTTGAAGTTGAATTGATAAAAGTTTTGTAAAACTAAAAATATTGCGAGTTTTTTAAGCGTTTTATGGATTATTTTCTTGAAAAATATGTGATAATCCGACATGAATTTTTTTTCTGACAAATTCCATAAAATTTATATTTTTCTAACCCTTTTGATCTAACTGTTCAATACATTAATTTCTTTTTCTAAGAAAGTTATAAAATAATTGTTAAAATTATTTTAGTTTCATATTTCTGAACGATGTTACGTATCACAGGACGAAAACGCATAACTATTTTAGTAATAAAAAGTTAAAATGATAACTAAGGTCTTATAATAACGTAAGAAATCTTTTCAGTAGACTATATCAAAAAGGTTAGTTTGTAAGATTGTGTCACGATTTGAATAGACAGAATCGTCGAAAGACCCTCCTGTTCCCGGTACAACATTACCAACGAGCAATCAAGACATGACATTAAATGTTATGCTATCATTTGCAGAAAATCCACATTAGAATAGTCATTTAGTAGATTAATAGAATAAAATGGATCGTAAATTTCTGGTAAAATTATTAAAGATGAACAAATCCTGTTCAAAAGTTCAGACATTGATTGAAGATAATCCTCGTCGTCGTATTGAATTTTGCGAGTCCATAATCGAAAGAATGAATCATAATCATCTATTTTTAAGTAATGTAATTTTTTGAGAATCTGTTTATTTAGGCCTAAAGACGAAATGGTTTAGTCAAAAGAATGGAAAAAATTACAAAAAAAATTGTAACAAAATTTATGAGACTTGAAATATTTCAGAAAGTTGTTAGTTTTCATAATGTTTCGGACCCATTTTTATTCCCGAAAAATTAATTATTTCAATTTACGCAATATTATACCGAAGCAATAAAAAGTAGGTGTTTCTATTGAAAATTTACCAGTTCGATCTAATTTGGTACCATTTCAGTACTGGGCCCAAAAACGGAGTACTTATTCGAAATAAGGGACAAAATTTAAAAAGAAATATTATTGAAGTTTACAAAGCTCTACTTTTTGTAAAAAGTTTATAGGCGTTTCCATCCTTTTACCCCATCACGTGTGTGTTTCAATATTTACTTGATGTATTCAAAAGATTTAATGAAAAATAAACTGTATTTATTATTATCATTATATTATTTAATTTGAATTTTGATTGAGAATACTTCATCCATATAAAATAAAAATAGACTACTTTCATTATTTTAAGATGTTGAACAATAAGTATTCTTTAATTTTTTAATATTGAATCGTTAAGCTGATTGCAACAATAAAAAATGTAGTAATTAATTTTACTAAACTACATCTAGGCATGGAGATTTACTGTTATAGATCTATGTTTGCTAAATCTTTTTAAAATATTACCAAACTTCTCAAAAAGATCCTCGACAATCTGTAAAAGAGCACGATGACTGCTTTCCGGATGAGTGAAAGCAAGAAATTCGTCAAGGGCAAGTTTATCGGGATCCGTGTGTGCTGCTTCGGTCCAGCGAGCTCTGTCGCGCATTATAGCTTCCTTGAGGGGTCGCGATAGAGCTGAATGCCTCTTGTCGTGCGATGTTATGTAGCTGTCTGACAAACCATGCGAACGGAGAAAATGTGCATGATACTCGTCCCATGAGATTTCACCTGCAATTAACGGAACGACCAATTATATTGTTGATCAATCATAAAAAAAATTGATAAGCATGTTGTGTAAGTTTGAATATTTTATCTTTTTGAAATTACTAAACCGTTTTGAAATTTTTCAAACGAACGCATAACTTTTAACATTAATTATTGCAATATGAAACCTGAATAAATGGCACGAAATTGACTTGTCGATAGATGCCGTTGATTCAGAATTTTCGAACGTTGAAAGAAGAACATTATTCAATAAAGTCTAATTATCATTAATTAAATTTAAAAATTTGATAGATAAAACTATTATTAATAATCAAATGTTCCAACTAGTGAAAACTAAAATGTAAGAGCCCTACCGTTCCTCGGATTATTATCTATAGCAGTAAACAATCCTATATTATCCTTCATAGCTTTGTCAATATGATCAACAATTTTGGCATGAATCCACTTGGCCAACTCTCTGATATCCAGCAAACTGTTCTTATCGACATCAGCTTTATAAAAAATCCCTTCTAACAGTTTTTTTGAATCTTCAAGGCTTTTATGCCCACCTCCAATGACGTTGACTTCAACACGGCTAGCTCCATTGTTTTCCTCATCAAGATTTCTATCATCCAATTCTCGAAGTAATTTTTCCATAACATGGCCAGCGATTATCGGATCGCTATCGTCGCCAACAATTTTCACAGTCGTAATAATCGACGTCGTGTTGTCATTTTTCAGGGGCAAATAACGTTGGTAGTATACGAGCAAAAAACCGGCGTAGATCAACGTTGATGCAAGAATTGTCAGACGTGGCAAACGCGCCCAGTTAATTTCAAACTTTTTCATATCGTGCTTCACGGCTCTGCGGTTTCGTCAAATTCAGAGCCCGAGATGTTTTTTTTCCGGTTTCGTCATTATCATCGTCGTCTCTTATCTGTTACGCATCGCCGTTTGAATGTTATTTGTTGTTGCTGCTTCTGCTGCTCATCTAGTTACAGCATCTAATTGACAATAACTAGCATTACGTCTTTCTTCCTTTTTGTTCGACTCTGCAGAAATGGTGGATAGAATAATTTTTTGTTTTGCTGAGCACAATTGAAATTTCTTGTTCAGAAATTCCGCGTGATTTTATTTCTTATGAAATTCATTATATTTTCATCTGAAGAATGTTTTTATTCGAAACTATTTGTCGAAACTAGTATGCATAATGTCATGTAAAAAGTATTTATTATCTATTTATAAATCGTTAATAAATGGTATTAATTATAGTTTTTTAAATAATTATTGAAGATAAACTCTGGTATTTTTATAAAGTCAAAATTCATTATCATCTATCGAAGTCTTTCAAATTCACATTTTCATGTCCGTACCCCAGTGAAATTGAACAAACATTTACACCAATAAACACCCAGTTGTCAAAAACAGAAGTACCTACTTCACGTACATAAAGAAAGCTCGTCATTGAAAGTATCGACTTTCGCAAAAAGTGTAACATCAAAAGCTCCTAACCATCGTGAAAGTAGAGTTCTCGCGTGCATAGTTTTAACGTGAAAAGACCGATACGTGCAATTGAAAAATATCTTTTTGAAAGGATTCGAAAAATCAAAAGAAGAAAAAAAAAATTGCCACGTGTGCAAACACAGACGATGGGTAGTATAGTAGAATAATATACTGCACCTGACACATGCAAGAGAGAAAAAGAGAGTTAAAGAGTGCCGCCTTCTGCGCTAGTTAAGTTGCGCCGTAGATATGCCGGCTGACTATATCCAGCACAGCATTTTCACGCAAAGTATGTTTGATGTATTACAGCCTCATTTATCCCTCTAGTTTTATATATATTTAGCATTCTTTTTTGCATCTTTAGATAGCTGGTGAGAAACACGTCACGGATGAGAAGGCAAAGTTAGGCACATGAAATTGCAACAGAATATACAAATGCGCGCCTGTTGACGGCAGCACGGACCTTGTGGTACTAGCTTGGATTATCGATCCGGGCGCTTTCACCGCATCTAGACCTGCTTTCTCTCTCTCTCTCTCTCTCTCTCTCTCTCTCTCTCTCTCTCTCTCTCTCTCTCTCTCTCTCGTGCCCGCGAAAGCGTGTTTTCCCTTTCTATGTTGCCTCCCACTCTCCTGTCCCGCTACTGGTAGGTATATATCTATACATCTATACTAGTGTTGTGATTGATCCATTAGCTTTTCCTATCTCCTGATGAATTAGCTTTAATGAGAAAGGGCTGGGGCTTTGGTGTGAATGATGATTTCGGTGAGAAACTATTGAGGATTTTATGCATCCAATCGTCATATTTCATGTTTATAATGCGAAATTTTGTTTACATGGCACGTTTTACATTTGATTAAAAATTGTTATTTTTATATTGTACATTTTAATACTAATTAAGCAGTGTGTAATTTTTCCTCATTTTAAATTTAATTCTCAAAAAGTCAATTGCCAATTGAAAAACATAATGTTATTTGAGAAATATTAGTATTTATTGTATCAAAAATATCCTTTGCGTGATCAACTATTACAACGTAATTAATAAATGTAATTTTGATGTTGCATTAGATCTTATAATTCAAAATTTTCACTGCTTATTTTAAGCCATGAGTCGTGTTATATCAAATTAATATTCTTTTATATTAAATTATCGAAGTTTTTATATCACAATCTTTATTATTTGATTTATTATTTGTTGGAAGAATGCGATTTTGGAGCAACATAAAATTTTTGTACATCAATTAAATCACAAACCATTTTCCTTTCAATTCTCTGTATTTATTCCCACAGCTCTCTAATTACCAATCTAAATTGCTAATTACTTTTTAATTATTCTCTGCGCGAAGTGGGAGATCATGTATCTAGTCGTATAATTCTCAATCTCGGATCGTGTTTTTCTCTCCCTTTTTACCCTTCTCTTTCTTATTTTCTTCGATCTTCTTTTATACACTTATCCCTTTGGGTTAAGTTTCGGAGAGATAGGTAATTTGGTAAATCTCTTCTGTGTCGAATTACTCCACATTGCACATCGGAATCCTATACAGGACCTCGTTTTCTTCAATAATTTGTTTGTATGTATATATTCGTTGACGGCTTTTTTGAATGTACGTATCGTCTCTTTATGACGAAGTTGCGTCGCAACCAAAAGGATTTCGTAATTCATTTTCAAGCACGTGCTCGTTCTCAAATTATAGCCAATTGTCATCGATCAATATTGTTCTTATTGAAGCAGTCCTAATGACTGACGACTTAATCAATAAACTACGTGATCATGAAGGATGCACGTAATTTAAGGAAACAAAAGAAACAAATTAATTAATTGATAAATTAATTAAGTAAAGCTGTTTGGACTGTGTAAAAAAATATTTACGCAATGCTTGCTGGCTATTATTGTGAATGAATCGTCGTAAGTGCGTACTTACAGTCGTAAATTTAGGTAAATATCATGGCGCATAAAAGCCTATTGGGAATATTACTATAAAAAAATGTGCCATGACATTTACCTAAATGGTAATGTGAAAATAATATTATTTACAAAATTCTCATATAATATCTCTATATTTTCTTATCAAAATAATTAAATAAGATAGAAATGTAATAAATTGAAAGCAGGCAAGGGATTGGACTGCGTGATAGAAAACTCACCAATGCAAAATGTATCCAACTCATTGTAACATTATTCGTAAAGATAATAGAGTGACACAATACCTTCTATACGCTAAAAAATTTATTATTACTATCTATTGTATTATTTAGAGAAACATAAAATAGAATATCCCGTTTCTTTTAAATTTTGAAAAAGAATTGGGTACTGTTAAAAAAATATTAAACAAAAAAACAAAATTATAAAAATCATCAGTAATAAAAAAGAATGAAACAGGGCAGCCAGAAAGGGTAACAAAAGACACGACTGAGGGGTCAAAAGTCTCATGTATATATGCTATTTTTAACCTTTTGAAGTCAATCGAAACCTTTTGGTCGGATCGGAAAATCATAAAGATTTGGATCACAAAGTTCGATAGATAGGCAAAATATTACAGGGCAAAAACTATCGGGATCGCATCTTTTTCACATAAAGCCTATATTTTGTAGATAGATTTTTTCCACCTCTTTGTAAAATATTTACTTGGCTCATTCTTTATTTTTGACCGAACTTTTCCGTCATCTTCAGTTCTACATTTCATTCGACGGATATTTAGAATAAATGACATTACCGAATGTGATTACATCAAGAAAAACGTTTTAAATGACAAGAATAGACGTTGAAATGTTGAGGGTACAAGGTCATTTAAGAAAACTAAAACACATAACTATACAATTGAAGTAATACTTTTGCATTTATTAACTATAGTTACATAATATAGACGGTAACATATCTCACAGAAATCACCCGGACACGCGCGTTAAAAAATCACTCACTATATATATAAAACTTAAGATGGTAATAATGTGCTATTACACAAGTGCATTTTTCCTGCACTAAAATCCATACTACTTGTTTTAAATTTTTTTATATTCAAATCAAGTTACACTCAACCATACGTAGATTGACTCTATAGATTAATTCAAGCTAACGCGCGTACAAAAATTATAATGTTGCCTTCTGACAACTGAAGGCTTGAGTAATTTGCGTATTGTCCATTCATCGCATTGCACGAGAATAAACAAAATTTAAGTATATACATAGTTCGTTTAAATTTGGTCCTAAATGAAAGGACAATTGCCAAGCATTATTTTAACGCTATAAGAGTCATCAGGTACGTAATTTTCATTCATTTTTATCTTTTTAAAAAAGCAGGCCCGTCAAGAGTTTTGTCTTATGTATTGTCAGTTGAAATACTTGTACAATATTTTTTTTATTTTGGTCTATTTACAGATAATATTAAATATTATTTTAGTTTTGGATTTTACGACTGTGAAAAATTAAATAATATACAAAAATACAAACAAGTAATACGATATTCTAAAATCGTTTACAAAATAAACAATCAAAGCTAAAACAGATTTTACGCCATAAACGTGATTTTCAAAGTCGAAAAGATTGAAAAAAGAAATTCAATCATACTCTACGAATCGATACTTTTTGCAGAAAATAGTCTACACATATCGAAGTTTCACAAAAATAAATCAAGAAGTTATATAATACTCTCTGTTGAGTTTGGTAGTCTCCGTGATAAATAAAAATAAAGTCGAATCCAAAACGAGCGAAATAAAAGGCCGTCAGCGAGACTAACAACAGAATACCATCATCACTCGTAGTGATAATTTCCCGAGACTCACTGTATAATCTAACTAATGTTTTTTTACAGCTTCGCCTTCTCTTGAATGACGCTGTTGTTTTCGATTCTCAACTTTTCGTCGTCCATCTCGAGAACAAGATTTGTAATGCCAAGCGCACGGCCAGGATGGGGTTTCGTTTTGATTGTACCTACGAGACGTTGAACTGGCGGACTAAACAAGTCGTAGTCGATGTCATGTGGATCTTGAAATCCGGTAAAGTAACTTACTATGACGCCAACAATCATGGTTGTCAGGCAGCCGATTGCACTATACCACAAGTAACTTATCTGTAATAATTGAAAGACTTTCATTTTATCAAGATAGATAAAGTTTTGATTTTCTGTATATTTTCATTACATTGGATATAATGAAAGCAAACAATTAGCACTAAAGTTTATTTTTATTTATTTACAAATATTAAAATAATAAAAGTTTATTCTACGCATAAGAAATTTTTTTATATAATCTACTGATGAATACGCGTCGATTCATCATTAAATAGCTCATGTTAATAACACTATTTTTTTTAAGAACATTTGTATTTTCAGATGATAAACGCATATTACACATGCGGCAAATACAAATTAATAAAAAATGAAGTAAGCAAAACATGTCAATAAATACTCACTCTATAAATGAACCAAGCTTCTTCATGGCTGTCCGTCTCGAGCATCATCTCGATCGTAACACTCGCATTCAAACAAGGACATTTGTCAATAGAAATGGTCATACTGTCTTGATGAATTTCACCACGTAAAGTTGCAACTTGAGCTCCCAAACCGATCCACATGACGAAAGCCAGACTAACGATTGCACCGAACATTGCACCTTTAGCGTTTGCCCAAGGGATAAACATACCCAATGAGAACAAACCTAAAGTAACTCCACCTACCATGCCGTTAAACGACAGAGCCACCTGATGAATCAAAAAGTAAATTAACGTTGAAAATACGTGAAAGTGAATTATGTGGATCTAAATTACAAACCTGCAATACACCGCCTAACCGTTCGACCACGAAGACTAGGGCAAAACTGAGAAGTCCGAAGAAGACACTTATCCACTTAGCGTAAATAGCCCCCTTGCGGGCTGGCACTTCCAACTTGAATAATCCTTGCAGCACATCTTCACAGGTGATTGCGGCTAATGAGTTCATTGCGCTTGCGACAGTACTGATAAGCAAAGAGCAATGATAAGTTTCTGTTGTTAAAAAAAATAAGTTACAAAGGAAAATGTTTAACAAGATCAGAATAAGAACTGTTACCGTTCAAAATCGACATTGACATATTTATTAAAGGAAAACAATTGACTGCTCACCCAAGCGAAGCAGCGAAAATGCCGGCGACAAAAAGTCCTGGTACGCCTTTAGCCGCTCCCATAATGTTCATAACGTAAAGTGGCAGCAGTTGATCCTGTCCTGTGATTTGTTTAGCATTCACCGGATCGCAATGCTTGTACGTGCTATACAATACCATTCCAGTCAAGAAATTCACTGTGTAGATCAAGCTGAGTCCTATGGATGATACCCACAAAGCTCTGCCAACAGTCGAATATACGGCTTGGAGTTAAAATAATCCAATAGATTTGATTTTACTTTTTATATTTGGTGGAATGTACATTCTGTATGTATTACTTAATAATTTTCTTTAACAGCTTCAAACAGAAAGTGGAAGTGAGAGATTATTAGATTTTTTGAGCAAAGATTTGATTAGTTTATTCTGAATTTTTTTGGATGTTGTTTGTGACGTTACTATACGATGCTCTCCGAGTAGTTTATGCATAATGATTTATTTTTATTTTCAATAATTTTAGTATATCAGTATTATTTTATTTTAACTAGATTTCATTTATCTATGAAAAACATCGTATTATAAATTATGTGTTATAACAAAGAGTAATTTTTTTAATGAGTTCGCGTGTACGTCATAAAATTTAGGTATTTGAAAGAATAACAAAATTTTATCAAAATTAAGGGTCGATACTAAAAATATCATGTAAGAAACTTTGTTGCGTATTATGATATGTTCTTTTAAACAACAAAAACAACACTCACTTTCTAACTTGACTGATGCTTTCGACGCTAAGATACTTCTGTACAGATGCTTGGTTACTACAGAACATGGTAGTCCAGTAAAAAGTGCCACCGATAACAACACTCCAGAAACTATGTCTAACGGTCGGGGTAGGATCCATGTTAAAGAATTCAAGACGTCCAGTATCGCGGCTGTCAGCCCAGACAAGCGATGAGCCACCCGACATGATTGTGCCCCAGATCACAATGACTAGCAGCGAGGTTATCAGCACTACCGCTTGGAACGTGTCTGTCATTATTACCGCTTTCATGCCACCCTGAAACAATAAGTTTAACAATATAAACAAGATGCTAACTGGTAATATGTAAAATTTGATGTGTGTGCGAGTAATTGACTCACTTGGGAAGCGTAAAAAATACAGACAACGTAGACTAGAGTTACAGCAACGTAAGTATTAAGACCAGTAACTGTAAAATGTTAAGTTAATAACGTGAATTACGTAAGGTGACTGAATTCGTAAAAAAATCATAAAAATATTGATTTGTATTCACAAGAAGTGATTAGAAGAAGTATTATAATTATAGAATAATATACACAATTACCATGACTTAAAGCTAGCGCCGGCGCGTAAACGGCGACAGAAGTGTAGAGTATCATCTGCAGCATGTATAAGCCACTTGCAAGTAACCTACAGTGATGATTGAAACGAAGATTAAGGTACTCGTAGCTGGATGTAAGCCTCAGCTTCATGTAGACCGGCAGATAAAGCCTTGAGGTTATTGGTACTACTAGTATGAAAGCCAAACAAGTCATCCAGAATTGCGTACCCTGCAAATTACAAAAAATTCAATTTGCTTTCATTAAGATCAAAATTGTGTCTCACGTCGATATGTGTAAGCTCGTCGTCTCATAGTTTTTCCATTGCTTTTATTAGGTCAAGTTCATGCTTCAATGGATATGTGATTGTGATTTGATGATATTGCATCGAATTTCAATTGATTGCCGCATAGCGCCAGCGTTTTACAATTTTTCCCCATTGCGACAACACTAGTATTTCGCTTTTATAGTATCAATGGTGTCGTCATTAGTAATGGTTAATAATCTATTACCATGTAATAAATGTCTATTATAAACTTTATTCAATTAAGCTGATCTGATTTTTCTGTAATATCGGGCTTACCCGGATGTTTAGTGTCTACATGCTTTTTAACAAAAAAAATAAAAATATATTTAAAACTAAATTCGCCGAACACAGTATTATAAAATTGAAAAAGTCGTTAAATTAGCACAGTATGTAACAAATAATTCCGTCAATAAAAATTACTCTGTGAAAAAAGCCTATAATAAAAATATACTTACATGCTCGTACATTTCGGCGGGATTGCCAAGCAATTCGATGGCTGTGATGAAACTTGCAGCTAATGACATAGCCATCGGAATAGTGCCCATATCCGAGCCACCAAGTAAAAAGTCATTACTTGTTTCTTGTTTTTTCGAAAAACAGGCATAGAATGTCCCGATCAAACACGATATCACAAGCATAGCAGCAAGAACGAGGTAATCTGACCATGAGAACAAATTAACGAGGGTTGGATGATCTGCCAAGCATTCTTCTTCGGTTTCTTTGGCGCTTTCCGTGGATATTGATTGTATCGTTATTTTACGATGTCTTTGCTCGGCGGATGCCGATGCCGACAGCACGAAGAATAGGATCAGCACTAGAGGGCGCATTTTTAAGCCGTTCTGTCAAGAGTAAATTCTGCTTTTAGTGTTCTTGTTATTAAATTTAATAAAATTGAACTTTTATTAATTATAAGTTTTTAAGTCGTTAGATCATTATTCAATCTAATTAGTGTAACGGTCATAAGAACAAACATTAGCAAACAAAGATGTCGAAAATTGCAATATAGCCAGAATTGCTTAATGAATATCAATAAAAGGTTTTATTTGTAAAGAGTTATTGTTTTCCAGCTGAATGATTTGTTCGAATGCTAATTATTAAATATCAAAAATACATTTTTACCATAGTTTTTCAAACTCTAAAAATTAAAATTCAAGTAGAATTAATCTGTGACGATGTACGACTTAATTACCATTTCACATTCATGTTCTGAATCTCATACAGATATGCGGTCACAATTGCAATTTAACTGCAAACTCGTGTATCGAATTTACGAACTTTTCACGTTTTCAGATTTTCTTATCTTCATTATAAACTTCCGCTTTATCTTGTGAAAAAATAATACAAAAAGTTTGTGTAATTACACGACATATTTACGCTGTATGAAACGCTCTTACGTAATTGCATATTACAAAAAATGTGCAAACAAAAAATAATAACGAGAATTCATACAAGTTCAGGTTGATAAAAGAAATTTTAGCAAAGCAATCAGACGAACTAACCGAGTCCGCAATTTGTAAAATGAATTTGAAAATAACATTTATTAATACAAATTTTCGCGTAAAAATTATAACATGTGAATTTATGTCAATGACTAACAAAAATATTTTTAATTCATCACGTAAATCCAATCATTAAGATAACTTACTGCTTCACGCGCAACGACCAAAAAAACAACAACCTTTACGTCACTTCCTTAAGCACTGCGCGAACAATAAGTAATTGTGTAAATTGTAATGAAGATCCTAAAGAAGAAATAAGACGAAAGAGAAGATGAAGAAACAAAATAGATAAGCGATAAGGTAATAAAAAAAATAACCCCATGAATGAAAGTCACAACGAGCGCGTCTTTACAAAATCTTTTTGCATACCTCGCTATACTAAAAGAAACGAAAAAAAGTCTTCACACATGCGAGCAGATAAATAAATGATTCGCAGGTATGTAATTCGTTTTCTCAAAAGGTGTGAAAGAATCAATTTATATCGATAAGCCGCTGCTACTCTTGGTATTCTTGACGATTCTAAAAGTGCGCAAGCTTGTTCGAATAGTTTCTAGTTTGAAGCGGTTTGCCACCTCCTATATCTTTCTTGAATGTCACGCTCAATCAAATGAAATTTCGTCACATGTTACTTCTTAGTAGGAATATGTTTTGACTATTTGTCTATCAATCTTAGCATTTGTACCGCGGTCCGATATCACCCTTTCTTTGGCGCTATGCCGCGCGATTATTTTATCCTGTTCATCATTTTGCGATTCAAACTGTAATGTAAAACAAAGTAGTAAAATATGGAACTAAAGATTTTCTTAAGATCCTTTGAACGTATGATTGAGATTGTAGCTCTTAAGACTATACACTAATAATTGGTTCGAGATTACATCGTTCGCTATTGAAAAAATATATCAATCAACTAATTATCAGTTGGAATTTCAAAAGGAATAAATTTTTTTTTGTGGGTTTCTAATTTTTTGTTGAAGTTCTCTATCTAAACGTTATATCTTTAACGACATTACAATGACTTTTTGAGCTCAATGGTTCATTTTTCCATTCTGATATATTTTTTCCATTCGGGAAATGAAGAAGAAAAAAGTACGATTAATGAAAAAAATCAGCGGATAATGAAAAGCGACAGTACTGAATCATTTCAATGTATGAAAGATCGATTTCTCATTGAGCCGATGGCGGGTCGGCAAGAATTATTGTTGTAAATTTAAAAGCAATTGATTTCTTCAATAATATGCAATAAAAAGAATTGTCTGTCTCGAACAACCAAACTAAAAAGGAACATTTCGATAAGCTGCTACAATTATAACAATTACAAAACAAAGAAAAAGAAGGGAAAAATTATCCTGTCAAGTCGCAATTCAATCTTCACGTTGCAACCGCACACTACATCAGTCCAACGTTAATTTTATGGAGCTTAATCTACTGTACGATGTGTAATTTTCGCGTGAACCTACCATCTAACCCCTGTGTTACCGACGAAGGGATGCAAAAGTTGCTGGCTCGTTGACGATCGCTAAGAAAGTTGCGAAACTGCAGTTCAATGATTGTACTCGTTTTCTTAGCGTAACGCATATAAGCACTTGCAAGCGACGATAATAAGTCTCTTGTGTTTCCGAAATTCACCACCGAAAAAAATAGAAACCACACAAAAGGGCGAACGTTACAACCACATGAATATTTATTGATTGTCGGCCGAAAAATGTTTGAAGTGAAAGACCGTTGCCGAGGATCTGTTGGGAAGACTGAACGTTTTAATTGTCACGTGCGCGCCTATATACGGTTAGCCGCCCCTTCCACTTTCGGACGAAGACCGCGCTAGAGAGACAATCCCTCTCTGCATGTTGTCAACATTACTTCGAACGCTCTCGCACACATACACGTACGCAGTCACTGTCGCGGAATATTACACGCGAAAAATCCTATATTGCTTTCCGTGAAACGCGCTATACTCGCTTACGAGCACGAGCGTAAGTTTCATTCATAAGTTTGTGTTGGTGTGGTCTGTGTCTCTTTTACAAATGCCAAATTCATTGCCACACGTGTATCTATGCTTTGTCTTGAATTTTTCGAGAGACGAATGAGTTGTAACTTGACCTGAGGAGAGAAATTGATTAGGAATCGGTTGATTAAAGGATATATGAATCAAAATTTACACATATGCCTACTTTTAAATATGAAGAGGTTTTGATTAATCATAAGGCCTCTAGTAGAACCTTTTTATCAGGTCATGGAAATATACTTGTATGGTGCAATCTACAGATGGGTAGCGAGCTTCCCATAATTTTCGTTAATATATAATCATGCATGCATTTTCTAAAAAAAAAAATGTTATTGTAAGTATACAGCAAATTTAAGAGCTTATTTCTTTTTCGTTTTTCATATAATTATTTATGATTACACGGATCAATCCTTTTGTATTTATTTCTCTTAGTATTCACTTCATTTTTACAGTTCCATAGTTAAAAAAAGCTATGTTTTTAAAATCGCAGCATGCATATTTTATTAACAAACCTTCTTGATAGAAAAACTTTTTTTCATTTCGGTCTCACCATTCATTGGCTTGTAGAATACGAATTAATATTGATATTTACTTTACAAAATTATAATATTTTTTTAAATTTTACAACTAATAATTTAGAGTAACTCTCAAAGAAAGCATTAATTCTCGAAGTTACTTTTCGAAGTAAGAATTTGCTAAATCTCAATCTGTGGCTTAACTTAGTTGTTATTGAAACTTATAATTAGCTGTTTTAGAAAAAATGTCAACTTTTATAATTATCTATTCAGTTAGCCATTATTTATATTTACAATGAAATATTACAGATGAAAAATAAAAGCGCTTAATACAATAATTTCTGAATAGTATATCGATTAAGTAACTTATTATCCAAAATGATAATCGAGGTATCCTGATTTTGCTCTATCAAAATATATTGTGATTGATAACAGTTTCTTTTATAAATTATAAAACGAAATACTTATTTTTATTTTATGCAACTGACAGTGCAAATTTGTATTATCAGTTTGCTCGAATGGATAAAATCAGTTTTACTAATTTAAATCATCAACAAATAAGCCACGAGTCATGATTGGAAAATTTTCTCATCTAACTTACTGATGAGGTGCATAAAAATTCTAGATTACTAAAAGGTAAATACATTTGGTAATATAGCACAAAATTGCGAGTAGCAATACATATTAGATATTTATTTCCCGATAAATCAATTGATTATATAAGATAATTTTAATAACTAACTGAAACTAAATTGTCAATAAAAAGAATCTGTGAAACTATTTGGATCTTGAATGTCGCATCCAGTGTTAATGCAAGTTAATATATACGTCTTGCATACTTGCGTTTCATGTATATGATAAATAACACTGAAATTAGCAAGAGCACGTTTATTTTAGATGTAACAATGCAGCCATTCCAGCAGTGTTATTGAAATTTGTTGACTATCGATTTATCTAAAGAATGTTTTATCTCTTCGAGAAGATGAATTCCTCTTGTTGTTTATCTGCAAAAAATAAAAATTCTTTTCGTATATCACTTGTAGCCCAGTTAAATTTTTCAATAATTTAATCGTGAAATTTAGATATCTCTCAATGTTGAAATTGAAAAGTTGTTGTTCAATTTTTTGCATGACGATTTATTAAATAAAAAAATTGGTTTAAATAAAAACTTGTTTGCTTTGCAACGCTTATAAAGAATTGTAATTACCACAAAACTTATAAAGTTTTTGAACGCCTAACATCAATTTAAAATTTTGAACTTTTTCTCAATTATATATTATTGTTATAATTGCGAGTAATATAGTGCGACACCCTTTTCACTTGAGCAGATTACACTTCGATACTCATGGGGCCATCTGATAAAAAAACATCCGCGCTTCGAATCGTGACCAGATATCGTATGAATTATATTGATGTACGCTTTTTCAAGCTACAGCTTTATAACAGTCCTAACGTCACGCGGTGGTACTTAATAAATGAAAATAGCGATTTAGTTTGGATTGACGTAATAACCAAATTTATGAATTGAAGAATTCTTTTATGAAAACTTCCAAAGATGTATTCTCTTTATATTAAAGATGCATTTAAAATTAGGCATAAGTCCACTCAAATTAATATGCAAAACTCTGAGTTGCTAATCCCGCGCTATCGAATTTATATACAAAGACGGACGCAGTATCTTCTAAGTAAGAATATAAGCGACGAGTAACTAGAGTGAAATTTTATGTTTTTTAAAATAGTTTCGTATCAGGTGATATTTACTGAAGAGAATTAATCAAGCAACGAAAAAGAAAACTGTCATAGTAATGTAACGAATGAATACTTTAAAACTATTAACATTGTAATATTTCAAGATATCTGCGGCATAGCGTGATTGATTAATCTGTGTAGTTCATGAAAATAGGTAATAGAGACAGTTATCATCGTAAATTTACTTATACGCAACAAAATGCTCGCGAGTGCGATTTTCCCATAATAATACTGAAAATTAGGTTTTTTACATCGTCAAAATAGAAACCTAATATTCAAAACAGACTGGAAGACTACTAATATTACTCCACTTTTTCAATACAGTACAAGACATGCATATACGCCATTGGAAAGACCTTTTTGTTGCATATTGATTATACTTAACATGCAGTTTATTGAAAATGGCGCATTGAAAAGCCCGGAATATATATGGAATATATACGTCATATTCGAGCAGTGAGAAACTTAAAGTAAATTAACTAAATTGAAACTCTTAGAAGATCTCGTTATCCTCGTAAACCTTATCGGAAAAATCTAGTCATCGTGAACAAAATCCCAGAGGAATGTCGTATCAAGCAGTAATTACTGCCGAATGTACATAGAGTAAATATGCATTTAATGACCTGACAACTCTGTGTACAACGTGCAAATCGTTGTACATCACTGAACAGCGTACGTTTTAAAATAGTTGACCATTTGCGCATTAGTGACGATGATCGAGATTAAACCAGTTTGCCGACATATACGCTGTATAAATGGCCAAATGCTCCAAAGGAAAACGAAGAAAGATCAATAAATCTCCCTGTTGTCTGTTGGTGAAGTGATTGAGACCTACTATCAATTCCGGTTATAGGTTCACTACCCTCGTTTTCACCTTTTACGTGAGACACGTTGCGCTTTGACGATCAAGTCATAGGATACATCCACAGCTTGTCACTTTTAAGACATTGAAATCTGTTCTGATAATATTCATTAATCGATAAATAAAATTAATATCTCCGAAAAAATGTTAATAATTTCTCATTTTCTATTGCGCTTGCTAAAGTCACAATTAAGAGTTGAAAAATGCATAATAAAGAAGTAGAAATAAAATAGCTTCCAAAATAACTTGTTTCATCGAAAAAAACGCTAACAGTTCTTTATTTGTATCTTATTAGAGCTTAGGACTTGACACAAATTTGACACAAAGTCAAATGGTTATGAAATCGAATGAATTATCTCTTGTGGCTCAGAATCATTATCTGAAACCTGGAGCAGTTAAAAAATGAAGCGAGTGTCGCTACGGATACGGAAGAAAGCGGCTTTATATTGAAGAACCATCTGGCAGACTAAACGGTGACCGCTTGATGAATAATACACTGGAACTAGGTAATGACGCATATCGAAATCTGTCGCCCGAGAAACTCCGAAATTGATTGTTCATCGCACGCGAAGCGGCAGATCTTTCTGCAAGTCTATCGCTTCGTACTATAGCCCGTGCTGTAACGTCAGCAGAGAAGGCTCATCTCTTTATAGCAAACCAACACAAATAAAAACGGGCTAAATCGCACGCGAAGAAAAAGGACCACTATAGAAACGCACGTCAGGAAAGCCAATATATTGGTTGGTATATATCACGAGCAAAAGCCGCAGGCATGAACTTTAAATTGAAACTGGTTATAACTGGCAATGGTCGCCTCGATCCGCCTCGGCTATTTCTTCGTTTGCGACTCTTCGACTTTTATACACACAACAGCATAACGTGGATGAGAATGATGGCCGTCTCGTGCGTGTGAGTGTAAATTTTCGTCCTAATTGCACTTGATGCAACAAGAGCGTTTACAGGACCGATTGTCGTTTTTTCTTTCTCATGACTTGTCTCTCGATTGACGTAGTTTCCGCGTGCTGTCATTCGATTTTATTCGCCGATAGTCATTATGACAGCCGGATGGCGACGCACGGTGGTGCAGTTGCTGCTAAGTAATTCGTCATGCTCGATGTTGCCACAAGTGTTATTAAACAAATCTCGCGGGGAGTTTGTGGAAACTGATGCACAAAGCGTACTGTCACTAATTTATGACGATTATTATTTCACTTATGCGGTACTTACTTAAGGAATATGTCAGATTGAAATGATGATACGTCTTGTTGGGAAATGTCACGAATTGTAGTAAACGATAACGAAAAAATGTGTGCGAGAAATTGTTGCACATTACCGGAAGATAGTTTCATTAATGCGTGCGGCTTATTAGTATGTACGATTCGTTTAATCGAATCTGTACGTATGTCATACATAGCAAACTCAATTGATGATACGTCCAATAATACTATTACAGCATTTATCGTAATCATCGAACTTTATGTACTCACTGTAACTTGAACTTTAGTTGAAAGAAAATAAGATGTGTTTATACAACGATTTTTGTTAACAATACATGCAATAATTCAAAAAAGCACTCTGGGTTTTATAAAATATTCATATATCTGACTTTCGCAATATACAAGTAGCTTATAAATTGTCTTGGCCAATGGAAATTTCATGGAGAGCAATAAACATGTGATGTAAATAAATGCTATAACGACGTCTGATCGTACGGCGTCAAAAACAAGTTAATTAGTCGGTCATTCTACTTCAATGTCATTGATCAGTCGACGTGCTTATCAGATTCGCTGCTCCTTACGGTGTCCCAATTCTTCCTTAACCTAAGAGTTTATCAATCGAGCCTGCGCATATTGTCTTGTAAAATTCGAAAACAAACTATATCTTGCGCGAGAAACAAATAATGGTCTTTACCTTGCTATTATTCTAGAATAATTAATAGTACTTTGTAATTGACAATTGTTGCGATGACGCTCGTACAAATTCAAGTTATCACAGATACAATCAATTTGAGTAGTCCTATCGTTGACGAGACTATCCGATGGAGATCTAACAGATCTAAATTTTTTTATAGCTTCATCCAAAGATGTGACTCAAAGTACTTGATGACTGATCTAAGCGTGAAATTACGCATCAGCGCATGTATCTAATGTATCTATATGGCAAAATTCAACATTAGAATTCGTGTACTATATGAGCCATTACCGTTGCTGTATTAATACTTTTCTCTTTTTTCTGTAATTATTTGTGCACGCGCATCTGTAAAAGCCATACAATTGTTACGAGTGTGCATAATTTTTAACATTAACATGTAGTCATAGCAAATATCTCAGCTTGATTTTGATAAAAAAAGCCTTGTACCATTATTAACTATTTTCCTACGCTCGTACTAGAAATATTTTAAGTTTCAAGACTTCTCTTAAAATAACGAAATTTAATTACATTTTTCAAGAATTTAAAATAATTGTCTATCATTTATGATTATATTATATCTAACACAATAAACATTCTTAGATATATTTAAGCTTCTAATGAAGTTACAAAAGCGTTTGACCTATCAGTCCATTCGTTATTTTACGAAGAATCTGCCGCTTTTTTATAATTGCACAAATATTCGTTATAACCGATAAGATTGCAATTTAACAAACCAAAAAATGCAGCATCGCGAAACATTTCATTGTTAAACCGCTATCATATTTTTTTATAATTAAGTTACAGGTATAGTCAAGTAACCAATTGATTTGTAATTGCTTAAGAAATTCATGACTTGTTGGCTAATATTAAAATACTAATTTGAACCCAAGATACGTACAGTAATATAGTGTGAGCGTAATGCGGCTATATCGATGACGTCTTGATCGAGGACATCTTGATTCTAATGGAAGAATGTGATTTCGGCCTCGTGCGGATGTTTGTACGTGAGCGAAGTGTGGATAAAGAGACTACACGAGGGTAAACTTTATTTGTCGACTCGACGTATGCGAAATGAGATTTGAAGCACGCTCACTTTTCCGAACCTGCGTCAATCCAATCCTCGCGCACGGGGAGTATTGAAATATCTTTTATAGTCTTGGTTAGTGTCTTCCGCGCTATCTTATGTTCATTATATAACAGCTTTGTCTTCTTCTGGTTTTGTCGGTCGTAGCCTCCTGTAACATCTTGGCGATGCGCTCCTTATCAAGTTTGTGATCAAGACAGTGACCGTCGATGCACCTTTTTTATTATTTCTCTCGTGAATTCCATGTAAGATTATTATTATAAATATTTTATTCTACGTTAATTAGCGGTCAGTCCTGAGTTATAATGAGTACACTATTTATTTGTTACTATAAATACTCCAACCAAATGACAGCGGACTCAATTCAATAAAATAAAAAATATTTAGGAACTTATATCTTTACATCTAACTTACTAATAAACAAAACATATTTTGACCAAAAGTAAAATAATTAATATTCATCTTATGTTCTTTATATATTGTTCTATATTTTTATAAATATAATAGTTATTTTATTAAGATTGTAGCCCGATTCGTATCCAAATGTATCATGTTTGTAATTATCTTCTCTCACTATTTTTTATTACAAGAATCAGGACTATTATTGCTATCAATGCTCATAGTTCTTGGTATCGTTATTTATTTTTTTAATCTAGCAATCAATATATAACAAAAAAGAAACCTATAGAACATTAATATTCGAATTTAAATAAATATTTGTCTGATTGAGTTTCCTGATACGTAAATTTATTTTCATTTGTAATATGGCAAAGTATTCGACTGGTAATTCCAATCACATAGATCTCTATAACTTTATTACAATTTTTATCATGAAAAGAAAAACAATGACGCGTTGATCTTTCTATAAACATTCAACACTTTGGTGCAGTTGGCACTGCATACAAAACAAGAAAAGTTCTCAAATGATGAGAGTTTATTTTAAAACAAGGGTACAAGGAATTGAAGAACATGACTTTTTCACCTATGGAGCTATAAAGTTAATATAAAACTGAATAGGCTTTATGATTAATAATCGTCAAAAAGACTATTCAGAAAAACTAATGCACGAATATATATATAAAAATAAAAAAGAAAAAACGTCTTAAACATTTACTTCTGCTTTCTTGAAGAGGAAGTCTTATAAAAGTGAAAATTTTCGATGTCGTATAGTCGAAGTTTTTCTATGTCGAGATTGCTAACTACGGAAATGATGTTTTTAGAAACTGCCCAAAATGTGTGTGTACACGCGCGCGCGCGCGCGTTTATAGTCAAGCCCTATTTTCATCTCTCAACTATTATTGCTCTAATTAAAAAAAAAACAATTTTCAATGTAATTCTTTGCAGTTAAAGTTCTTTAATAATTTGTAAAGATTTAAATGCCTTTTAATGATTAAACGTTATCTAAGAAGAAAATTTATTATTTAAAAGTTTGACATGCTTTTCAAGAAAACATGCCGCTAATGTTATTAATGACACATTACATAGCTTTGTATTTTGTAGCATAATATTACAGCATTAATTAAAATAGTACATTGCACAAACATTAGGAGGAAATCGTTCATATTATTGAACGTTTCTTAAATACGCATTATCTTGAATTGACCAATAAGAGAGCTGAAAATTAAGAAAAGCATTAGTCGCACGTTGTAACTCGTCAGGCACTCAATATATATACCGTGCTTCCGTAGAGTCTTTTCCATTCTCGGTCGAACCATGGCAGTGTATTTTTTGTTATTTTTACTTGCGTGTATTATTCTTCGTTTTTATTTTCACAATGGCAAAACAAATAATTTATTGGCAAAAGTACCGGGCCCACCGCCGTTTCCATTACTCGGAAATCTTTGAGACGTCAATGTTCCGATTGGTAATATCATACATATTATTATTTCAATGTATCTTTATGTTTAAAATGTGTTAAATGTATTAACTTTAAAAGGTGTTTTGAAGTTTTATGATCACAACAAAATTAAGTTATGTATTGCCATCATTGAATCAATGTGTCATTTACCTAAATCAAAGTGACAATTTATTCATATGCAGCACTGAAACTTACATATTTTCTTCAGAAAAACAATGGAGCGTAATTCGAAATCTGACGAGAAAATACTATCCTACTTTCAAAATTCATCTGGGTTTTCATCGAGTTGTTATCAGTATTCGGCACCCGGATGACGTAGAGGTAAACGAAAGTTAAATATTGTAAAATTGAAATTAACACGAATAAAATGACGTTTTATCTATTTCTAAGCTTCTCTTGACGAACCAAAAATGTATTGATAAAGGTCCTATGTACAGTTACCTTCATTCATGGATGAAAACTGGTTTGTTAACAAGTAATGGTAAGTTTTACAATTAAATTTGTTTTAAAAAATATTAATTATCTGCAATAATAACCGATTTGTAAACTTTCATTAGAGAATGTTGAAATTGTGCAAACAATTTCAGCTTGACCGATTATACTAATATAAGCTAAATAAATTTTACAGGTGATAAATGGCGTACAAGAAGGAAAATGTTGACGCCGGCATTCCATTTTAATATCCTTCAAAAATATGTGGACATAACAAACGAAAATGGTACAAAGTTTGTTGAAGTTTTGAAATCAGAAGGCCGAAAAACAGTTAAAAGTTTGGTACCTCTATGTTCAGAATACACCTTGAGCATTATTTTAGGTATACAATCGATTTTACTTTTACAATATCTGTAATTCAATACAACCAGTGCAGAATATGAATATTATTTTCAGAATCGGCTATGGGAGTATCATTTAACAATGTTAATAAAAAAACTGCCGATGCATACAAACAAGTAGTTTACGATATGGGAAGTGTCATTGTTTATAGGTAAGTACAAAAATAATAACATGTTATACATTAGGAAACATTTTAATTCACAAGGATTAATATTCAGAATTAGTCGACCATATATAGCAGATTGGATGATGAATTCTCTATGCAAACTAGGAAGAATGGAAAAGAAAGCTCTCGCAACTCTTCATAAATTTACGAATAGAGTAAGTATCATTACTTCTTTGATTAAAGCGAATTTCTGATTATTCAAATAATTACAAGGTCATTAATGAATGCAAAGAATATCACAAGCACACTAATAACAAGTTCTTAACAGAAGTTTTTAATAATGATGAATCTAAGTCAGATGCAGTTTATTATGGTAGATATAGCACCATTGTTATTTTTATTTAACATAAAAAACACAACTAATAACAAGTACGTACACTACATCATTCTCGCATTTCTTTTTCAAGGTTGCAGAAAGAGATTATCTATGCTTGATCTTTAGTTATCAGCGCAACAAGATCATTTGATAGATGATGAAGGCATAGAAGAAGAAGTCAATACTTTCATGTTTGAAGTACGTACATAAAAAGAATTTTCATTTTTAAAATAAATAATACCTCTTCAGCTTTTCTTATGTTTTATCACTGGTTTAGGGTCACAACACAACTGCAATGTGTATGACATTTACTTTAATGCTTTTATCCGAGTACCCGGAAATACAGGTAAATCAATAAGTATTTTAATAAAATAATTGTTATAATTTTTAATTGATAATAAATATCACTTACTAAATTAAAATGATTATGTTAGAATAAAGCAAGAAGCGAGGTAAAAGATATTTTAGATAAAAATAAAGGTAACATTGAAATGCCGAATTTGCATGAATTTCAATATCTTGAAAGATATATTAAAGAATCACTTCGACTATATCCTCCCGTAGCAACTATCTCACGTATTGCATCAGAAAATTTACCATTGAGTAAAATCAATTTAACAAGATACTTTAAATTTTATTTAAATATATCAAATATTTAAAATGCCTTAACAAAATTGTTTTATTTTATTTTATTTACAACTGACAGAAAAGTACTTAATCCCAGCTGCTACTGAAGTTATGTATCATTTATATGATATTCATAGAGATCCAAACTTTTGGGAGGATCTAGATAAATTCGATCCGGACAGATTTTTACCTGAACGAATTAAAGTTCGTCATCCATATTCATACATACCGTTCAGTGCTGGATCTCGTAATTGTATTGGTAATTACCTAATTTGAACTATGTGAAATTTACGAATTCGAGCATACTAAAAGTATTGATTTTTATTTTAGGTCAAAAGTTTGCAATGATGGAGTTAAAATCCTTGATCGCTCGCATCTTGCACAACTATAAATTAGAACCTATCGATCGAATGGCTGATATGGAGTTATTAATGGATATTGTGATTCGTCCATATAAATCAATCCACACAAAATTTATCAGGATTGATGATTGATTTTAATTATCTTAATTTAATCATATTTATGATTTCATGTGTTAAAACGTAGTTTTTATTATCATTGCTGCAGTCAGAGAAATGGATTTATCTTTAATTGGTTTTGATCATTCAGTTTTCTCATTTATAAATGAAATATGACTTTAGAAAGAGATAATTTGGTAAAAACATTTTTTTTATTAATAGGAGCATTTTATTTGTAATCGAAACCATTTAACATAACAATAAGAAAGTATTTTTTTAGCAAGTCTTTCGTCGTGTCTTTCTTTATAATATTTTAAGATGTATTCTCTCATTTAGATGAAATGGACAATTTTTTATTTTCAGAACGCACATCAGTCAATCAAAAACTTCAAATTATACCACATCATAAAATACAAAACTTTGCAAACAATACGCACGTTGTAAAATAATATCATTTAGTACTATGTTACAAAATAGTAGTACAAATATCCATACCTGAGATATTCACAACTTTAACAATAAAAATTATAACGGCACTACCCAGATATCTTAAGATTTTAACAATAACAATAACTTTTTATAAAAAATATTTTTATTTATGTATGAGACTCTTATTAAAGTTTCCTTAGTAATTCAGAGAATGAAAAACATTCGAATCTTTTTGTCACATGGCTTACAAATAAATTATATTTATTTTCTAATACCACTTATTGTAAAGCATTGCGTGAACTTCTTCCGAATGGTAAACAGCTGCATTTTTCATTTTCAATTTATTGTAGAATCAATTAAGTTCATTTTTATACAGTATTATTCTATACACCTATAACTTTCCGTTTTTTTACTTATGTTTAAAAAGAAATATATTTTTTGTATAATATTTGCGACGGGGGAGAGGGAGGGGAAAAATAACAGACGGTATTTCTCCGGTCTCGCACTGTCGCCAGCGGCGCGCAGTCAGCCGAGACAACGTGTGCAGCTTTGTTTTGTTTAAGTTGGGCGCCAGCTACCGTGCTCTCGCGTTAGGAGAGCGTGGTAGCGCTGCAACGTTGGCCGGTTCTCGGCTCGGTGGTCCTGCTGGTCGCTGTGAGGTCGGGTGGTTCCCCGTTGCCTCTCTCCTCGTCGCCGTCGGGGTTCTTTGCGCGCGTGGCCGGCTATCACCTGTGAAGAGTGAAGCGGGGGCGCGAAGTCCTAGGCGACGATTCGGTCGAATCTAAATCGTATCGAGCGAAGGGGAAAGAAGGGGGGCAACGGGTGGTTTCCAAGGCCACCCACGGCTGCGGCTCGTTCGGCTAGCTAGATGTTTCGGGGCATGGCGGCTCTCAATCCCAGAAGCGGGTACATCGAGGGGGGCGTCGCAGGGGCGCTCCGGTTGGCGGCTAGTGGTTCGGGGGATGATAGCTCCTTCCCTGGACTGGTGGCGTAGTGGCGGCGACGGTGGCTATCGGTTAGGCGGTGATCAGGGCAGCCGCGTACGCGCTTATTAACCTCAAACCGATCACGAAAGCTACGGGGGATGGGGCGATCAAGTGGGTATAGTCAATAATAAGTCGGATGTAAAGATAATTCGGATTTATTACGCAAAAGAAAAACCCCAGGTCAACCCCAGTGGTCTACCCGTTGCTATGGTCAGCCTAATTTGGGTTATCGGGGACGCGAGTGGCGTACTACGGCACGAAGTCGGCTTAGACGAACAATGGCTTGGTCGAACGCTTCGGGCTTCAGATAGTGTTCGGATACGTAACGTCGGTTTATCTATTCGCGGAAAATTCCAGCTCGTTCAAAACAATTACGCTCAGGAATTCGATCGGTCGCGCGAAGGTTGACTGCTGTTCGTGGTGTTGACGATACCTATAGCGACGATCGCGAACAAAATAAAAGCGAATGTATCCGAATCCTACCGGTCGAATGAAGGTCTAACGCGGCTGGTGCGATGTTTAGATCGACTCAGAAGGAATTCAAAGACGCGCGCTAAGGAAACTCGCTCCACGGATGATAGCAACACGGTGACTCAAAACTATTCCCGAAAGGTCGGTGGCGAAAACATATACAGCAATGGCAACGGGCGCGCGAAGGTCGTGCGGGATTCCGTGCGCGAACATTCGGCGGTCATGCGATTATTTCAGGCGCGGAACAAAGAAACAACGTAATAAGAAACTTGGGGATAACGGCAACGTTTCGGTCAAGGTATAATGCGCGCGAAGGTCATGCGGCACTCCCGGAAACGCGAGCGTTCGACAACTTCAAATTGCGGGCAATGATTATACGCCGGTTCGACAAAGGATTTTCGGTGGTTAGCAATAAGCGGTCGAATACTACTGTCGGACGCGCGAAGGTCGTACGGCACTCCCGAAAACGCGGCGGTCGACAATGCGCGGCAAACTCGCGATTATTGATCATGCATAGAAAATCGATAGTAAGGGAAGGGTACTTACTCTTGTGTTATCGTTATTCCGTTAGATTTATTCTATTAATTTTACTCTATTATTTTTCTGTTATTTCCGTTATCGTTATTCCGTTAGTCCTGTTATCGTTATTTCGTTATTCTATTATTTCTGCTATCGCTATTTCTTTATTCTATTATTTCTGTTATTTTTTCGTTATCGTTATCCTTTTATTTTATTGCTATTCGTTATTTCTGTTATGCCTACTTCTATCACTAGTTTCTTCTACTATTTCCACTTTCACTGTCTCTTTATGCCTACTTCTATCACTAGCTTCTTCTACTGTTTCCACTTTCACTATCTCTTTCTCTATTTCTCTCACTAGCTTCTTCTACTGTTTCCACTTTCACTATCTCTTTCTCTATTTCTATCACTAGCTTCTTCTACTATTTCCCTTATTCTCACTCACTTCTTCGTACCGCGCAACAGCGAGGCTCGGCGGACGTCCTTCCGTCGAGGCTTAACGGTTACTACTCGCGCGCCGTTTTTCGGCGACGCGCCGCTTCTCCTAGTTTACTTCCCCTTCGTTGTTGTTGATTGGCTAGCTTGTTGCTAAGCCAGGTCTCAGCGCCGTCTATTTTGATGTTTTTTACCCGCGCAATTTATTTATTGGTCGGTCCTTCGCGCCTAATTTGCCTACTGGTCGCGAAGATAGCGTCGGTTTTCTCTCATAAGTCTAACCACCCCTAAGCCGATAACGATTGGCTGGTCAGATAGCGTCGCTTGTCTATCCTCTTCTATCTACCGCTCGTTGGTCTTACCGATTCCCCTCGCTCGCTTCCGATCGGTCTAGCATCGGCGGTCTCGCTCGCTCTCACGCGCTCGGTCGCTCCTACTTCTAGTCTAGCTAGGTCTGCCTTAACTAACGGGGGCTTGCGATCAGCTGATCGCGGCTGAAAACTTTAGGGGCTTCTAGCTCCCCGGGGGAGGGTCGGATCGGGTCGTGAGTGCGCGAGGGGTTGTACGCGAGCGTAAGGGTCGTGCGAATCGGTCAGGGAGGTTTCTAGAGGTCATAGTTCGCGAGATCCGGGAGTGCGTGGGCGGTGTATGCGGTCGTGGCTGTTCTGCCGCAGTGCCGGAAATATTTGTGTGATGACGCATCATCACATATTATTGTCCGTATACATCAAAGCATTGGGTTCCGAGCTAACAATTATGCAGATAGCTCACTCTTCTACACACACACACACACACACACACACAAATTTTCATTTAAAGTACATATCAAATAATATAACAGTAGTATTTATAGTAATAGTAGTAATAACAATAAAGGAATGTAGTAAAGTTCAAAACCAATGTTGATTAAAAGTTTCCGTACAATAAGTAAAATTAGTGAAAATAAAATCAAACTGTTTGTAATTTCTCAAAATAATACATAAATGATAAACAAAATTCCTTAATTTTAAGCATAAAATATTTGTTTCGATTTTCATATTTTCATATAAAATTCATCACAAATAGAATTAATACACTTTGAAACTTCTTGCAAAATATAAGTACTATGCATTAATTTAACAATTTAACATTAAAATTGACTATTTTGATCTTTATATTTATCAGAATTTCTGTTCTTGTGATTAAAAACGTAAAGTGCATCGGACGTTAAATTATTAGCATTTATTTCCTGTCCTTGATTTCTTCGAAGCATTATTCGTTTTGCAATACAAGGGAAAAATAAATCTGGATTCAAGTCTTCATTACGGTTATTGCACATGCAACGAGTTAATTGACTTACGATGTATCCAATTGTCATCATGATTGTAAATCCAATAGCACTATACCACATATAAGAGATTCGGTACAGGTAAAAATAAGATAAATAACTCCTGAAATGAAAGTTTTAAAAAGATATTGTTAATGATGTCCACAAATAACAATGTAATATAGATTTTTTGCAAATTTTGTAAACTTGATTCTATAATATGTACTATTTCACATAAATAATCAAATAGAAAGAGAAGAATATTTTACAGATACATTTTTACATGTAGATGAAATTAATACGTACGAAGGACTAACTAACAACTCTGTGACTGGTTCAGTAGTGTTAAAAATATCTGTACTTAAGGGACTATTATCACAGCCCAAGGTTGACGATGGTAAAGGTATTAATGGGGGTCTCGGTTGACCAAAAGCAATCCATAGTGTAAATGCAAGAGAACTTAAAACGCCAGTTATAGCACCAATTTGGTTTGCAGATTCACTTAACATTCCCAAAGTGAAAATACCAAGCAGTGGCCCACCAACAGCACCAAAAATAGTTAAACTAGCCTGTAATAAACAAAAAAATTTATAAGTTAATTTAATATGTTTTCTTTCATTAAATATAAACAAATATTATCCAAAAAGATGTAATTTCTATAAATCTTATTAATTTTCATTTTAATGTGTGGCTATTAATGAATAATCAACTTTTTATATGAAAAAAAATAAGTACCTGTAGTACTCCTCCTAATAATTGAGCTGCAAAAGCTAATGCAATACAAGCAACTCCAAAAATAATTACAAAGAGCTTTCCTAATACTATAGATTTAGACTCTGAAAGTTGACGGCCTGAAAATGTTGTGTAAACTGGTTTGAGATAGTCTTCTAGAGTAACTACTGCTAATGAGTTCAAGCCTGCGGATATTGTACTCAAACTAGCACTAAATATTCCTAAAAAGATACAAAGCATTTCATACATTTTTCTTGTTTAACCATTGTCAATCGTATATCGTTCTTAGCTCAATAATACATTAATTTTTGGGAACTGATTTGAAATTAATTACTTACCAGCTATGAACAAACCAGGTATACCTGGTAAATGTGATAATGTATTCATTACATAATATGGCATCAACATATCAGGTGCAGATATTTTTCCATCTTTTATCGGATCACAATTATGATAATAGCTATATATTGCAAGGCCACTAAAACATGTTGTCACTGAAAGCCATGTTAAAATCGGCCAATTAAGCCAATAAGCTATTCTAGCTGATTTCAAACTCCTGAAACAAACAATAATTTTGTACTAACAGAAATTATCTATGAATTAAAAAGCTTTTTAACATAAATTTTTCGACAAAAAAATTTAGATGTTGTCAAGGAACTGAAATTTATGTAAAAACTTAGAGTAATTGAATATGGAAAGATGTAGTTATTAGTAATGAAGGCTTGCAGGGGACCAATTTGTTAATACATACGCACACACGCACACACAGACACACACACAGACACACTTACTTTAGAGTCATTATACGTTGTACTTGAACTTGGTTTACTCCAAAAAGGGAAAGGAAAGTGAACAAACCTCCAATTAAAAGGCCCCACCATGTGTGGCGAACAGTAGGATCTAAAGATATGCTGTGAATCAAGTTAAAGTTTTCATTAAAAAAGTATATGAAATATTCCCTTGATAAATTATAAAAAATTAATCTTAATTTCTATTATTACAATAATGCTTACTTATCAAATTCAATGCGCCCACCTTGAGCAGCGATGTGCCAAATTTCAGTCAAACCACCCATTTTATGAGCAGCAGTAATAATTACAATAAAAAGTGAGACAAACATAAGAATCCCTTGGAAGACATCAGTTATTAAGACAGCCTTAATTCCTCCTATTGCAGAATAGAAAGCGCATACTAAACCAATAGAAATTATACACCAATTTCCATACAGTCCTGTTGTAGTCTCTAATGCTATGGCTGGTGCATATAAAACTACTGCAGAATATAAAAGTAACTGGATCCATGACGCAAAACTAGCTGCTAAACGAGCTCCATAGCCAAAACGCTTTTCTAAGTACTAAAAATAATAAAAATAAATTATATATAATTTATATTTCACGTTTTCGTGCAGTCTACAATATAAATACCTCATAAGCACTAACTGCTTCAAGTTTGTAAAATACAGGTAAGAATCCATAACAAATTATAGGTGTGCCTATTAAATAAGCTATATTGATTACAACAAACTGTGTGCCAAATCTATAGTTTTCATTAGATACTCCAAGTAATGTGATTGCTGACATAAATGATACCATAAGTGATATACCAACTGGAATGATACTCATCGATTTGTTTGCAGAAAAATATTCCTGAAATCATTAAGATAGTATCAAAATTAATGTATCCAAATTCAGAATATTAATTAAAAGAAAAAAAGAATGTATTTTTATTAATTATACCTGAGTAGTTTTTTGTCGACCACCTGAAAATCTATAATAGAGTCCTATTCCTATGCTAATGCACATTGTAAGTGCAATAACAGCATAATCAGTCCATCCTAAAGTTGCTGTTCCCATTTCTTCAGCTTACTGTGAACAATTCATGAGGAATTAATAAAATATAATAACTACTTTTGAGACACATCCATGTTTCTTGTTTCATAATATTTACATACTGAGATTTTTGTAAATAATATTAAAACAACTTAGATTTGTTACTTGAGAAACAGAAATATAATAAATTATAATCAATTACAGCAATCCTCATACTCAAGATTTATAAATTCAAAAATAAATTTTAATAACTCAGTGGCAAAAATAAATTTTTATTGAAAAGTATCCAGACTAATTAGTTTTTCATTAAATTACGTCATATTATCAACTGAAAATCAAATATCAATAAAATGAATGTTCAATTTTCTTGTGAACAAAAACTTCTTATTATTCTCCAACATTTTCAATAGATCAAGAAATAATGACTGTCATTGTGTTACTGTATAAACATGTGATATATAATAACATATCAGTATAAACTGTTTACTTTTCAAGTCAATATTACACTTCTATGTAATAAACTTTGATAAGTAACATTGTTTGAAAAGGTGCTTTTGATAATGTTCATATAAGAAAATGTGAATATTAAACCAAAAAGCTATTTCTTCGTCATAAAATTAAAAAAAAGACCCCATTTACAGTATTTGTTTAAGTGCATTCTTTAAAAATTTGTGCATTATAAAAGCTTTGCAATTATTGTTTTAATAGTAAATCAAGCTGATATAGTATTAAATATTTTAAAAGTTTCTTGTTTTTTCATAGATAGAATTTTGAATAAGAATTCGCTGATATTGTATTATCAAAACTTTGGAAATTAAAAATCCATTATAAAATCATTAACAATCGAAATCAACGATAAAGTTATTGTTTAAAATAATATTTCTTTTAAATCAATTATTTTGTAATTTCAGAATTCTATTCATCAATAGATAAAAAAAATTATACATAGATAATTGTTGTATATTAAGTTATTTCAAGAACCTCACTATATCGATCTGATTCGCGAGACATACTCAATTTGCTTCAGAGCTCAAATCGATTTCTATTATACTTATTTATCCAACAGGAGGGTTGCAGCATTCATCAATAAAATCAATTGACTAATTATGACGATAGATGCAGTATTTTATTCAACTATGACGTACTCTGGCCGAACCTTAAGTTGCAACCCACGAACTTGAACATCCGAAATACTTTTGACGATTGAGCATCGATGACACCAAACGAGGTTAGGTCAAGGGTATATTTTGACAATTATGCCCCTGTAGCTTGCCAGAAAAAAAGCTATTTGATGATATTGACATTCAATCTTAGAAAATAATTTGGATTTCGAACTTCGCGGCTCGCAAATTAATAATATCCAACGGGCATGCAGTTAATCATCCCGATACCGGAGCAGACGAATTATTTCAAAGAAATGATTTTCTAGTAGAAAATACTGTTGTCAATGAACAATCGAATATAATAAAATACAATACTTACTGCGATATTCATTTAACAAATGTAGAACGGTGGTCACCATGAGCAGCAACAGATATTTTGTAAGGCAACGGCGTTCGAATGTTGCCTGCGGACTGCCTGCTCTTCCACGAAACCGTTTCTTGTTACGAGTCTCTCCCTACGTGATGTCTTCGCCCCTCTTGCTCTTTCCTGCCCATTACTTATTGTTTTCCCCACTACACTGTTGTTCATCACGTCCCATGACATATGACCCACGTAATATTTCTTGAATAGGTTAAATTCCTTATGTTGTCTACACACACGCTGACGAGTATTAGAAACGAATAGTATTTCTACACACATGCAAGCACGTACACACACATATTCTAAGCTCTATAGCATGGGGACTATGACCTATAGATATCACGTGTTATGCTGACATCATATTGCTACGAAGTTCAATTTGATTCGTCGTGATTAAATTCTGAATACGTGCATGTCACGTGATGATTGGTTTATTGGGACATATTTTAATATTAATAACATTTTTTTATATAGAATTTTTGTATTCGCTTCAGTTTTGTCTGAAGAAATCTTATATTTTTTCAAGATGACTTTCCTTTTATTTCTCTGAAAATATATACAAGTTTTCTAGCTTTCATTTTATCACTTACATGTTTTTTACTTTTAAATTTTTATTACAATTTATATTGCTGGGAAATTACACCTGAGCGTACATTTTGTTTAATTTTAAACTTAATATTTTTGGATATGGTAATAGCTCTATACATCATACACACACACACAGCATGCCTACAAATATAAATAAGTTTATTGATGCGACACTCCGCATATTAGAAATTCTTTAAGGGTTCTTCGGCAATATGAGAATTTTCCGAGAGATTTTTGACATATAACTGTATTCAATTGAATATTGTATTTTCTATATATCTTGAAGAAATTAATAGAAAATTGCATATTATTAATATTTATGTAGTATAAAACATTGAAACTTATTTACGATAAAAGATTGGAAATTCGTATTGTACGTTAGAAAGCCACTTTTCAATAAATAAAAGAAAACAACAAATTGTATGCAATGCAGTCAGCGTATTCAGTGTTTGTTAATTCCTTAAATCTGAAATTTATTACACGCGCCCAGACGGTTTTTTAAAATTTGCATTCAAAAGCTTACGGTGATAACTGCTGCCACCTATAACCTGGTCCAGTTAACGATTTTTGATATGTATGATTGCATGTATTATTTATTTGGTTTAATAGTTTTATCACTTTAAAATAGTGTAAGGTTACAGTGATTATTTATATTTAATATATCTGTTATCTCAAATTGCGAATATTTCTATAAAAACACATTATTTATAACATTAAAAGTGACTTTGCACGTATGTATACCGGACAAGACGGACACCCCCTAAAAACAAATTTGTTTAAATGTTTATTTATCTTAAATTTTTAATAGTTTCTCATAATTAATCTTGCAATATGATTCATTTTTCAGTGTTGATTAATTAAAATTATCTACAAGTATAAGAGAACATCAAACTACGGACAATAAATTAAAGAAAATATAATTGGTGGAAACCTTAGGTCCATTTATAGCTCTAGAGGGACTTAATCCTCAAGATTTGAGACACTAAGGTATCTTAAGGATAAGAATTGTGCTCGGTATAGAACACTTAATTAAATAAAGCTCATCAAAATATAGTATGAAACACTTTCTTCTTTCGATACCACGTTGAGCTGTGGAAAGGTCGAAGAGCGAAGAAAACAAATCCGCAGTCAACGAAACGTATTTATACAAGAAATTCGCTGGTACATTTAAATTAAATAATGAAACAGATAATTAATTTATGACTTATTTTCTGATAATCTACGCATGATTATCTTAAAACTGAATGCATATTTTAAGTTGAAATAATCGTGCGTACGGTGAGTTGCCGCACGCAGGTACCTCGAAATACTATTAAACTTTTACAAAAGCGACTTTGTAAAAATTTTAATAAACGATAATTGCGTCCAATTTATTTATCTGTATGTCTATTGTGTTCTGAAAATGACAAAGAATGCGTAATGTAAAGTTGCATAAGATTGTACCTGGTTCTTCCATAAGTAACAGAAGAAAATTAAAATTAAAAGCTAATTTTTTCTTCTACTTATGATCAACATTAAATAATTGTTGTTGTTACAATAAAATAAGAGCAGAATAGTGTAAAACTGATGATAATCATTATTCAGGATCATTTAGTTAAAATTACCTTAATAATAAAATTTATGCGGAATACTTTACATTATTTCCATAAAAAAATTTCTATTAGAAAAAGAAATATGCTGAATCATCAGTTGATGTTAGTCTAAAAAATTTATACCTACATTAAGTTCTAGCTTATAAAAGGAATTGAAAAATAAGTTCTAAACAAAAGATTTGGTAAGAATTTATTATTGTTTGCTGAATTCTTATTAAGCAGAACAATATTAACAATTTTTAAGTTTTATTTTCCATGTAAATTGTTACCGTATAGTATAATAATCTTATGAAGATTAAATTGCTTAAATAAAAAAACTGGTACTGTTACCATACTACACACTTTTGTGCTGGATTCATTGTAGAACCGACTGGACAATTAAAATCCTTTGCGAATTCCTCAACATTAGAAAATCCAACGTTAATCCGCGCTTCGTCTGGGCTATGAAGATCATCACGCAAATAATCTGGCAATGATACATCCTTAATTTTGCTACATAACGCAGAGGCAATGCCGATCCAGTACATTTGTTGTGGTGTATAATTAAGTCCAGGAAGATGTGGTTCCAATGTATTTGTACTTTCAACCCAAGAATTGTAAGCATAGTATCCTATTCGAAATCCACCACCATCAGCAATATTTTCCGTGTAGGTACGTTCTCCATCAACCTAGTTGAATAGTAATTTCAATGACAAAACAAGCCATAATTAAAAATTGGTTATTGGACAAATTAACATTCAAATACAGCTTACGTTTGTAAAATATACTCACATTTCCATAAACTTGACTGATAGTATAGTTGCTAAATTGTTTCATTATACATGTTTCTCTTTTCTGATATTCTTTAATGGTACTGCTCTTCAAAGCAACTGCGTGTTTCCTTTTAACATCGTTCGTGTTAATCCCATGAATTATTTCATGACCTATTACAAAACCCAATCCACCGTAATTTAAATACTTTGGTCGATCTAGATCGAAAAATGGAGATTGTGCTATTCCGGCCAAAACATCTACAGTAACAGAAAAATGTAGCATCTTTATTTATTGTTAAACAATTATAATTTCCAATATAATTAAGCTGGCTTAGCCATTATTATGATTATTGAATTTTTAATGCTCATATACTTATGCGGTGACTGTCACTGTCGTAGTTTGCCCCAACTTTGGGAACATTTACATTTATTGCCCAATCGTGTGCTCTGTGAGCGTATCGAAGCAATCTGAGTGAGAAATTCTTTTCAACTCTTGTAATGTTGGCGTAACTGTATAATGCATTTTCTAAATTCACAGACGACTCTTTGTAAAAATCTTCAACTATGGTATTGTTAAGTAATTCTTCTGGATAACCTATAAATGCTGTCAATGTATCTATTTTTTCCAGAACGATGTTTCGCAATTCTTCATCGATCCATCCGAGCTGTCGAGAAAATTTTCATGATAATTAAATACCCAGAGTAATTATTGAATTTTATACAAATATCGTAATTTGTGTAGTTTTTACTCTCTTGAAATATTTTTTCATTTGATTTTTGACGTTTTTCAGAATATTCAACTGCTCGAAATTACTATTCTTATTCACAAACTTATGTATATACAATGAGTTGAGAGCAACGGGTGAGTGATGCTGTAAAAAATTAAGACACGCGTATTCTCTTGGCAAAGATTCAGCCCTATTCAAAACCGATTTTTTGAAGTTTTCATATTTGCTGCGAAATTCCATTGGCGTGAACTTGGTAATATCATAGTAAAGTATTCTCCATAGTTGATGATTTGCAATTATTCGCTTAGACGTGTTATTTAATAATTTGGCCAAGGTTGCAACATAACGAGTATTATCTATGAGCAACATATCATTTTCATCAATTGTTACGTCACTTGGTTTAAAAATTTTATTCAACAGGCTCAACCAAGATATATCTGGAAATTCTTCGGTCCATTCTTTTATTGATTTTTCAGTTGGAATAAACGAATACGTTTCATCAGTAGAATATAGTACCTAATTATACACATCAATTTAGTATCACAAGAAACTAAAAGCTTCGCGGTTGAAAATACTTCGGTTACCTTAAAAAGTTTCAATTCAAACTTGAGACATTCCCGCATGTCATTGAATGCAGTTTCGTTGTTAGCTCCTAAAAGTACCGCTATATCCGTCATAAAATTGATGTACTGCTTTGAATTCTCATCAGTCATGTTATAACCATTATCAACTTCGAGAATCGGTCCCCGTAGCTTCAAAAAAATGTTGACGGCGTTCAACATGCGCTTGGCTTGGATTCAGTCAAAATAAAGTGAATTTATTACTCACGTCTATGATATATTTTTTTAAATCGAAATAATAAATAACATCGATTCTAAATGGAAAATCGGGTAGCAAACCTATGTTACTTATAAGAGAAACGATATTTTCCCAACGGTAATCATCATCGTTCCACTTATCACCGGTTAATACTGGCCAACCGCCAAGTCTGTCCAACAATTCTAGTATTGGAGTGATACCGTCATTTTCTATGCGAGCTATGAACAAATGCATACCCTCCTATATATCTGCATTGAACGAAAATCATCTTTTCATAAAACTTACTTTCATTTATACAATTCATATAAAAACTTTTTATCACTTTGAAAGCTTCCAAATCATTAGCATGCGGTCCACTATTTAGTTCATTTATCAATTCATCCTCAATTTTTTTATTTAATATTCCATATTGCGTCACTAGAAATTCTTCTTTAGGTATTGACGATTTATTTAAAAATCCTCCACATGCGAATGTATAGAAATTATTGCAGGGATCTACATTAAGATCCATGTTATTCAAATAAAAAATAGCTAAAAACAATATAGGACTTCCTTATTACAGTGCGAAAGTTTCAATAAAATTTAAAATACTAAAAAAACGACTTTTACTAACATTCATTTAAACACTTTATCGATGTACATTTGCTATCGCTATTAATTTGCGATACTTCACGTTTAATTTTAATTTCTATAAATTAACATGATAAACGATCATAACTGATATAAAAACTAATCTACCACGTTCAATAGATATGGATACACAAAGTATATACCTTCATTTTTTCCAGGATTAGCGCAGGTTCTAAAATGTATCCAAAGCTTGAGTATCAAAATAATCATAATGACACTTGTATTAAAGGACATTTTGTAGTTCTAACAATCGTTTTATCCACGGTCAAAAAGTAAGATTTTCATGAAGTTTAGAAAAATTTAATAACTGCGTCATGAATTCTTGCTAACACGGCCTGAGTGATTTTAAAATTTTATACAATATATTACCAAATTTATTTCTAAATTTCATTGATTTTACTATTGTTTTAATAACTGTTTAAACAGTAATCAACAAATTTACTCATTATGAATAGTATATTCATTCTTGATTAACAAAATTAAAGCAATACAATAAAAAAAATTTAACAAGCCACTCTAAAGTTCATTGCAAACTTCATGATGACGATACGCACCGATCAAGTAGATTATCACAACTGACAAATAGCGAGGGCTAGAAGAAAAGAGAACTCGTATGATAAATGGAATAGACCTTCTAAGATTCAAGGCGCTGTTCATTAAAAGTAGCTTACGTCATCGCTTATTGAACAAGACACTTGCCTTTAATATTTTTAATACTTTTGTTTTTAAAGCTGAACGTTGTATGAGTATTTATGCAATAAATTAAACTTATTTTAAAAAGAAACAATAAATTTTATTAAAAATTGTTTAAAAAGTTACGGAATAAGTTATAACGATATTTTTTCAGAAGTAACATTTGACGTTCAACGATATACCAAAAAACAGCATTCGACGAGAGATTAAGAACTCCGATTGCAAACTCACTCACCACCGGAATAACGATTGTTCTTCAACAGACAATTTCATTGTCAAGTAATAAAGAAGAATTATTGCTAGGCATGGCATTAACCAAAGAATCACAAACAGTTTCGAATGAAGTTTAATAGATACTGTGGAATTAATAATTTCTTCATGACTATTGGAGTCTGCGATAAACTCATCGATTTCCAAAATAATATTAACCCATGATTCATTGAAATACATTTGACGGTAATCTTGGTTCTTAATCACATTCTTGTAATGACTAGCAATAAACTCCAACAAATGCTGTTTCAAATCCACGAGTTCGTATTTTTGCGCCCACTTCAGTCGATCAACGAGATTTTCAGTTGTCACAGTTTCCATCAAGTAAACCAAATATTCTTCTCGCCTTGCAATCACTTCTTCATTATCTCGAATAAATTTTAAAGCTGCCTCTTTGGTTTCTTGTAGAGGATACCTATCGCACAGATAGAGAATTCCCGTGAAATTGTCGACGGACATATGAGTTGTCATGCGTGTAATGCAAAGTCGCTCGAGATCTTGAACGTCGTATAAATGAGCCGCGGCAAATAAGTCGCAAGCTATTTCGGGCAAATACGTGCTTACATCTGCATACATGAATCGCAAAAGTTCCTCCATAACCCCAGTCCTCAGGTTTGTTATTGTTGCCACGCCAGTTTCGGCTTCTATCATGTTACTTCTGAACATCGCAGCAAAAACCGGGCTGCGCGACGCCAGAACTATCTTATGAACTTTGAAATTTTTTTCATTTGTTCTGATTACAAAGTCGCTCAGTTCTCCACTTTCCAAGTACCGTAGCATACACGAGTTCTTGGCAATTTTAATTTGGTTGCAGTCTTCCGATGTATCAATCAAGTCGAAGCAGAGTAGCATCTTGTCGTCGTATTCTCGAATTTTATCGACGACGCTCCATTGGTAGAATTGTATAGAACCTTGTATGCTTCCTTGACCTTGAAAAGCAATCAAACCAAACTCTTGCTCGTGCTCCAAGATACTGCAAACTACTCGATAATTTTTTCTCGAAGAATTTTGTTCCGCGCTGTAGATTATTTTTGACTCTGTAGGCTCGATGAAAAAAATTACATGTATACCAAGTTCCTTGCGACTGAACACTGATTCGCAAGCCAGCCTTGTTTCGCTTTTAATGCAAAGCTCAACGATAGAACGATAAACGATAACTTCTATTTCTTCTTCCATACTTTAAAATTGTAGAGGTTGAGCTACCCGTTTGAACTGCATGAGAATACAATTCTGACCGTAGACGTAAAATATGACAGCTTAATTTAAATGTTATATTATATATAACAAATATCTCTATATATAGCTGCATTACTCACTTGATGAACACACATGATTTTCTTATTTTAACTATTCTTGTATATTATTCATTTTTTAACCTAAAATTCAAACTTTCGTACTCTGGCTTGTTGTTCGAGCGTGCGCATTCCGTGTTGGCGGAATCTCATTGGAATTGATTTGAAAATTTTTGAAATTTATATTTCTTTTATATTAGACTTACAAAATAATGTTGAATAACATTGAATTAATCAATGTTCAAAAAAAATCTTGTTTCCTATTTTTCCGACAATTAAAATTAGAATACATAATAATGAAATATGTATGCAAAAAATAATAAACACACCTTCATTGAAAATAGGACTAACTGCATGTATTAACTACAGCATATTGGAAATTTGATATAACTTATTACAAATAATGCATGTATCATATTGCAATAATATTACTCCTTATAATTCTATTATTATTACCCTCTTTTAAGATTAATCTAAAACAAAAAATTATCATATTTCGATACTAGTGTGAGAAAATGATTTGAGCCTCGCGGGGACGTTTGCATCAAAATAAGGCAAAGCTGAAAAGGTTTCACGAGGGTAAAATCACTTTCTCATATTAGTAACGAAATATGCTGTTCCAAACAAACGTTCTTACCCCATGAAAACAATGAAAAAGTTATAAAATAATGCATTTCGCTAGAATTAAAAGTATAATTAAAAAAATATTTACAGAATTTCACGTCGTATAACAAAATGCTTATTTAACGATTATGAGTATAGTTATTAATTGAGCAGCGTTATTTCAGCTTACATCAACAAGATGAAAAAATATAAATTTGAATTCTAAAAATATCTAAAGCTCTCTAATACCTTACTTCGTTAAGAGTAAACAGCTTAAAAATATGTACTCCCTTGAAAATTACGTAATTTAACTGAGCTTGAGTTTGGAATGCGATGATAAAATATTGTGCGGGAGCCGAAATTGCACAACGGTATAATATGCGGTAACAACTTCCTTACGTTATAGGTAAAAAATAGACGGCACATAGGAGTGTCTAATGGCATGATCATGACATAGACGTATTCATAAAAGTCACATTAAAAAAATAGGCACGTATATAACTAAATCGGTTATATGTCTGCTATTCCGAGTGCATCTACCATAATAAAAGAGGATTAGCGTGGCAGATTTTGCAACTTGGAGCAATGACTTTTTTTCTTTTTGAGGTAACTTTAAGACACCGCTATCGCGCTGTGCAATATCACAAATCTTGTTTTATATACAGGACAAGAAAGCCTCACCAGATCATAAACGCATAGTTACAAAGACATTATAAATTACAAAAATATAAATTCTTTTTCTTCAATTCTCAAACTATTTTCATTATATGGTTCCCCATAAAAAGAACAAACTAAACTATTAAATCAACGAAATATCGAAATATTTTCTCTATTTACACCGAAACACCATTTTAATTTATCTTTAAATAAAAAAGCTATGGATATAAAATATCCTGTCATGGTAATTATCATGTATTAAAAGGAGGGATAGCTCTTATTGAAAAAAAAGTTCCAGTCATTCGCTAAAACACACGCACACACAACACGTAGGCAGCAGATGCCAAGATGTACAATAATTCACGAAGAGAAGAGATCGACTTTAGAGGACATTTTCTTGATAGCCGGTAATATGTGAATGGCGGTATATTGTCCATAACCGAGTGGTACTCTAGGATCGTTGCTGTCCCGCCGTTCTTTACTAGCAACTATTGCCTCCTCTTGCTCTTCCTGCACTATCACAACAACTCGCACTAATGACCAACATATCAGTGCTAGACCTATTATTGCTAGCAGAATTACTATAATCTGTTGGATTATCGGAGCAACGTTTATACTAAACTTCATTAGGAACAGGATATCGTCTGGTAAGCCGGGGATTACCTAAAAATTCATCGATCTTCTTTATAATCTTTCTTCTATCAGTATTTATCTACACACCGGCGAACGATGCACTTGACTAATCTTGCCTCTCATCAAGTTTAATCTTAGATTTCAATCATTCAATAATCGCGTACTAAACGTTGCTTTCATCGTTTTCATAAACAGCTACTATATAAATGCAATGTTTAACATAACATGAACCAACAAGTATTAAGATCGATAGAGGAGAGAGAAAATTCGTCAAGTTCCATAATTACACCTTTAGGAAATTTCACTAAAATAGAAAAAAAACAAAAGAAGTTTCACTTACGACATCGGTCCAGAAGAGTGGCACCGTCATATTATTGAAGTGTTTAATTTTTGCGTTGTAACGCGTCTCTCCCATCACGAGATTCGTTTGCATCCTCGAACGCACGTAGATTGGGATTCCGATGTCCTACAAATTGATAAAGCTTAGTAGTAGTATAAAATCGAGCAGTCGCGTTGTATCGTAATATGGTTACGCAAATCAGGTTTATGTTTTTAAATTGAATTCGATTAGCCGAGTTGAATAGAAGAGATCAACGTCAATTGAATCAAGTGCCTTTTTTCTCCATCTCTCGTGGCAATAATGTTTGTCACTTTTATCTATAGTCGTGGTTATAAATGTGCAAAGACGTGCGATTCTGTTTAGACGTTAATTTATCGATCAATTAAGTTAATTAAAACAAGATGCAGCCTCTTACCGGTTGTAGAATAATTTCTGTCCTGTGCTTTTCCGGATCGGGTTTAAGGCCCTCGATACCATTACTCAGTGATGGATCGCCGTTCAAAAAATGAGGTAGCGATGCTGCGGCCGGAATATCTATAGAAAGATATTTGGAAAATTATCATTAATTAACGTAAACACCTTTATTGATTAATTTGGTGACATAATAAAAAAAATAATGTACGAAAAAATTGATAAAAACATAGTATGCTGAAAACCAAATGATAGCGCGAATTCAGATATTTCGAGCCGAAATGCATCTGATATATTTGAGAGCGCGCGTTCATTTCAGTCTGATTCTCGTAAGTGACAAAAATCAATTTCGCAACACTCCCTCTTTTCGTACGATACGTGCTGTACAAATTCAGGTCAATCAAATGTTTTATTTTCGCGCATAAAGATATAATTTTTTTCAGCGACAATCGAATACGTTAATTTTAGCAACAACAACAAACATTTAACATCTACGATATTTATATTACTCGCTGTAAAAGATATTAAGAATCAATTTCACAAAATCAAAAAATCATTAAAGCACATCTGAATCATCAAATGTTTTTCTAAGCGATAAAGAGATATACAACGAAAAGATAGATTAACTATAGCAGTGTAAAGGAACACTCACTAAAATAGCAGGGTGTCATATCGAGCAGACCCTTCTTCATGCACTCGCCATGCCGGCAATAGCATTCATTATCGGGATTCGTGTCGGGTCGGTCGGCGAAGTTGTCCGGTAACGTGTACTCGTAACCAGACAAACCGAATTTCGTTGTCTCTTTCACGAAATTAATTGGCAGCGGGCGACAAAATGCTTTGCGATAAATACGAAACTGTGCCCTCTTGTCCATATGAGTTGGAAACACTGTTCCTTCGTACACGCCACGCAGCATATTGCACTTTCTGTTTCTAAACGAATAAATAATTAATTCACTTGTGAAAAGAAGGTAAATATAGCATTTTACGAAAATCATTAGAATTTTTTTAAAGTTCATGTAAAAAAATTATTTTATTATAGATACAAAAAATAACATTTATTTTGAAATAAATGTAAAATAGATAGCTTACGCTGGATTCGTCTTATTATGCGCTTCGCTAATATATCCCCACTGTTCCATACCAGGATTACCATTGATAGAATCAACACTTAAATATCGACCGGTCTCAGTGACTAAATCACCATTCGGCTCCGAAATCATGTTGAAGACATTCGCGCCTTCGTCATACATCTGCAAAAAAACAAAAAAAATTATTAAACGTATACGCAACATTTACTTTATCTGCACGCACGAGATAAATTATCATGCATCGATTTAAAGTCAGTTCACGCATCAGAACGCATATTTGTACGATTGATAATGGGCTTATCGTTTTCCGGTTTTTCCATCCAATCATATTCTTGATAAAGATTGACTTTTTTTTTTTAATCACGTGCGACGTATCAGAAATCAAGGCGTAGCAGATTTTTTTCTCCACGTCAATTGGAATACCGCGATTAGGCATTTCGTAATGTTCTTCGGTATCGTTAGAAGAAAAAATTGAAATTGATTATTCTTCTTAAATATAGAGATAAAAAAACACCTCATCTCGTACGTTTATTTATTTTGTTTTTCATTCCGCGCAGTTAAGTTCAAACACGTCGATCGGTGAAAGGATCTCACACTCTTACATGTGCGTGTGTGTATAAAAGCTCATAAATTCCGAATTGAAAGTTTGCCTTGAAATTGTACGTAGAACTCGCAGCAATGTACTCGATGTACATACATTGTCCGACATAATCAAGCAGAAAAGAATTGCAAAATGTACTTTCTGACGTCGCGATGCATTTTATATATATTCAAAAAGTCAGCACGTTTGAATCAATTTTTCTCTTTGAAGTTAATTATTCTACGTTATATGAATAAAGAAAAAAGCTATTTGTTTGAATGAGTCAATTTACCCTGTCTAGAAGGCCAAACTTGGAGAAATGGATATAGCTAGGAACGACAGTGCTGGCCAATCTGACTAGAGAATCATCATAACCCCAGAAGTAGTTTTGAGCAGTAATGTGTAATATCGGTTGACTGTCTAAATAATTTGCCAATTGGACGAATGGAAAATTGACTAGGAATCCAGCATTTTTTAAGGCTGACGAGACACCCTGAAATATTGTTAATTATAAAGTTGATCATTGTTCACATTTAAATAGATAATTTCTTTTAATTTTTTTTATTATACTCGACGTTTTATTAAACTCGACAAGCTTTTCGTCAATAAATAAATTCACTTGAATGAATTTATTTATTGACGAAAAGCTTGTCGAGTTTTATAAAATGTAATTTTAAGAAATGTATTTGGTTAGTAGAATTTTAATTTTGTGATTTTGTATCGACCATATTTATAATTAATATTGATTATGTATATTATGAATTAATAAAGATCTGAGGAGGTTGGTGACCATGCCAACGAAACGTTATCGAGAAGAGATGTGGTTTTAATTGTTGGCCTTTTTACCAGCCAATACGAAGGGTTGACTCTTCCAATCTTGGATCTAACTAATAACAAAACATGAAGAGTGCAATAAATAATTCTTTTAATTTTTGTTTTCACTACAGAGGTTTTAAAAAATTTATTCAATCAGATCACTATCTCAAAAAATGCATAAGAAAGATATAACTACTGGTACATCAATTCATGAATGGGTAATAAAAAATCTATATGTATTTTTTAATGCTATATTAATAAAAAAAAAAATGCGTAATAAAAATTTATTAAACGCAATTCACGAAACGTTAGCGATATATTATATATTATAATTTGGTAACAGGACTTTTTTCATAAAAAAAAAAGACTTAAAAATGCCAGCTTTATTTGGAACAAGTGATACATACAAAAAGATCGCAGTTTTTCTTATATCCGAGTAATTAATCATTATAAATAGACATGCCTGTGTGTTTTATATAATGGATCATCAGTTTATCTAACTTTTTTACTTCTTCGTAGAAAAAGATTAATATACGTTTATTGTAGATTAACCAATTATTCAAAATCAATTTTCGTTGATCGATCAAACCGATAATTTTAATGTGACTTTAGAAATAATTATCGTATATAAATTCACTGGCCATGGTATTGAAAATGTTGTACTTAGCAGAAAGACTTCACTTGCGGTGTAAAAGATTCAAATTCCTTGTACTGACTTATTATGTAACGATACATCGTATGATATTAAATTTACATATGAAAACCTAATGTGTTTTTTAATCGAATCATTCTTTATTTGGATCGTGCCTTTTTATAATATCCTTTAATCAAACATTGATATTCGATTCGCTCAGTGACAGCTAATGGGCTCGTTTAACTTGCGAAATATAATAGATTCGTCAAGGAAAAAGACATACGTCAGCCCGCCTCAATATTTTAGACGAATCACAAATTAAGAAGCCGTAATAGAATTTTTTCACCAACGGCGAAGTCAATGTACGAAGCAACTGATATTGAATGTATGTTTTATCGAAGCGTCATAGAAAGTAAAAAAATCACTAAAAAAACACGTAGCTTTACCTCTTGTATAGATTTGAATATCCAAGGAAGAACACGTTATAGATAGAGCATATTTTATGCATGAGAGAAATATAAAATGTATTAGACCACTTTTTTTATTCGTTTACAAAACTGCCATTACATAACGTTTCTTATGTGATTAGATTGTAGCAAAATGAATAATGATCAATGACAGTGTAAATTAATTTGCCGTTATCCACTTCCAAGTGTTATGAAAAAAAATACATGATGTAAAATATTTTCACTTCCGAATTCAAATTTCAAAATGAATAAGCACTGCTCTGTGTTGCTTTGGAAATCGCAATCGTTAATTTATACGACTTCCTTTTTCGTACTAATATACGAAATATGCATGCATTTCCCGTTTTTCGGAGAAATAAACATTCTGAAAAATTGGAATTTCCTAATCAATCTGGTTCTTATCTATAAATTGAATATAACTTTGTGCAACTAGTTTCAACTAAAATTATAAATTGTATTTAATGGATTCTAATTTTATTTGGTTAAAGTTATTAAAAATCCATCTTTTGTCACAAAAAATCATTGTCACTGAAACATTGCTTTACAGAACGATTCAAATATTGATAAGTCAGAACATTGTCATATGCATAATTTATAAAAAATAGTGAATGTTATTCGAATACTCAAATTAAACTTGTCGTGCTTACCAGAAGGGGTAGATTTGGCACACTCACGTAATCCTGATTAGGATCACCTGCTGACAAATCTCGCCTGAAGATCACCGTTCGTCTTGGAATATACGACAGTGTCCCATTCTCGTTCCACGTTACATTTGTATTTTCCAATATTTCTCTGCAACAATACAATTTCACACCGTAAAATCTCAACTCTCAATCAAAATTGACACAAAAAAAAATGTTCTTTCAAAATCTATTAATCGGATTTCAAAAACGAAACTTACTGGTAAACGTAAGGTCCAACTTCTTTGAGTTTCAATTTCTCAGCTCCGCTGAGGAAAACTTCGGCGTTGGTGATATTAAAAACATAGACATTGATTAATACATCGATTGGCGGCTTCTTCCATAGCGCGAATGTATAAGAGTTAGGCGTCATTTTTACTTCCTGAAAAGAAAAATAGATTTAATCCAAAAATAAAGTTTCTGTCATGAAGCGGTCAAGTGTAAGCGATATACAACTTGTATTACAAATTCTACATTTTGAATACGTTAGTAGGAAAATTGGTATTTCATTTTCGCTCAATTGAATTTTCTTAGCGATAGCTCATACTCGCAATTTTATAGTAAGTCACTAAACTAATCATTCTTTGAATTCAAACGGGTGGATATTTAATGTTAATGTCGACTTAAATTAAAGATCAAAATTATAATATCCGTTCTAAAAAAGTTATGCCAATAACACTCACATGTTCCATAATTCTCTTTACAGGATCAACCATGTGAACAATAAAAGCCAATGTAGTGCAGACGATGCCGATGACGAACATCATAATGCATTCTATAACAAATAAAAATTGCAACATCTAAATTCTCAATGAGGTAGTATATTATTTAGAAAGTGGCGATCGCATATACACTGTTTACAAATGGAAATGCTGATAGCAAATTATTTTGAAAAACATTAGTGTATAAAAGTGTTTGACGAATGCGACAACATCAACAACAAACCATCTGGTCCGTTAAAAGAAATTTCTTATCTCAGATAAGCTTCTGGGAAATTCATAAACCGAACAAAGTACAGCTTTCTCGAATCAAAAAGAACTCTGTTACAAAAAAAGCAGTGATTCACAAGCGACATATTCCAAACTTACGGAGAAACGATCACGTTATACACGCACAACAGATGGGAGGTCTCTACACCCATAATAACCTAGTTCTATACGTTTTCTCTATTTTATTTTCTTTCGCCGTTGCAATCAGCAAGCCTTTATTATGCAAGCGAGCGACTGTCTGCCGTGCAATTATATGCGTATTTTCCATCAAATATTCATGATCGTGAAGAAATTTTTCAATTGCCATGTATTTTTTTATAACTCTCTTTTGGTAATTACTTACTAAGGACGCTTTTTTTCATTATAGATTGACTGGTATCCCACGTTTAGAGTAAATAAGAATCGAACTGCAGCTGCATACCGACAGATCGAAAACGCGACATCGACGTTTACGATATATTATATCGAGGTATACATTTTTAATCTAGTTTACTGCATTTTGACTAATGTTAAAATGTTACTCTCTTCACTTACGCGGTTACAACCACCATTAATGTTGCGTTTGTGTACTGGCTTCAAGTATTTGTTGAAGTTGCAGTCAAAATTTGCATTGTATGCATAATAAACAAATGTTTTCACGAATCAATTCCAAAACAGGTTTAACAAGATTGAACGTCAATTACCATCATTGACAATCTTTTCAAAAATGCGAGCAGAAAAGAAAAAGAGATGATTTGTAGTCATAACAGTCGCATCGTGTGGAAATAAATACTGAATACGATTATCATGCCACTAAGCTTGAACACGCAAAATTAGAAAATGATAAAGTGGCGTGATCACGGGATCACCAAACTAGATAATTTCATGGCTCCGCCCGAATCATCGTGACTAGACATAACGGTGCACTCGAAGTAATCCTCCCGTACAACCAAATTATCATTAGAAATATCGCGTCTATACAGGTTTCGTATGTCGATCGTTGAGGACACCTTGAACTTCAATCGCATCATATCAGGAAATACGACCTACGTCATAAACGCAACAACATTGCATATAACGATCAGGACGTGTATCCGTAAAAGTTATCGGAACCAGCTCACCTTGACTTACTTATGTGAATTTATGTTATGCGTAAATTGGTGAAAGACACGTTCCAGCCCGCGTGGATGTTCCTGCGACATGGAAACGATCATCGATTATATATCAAGTTCGCATGCTATACGATTCAGAACAATTTCATTTCCACTAAATATTCACATGACCAAGCTACATCTTCACTTTTTTCTATCTAATATGAATTTATAAAGCTGCTATTTGACGTCAATCAATCAAACTGATTTGATTTGTGTGAAATCGATAATTTTATGCGCAACATATATAAAGTTGGTTGCAACGTCGTAATATTTTTTTTGTGCCATCGAAAACTACGTGTGTCGTCGACGATTAACGTACGCCGCATCGGCTGCACGTTACAACATAGTCTTTTTTTGCCACTGTCTTTTAATGTACGTTACAAAATCATTAAAAATAATTGATCGCACATATCAAGCTCTTGACGTTAAAAAATGTATGCAACGAAAGTGCAATTTCACAAACATTAGCTTGTAATTTTTGGGTATCCCCAAGATATATTTTCAAATACAGCTTTCATCTGCACTTTATTTTTTTACTTTATGCCATGGGATTTCCAACAATAGTTTTCCATTAAGCGAAACGTTACAGAATTTTTCTATACTCAATATCCCCAAACGCTTATAATTTGTCGATCACACCTGGCATAAATGACTGTTGTATCTGCAAGTCATTACAGTAAAACGCATAAGAAATCTTTGGCGATTTCCAAGGTTAGAAAAATCCAAGTTTTTTCATTAATTTTTTGATCTCTAATTTTTTTCAGGTAGTGTAATGGACAAAAATCATTTGAAACCCCGTTTTTTTATAACTCTATCGAAGAGAGTAAATTAGTCAGTGGAGACAATAAAAGCTAAAGATTTCTAAATGCGCTATCATCAAACATATTACGTGGCTGCGGCATTAAATAATTTTTACACCGATTTTGTCGTAATCATAAAAATTTATGACTGTTTCAGTTTCATCAATTATTGAACTCAGCGGGATACTTTTGATACGTTATATAATGTAAATTTATTAGCAATTCATATGTTGAGAAAAGTAATACTGTACAGCTATAAACACATATGCGTAGACGTTCATATTTTTTTACTTTTTTTCTTAAGGCTTTCAAACGATTACATCAAAGTAGTAGACAAATGTTTTTGCGGGTATATATATACGATTATTGCAGTGATTGAGAGCATTGAACTATAACCTAAAATACTTTAATTTTTACACTAGTTTTTATCGATTGTTAATAGTTTTATATTAAATAATAATTTTTTAATGAAACCTATCTAATAATTTCTACGTAGTTCAAAATACGCATCTCAATCATTAATAGAGTCGTTAATGTCATTTTGTTTGCCAGCTATAATGTTTAGATTACACAAATTAAAGAGCTATGACTAAAAATTGCTTATAATTCATAGATTCCTAAGTTAGTAAGTAATGAGATATGTTGAATAACACTTTATTGATTCGTGAAAAAAGCATCTGCAAAGTTGTTGAACTCCATGAAAAAGAAAAAGATCGTTAATGAAGTTGCACTGCAACATTATTGATCTTGATTCAAGCTATTGGAATGTCTTGTTTTTTTCCGGTAGTTCTCACACCAACCATGTCACTATAATTCATCTATGTTAACCAATAACGATTATGCTATACGAAAAATTGGCCGTTTTCAAAATAATTTATGATTTTCTGTCAAAATATCGTTTATACTACTTACTTCTATATTGCTGAAGCTTTATTAAGGATTTCATGGTGTTTGAGTGTTTCCTTCTTTAGTGAGATATTATCTGAAACAAATAAAATTCCTATTATTAAAGCTAGCACGTAATCAAATGAAATAATCTATAATTTATAATGCTTGTACCCGGGGTCATAATTATGAATTCAAGCGTGATAAATGCACAATTGGCGCAACAACTAGATTTTGATAATTTACAAGAGCTACAATTTGACCGATTATACGAATCAATTGCTTTTTCATTCGCTGATCTCAAAATTATCTGTTAATTTTTCAATATTCAGCTTTTAATCAGTTTGTCTTAAAAGTCATTAGCTTGGATATGGAAAAAAACTAAAACATTCAAATCTTTGATATACTTTGTGATTTTCGTATAATGGAGAAAATCGAATACGTTCAATTTATTTATTCGATTTGCCTATTAATAAAAAGATTATTTAGATCATACTGTATATCATGTAACACAATATATAATTTTAGATCTGATGTTTTATGTAAATTTTAGTTGATCTGTCATTGAACTTCCATATAAATATCAATGAAATTACTCACGCCTTATTTTTACTGGAAAATAATACTATTTTTAAATAGTTAAGATAATGTGTTTTGCTATCTTTGTCAAGCGTGCGTTAATAGTAAAATATGAATTACGAACAATTTCATCATAAAGTTAGACTCATTAGAAAACTATATAATTTTTAAACTAAACTTTATACCAAAATGAATATTGTCGAGAGCTGATAGGATTATTCATCTTTTATATTTTTCCTGATCTAGACTGATGGGTCAAGAAAGATAATAAGTCAAAGACAATAAATATATACGTAATTTAGTCCTAAGTACGAAAATTAATAGAATAATCCATTTCTAAATTAGAATTTATTGAAAATCTACGAGTGAATTTCGTTATCAAATTAATTAGAAATTAATCGTACAATTTTAATAAATCAGCTTATTTTATTAAAAATCAGTTATAATTCAATTGAATGTTGAAAGTCGTATCCGAAAAAAACCTTAATCTAGCAAGACTTTTACAATCACTATTCAATTACAGGAACCATGGTATGAAATCGCGAAGTGAATTATGGCGTGGAATACAAATGTCCGGAAAATAGCAAAAAATTGTTCAATTAGAAATTTTTATTCATTTTTTACAGTTTTAGATGTAAGTGAACTTTGTTATGTACAAGTGTTTGTCGAACTACTTAATGCGTTTTAAAAAATTAAAAACATTTCTTTTGGAAAAACAAATTTGTAGTGAAACGACTATAGAATACACAGGAAACTGTATGAGATACTTGAAGTAAATGTTTTACGAAAACAAATTGACTGACATCATGCCATCGTTGACCTTTCGGGTAACGTTAGGAAATACATGACCAGTAAACTTGTTAATCGGCAGAAGACTGTGATTGTCGCTCGCTAATCTTTATATACAAGTTTTGCACAATTAGCATACAATGATTATTTATTGCATTATAAAAAAATGTGAACCGTCAACTTGTACACGTAAGTTCAAGGTTGTCATTATAAAAAGTAAGATTTTCTTTTCTCGATGTCTCGGGCATGTAGTAAGTAAAGACATTAATGGTTGATAAATGTGTTTCACTTTTCTTCGATATCTTGTCGCACCGAGGTGGCTTCTAGAAACATCTGCCTGTATGACAAACCATTAGGGACAGGAATAAGCTCTACTGTTTTTGCAATATGAACAAAATTATAATATGGATTTTTTCAAATATTCGTATTCAAGTATGCAATCTTATTGATAATCAGATTATTGCACATTTTCTATTTAACTTTTTGTATTTTCATAATAAGATAAAGTTTGGCTATCACAATAATCTTACCCTCGGTCGCGAAATAAATATATCACAGAACGTTGTGAAGCATTCTAACATGGAAACAGAATTTTTGTTGTAAACGTTTTGCTAAAATCAAAAACATTACCTTACAAACAATATAGAGCAGGCATTATTCCGTAATGGTACACATTTAACGAAAAGTGATCTTAATTTAGTTTACATGCTGTTTCAGTTGCTCAACATCTATATTGAAAAATCTGAGAAAAGTCGCCGAAAACAACGTGCCAGACAATTCGCGCGTAATCTCAAATGGTGTCAGTAAACCAGACCAGCGTGAGCCGATACGTCTCGAAAGTGCAATGCAAATTGTAACCGTAAAATAAAAGCGCGAGTCGTCGCCCCGGAGCTGTGGTGACAAGCGTGCATAACAATAAATATACAGGTGCAGGTAGGGCGCGTGGCCACGGCGGGGGATTCTTGAAAAAATTACATAAGTAATTACACGACACTCGGGGATAGCGTCTTATGCAAGTATTGCCAAAGAGACGCTGGTTATGCGAGCGATACTTATAATACCGGCACGCACGCGCATGCAGCTTCAAATGGCTCTTTCACCGAAAAGAACGAACGGCCACAAACAGCTGCGAGAGACTTATGCCACGCGCATCAGATAATAACACGCGCACTCACTCGCCAGGTCACAGATGAGCTTTACTGATGACTTTGAAAATGCGTCACGTCGTCACCGGCTAATCCGCTTGTACAAAACGTATTCGCGTGTGAATTCGCTTTTTTTATATGTGCCGATTCATCAGTTGGATTACTAATGTATTGAACAGTGAAAGTCCATTCTACTTGTCGTCCACGGGAGAGGCAGCAGATGGAAATAGAGTCAACTTGGGTTCTGCTTAATCAAATTGATCTTACAGATTTACGGAAATGTAATTTACTTATAGCTTGCCAATGTGTACGACTTGAGTCATAAGTTAAACTATTTTAAGACGACATTACAAAATTAGATGTTATTTTAATTTTTCTTTAGTTAAATAAAATTCACTTAAGGATTTCTTATTTAGCAGTTTTGAAATAATAGCTATACGTATGACATTACAAAAAATGATTGTTTATTTTTATATTTTACTTTGCGATAAGTATAGCGATTCAAACAGATATAAAGTTAAAAATTTTCCACATTTATGTACATGCATCATTATTATTGCCAAATTATCAGTCACGTTTAGCGTCACTTAACAGCATAAGACTATACAATTGTTCTTATTGATGTCTGCATAAAAAGAAAGAAAAACTTGAAATAAAATCCGTCTGACGTGACGTAGATGACATTGATGAATGAATGCTTTCCGGCTTGGAATTCAATATAAATAAATTCATTATCACTTTTTTGACGTTTGATCGTATAGCTACGTAAATACTTTAATCAGTGAAAAAGTGAATGACAATATTCTTAGCTTCAATTGTAGCTTGACATTTGATGAATCTGTCGAAATCCGTCTGGTCGGATAAACGAACTTTGCAGTAAAGTTTACGTCTGATAATGACAATAAAATGCATATTTGTGTCGTCTTATCCCGAAAATTATTCACGCTACTACATATCGCACAATGATAATTGCGGATTAGTCATCTAGCGCGTAATGTGAATATGTGCACATCAACGACAAAGAAGCAAAAGGTATTCAGTAAGATGCAACATTTTCCCGTGCAAGGTCCGCCGTAATACCGCAGTTCGTTTTTCATTCTTAACGTGGCCTCATCAACTCATCAAACGCGAGAGAAACCCGTGCGCGCATCCCGCAACAATTCACCTTCGCATTGCACGTTGCACTCGTAACTACCGAGCAAACGTTCAACAAAAGGCCTTTTATACGAACAGGGAGAACTTGTGACTGTATCCGCAAAGTTTTGTGTGAATATTCGATGGCAGCACGCGATTCAGTTGGCTCTCTCTCTCTCTCTTTCTCTCTCTCTCTCTCTCCCCCAAACGATTTATACAAACATTACAAGGAGTTCAAATAACAGTGTCACGATGTGCTACGACTCCGTAAGATTATAAGCAATAATGAACCGGATCGCTCGTTTTTCTATCTTCTGCATAATAATTCGCCGAGCGCAATCTTCCTAGAAAAAGAAGATATTCCACGTTTTGAAATCAACTGGTTTCGCCGGAAAAAACGTAAAGATTTCAAGATTCAGGTCGACAGCCATTAGGTACATGCGCATACTTGGTTTAATTTAATGTTAATGGATTTATTTTGTACTCAATGGAATGGCGTTTTTTCTTCATATATGACTTAAGAATCTTAATGCGCGCAAGGGTTAACATTCATAGCGTAGCTGCTGCGTAAGTGCAGAGTGATCTCTCAATGAATTTATTGAACAAGTGGACGTTTACGGCCGAACAAATCACATCAGTTGATCTTGAAATCGTCTTGTACATGTCGTATTTACGAAAAACAAAACGACGCTTTCAACGTGAAACGGAACCGATTTTACAATTATAGCGCATTCAATAAGAAACTGTGATGACAAATCACTGAAACAAACTAACCTGCGTTAGAATGCTCTGTTGGCTCTTGCGAGCCAACCCTCTTTGCCAATGTCAGTCCTATGCAGCGAAATCTCTCGAAGATACAGACACTTTCCCAGTCTAGTCCAGTCGCGTCTTAACACTGCACTTGTATATTATTCACTCGAGAGAAGATTCTCAGTCCCAGGTCAAGTTTACGAATGTCAATGTCGAGACAGTCGATAATCGTTGCACGACAAGATTTTCGTCGAGAAGAAATGAAAAGTCAACAACAGCGCTAACACTTGTACGATATCACACTGAAATGCCGCACGGCAGGGTCCAGCGTTTTAGGCTAAGTGTCTGAGAGTCGGCAAAGAGACGATCTCGGACACTATATATCGAACTCCTTCCCTAACCACTTTTGCCGCAGTCGCTCTCTCGACTCCCTCTCTCGTTTGGAACGCGCGCTGTCTTCTCTCTCTCTCTCTCTCTCGCTCTCTCTCTCTCTCTCTCTCTCTCTCTCTCTCTCTCTCTCTCTCTCTCTCTCTGTCGCGGCAAATTTTGTTTTGACGCCCCGCGCGCACTGATTATTATTCCCTCGTCCTCTGTCCATTTTTTGAGCATATTGCGCGCCTATCGCTGTGAAAGATTGTACGGTATTTGATTTGTCCATTTGAATAATTAAACCCCAAGTTTTTTTTTTTTTTCAAATGAATTCACAGACGTTTTAGCAACATGAATTTTCGCAGGCGCCTAATTACTTGCGCTCAGGCTGTTGTTTGCCGATTTGCAATTGACACTTCAATAATGTCGATTTGTTACAAATATCGATGTTGATACTTGGGCGTTGTAGTATCAAAATATTTTATAGAGACTGATCGGAGTTTGAGATTGCTCAAATATCTACGTCAGATGTATAATTTTTTTGTCGTCGCCTCTTTACTTACAATTGTCGAATAAACACACGCCGTTAAGCGTAACTCACAGTAGTTATCGAGGTAGCTCTATGTTAATTATGCATAGATTTAAAAATAGTATTCGAAATGATAATTATTTTATAAAAGAAGAATAACGATGAAAATAAAACAAAAAATCCACAAGTCTTTATTTTGCACGTGAAGTGTCATTTTATAAGAGGTAAATATTGAATGACACTGGAAGAAAATACGCTTTGGAAATTATATCGCGTGCAAGTTGACTTACAAAACGAGAAATCTTGTTCGTCTGGGAAAACCGAAAAAGTTTCCGAGGAATTGCCAGGAATTTCTGAAAGTATTGCGCGATATCCACTGTATCATACAGTGTAAAGACATTATCAGACCACTTCACTCCAAGACGAGTTTTATTCCGTCGATGCGTACATCTCCGACGTGTAATCTGGACTCGCGATCGAAGAAAAAATCTCGATGGTCTACGACGTCTAATCATCACGTCGATGGTTATGTCTATCGATATGTCTTTCTTAAATAATAAAAGTGCGTATGTACATATATACAAGTACAAGCTGCAAATCTTACGTGATCCGTCAATAGTATTAACCTGTACAATATATTTTGCAATCATAAAAAAATATAACGTCACCGTACATTATCTACATGGAAGTAGATTAGAAAGTCGAGCGCTCGCTACAAGTTGAAAAATGCACACAAAGATTAATTTTACTAAACGCAAACATGATTAGACATCACGTGACAATGATAATTGTATGCATAATATTTAATATTTTTATAGTTACTATTATTATCCAACTGAATAATACGTTGTCACATTAATAGTATTTATATAATATTTTATTTAATCAATATGTCAGGCATTATGTATGAAAAATATTTTGGCGCGGGTGTGTATTATATTTAAAAAATGAGCGAATATATTACTGCTAATTATTAGTGCTTAATTCTATCAACTTGGAAAAATTAAGAATTTTTTTAGTGGAAATTTTGACTACGATTTTATGAAAAAATGTTGCAAACCTCTTACTTGTAATCAAGAATACCGGAAATTTGACATTTGTGGGGCAATAAAATTAGATGCAGTAATCTTGTCTCGAGAAGATGCCACCAAATCAATTCTGGAGTGTTCTTACCGTCACTGATAATATGATTATCATTTATATTTGTGAACTTGACTATATGTTTTTATTATAAATTTACTTAAATAACAAACTGTTGACTCCGTGAAATTCCTGTAAATACATATAAATGTAATAAAAATCAAAATTTACAGCCTAAACACTTTGATAATAATCCAAATGATAATAAAAATGTCAACAGGGGAATTACGTAAATCCCTTGACTATGTATCTTTCGCATAAAAGACTTGGTTATTTTATTCGTGCCCCTGACAAGTATAAAAACATTACTTGATAATTGATCAATTTATAATCTAACAAATCTTCCATTTCCAATGAAAAATAAGTTTGTAGCCCTGGTCCTTCATGAGCAGTCAGTTCAACGAGCAGTCTGGTCGTAAGATTGACCGAAACGGCCGCGACAAGGTCGACCGACCGTTCTCTCGTCAGAGATAAGCCTGCTCGCGTTATGGTATACACTTGATGAACGCGGAAAATCGCGTTGCGCAAGTGCACACAAGAGAAATAAATAAAAAGTATCGACACAACTTATGCGCGGCGGGAAAGTGTGTGCGCACGTGCAGACGATTACGGCAGCAATGGTGGGGAGCCGCTTGTGAATGGACGTTGTGCGTGATTAGGATTTCTTCGTAATATATCGTGTACCACGAAAATGAGTTTCAGAAGATCTTTGGAGATGTGGATTTTCATTATTAATTTTTTATTCCGTTAGCTTGTCGAGCTGGATCATAGATACACTGGGACACTTTAAAATTTTTCTCTTTTCAGAATTCAACAAGAACCGAGGCATTCGTCATGGTGTGGGCCTTGAATGTGTCATTGACTTTTTCTTCTCCGTAACTCGAATCTTTATTATTCAAACACTTGCGTGAATGTTGGCCTGATTTTCAGCAGAGATTCGATGAAAAAATAAAGCATTAAACACCAAAGAATTATTTATTGATAAACAAGGCAAAAATTTATATCGACAATAAAACATTACAAATGCAACTTTTTACTAGATAAACGATTAAAAAAATTTTGATAAAATTATCGCTCTTGACGATCAACGTCTACCAAAGAATGATTAATTATTAAAAATTATATATAGTCGACCGGTCAAGGTTTGCGTGATGAACATCGAGATTGACAAACGCGCCATATTGCCTTGGCAGTACCCTTGGTACAATTTTTGTTTAACCCCTTTGAGATCTGTATCCATGCAGCATTGCATGTCAACAGTGATTTGGTTAAGGATTGATAATTTGCATTTAATTACAAGATGAATGTGTTTGAACATTCACTGAAAACATACACGTTTGTGGTTGGCGGTTGCAAATCGTTTTGGACATACATGGTTTTTAACGAGCATTTCATTGATGGTAAGTGTTCTATTTTCTCGTTAATTTAGAGCGAATTATTACAGCTCAAAGTACAAATAATATTCAATAACAAACGTAAGGAACATAGTTGAAAAAAGCTTTATATGTGCTGTGATATATGTTTCATATAATTTATACAAAATTGTAAAGGCTTCTATGAATGATACTGAAAATAATGATAACTCTTGTTAATAACACCTCAAGTAAATATAGGTAGTTGCACATTACGGTATTTCATGCCAGAGGGTAGGTATCTTTTTTAATGCAAAAGACTGGTATACACCTCGGAACACAATATATATACTTACCTTATCGATGGGGTATATACAATCATAGATATACTCCGCTTTGTTTCGATAAATAAGCATTATTGAATTAATGTCCAATTTTCAAATGTAAATTTTTCCACAATCGATTATTAAAACCAATGCCTCTCTTTCAAAGAAATATTAGTTTTTGAAAGGCTACACAATAACATATAAAAAATATTGAAATTCACTTGCAGAATTTTTCGATGCAGTGGAACCGATGTAGAAGCATATCTTATACGCCAAATTTCCATGAGTCTCGGTAGGTACATCGTCAATGACAAGTAACGGCAGTTGAATTCATCGCGATAAAGGCAGAGTGAAAAGATTGATATCATTGAAATGTGATACATTCAACATGAGTTTGTTTTTCAAAGCATAAATAGTATGTTGCGCACCTATACAGAGGAACCAAGTAGTAGCAAGCGAGTAAACCAACTTTCAGATAAAAAAGGTTTGCAGTGAGTGTCGCCAACGAAGTCTTCTCAAAATAGTTTGCTGCGTAGTATTTGTCTATGATGTGAGCTGAAAAACGCCGCGAGGATGTAATTATGTGATCAGAAATGAAAAACTCTAGAAGTATTATTTCTTTCGGCATTTCAAACTTTTCGAGTAAACTTGACAACGCGCGTCTGATTAATATTTATTTGATTAGCATTTAAAATGACTATAACTTATAGAAAAAATTCGCAGTGATAAAGACTCTCGAAAAGATCTCGCTATATTTATTCAACAATATAAATTTTTCATTTGACACACAAGTACGCAACTTAATAGATATATAGGCTGTCACAATCATTTATACTCAAGTGAGATTCATTTTACAAAAAAAAATTACTTGCTACACTAAAACTACACATAGTATAATAGTATTCCGTCGTATGTGAGAAAAGCAAAGAACATCCAAATTTTTTCAAAGTAAATTAAATTTTCTAATTGAAAAAAAGACTTTCAAATCTTCATAGAACCATTTTATGATTTCATATTTGCCAGATAATAGTTCACTCATTCAATTGTTTTTCACGTTAAACCAACGCAGCTCTTTAGTAAATCATGATTGTTAAATGATAGTATTGACGTGACATAGCCCATTATTTTATTTAATATTATTTAAAAATCAACAGAAGATGCTATACTTATGAGCTTTTAAATAAAGATTTTATTCTACCTTACTACAGCTAAAAACCGAAGCAAAATCACGTAAGGATTTTCATATTGAAATATTCACATTTCGCAGGCAAAAAATTCCTGTCATCGTACACACGTTACTTTTTTATATCACACAAAGATTGCTTACATCTAATCGATAACTATATATCTTGAAAGACACATATAAATCAACATTCTTCACAAGATGTCTCAACCACATGTATGATTTCGTCTTGAAATCGCGCACTAAAAAATTTGGTAAAAAAATCAAATTATGACTGTAATAGATTGGACATTCTATCGAAAATGCCATATGTGCGCTGATATAGAGTGCACATTATGAACTGCAATGCGCGACATTTACGCACGAGCGTATAGCTGGAAAGGAAAAGTGGAAAAGAGTCCCGATGGTTTTACGGCTGCGTACACAGGAGCATTTCATTACCTCACGCCTGATGCACGCATAACGCGGCAGGTTTGTTTGCCGATTATGTCAATGGGTCATTTCCCATAGATACTTCGTGTCTAACATTTATACGCGATTCCGTTTAATCCCCCTTTACGAGCAATTTTCAATTAACGCCTTCAGCCAAATCAAATAAATCTCCTTTCTTTTCTTTACATTTTATCGAGCATCTTTCACTTGCTATATACGGAGTGAAATAATTTAATGAGTGTATCATATCAACACTAACCAAAACAAAAACGAGATGCCTGTGCGAGAAAAAATAAATGACATATATGGCATTGGCATTGACATTTTTTTCGAGAAAAGTGGCTGTTCATACCCGAATTTTCCGATTTTTGATTTTTCAAGGGTACCCTAGTATAGCCCTTGTATAGCAGGCCAATATTCAGAGGAGCTGCACCGATAGACTTCTTTTCGATTAACAACTCCTTCACTGAGAAATTCAATCACAATCCCAATCCAATCATGAAATTTTAACAAAAATGGGTTGGGTTATTGGGTTATCCAAAAATTGACGAAAAAGTGAAAAATCTTGAAATTTCGTTAAATTGGCCAAAAATGTAAAAAATCTTGAAATTTCGAAAAATTGACGTAAAAAAAAGTGAAAAATCACTGAAGATTGAAATTTGGGTTATTGGGTTATTAGGTTATAAACAAATTGAACAGAAAAAAAAATATTGAAATTTCGTCAAAATTACCAGAAAAGTTAATAAATTTGAAATTTTGTATAATTGATGAAAAATGCGAAAAATCATGAAATTTCGTTAAATTGTAGAAAAATATGAAAAATCTTGAAATTTCGATAAATTTCATGATTTTCCGTCAATTTGATGAAATTTCAAAATTTTGCACTTTTTTCGTGTATTTATCTATTTTTATATGTTTTATTTATGGGACGCCTGTGTCAAAAAAAAAAAAATAAATTTGCATATATGGCATTGGCATTGACTTTTACATATACTTTCACTTGTAGTCATGCGGAAACACAAATTATGTGGGTTAAGGTAGATATTGTCTGGTATTGCATATATATATCGTTAATGACACTTCCGACATCGACGATTACATATTGTAACGACTGATCAAATTTGGAATGATTAGATCCACGAAAACAGATGTAAACGAATTTTACGCTGAATTAACATCTTATAATGCGAGTGCGACATGTTAAATCAAGAGACGGGGCTGCAATGTGCAAATCAGAGTACGTAAATTAAATCTTAAAAAGAGAAAAAATCAACAGTGCTAATAATTTTTTTGGAGTCGTCGCGAAACGTCACTTTCGTCACACTATTTTTTTTTATTCACAAGATTATAATATATGTGGTATGAAGGTAATCAATCAATCTCCATCCGCGGTCATACGATTTTACCTGCGCCTATCATTTTGTTTTATTAGAAAAAAATAGAAAAGACTGTCTCTCTTTTTGTTCGTAACTCTCTTCGATACCTAGCAACGTTAAGTAACACGAGTTACGAATAAGCTCATGACAAAGTTATACGTTTGATGCGTACATACGTATATATATATGCCATATTTAACCGAACGTACAGGAAAATCTCAATTTCTCGTATAAAATAGCAAATAGGCATATTCTCCAAGCTCGAATTGTACGAAGCTCAATCCAATCAAGTCTATAATTTATCTCACGAAATAGGCATTGACATACGTTCCAGATCGCGAGCGAATTAACAGCTCTTCCATCATTCGTGCGAAACCGCGGTGAAAGCTTGGTTCGACGCTCAATTGTTGCGCGGATATTCAAATTCATTAATCAACAGCTGCCTCGTGTCTTGATGCAGATAATCGCGTTTCTCGCGTGCTTTCCGCTTACGTCTACGTAGCGCGCAGAGAGCCATCAAGCGAGCGCCGCGCATACTTTATTCGCATGCACATATAGTGTACATTTCCCGGGATTTGCGTAATATGTTTAGCAACCTATTCCTATCATTTTTAATTGCCGCGGGACGGTGGTTTTAATGACTTTCTTCTTTTTCCTCGATCGTTTGTTTTTCAATGTTGGATAATTTAGCTTGTATACTCTGATTTTCAGTTCAATCAATTGTTTTCTTCTTTTTATATAGCCAACATTATAACTATGTCATCTGCATCTGGATGCGTTGTTGCTGGTTTTCATCTTAATATATTATATTTAAGCTTGTAAGATTATTTAATTAATCATTTGTAAAATTATTTCTCAATCAATTTCAGTATGATTGGCTTAACAATTGGAAGGTCAAAACGAATGTTATTTAAAATCATTTTCAATTATGATAACTTGAAACTCAAATTATTATGAATAATATTAGAATAATAGTACTGTAACAGTACTCTTTTATAATTCAGTGTAACTTGAATTAGCATTACTTTAATATTTTTGCAAATTAATTAAGTAAGAAAGTATGAAAGTTTTGGTACAACCGATGACATAAATTAAAAAATCAATTTAAGATATTAAATCGATATTTACGCCCCGATTACGTCTGTTGCATATTTGGCTTAAATTATAACTTATAAATAAGCTGAGAGCAAAGAGAAGAAATAAAAAGCATTCTCTTTAGTATCTGAATAATTTATACATATAGTTTTATAACATCATACGATCAGTTACGATTTTCATCAGTCATTTGAACCAAAAAGAAAAGTTCTTTTTTCATTAATTTAATTAAAAATAGACATTTTAATCTAATGTATAGCGAATAATGAATTGTGGGGAAAAGAATCGATGACTTAAATATTTTTTTAATAAATATTTTACGATCAAAGCAAAGAATTCTGAATGTCTGTGCTCGCAAAAACTCAGCAGCAATGATATAATGACAACTATGGTATAGTCGACTAATCAAACGGCCACTAAGACTCTTTTACTACCGCATAACCTTTTTGCTTCCATTTCAAGCGAATCAAACGTAATAAATGACTCAGCTGGTAAAAAAATTTAATTATGTGAAGTATTGAAAAACTCGAAAAAGATAATTTTCGCTTTGCGCATTATGGATTGAAAATAATAAATCTTTCATTCTTAGATATCGAAATTAAAGATTTTCGCTTGTGTTATAATGCGCTTCGATCCCATTTCATCAATTTTCGTATAAGAATTTTATTAAATAGACCTTCGTATCTAATTATACCACACTAACCAATCACATAAGGTGTGTGATAATCACTGAATATACATAATAAATGACAATGAAATTAAAGGTTAAAAGTTGAGTTTGTTGGCAAGCATTCAATAAAACTTTGACGAGCTTGCGATTACATAAAAAAATTCTTAACTTATCCATTTTTATACTTTTTGCTAATAATAGACATCCTTTGTAGTAAAAAAGCATAATTATTATGTACTTTTTCATTTCAAAATTGTAATATTACATTACTAGAATCAATTATCGATCGATCCATAACTTCATAAAAATCCCTTTGCGCCTTAAATGAATACGTTCTTTAATTTATTATTTACGGCATGTAAATACGAAGCCTATAGAAGTATATCTAACTTTTTTCTAGCAAGTTTAAATTGTTCGGTTTATTGTCTGCCTATGTAACGTTTTGTAAGAATGTTAATGTAGCATTTTTAAGTATTTTTAAGATTAAATAGTGGTCAGTTTGTATCAGTGATCATCTGAATATAGCTATAATAAAATTTTTAAACGTATTTTGAAATCTTAAAACGAGGGCTAAAATGTTGAAAGAATTGTTTTCAATACAAAATTGTAATGAATAATTACCGTTTGATATATTTATAGAAACATTAATTGTTATTAAACTAAATTGTAGAATGTAATTAAGCAAAATGAAAATAGTTATCGAGGAGGAAGAAACTTGTACGTAAATTTTGTGAACGAAAATTCTGATTGATATTATCAATGAATTGCATAAGAGAAATTAAGCTTCTTGTAAACGGCAACAAGCAACAACAGCCACCACACTACATTATTATTCTGTACGAAAATTACGAAAGAACGAAACAGATCGATAATTATCCGTTAGATGTCGCCACTCGTTTGTCTACTAGCCCCACCTGTCGCCGTCAGTGAAAATCTAGATCGACTTGATCTCTACTATCTTTGGTATATATATGTGCACCGACTGAGCGTGGGCATCATATATATACATTAAATATATCTCATCCGTAGCTTTTCCATCCTCCCTATTTCTCGTCATCGAGTGTGTGTGAGGCAGCAGTTGCGCTCATGCTCGTTGACCCACCACCAACACGTAGCAGAGCAAACTCTCGCGTAGTGACATATTTGGGCCGAAATTCCTTCTTGCGAATCCTCGGCTCTTTTTAGCCACGTATGTCCAATCCTATTCTTCGTACTTCGCATGAGATATATATCAAAGATACGACAACAAAATGTGCAGTGTGTCCTTTTCTAAAAATCGACCTGGTCACTGATGATTCTACGAACGACGATGATGAAGAAGCAACAAACGAGTAATTTTTAAAAGCACACATCGATCGCCCCTTATTTTTTTCGTTTGTAGCAGGTTTGTACATACAAAAAGTATGCGTGATAATAATGATTATTCTTTATATGAGGATATTAATAGGACGATAGTAAATTAGTAGGTCACACAGACGCGCTCTTGTGTGATTTATTTTCAACGAGTTTTTTTTCACAAAATTAAGCGATTTTGCGATACAGCAAGAAATCCACTTTGACCAGATGAAATTATTGCATTTTTTTATTTATTATTACCACAAATAGACGATTTCTAATGGCTCCGTATAAATATGATCCAGCGTGTGTTTGATTAAAATACTTTACAAAATGTTCGTATGATGGAAATTCGCTCTATTTCAATTAAAGAGCATCGTGTAAGTGATTCATTGTTTAGCTTCTCCTTTTTGCTTACATTGCAAATGTATATTGTTTCTGGAGAGTTATCAATGTAGCTTATATTCTTTTCACTGGCAACTATGGTTAAATGTTAAACTACTGTAGGGCTTCAAAACAAAATATTAATTACAGTGTTTTTTTGTTATGTTTTGTATTAGATTTATAGAAAGCTATAAAAGTATTATGTTTCTATTGAAAAATTTGAATAACCTGTCAAATTCCAAAGTAATTTTTCCATGGATAATACATGTTAATCGACTTATTACATCACTTTTTCTGATTAATGTGCAATTATAATTTATTGAAAATTAAAAATTCCAACAGTTCAAAGTTTTCAAAGATAATAATTCAAGTATAAATGCAATATGTGGGGTAAGATAATTATCCGTGATCTTTTTCATGTCAACATGCTATCATCAATGTCTTAAAATTATCTCTGTATAATTTTGGGTATTTCCATTTCTATATAAAGGAATTGGTATAATATTTTGTAAACTATAGAAATTTTTTTAATGAAGTTTTTAAAAAAAGTAGAGACTTTTATTGGATGTTATCTACATATGCATGTTTTAATTTTCAAGAGAAAAATCATTAGTGGAATAGGCAGTTACAATGATGGAGTTGAGTCACAGTTTGACCCTCAATGAGGATGCACTTAATCAAATTCCTGAAGCAAAACGTCCAGTTTTTGTCTTTGAATGGCTTAGATTTTTAGATAAAGTTTTAATTGCTGCTCAAAAGGTAATTTTGTTAAGATATCTTATGATATTTAAATTCTACTAGATATCAGTATAATCAAGTATAAGAATAGTACTAAAAGTAATTTCTGATTTTGTAGAATGACATTAAGGGATGTCAGCAAAAATTGGTAGAACAATTGACAAGGCATATGCAAGGTGCTCCAGGACCACCCACACGTCGTTTAATAGCTCGGTGTTTGGCAACTTTATTCAGTGTTGGTGATACATTTCTGCTGTTTGACACAGTTAACAAGTGCAATGATATTTTAAGGAACAAGGATGACTCACCAAGCTTTCTTCCTACAAAACTGTTAGTATTATTCATTTATGTACTATGTAATAATAGCATGGATAGATTACACATCATCACCTATGTTTGTGAATATCTGAGACCAGATACATTACTCAATTTCAAATTATATGCCTTACTTATATTTGATTACACGATTTCTTTGGATATTTATCATTTCATCTTATTGAATCATTTGTAATTTGATACTCTATAATCTAAACTACTTTGATTGGGGACTTTATTTTATAGTGCTGCAATATGCTGTGTTGGCTGTATGTATGAAAAGTTAGGGAGAATGATGGGCCGTTCATATGAGGAAACAGTTCAAATTCTAATCAAATCTTTACGCTCTGCGGAATCTCAAACTCGTATTGAAATTATGCACACCTTAGAGAAGGTAAACAAATAACTTAAATGTTTTTTAAGTTAAATATTTTTTGATGGAGATTAATGCTGACATTGACATTTTTTATTTTTAGGTCTGTGCTGGTATGGGATCTGCAGTTACTAATGTTCACAAAGAAATATACAAAGTTTGCAGGCATTGTTTGACTGATCGAGTCATGGCTGTGAGATGTGCTGCTGCTAAGGTAAATGTTTTTTCTTTCATTGAAATCAGTTGAAACATTAAATATCTTTAATTCCTAAATTTTACAACAAAATTTTCCTTTTAGTGTCTTTTGGAAATGCTACATCACGCACCATTTTTATATACGACAGAAATTGAAAATGTCTCGACTTTGTGTTTCCGTGCATTCGAAGGGTCAAATTACGAAGTACGATGCGCAGTAGCTAAATTATTAGGCACACTTGTTGCAATGACTCAAATGCCAGCTCCAAAAGGTCAGAATCTTCCTTGTAAGTATGGAAAGCAAAATGTGATTACCATCATAATCAATGGCATTGATTGATATTCATGTGACCCTGTTATTTTCAGCTACTCAAAGTAAAAATGCCAAGCAAATATCTCTCGAGGAAGTTTTAAACATTTTGATGTCAGGATTTCTTCGAGGTGGTGTGGGATTTTTAAAGGGAACTGGTGAAATAATTAAAGGAAGCTCTGGAGTCAATAGAGAAGTCAGGGTTGGTGTTACGCACGTAAGTTGGCTTTTCATATGCAGTTTTTCTCCTTGAAGAAATTTTTCAATTCATTATAACCAATTACTTCTAGGCATATGTAGTTTTTGTACAAATGTTGGGTAGCACATGGCTCGAGCGCAATGTTAGTACACTTGTAGCACACGTACTTGACTTGGTAGCTAATCCAAAAGCTGCAAGCTCGCACGTTGATGCCGTTTACTCAAGAAAGTGTATTAATTTCATGCTGAGAGGAACTATCGGAAAATTACTTGGAGAAGGAGCTCAAGCTGCTGCGTGCAAAGAAATTGCACACGTTATTTTGAAACAAATGAATTCTATTGGTGAGATACAGCATTAACTGTCAACTATAATATTTATACTCTGAAATGGATAATAAAAATACTTTATTGGTTTCTTTCTAGATTTTAGTCCGGAAAATGCAAAAGATTGCAATCAAGAAACGATATTTAGTCAGCACTTATTAGTTTGTGCTTTGCAAGAAATGGGAAATTTAATTCTTGGTTTAGGGACTACAGCGTCTAATCTCCTCAACGACCAGTCTCTAAGTAATTAGTTCTTATAATATATTAAAAAAATCTAAAAGTAGTAAAATATAATTAATTATAATTTCAATGTTATAGATCTAGTAGAAACTACAATGGCTGTTTTGGTTCATCCATGCCAGGCAGCAAGGCTTGCAGCAGCTTGGTGCTTGAGATGTATTTGTGTAGCTGTACCTAGTCAAATTACACCTTTAATCGACAGATGCGTCGAAAGTATTGAAAACATGAGGACCTCATCCGAAGCCATCACAGGATATAGTAGCGCATTAGCTGCAGTTTTAGGTAGTGTTAGATTATCACCTCTCGGTGTCCCGCATACAAAAGGAAAAGTAAGTTCTTTATGAAATTTTTTATGGTAGACGGAAATGTATCATTTATTAATTTTTGATATGTGTTTCCAGATAATATTTAATACAGCTGAAGAATTATTACGAAGTGCCAGTCAGAATAGTCGCTTGTCATTAAATAGAACTCATGCTGGATGGCTTCTCATTGGAGCAATTATGACTTTAGGTAAATATGAATCATTCATCAATCTCGCAACCATTTATGTAAATATTACAATAATCGTTCTTCATCATTGGTCTTTAGGAACTGCCGTTGTAAAAGGACTTCTACCAAGGATGTTGTTGCTGTGGAGAAATTCATTCCCACGATCGAATAAAGAATTAGAAAGTGAAAAAGCACGCGGAGATGCATTCACGTGGCAAGTGACTTTGGAAGGACGCGCTGGCGCTTTGTCAGCTATGCATAGCTTCCTTCTACACTGTCCTGAATTAGTAAATGACGACATCACGCGCAGACTCCTTACACCTATTGAGTCGGCTCTTGCTATGTTGTCCAAGTACGTCATTAAGCGTATTAATTATTCTTTTGTCATTTAGAGTTTTTAAGTGTGGTTTGTTTTCTAAAATTTCTTTGAAGTTTTTGAGACGAATTGTTTTTTTATATAATCTTTTAAAGTCAAGATTTATATAATTTGTTTAAAAATTAAAATTTTCATGTTCTCCAGCTTAAATACTGTACTGAAATGTTATGGTCAACAATTGAAGGCTCCAGCAGCTATGGTTCGTTTGAGATTGTATGAAACACTTTTACTCCTTCCGCCTCAAACATTTGAAGGTATATTTTTATTTTCATGCTTACTTTTGATCTTATTAATTGTTTTTCTCAACACTAAAAAATGTTTTTCTGCAGTTTCATACACTCATTTGCTGAGAATGTTGGTATCCGAATTCACACTGGCTGATAACTCTGGCAATACAACTACTTCTTTATTGAGGACTGTTTGTCATGCAAATGATTCGGTTATTCTTGGAACATGGCTTCAAGAAACTGACCATAGGACCATAGAAGATCAGGTAAATTAGAATCTATAAATTTTTCCAGCTCGTAAAAAACAACAAATTTAGTAACTAAAAAAATCTGTCGTAAATGTTGACTATCGATTTTGAAATTATTAAAACAATTAATTGGTATTTAGATGGAACCTAACAGAAGAGCTGACGTGGAGCATGTGAGTGATGTGGTTTGCAAAGAAAATAATGTATAATCGTAGTTTTTATTTCTTTCCTCAAATAATATCTTATTTCAATCGTAATTAATTTTGAAACAAATTTTATGCTTTGTTTTTGTTATTATATTCACATAGAATGTAGTATAATATTTAGTTGTACTTTGCATTATTTTACTTTTAATATTAACGCATACTTCATTTTGCTACAATTACAGTACACGTTATTATTTATTTTTATAAATTTTTAATTGTATGATCACATATTTCTATAACCAAATCACTATTTTAGTTACAGCCAAACAGTGCAGCTGGTTCGGGAGCTTTGGAACACAATTCTTGTTGTCTTTATCGTCCAATACCATCAGTAAGATATATTTATTTATTTTAGGTTGCAATCTTTGAATAGCGCCGTTACCATTTCATTTTGTTTTCAGGATGAGTCGTTACCAGGTCCACTTCCACTTGGCGTAGCGGTAATTGACATGTCTGTTTCGCTATTCGGTCAGATATTTCCACGAGTGGCGAACAAGCATCGGTTACAAATGCTCGATCACTTTAGCGAGTGCATAAAACACGCTAAATCGGGACGGCAAGAGGCTATTCAAATGAACGTCTTTACGGCATTGCTCAGCGGTTTAAAAGGACTCAATGAGGCGAAGACCGGATTCGGTCAGGAAGACGTGAAAAAATCTGCAACTAATCTTATTATTGTAAGTATTTCTAAATGTGCTATCATTAAAGGTATTTTTCAAAATACTAATACATTAGTAATCAATTTATTTTTACAGAGTGCTTTAGTAAGTAGCAACGCCATTCTACGATGGGCAGCAGGCGAAGCAGTTGGTCGCATGGCACAAGTGGTATCCGACGCAAAATTTACCGCCGAAATGGCACAGACGAGTTTCGATCGCTTAAAATCAGCTCGCGACGTCGTTAGTCGAACAGGTCATTCTTTAGCATTAGGATGTCTCCACAAATACGTCGGTGGCATGGGTTCTAGTCAACATCTCAACACAAGTGTTAGCATTTTGCTTGCTTTAGCACAAGATAATTCCTCGCCCGTTGTACAAGTCAGTTTATTGCTTATTAATAACATTCCTCGATAGAAAGATACTGATGTTTTTTCTTTGTTTAGGTATGGGCACTTCATGCATTAGCTTTAATAGCAGACTCTGGTGGACCAATGTTCCGAGGCTACGTAGAACCGACTCTTTCATTAGCATTAACTCTCCTATTAAACGTGCCACATTCTTATATCGATGTCCATCAATGCATCGGCAAAGTTTTGTCTGCTTTAATCACTGTCATAGGTCCGGAACTTCAAGGTGATTCAAATAGAATTCTCAATCGATATTAATTTTATCAGTACATTGATGAGCAATATTTAATTCAAATTAAAGGAAACACTTCATCAATATGCATGGCTAGATCATCGTTCTTATGCGCGTGTGCCATTATGCAAGATCACCAAGATTCTCTAGTTCAAGCTGAAGCTACTGGATGTCTTCAGCAACTTCATCTATTTGCTCCACGTCACGTTAATCTTTCTTCTTTGGTTCCTACATTATGTGTAAGTCAAGGTGATTTTTAATTATTACTCTCTGGAACATTTGTTGAATACAAAATGTTGGGTTATTTTGTAGCGCACATTATCAAGTAATCACTTGCTCTTGCGAAAAGCAGCAATCTCGTGTCTTCGTCAATTAGCTCAACGTGAGGCAAAAGAAGTCTGTGAGCATGCTATGACACTTGCTAATGAAAATAGGGACACTAATGTAGTAGAGGGACTTGTAATAACGGAAACCGGACTTCCTGGAGTTCTCTTTAGTATGCTCGACACGGAGACCGACAGTCAACTGATCAAAGAAATTCATGACACATTGACGAGTATGCTCCAGATTTTAGCCGCTGGTAATCTGTCGCCATGGCTGTCTTTGTGCAAGGATGTACTTACGGTTGCATCCGGTATGTTATTTGAATGATATAAATGAAAAATTAGGTTATTATTCAATTCAATGTTTATTGTTATAGAATCAAGTACCCTAGAAGATGCTACAAATACTAATCCTGACGAACTATCAGCTGATAATGAAAATGCGGATACAGAAGGTGACGACGATCAAGCTGAATTCCACGCTGACGAATCGAAACAACGTCAAACGGTTTCTCCTCGTTGGCCAACTAGAGTTTTTGCTGCTCAATGTGTGCGTCGCATTATCACTGCTTGCGCTAATGATAAGCAGATTCACTTTGATTTAACTTTAGCCAAGGAAATGCAGAATTTCAAAAGCAAAGGTAAGTCTCGTATTACGTAGTAGATTGTAATTTTACTGTCAAGAAGTGTGTTTTTGTTAATATTTAAAATCCATTTGCAGGAGATTTCCTTGTTTTACATTTATCGGATTTAGTCCGAATGGCATTTATGGCAGCAACAAGCGATTGTGATCCCTTGCGTCTCGAAGGCTTGAAAACTCTACAAGAGATCATTGATAAGTTTGCTAAAGTTCCAGAACCTGAATTTCCCGGACATTTATTACTCGAACAATTTCAGGCCCAAGTATGTTATCGGTTCTTCAACACCGCTTCAATTAATTTTTATTATAACTGAAAAAACATTTTGATTACAGGTTGGAGCAGCATTGAGGCCTGCATTTTCAGCCGAAACGTCGCCACATGTAACAGCGGCTGCTTGCGAAGCTTGTAGTGCATGGATTGGCAGTGGCGTTGCGAGAGATCTTAACGATTTAAGAAGAGTCCATCAATTATTAGTTTCGTCTTTAGAAAAATTAAGAGAAGGGCATACTCGTCTGCAAGTGTACAACGAAAGTCTGTCCACCCTTGAAAGATTAGCGATTTTGAAAGCTTGGGCGGAGGTATGTAATTAATTTTATCACTTTTAAATATATATGCTCGAGTTTGAATAAATAGTAATCGTGTAACTTGTTGATTTTAGGTTTATATCGTTGCAATGATAAACAATGGAGCAGCATTGGATAACAGAGATTCCAGCAACCGTGTAAATTGTACAATTAATGAAGAAGATGAAGAAGGATTTGGTGAATTTGAATTCCAAAGTGAAAGCTTATTAAGTTTAGTACAACCTGAACTTCCGAGTTTGAGCCAATATTGGCTTGCTGCTTTGAGAGATCACGCCTTGCTTTCTCTCCCTCCGGAATTTTCAAGTCAACTACCTCACGATGGTGGAGCTTTTTATACTACAGATACGATGGAATCTGCGCGTCCGTACTACGCAAATTCATGGGCTCCAATTTTATATGCTGCTACACTTTGGCTGAATGTAAAAGGCTTTGAGTTGAATGAAACTTCTAATCTAAATTTTGACGGAACTAATAACAATCACTCACCCAAGACTGATTCTAACAAAGACCGTTTCCATTTACTATTTGGTAAATAATATATAATGTGCTATTATGCAAATTTACTAAGTTTCATATTGATTATGTCTCATTATATATTTAATAGGCATTTGTATGGAAGCTTTATGCAGTACACGCTCTTCTGAATCTACACAAAATATTGAAACTTGTTTAAGCGCATTATATACATTACTTGACTCAAGTTGGGCAAGAAAAGTTCTCATGATCAACCGTTCTTTGCCTGTTGAACTTTGTAATGTTTTGCATAGGTAAATAATATTTACAATAGTAGACTAAATTGTTGATTCCATTTTATAAGAAAAATTATTATTTTATATATTATAGACTTTTACTAACTAAAGAACAGTATTCCATCCAGATTATGGTAATGGAAGTATTAAAACAAATAATAAAAGCTAGTCAAGAGGATTTGATAGATAGGAAGAAAGCTAAAATAAATGGTAAATCAAATTTGTTCTTTCTTTTATAAATTAGCAAGTTTTTTATCTCATCATTTATTTTATGATATTCAGAATTAACATCAGATGACGATGAAACTAAAGACGTACCTGAAGTAGATTTGCTAGGCGAAGGAGAACAATCAGGAGAACTAGTGCCAGGAAAATCTTTAGTTTTTGCAGTATTAGAAGTATGTTTATGTCTTTTGGTCCGCCAAATTCCAGTGTTAAATCCAAATCCTGGAGGAGCAACAGCAATTCTAAGTCAACGTAGTTACTTGCCGACAGAAGAAAGCGGCAAACTTATTGCAACTACTTTGACAGTTATGGAAATACTACCAACACTTTGCTCTCCTACCGGTAAGTTATTACGTATCAAAAGCGTACAGAAAATATTGGAATTTTTCCACTAACATTCAATGTATTACTATGACTTAACAATCTGAAGGTTCAGTTTCAATATTGCCGACACTCTTATATTTGACAACCGGTGTGGTGAGAGAAACCGCTGTCCAGTCCGAAAATAATATTGTTAAAACTGGAAAGGAAACGTCCATTCATGCTGCATTACATTGTTTGAAAAATTTTGCCACCAACAAATATTCTAGAGATCCAAGAAGTCAAGACCAATGGACAACGCATTTACAGAGTGCACTTGCCAAAATTATTGATCTTGCTAAATCAGGTACATTACTTAATTGGTATTATGAGGTAAATAATAGTTGCTGAATTGTAAAATAATAAATACTGTGGAATTTTGCAGGTAATGATGAAACTAAAATGGATGAAGTGGCTATGATATTGGGAATTGCAGTGTTTGTACTCCATGCTTTACCAGAAGTAGTCAGCCCTCCAAACTTACAATTCCCCTGTATTAATCATTTTAGACATGCTATTCAATCAGATAATATTCATGTAAGCAAACGAAAATTTGAACTTATGCTACTAAGAATTAGAATGTTTTATATAAATTTATTATAATTTTTAGATAAGAATCAAATGTATACAAACTTTGAGAACCATATTTATTCATCAAGAACGTAGCATAAGCACACCATACATTCATGCTCTTGCACCTCGAATTGTAGAATATTTATACACTGATCAAAGTAAACAAGTAAAAGATGATTCGGAATTGCAATACACTTTAGAATGCATAACAACGATTGAAAGTCTTATTGCATTGGCTGAACCTACTCAACGTAAGTACTTTATTTTAATATAAATAAATACCAAAAAAAAATCATAAAACGCAACTCATTTCATAATGTTTCATGCTATCAGGAGATTTATTGCAAGGTAAAAAAAATGAGACGAAGTAAACGTGTTGCAGTTCACTTTTTGTGTGACTGATTTGTGTTAAAATTGTTCTTATAATATGTTTGTACATACAATAATTATGCACGTTTCTATTTTTGAATCTTAATATTGCTTTTTAAATATTTTTCATAAAATGGACAATTCTACATCACATACTTATAAACAATTTAAATTATTATATGCTGCAGCAGATTAAATAATAAACATAGAATGTCCAGTCAGCTTAAAATTTTTATTATTATTGCAATGTTACAATATGTATATTTTGTATTGCCAATGTACAGCTTTCCTGATATTTTCTTAGAAATGAGTTTTTATATAATAATTTTGCGCACGCGATTTTTCCCACCATCTTAATTAAATTGAATGTTACTCACCTATTCAAGTTATCACATTTTTGATGACACATTCACTATCTATTGCTGTATTAACTCCGTCCTTATTTTAGGAATACAAATGCTGACTTTATTGGTTCCAATTCTAATTAACTATTTATTAGAAGGAGAGACACTTCAACACGGCACAAAATATCAAATCAGTCTTCATCAACACAGCTTCCAACGGTTAAATAAAATAGGACCGAAATATCCCCAAGTATGATATCTTTATTGATTTTTTCTACTTTTAAAATTCAAATGAGATTCCGATGTTCTTATTTTATTAATTTTAGGAATTCAAGACTTTAATGTCCCAATCAACAGAGTTGAAAACAAAGTTGGAAAATGCAGTGCGACTTAGTCATCATCAACAAGCTCAGAGACAAACGAAAATACCTGAGTCAACAAAGCCTCCACTCAAAGTACCTGCCCCATCCATAACTCTCAAAACAGATTTTTCAAATTTTAATTAGATGCGTTTATTAAAAAAACAAGATATTTTTTTAAATCATCGGATTTTCAAGTATATGGATATAGGTACTAATGGATATAAACTATATTTCTAAATTCCAAATAAACATGTTAGTACACATGTACTTAAAGTTTATATGATTTATAGTTTTTTCAAAATAGTTTAATGAAACACGATATTCATTATCCCGTATCTATATCAGAAATCTTTTATAATTTTTTCATCGACAATCTTTTTACAAACAGTCAACTGAAACGAGGAGTCGTAACAGTATATAAATATATAAGACCGTTTAAAGTTTTGTTATCAGACGAGAGAAAAATTTATAATGAATATCGTTGATTGATTACGTGTATACCCATTTCATACTATACTAATGATAGATCAAAGTCATTAATGAAAATGTGTTGACTTGAAAACCTTAAAGAGGCTATTTACTGAAGCACAATTTAGAACACGTATTTTTTATTCATTTTTGACTGTGAAGAATTCATATGACATCAATTTTATCATATTTAATGTAATTTATTTATTATTAAGTTGGAAAAAAACTAACTTGATATGTATATTTTTATAATTGTAAAATACTGCACAAAATAGATTTATATTTTAAGAGAGACATACTTGGTTGTTTATGATTAATTATGTGCCATGAATAATTTACGGAAAAGCTTTTATGAAAATTGAAATCAATCTTGCCGACTTTAGTTTTTAAGAAATCTTGTAAATTATATTTCATTAAGTATTTATAATTAATTATTAATAATTCGATTTCATCACTATCCTCGCATATTTTACACAATTAACCTGAAAATTGCGTATGTAATATATGTATAGTTGGTAGCATATTACACTGTACATGTTCAATTATTTTTTTTTTAAAACCATAAAACTGTTATTAAAAAGTACAATGTTTTTCTTTTCATCTTATTTATCTAAAAATATAAAAGGATCCGTTCAAATATATTGACTTTGGCGAATTCAAATATTTATAAACTAATTTGTAATTATATACTTTTAAAGTTTATTTGATAATTATAAGACATTAAAGACTATCGAGATTAAAAATTATGAAATATAATAATGCTTAGAGTAACTGAAAGTGATGTTATTCAAGTAAAAATATATTATTTGTAATTAAAAAAATAGATATAGTATAGAATGCACTATACTAAACTATTTTTTTCGTAAAGTTTTTTCAACATTATGTAATAAGAGTATTCCAAAATAACAATAGCAACAACAACAACAACAATAATAATAATAGATCTACATGCAGAAAAGAAGTTTTTCAACGTGTATCTTCATTCTTTAAACAACAAATTAAAATTTATAACGTTGGTACATCTGAAGGTCTCAATAATCGATGTAAAACATTGTATAATCTACGATTAGCGCAATGCAAGTTAGTGTGATGTTACAATTTAAGAATACAGCAATTGTAGTTTATAAAAATTATAACAGAATAGACTAACAATTAAATATTCGATCCTATTCATAAGAAAAATTTTAGATCAGAAATATTTTTAGCCTGATTAATCACTTATTTTATAATAATTGCCTTAACTCATACGTTAAAAATTACTTGCATGCAGCTAGATGTTGATCAGTTCTATTTAAATTTTTTATATAACAGTTTTCAAAAGTGATAAAATATTTCTCTAGCGAAAAATCTCGAATTAAATTAAAAAAAAAAAATTCTATGTTAATAAACGAACAAATATTAGCTTCACCAGTGAAAGTGATGTAAAGAAAGTAGTGTATCTACAAATTATAATTTTTTCTTTCGTAAAATTCAATTTTTTAATATGTATTCAGCAAATTAACGCCAATCAATAATTGAAGTATTCTGTTAATAAAAGTAAGAGCCCTACACTTTCATAGATAAGTACAAACCAATGTAAATTAATGGGTCGACTTTGCTCCAAGATATAACCGCGAGTAGTATTCGCAACAGGAAAAGAGAAATCAAGAAAAGTCCACAGTTTTTTCGGATTGAAGTATTATGAATCAAGTTTAGATCATCTAGTTTATTAGTTTCTTTAAAAATAAATATTTGAATATGATGTTTCAACAATAATACTGAGCTGTCATTTATCATTTATCAAGTTACGTAAACAAATCTCCAAACCTAAAAAATATTATTTCTAAATCAACATTTTTAAACGTTAATTTGTGAATAAATTAATAAATCGGATGATCCAAATTGATTCACAGTACTTTGATCAATAAAAACTATCTACTATGTACGGAGCAAAGTCGACCATTAATTTAGATTGGTTTGTATATCTATGGAACGATAGGAGGCCCTTAATAATACTAAAGCCAGTTTTTATGAAATAATGTAATAAAAATTAGTTGATTATAATTAAATTTGAGTGAGATTATAAGAAAATTGTGATTTTTTAATTGAAATATAACTAGATTATTTAATTTATTTCATTATTTTGTATTGTATAAGAAAATAAAGAGATGTAAAAAATGAAAATATGAGTTTTATTGAAATAACTTTTTTTAGTATGAATTAAGAAAATTAGTGAATTGTAAAAATAGAAAATTATAGTAATGAAATATTATTCAGAAGTAATTATGTGTAGATTGCGTACTATCACAATCAAATTTATTTTATAATAGCAATATAATTACAACTTTTTATAAAATACTAAAAAAATTCCTGCATGTGCTCATCTATCTCAAATTCGCAAATAATTTTTAAAATACTGTTGAGAAAATTCGAGTCAATAATTGAATATACTCAATACGAACGTTCAAGGAATAATCAACAAGTATTTTGATTAGCTGCAGACTTAGAGCCCCTGGGGGCCTATTCTGAAAAAAAATTTTGTGGTAAATCAGTTTGTCACTTCAGTTTACCACAGAATTAATCACTTTAGATGTGATAAATGCTTATGACATGTGCTAAAATTTTTTTTCAGAATAGGCCCCCTGGAGGCCCTCTTCGTTCCACCGTCATCAAATATTGCCTTGTAAGTTATCCCTCCCTAGTTCCACAGAACATCTACAGATCCATTCACGTATGTTTTCCGTGAGGAAAATAAGCCAAAAACTATAAAAGCTTTGGCTTTTCTGCAAAATTCAAAATTTTCACTCTTCACAACAACAATACTTGAATTTCATTCGATTAATTTTAATGGTTTTTTCATCTCTTTTAATTTTCTGTAAAAAAGGTAAACGCTTACGAAAACAAGCGTCTATCTAAGGAGGTAACAATTAGTATGTAAAGCGATTTGAATATGACAGCATAAAAATCACCTCATACATAAATATGCAATACTATAAATGTAATTCTATTATTATTATTATTATTATTATTTTATAAAAGTCGAATTACTATTTATTTATATTCTATTTTAAGGTATTTATAAAATATTTATAGAAAAGAAATATAAATATAAATAGAACAAATAATAATAGACCTAAAAGAAACACCTAAATTATTTTTTCTGTAATTTTTATTTTTTATTTTCATTTTTTATTTTATTATACAAAAATCACCTTTTATATGGATGTACAAAATCGATAAGTGTAGTTGGATAAATTATATACGGGAATGTAATCACACAAAGTTTTTTTCAGTATATAAAATAAACTATACACTCCTGCAGCATTTTTATCTAGAATTTGAAAAACGATGTTAAAGTACAGATAATCAAACTGCAATAAAAATATAAATTAAAAAGAATAAACTTACTTTAACCATATTATTTTTACTGCATCCAATTGCTGCAAAGGTACATACTCTTGAATTGTTCATCATTGGAAAACTCAGTATGATTTTTGGCAATGGAAGTTTGAATTTTAATTTATACTGATTTTTCTGAAAGGAATATGAAGTTTTCACAGCTTGAATCAACTTCTTATTTTCAGTTTAATACAAGCTCCAGCCATTTTTGTTCCATAATTATCTCCAACAACATAAGATCTATCTTGACCACCATGTCCAAATTTAATCTTTCTCAATCCTTTTCCGTAGTTTTTAAATTCATGAGAAAACTAAAATCATACACATTATTATTTGGAAGTTATCTAATTTATAAACAATCTATAATAGAATATGTTTTTACCTTGAACCAATGATTCATTTGTTCTCCTTCTATTATTTTGTTGTAATTTAATGTTTCTATTGCTGTTCTATCTGATTTTTGTTCTCTAAGTAATTTGATTGTACATTCATATTGAGCAGGAATGTTTGGACGACTACAAAACCATTCACTCACCTATCAATCAAATAAAATATGAATTGTTTAATTTATCTACATGAAAAGTTGATGATATAAAAAATGGGTTGATGTAAATGATACCTGTATCGTCGGTTGTAGATGATCTATCATATATTCACTGAAACCTTCTTTTACTAAGTTTATAACTTGTTCTTTCCAGCACTTCCCAAAAGATGCTACAAAACAATTATATTTGTCTTCGAATACTGGATCTTTTGGTAAAGCTCTCACTCCTTGAGGAGGATGTTCTACACTCCAACCGTTACCACCATTTTCTATTATATCCCAATGTTTATTAGGTCCATTTTCTCCAGAATGATTTTTTATCAAATTTTTATAAAAAGGTTTGTGATCACAAATAAAGTAATGTATTGTCCAAGGTGTCTGCTGGTCAAGAACCAATGACTTTCGAAGCATAAGCTCTGATTTTTTCTGCCAAACATAGTCTTTGATGAGAAAATTCCAATGCTTGCAGACTAATTGGCAACCCAATAATGTCTTATGATCAACATTGCAAAGTATTTTCAGTAGCAACTCATCTGGAATGCCGCAATTTGCAATAAATGATCCATTATTGCTTAAATTATTGTAAGTTGTTTTATTATATTTTTCTTCATCGGACCAATCGTCGTCTTGTTCAACAGCAAAATTTACACGTAATTTTTTCTGAAAAAATGTTGAAATATAAAACAACATAAATATTTCAAGAACGCAAAAAAAGCCAGTGTGATAGCCGGTTATTACCTTTGCTTTTATCATTTTTCACGCTAAAAATTTTGCTATTGGAATTTACAAACAATTAGGGGAAATTACGCAGACATAAACATTTATGAAAAACAAAAACAGAATGAATGAAAAAAGGACGCCGCGGCGGCAGTAGCAGCGATAGACGCTATACGCTACCGTAAAGAACTGTCGTACCATACGGTGGCACGGCATGGAGGCTGGATATTTGTCGCGCGCGTTTTGTGATGTTTACGTAGCAGACAATACTCGAGTTGTGAAAATAATAGTATCTCAGTAGTATAGTTATGTCAAATAAATTTGATATAACACCACTTGGAATAATGCGATTGCGGTTTACTGGCGTATTTCAATGCGCCATTCAAAAATCAATGGAACTGGCGTATTAAAAAATCATTAGATTGCGTTTAGTCAAAAAATTCAAATGTACGGATCGAATGATTATTTTTAAATTGCTGTTCCAGCTGTTGAGCACATGTACGTACATATACAAATATATATTAAGCTTATAGTGTCACTGCTATATTTAAACCACTTGAACATTGTTATGTACATACGTGTTTTCGTAGATAACATTTTAACGTGCTTTTTAATGTTTCATTATGAGTGAGTCGTACGATTACTGCATTGACTAGGGATACTCTTTACTAGATATCTCTATATAGGTGTCTATATAATGTAAACTAGTTTTAGTCACTTCTGCCATTTATTTTCAGAAGCTGCCAGTTCCGTAAAAACAAGTATATTAATAAGATTGATACAATCAGCACCTTGTTTAAAACCCAATTCATAACAATTAACAAGTAAGAGTGAGAAAATTGGTGCCAAATAGAATAGAATGTATGGAAATCTAACGTGAATACGTAAAATTCAAGGTTAAATTACTGCTCAACAAATCTGATATACTAAATGGGACAACTTAGTGATAAATTCAAAAATATGTCACTGGCAATCAAAGAAGAAAGAGTGCCATATGATGAAACTTCTAACAATGGATACATATTCAATGAGAAACATTACATTCCAGAGGAGTTATTGTTAGATTTACTGTCTTATTATGTTGATTACAAAACATTGATCAGCTGTCAATTAGTATGTAAACAGTGGAATCTTTTTATGAAAAATTATGTTTGGCGTAAAAAAGCTGAATTAATATTAAGTCATACACTACCACTAGATGAAGATACTCCTTGGACAACTTATTACTTGATCTGTCATAAAAAACCATTTCACAGAAATCTAATTAGAAATCATTCAGGACAAAAAAATTTAAGTTCAGATCGAAACTGGACAATTATAAGTGATGGTGGTGATGGCTGGACAGTCGAAAGTCCACCTTCTGGTGTCATAGCATTGCCAGATGATCCTGTTTTCAATGGAACAAATTGCTGCTTTGTCACATCCTATGGTAAATGCTGGAAACAACAAGTTATTGATTTGGTAAAGGAAGGCTTATCTGAATACTTATTAGATAACTGGCAACCACCTATAAAAGTAAAGATTTGTAAATATATTATGGATTCTGAATTTTATAAAAAATTTGGAATAATAACAATTGTAATATGATTGTGTTGGTGTATTGCAGGTAAGCGAGTGGTTTAGTAGCAGATGGGATTGTTCTGCTGTATATGTATGCACAACTGAACTTATGTCAGATGATAATGTGGTTTTGAAACATTATAATTATTCAAGAACAATGAGAGATGAAGATCAAAATCAATGGTTCAAGGTCAGTAGATATTTTATTGATTTTTGTTGTAATGAATTATTTATTTAACTAACATTTTACTTGGCAGTTAATATTTTTTTTTTTTGCAGTATGAATATGAGTTTAGAAATTATGGAAAAGGATTGAGAAAAATTAAATTTTGCCATGGTGGTCAAGATAGACAATATTGGGCTGGTCACTATGGTAGTAAAATGGCAAGAGCTTGCATTATATTGGAAATTCCAGATAGTATGCATCATGAAGTATCTATCTCACAAGAAGAAACTGTTTCACCAGAACCATATTATTTATCAGAGGAACCAAATTTTATACGAGAAGAATGGTCTTACTCTGAAGAAGAATATGACTCTGAGGAATGATGTGATTTGTACATAAATATCGATGTATGATATATATAAGATGAAGTTACGATATAATACTATGATTAAGCTTTAATAATATTTTGAAATATGCTTATCATTAAATACTACTATAATTAAAATGTACAACACTATTTTTGTTAAAAAAAATAAATTATTATATTTTTAGCTAAATTGTCGTCTTCGAATGTTTCACAATTACTGAAAGTTTATAAAAATAAACGAGTTTAAAAATGTGCTTAATATAGGTGTTTTATTAATTATCCTTAAGTTTCATTTTTTAAATTAGATAAATAATAAAAAAGTCGGATGTGTGCGTTTAATATATAGTTTGAAAAATTTTGAACGTACGTAGCCATCTTAAAACTTAATTTTAAAGCGTGACTTTTCGAATTGAATAATAAACAAATTACTTACGGATAATTTCACATGTAAATAATAGTATGGTCTCACGTATATCACACGAAATTTCAAAATATGCCTGATGAAACTTATTAAGTTAATTTGAAATTGATGATGTTATTAAGTATGCAAATTGCCACGAGTTGCAAAGGCTATACTTTTTCTAATCAGTGTTCTTCGTCAAAAGACAAAAATACTCTGAAAGTTAAATCAAATGGTTTGTTAATTACTTAACCTTTGAATTATTCTCTAATAGTGACTAGATATAAGTAAATATATTTATTAAAAATACATTTACAATGAAACTAAAAATATTTTATCTAACTATTTCAATTTTTTCAGTGATGTGAAAATCTTAAATTTTAAAACTATATTTCGTTCAGATTTTATTAGACGTTAAATATTTCGTAAACTTAGAATAGTTTACATTCACGTAAATAATATTTCAACTAGGAAAATGTAAAAATACATGGGCAAATCGTCACAGAACTTTTACGAAACTTCGTCACAATAAAAAAACCAAACAACAAAATACGTACGGCAATCATCATCGACTTGATCATACATATGCAGCCTCAGCAAATTTCCTCAACATTTCGCAAACAAACGGAATTTCAGACCATAGCGATGATTGTACAATAATCGACGATGAAACGCTCGAAAATGGCATCAATTTAAGAATTCAAGACAAATCTGGTTCGGACGATTGTACAAGTGAAAAAAGCTCATGCTTGCAAGTTACTGGAGCTAACGTGAGAATTTCATAAATAATTTTCATCATGAAAGTCAAATCAAGATTTTTAATTGTTGTATATTAGGGTGCCTTGAAGCAGTACTCAAGAAGTCGGAAAATTATTAAGGACAAAATCAGACTTTCGCCAACCTTACTTAGCAAACAAAATATTGCAAAAACTGTTCACGAAGATAAAAAAAGACTCATCGCTGCACTTGCTTTAATACAACTTGCTCAGTCATCATAAAAATCGATAGTACTTCAGTAACAATTTTTTTTTATTTAAATATGTTATTTGAGCTAATATGAAATTATAATATTATACTTTATCAGGCAGCCTGCAATAATTTGTAAATGAAAAGCTCTTTATTATCTTTTAAAGTAAAATTTTTTATTTTTTGCTTTAATCTATTGAACTTTACTATCGTTTGCCTGTCAAACATTGTATATAACTGTTATTCTTACATAAAAAATAAATTAGTAAGAAATTAAAAATTTGCTTTATCATATAAATGTTTATTCAAAAAGTAATTTACAAAACAGTTCGATAGAATCATTATTGTATAGAATTGTATGTACGCATCAAATATTTCATTTGACAAATAACACATATGAATAAAAAAATTATGCAATTAAAAAGTATTTCCATTAATAACATTTCAAAATCAACGCTTATTCACAGATTTTGAAACGTAAACTACAAAAAATATCTGAATAAATAATCCTTATAAAACCCTTCTTTCATGAAGCTCTTTTATCACACGTTTGCATCTATTAGTATCACAATGAATCACTTCTCTAATTATTCGAGTGATCCATCTAATTTTTCAGCCTCATACTTCTACTTCTTGTAGGTTTCGTTTCTTCCTCTTTCTCTTTACTTTTCATGCTCCTTGTCCTCGTTAGTTTTGAAGTCTCTTCTTTATCGTCAACTTCATCTACGAGAATTTTTCTGCGAACATTGCGTGCTCTAGTACGAGTTTTGGTTGGCTGGATGATCGGTGGAGATTTTGGCAATAATGAGTTACCAATATCGTTTTCTTCGTCACTCAAGTCTACGATATTGACTATGGGAACGGCTGGTGGAGTCTTGCGACGACGAGGATTACGAGCAGTCTTCTCTATGTGCTGTTTTGGTGTAACACATCCAGTTGATGGTTGGTTCGTTATGGTGATTGGTATGTCGGTTGGTACGTAAATGGTTGAAACTGGAAGAATTTTACACTGAGTTTCATTTTATTTAAATTAAAAATAAATAATCCTAATTAAAATTATGTAATTAGTTAGAAAAAAAATTGTTTTTTGCTAAATCATTTAAATTAAAAATTAAATTAAATTTAAATCATAATCGATAACTTTTAAACGTTCAATAATATTTATAGCTAATAACACTTATAGCTAAACAAATAATCTATTTTTTTATTGGTAGCGACAAAAACTCTATAATAATTTTCAATTATTGTGTACTTACATAGCTTATCCTGTGGAAGATTGTAAACAAAGTGCTGATAGTAAAGTTCAGTCGCATATACAGTGATACAATGTTTATCCAAATCGTTTTGCGAAGCAACATTAAGAGCTTCTTCAATCAAAGCAAGAGCATCGTCTTTATCCTCCGGCTCAAAGTCAACGATATACAAAGAAAAGTCCAACAAATACCAAATAAAATCGACGATGATATTCTGATGTCGACACCACTTGTAACTTTTATACTGTCTATGCGTATCCAAATCTCTTTCGTTAATGTTCGATTTAATCTTGAAAGCTCCATGGAAATATTGTTCCGCTTCTCGCTTGTACTTAAGCAAACTGTACAACTGCGCGCGGATATGTACACAAGAGAACGAAAGATATTGGTAATTGATATTATTACAGATAAAACATTGACAGTGAGGTGTATGACGTAGAAACTCTGGCAGAGTGAAGAGCTTTTTCTTCAGTTCTGGCGAGGCGCTATTTTTTGATAAACTTACGGGATCGTGAACAGCTTCGCGAAATGTCACTGTGTTGCTTATTTTAGGGTCGATCTTCATATTTGCGAACTATTTGATAAAAATAAAGATTTTGGTAAAAATTCAATAATTTAAAAAATGTATCTTACCTTTGCATTCAACTTTTGTACGACTTTAGTATTCATTGATTTTTTGAAATTTTCCAAACAAAGAATATGCTCGAGATCCTGCAGACGCGTCTCGCAATTTTCCGCGTGTAATCGAAGAAGGTCGATGTAACAAAAATACTTCAAATATTGTGCTATCCTGAGGGTAAAACCGTATTTTTGCGCGAGTGTCAGTCCGAAAGTCATGTGTGCAGTTATCTCGCGGAATGACAAAAGACTAACCATAGGGATGATAATGTTAATATTCACTTCAAACAGCTGCTCGCATACAAATAATAGATTCCTAACAGTCCAGAATCGCCGTGGATCTGAAAATGTTGTTGGGCATGATACAATCTAGTTTTAAAAATACACTAAGTAAAAATTGAAGTATTACCTATAGCTATTATATCATGCAAACTTATCAGTAAATAGTGAGCTTGAACTAGTAGATTAGAGTAATCTTCTTGACTAGCTTTTTCATTGAGAATGTAGAAGTTGCGGAATTGAATGTCCACGTAATAGATGTATAACTTATAGTTCCCAAGAATATCAAAATTCGGCATTACTTTGACTTTTTTTAACAGCTGTTTTGCTTCTTTAATCTAAAAAAGAGTACTTTATTAACAATATGTTGAATTTTTCATTTTCACGTAATTAATAATAGATTAGTTGCCTTTTTGCAATCCAGATAGAAATCTGCTAAGCTCAACCAAAATAAAGTTACCGAATCGGTATCAGGAATTTTCGTGGAATGTTTTAGCTTTTCAACTTGCTTCTCAGCATCAGAAATCCACTTATCATTAATGCATCTTAAAGATAAACATCGACTAGTTACTGCAAATCAAATAATAATTCGTTAACATTTCTAGGATTTTGTGTAAATGTTATCAAGTAAAAATATTTGTACCATATACACAGGTTGTAAAGTCTTGCAATGCTGTGGCCAGTTTATAAGCCAATCTCCACGTTTTTTCTTCAACATCATTGAACTTATATAGTCTACAGTACTCTCCGCATATCATGATAGTTTCCAAAGTAAACTTAGGCTCCCAATCATTTACTACTGAACTCTAAAAATTCATATAAAATTTATAAGTTCTCTCGAATAATTACGAATTTTTATATAATGTAAAAAATTTGTGATTTTACTTACAAGATTTTTTTGGAAACAACTGTCCCATATACTCAAAACTTCTCTTAATTCATTTGCACACCTATTGTCCTCTTCAATATTAATTCCACCATAAGTTGGTACAATTTCATCTTTTTCTTCCGAGTCTTCTTCATTTTCTTGTTTACTCTTGAATGTTTGAAAAGCCTTGACAGTAAAATTGGCATCTTCTATTTGTTCAGTAATGGCTTGTTTCCTAACATACAATTTTTCCAGAACTCTAAAGAAATTCAAGTTGGCAAGTATGCATTGAGAGCTGAATGATTTTGACTTTGAATTTGTCAGCTTTACAATGGCTTTTAAAATATAATCCGAAATTATTTCTCTTTTTTCGAATTGCAACGCATGGAAGGATAATAAAAGAACGCCTTGGCCATAATACAAACTGTTTTCTACAGACTCTGTAAAACAAAAGTTAATATATTAAATAGTTTTTACAACAGACTGAGTACCATAAAAATTGACATTATTTAAATTAATTATTACCTAATTCTTCCAAAGTTTTTTTCATCGCTATTATTATATTACTCTGAACTGGGAACAATGACTTGAGCTCTCTCAAACATAAATCTGCTAAGTTGTATTGATGGATGTTCACTGTAATACCAAGTTCTTTAATTATATCTGCATCTGTTTTCAAACATTTTATCATAGTCAGCTCCTGTATTTCTACAGAATCTATGTTTTTCAGCTTTATAGTGGCCCACATGTCACATGCTTTCTTTTTTTTACTCTCATTGATACTAACAAGGGCATTATAAGCTGTGTAAAACATGGCTTTTCTATATATTTCTAAAATGTGAATGATATTTTTCGATTGTAAATTGAAATTTGTTTAACTTTATTAAATTAATTTAATAAGTTGTAATCTTACCTCTATTGAAATAGGAATTGCATAATCGAGTTAGTGCTGTGCTAACTGGATATTGCAATCCAAAACTACTAATTTTGCTATCTAATCCATCAAAACAAACAATTTGTTTGCATAGCACTTTATATAGATTTTCTAGCTCTTCTGGATACTTCGATTCAGTTATAAGTCCAATATTGAAAATCATCTTTCCACATAAGTTCCACAGAGCTACAGAATATTTGCAGCCAATTTGTTCCAGCTCATTAAATACTGAAACCATTTCATCCAATAAATCTTTAGCTAATAAGAACATTTTTTCACTGATAGAAGTTTTATTACATCTACTGATAACTCTCAGGTATGTAAAAGTTGTAATTGATGCTTTGTACATGTCTGTTTTCACTTTACAAGCATTAGGATCAGAGCAGGATGCACATGAATAGTTAACTGGAAGTTTGCGATTTCTCAATATACTGTAAACTTTTTTTACAAAATCACCTATGTATACTATATCATCATACGTTATATTGACATCCATTAATTGTTTTGCTACTAAACCTTCTAAATTGCCAAATAAAGTTTCAAAGCTATTTGCTACAGCCATAAGAGTCTCTGTCAAGGATTTATTATCTTTTCCATATTTCTGCAATACAGCTTCAAAACTATCAAAACACTTTTTAATCCTTATTTTACCAATATCTTTTGACATATAATTGGTTTCGAATAGGTTGATTGTAAATTCTCTAAAAATTTTGTAGCAATGGTATATTTCTGGAGAGCTTTTAAATGGTTCTATGAATAAGATATCAATTTGGCGAAAATAGCTCAAATTATCTGAATTATTAATGCAATCATTCCTTTTCAAAAATATTTGACCAAACATGAAAATGATATAATGATAAGCATTGATAAGTGGATATTTTTTTAACTCTGTAAAGTAATTTGACAAATGTTGGAATATTTGTAGCACACTAGGAAAGGCTATTAACATTGGAATATTGATTAACTTTTTTATAAATGACTCTGCAATTTTAAAAGTGTAGCAAACATTTTCATCACAATAATCTAAGATTTGAAGGAGAAACTTTAAACAAAAGAGAAACTCATCATTTAGAATCGCTTTTTCAGAATTATTATTTGTTGTTATTAAGTCTAACTTCTTAAATAACTCTACTTGCCATAACGTAACAATCTGATAATATTCTTTAGTCTTGTAAGAATTATTGGCACTTAATATTTTTCCAGGGAATAAATAACTGGATATAATTTTGGCTTCTTCGAAATATTGTTTGCTTAAAAGGTATTGAATAATAAAATAGATTGCGCTATAAAACTTATCCTTGTCAGATACAATCGATAGATTCTCACAAATTATTTTAGTAATTTTGAATATTTCAATTTCTTTGGATAGCTGTTGTTTCTTACATTTATCTGCACTGTGGGCCAAATGTAAAAGTATCTTGAATAGATATTTGTTACTTTCATCGTTGTTTTTGCAAATTACCAAATTCTGAAAAAATATTAAAAATATTTTTATTATTCTATTTTCAACTTCAATGCAAAGTTAAAGATAGTAAATTGTAATGTGAAAAAAATTTGCGTACCTGTAAACTATTTAAAACACTGTTGAAATTCAACACTTGAATATGTCTTATCCATGTTTGATATTCTGATGACATATTAGCTATTTTTCTACGAAAAGCAAAGATACATTAACGTTATTTTTTTTATCAAAAAACTTAACTATTTTTTTTTTTGCAGAAAATAACTGACAAAGTAAAATACACTTGTTCTAAAAAATAAACAATTATCTATAATACGATGCAGAGATGGAGAAAAATTTCCTCTTCTTAACGTGTCTTGACTTATTTATGACATGCTACACGTTTATGTATCAAAACAGGTATCTCAACGCCTGCATTTTCAATAAAAATTGTAAAGCTATCTCACATATGTTTTAACTGTTGTTAAATTTAATTATACTGCTCATTATAAATTCTCTTATAACGGTTTATTTAAAATTCGCATATGCACTATCTCTATAGAATTCTGAGCTCGTAACGTCTGAATATTTAAAAATGACGGTGTCGCTGAGACTATGATGATTTCGGTCACATGACACAGGTTGTGCGACATCTGGTGAAAGAAGCGGGAGTCACAATGCCTCGGCGATCTTTCGTCTCTCTCTCTCTTTCTCCTGCCGAACCCCACTATCTATCCCTACATATACGTATATACATACATATATACATACATAATACATACATACATATTCCGCCATATTCGCTTGTTCATCTCAGTCTGGTGCAAGTGTCTCGTTGGTGTCTCGCAGCAGATCGAGGGAAAAGAATAAAGGGCATATAACATTGAAGTAATTGCTGCGAAAAATCAAAACAATCAGTGAAGAAAAGCATACACGCGTACGCACACAAGCGTAGCACGACGAGCAACGGCAGTAGTAAGCAAGAAATAGCAACGTGGTATGGGATGCAGTCGCGGCGTCGTTGATCGAAGAAAGCGAGTGTAAAAGCAACACGCAACATCGACTGAAACCTGGGAACTAGTGACAATGGCCAAGGACAACGAAACCGACGAGTTGTCGACCCCGTCATCATCCAAACGGACGGCAGCTCACCGGGCAAAGCCTTACGACGCCAACAACGTGAGTCCTTTACCCGCCGTTTCTGTCTCTCTCTCTTTCTCTGTCTCTCTCTCTCTCTCTTTCTCTTCCTCTCTCTGTCCGCGTGATGCGTATGTTCTAAAAATAACTCGACGTCGTGGGTCTCCACTAATTTTTGCTTCTTATTGCACGCGGGACCTCGTGTAAATGCATTTCCCGCCTCATGCGAAGAATCATACTGCAACGTCCACAAGGTCTAACCTTAATTTACACCTCGTGCGCACGCTTTAACCTTGAGCTCTCTAAAACTCCACTTGATTTCTAAGGTGGAGTTGTTCTCGAGTTTCCGATATTTCGAAGTAGTTTTCTAGCTGCGCGCTGTGCGGATATGTGTACGTGTGTGCGAGTGTATAAAGTCGCGATGGGAGAGAAGAAAGAAAAAAGGTCGAAGTATACATGTGTGCGTGTGTACGTGTACCTTATATGTGCTCGAGCAGGTTTATGTGATAGAAGCATCATTGATTATGGACAGGAATGTCAGGTACGAGTAACAGGCAAAAATTTCGTACTCTAATTGACAATTCGTTTAGATCTCTTCAAACAACTAGCTATTGAAGTTAAAATATTTCAAGATGTCCGATTGTAACGATGCGTGTGAACAAGTAATGTTGATTCGATCTACACCGCGACTTTTTTTCTCATGCTAGGAATTGTAATTTAAGTCAAACTTCTATCATTTATTTCAGTCGTTCATCAAAAAGGTCGCCACAAAAATGACAGATATAATACCACAAAGGTCATGGATAAGCAAGTGGTTCAACAGTTCCCAAGATGAGCCTGATTTGCAGGAGTCAGAAGTTGACAATACACAGTATGACGAATATGAGGAAACCCAGTCACAACCACCACCAGTTAAGCGACCTTGCATACGCATGGATGTGACACATCCTCCAGGCACATTTACCATTCAGCCTAGAAACAGAAATGCAACTAATGAAGTGGAAACTTCTAAAGATCATTTTTCTAATCATAATGAGACTGTAAGTTGTAACTTGTTGATAACTTGTAACTTTTAATGCTTGATTTCTAAGACTTTATCGTTGTTTAATTATTATATATAATTTCAGACACAAGAAATTTTAGAACCCTTTGCAACTGGAAGAAGGTTAGACCGTTTTGTTGCATCTACCCCTGCATTCTCAATGGATGCCACAAAGGCAGCTGAGGCAAGATCATCATTGAATATGATGATGGCAGAACAGAATAACAATGCAGCAACTAATGGGGTTGATGACAACTCTGAATCTAGTGAAAGCACAAGTGGATGTAGTTCTTTAATTCCTCAGAATAATAGGCAAGAGGCACCACCAAATTCAAGTTACAACACATTATTTGGAAACAAAAGGAGATACGTTAATGACAAATTTAGTTTTGGTAAGTGTTTTCATATCAAAAGTCTATTCAATAAAATTAGATGGCTGATGAATGTTTTATTTCAGCAAATCACTTACAATCGCCGAGATCACTGTTATTAGACAGTAGCCACAGAGAAACTTTAGCTAGTAGACGACCAAGCTTCAATCCTTCAATAATGAATAACACTGTTCTAAATAAATCCACGTCACTGTTATCACCATTTTACCCTGGGAACACAACTTTCGGAGGAGCGAACGCAGCAAACTTATATCGAAGTAGCAGCGCCCTTACCGATCCTTCACAAGTAAGTTTTATTTAACTTTCATTTCGTGCTAACAATTGACATTTTTCAATTACGTTGTTAATTACTCATTTTGTTTTTATCTCTAGTTCCAAAGTAAAGCACTGCATCGAGCGAGTGTAGAAGTGAATCCATCGAATAAATCGTCAACCACAGATATGTCGGGCTTGAGCCACACAGCTAGACGAATTTTAGAAACTCTAGAACACTTCTCGTCACCACTTTCGGATGCAAAGAAGATGCCGGTTCGAAATATTATGGGCGGTAACAGCAGCTTCCACGCGTCTCCTACGTCCAGTCGTAAACGTTCGCGAGAAGATGACACTGCTTCGCCAAAAGTTGGACTGAGGCATCTTACGCGTGAACTTACTGTTCCCACAGTACCCGACATGCTGCGGATACGCAGAAAGCAGAAGTTGCAAAATAGTACCGTCAACGCGAGAAAAATCGCGGCGGCTAGAACTGCTCCGATTGCATCTCCACCTGTACAACAGGAATATCATATAAGGTCAGTGTTTGAACTTGTTGAGTTTTATTTCAATGTTTAATTTTTAAATCTAATGAAAGTTTTAATGATGCTATGTTGGTATTTTTTTTTCTACAGAACGGAAGCAGATGTGGAGCCAGTGCGTAATAATCAATTGAAAGCGAATAAAAAAACGAATCTCGAAGAGCAAGAGACAGTCGAAGTTGTAAATTTACCAACAATACCTTTGCCAATTTCGAGTTTACCACGTTTTGATATCTCTTTACCACAAGCAACAAAACCAGCCACGCCAGACAAACCACAGCAACAGCCAATGTTTCAGCTGCAGAGTAATGATGACTCTTTCAAATTCGCGAGTCCTATTAGATTAGCTGAAACGAACAAGAACCTAGAGTCAATTAACAATTTCACCTTCAGTAAACCTATCACACCCAGTAGAATATCTGATTTCTCGAGCAGCGATTCGGAAGAACTGTCTAAGACCCTTAGTATTGATTCAACTGACATGTTCAATGCCACCGGCTCTTCCTTCCCGAATTTCATTTGGACGGGACCATCGCAGACGACATTGAAACCGAAAGAAAAAGTTAAAGACAAGAAAGAGATCATAGAAATAATCAAAGTTGCGACCGAACTGAAGCAAGGCAGTGTGATGGATTTCTTCAGAAAGCAGGCTGAATTGAAATCAACGCCTGCTGAAACAACACCTGTAAGTGAATCGCCAGACTTGTGGGAATGCAACGATTGTCTTATCAAAAACAGTAGCAAGGACACGAATTGCGTGGCGTGCAAAAGCGCGAAACCTTCTGGTGATAGTTCGAGCGATATTGAGGTGCTGGAGATCTGCAGTGACGACGACGATAGTAAATTTCATTGCTTTATTTTTAAATACGCTTTCGTTTTTTTTTTGTAAAATGTTCACTAAAACTATTTTTTCAGTTATAATCGTAGAACCAACATCATCGAATCAGGAAGCTGAACCAAAATCCAAGCCTCAAACAAGCACTTTCAACAAGTCCAGTAACGTAGAAACTACGCCGAAACTATCTATTTCCAATTCAATTGCCGAAGAATTAAAGACTGACAGTCCAGCCCCGCTATCAAAAATTGTTGAAGCTGCAAAGAACACGTGGGAATGTCCTTGTTGTATAGTAAGGAACGCCTATAGTGTGACTACTTGTCCGTGCTGTAACACTGCTCAACCAGGCTCGATAAATGTCAGTCCGAAAGCTGTAGTTGAAACTACTCTTAGTGCTACAACATCGTCTGGATTTGGTGATAAATTCAAGAAACCCGAAGGTTCATGGACGTGTGAGACTTGTATGGTCCAAAACAAGTCTGATATTACCAAGTGTATTGCTTGCGAAACACCGAAGCCCGGTGATAAAGTTGCTGCTGCTGCTGTCAAGGCTACATCTGGTTTCGGTGATATGTTCAAGAAGCCTGAGGGTTCATGGACTTGCGACAGTTGTATGATCCAGAACAAGTCCGATGTTACCAAGTGCGCTGCTTGCGAAACGCCGAAACCTGATGTATCGACGAGCAAAGCTAAGCCTAGCTTCGGCAACATGTTTAAAAAACCAGAAGGATCCTGGACTTGCGACAGTTGCATGGTGTCAAATAAATCTGATGCAACAAACTGCATTGCCTGCGAAAGTGCGAAACCAGGTACTGAGAAACCGACATCAAATTTGCAGTTTAAAGTGGACATGCCGGCCAACGTTGGTAGCTTCAAGTTTGGCATAGACAAAGCAGATGCTGCTAATGAAACATTACCGAAGACGAATGGATTTAATTTCGGTGGAAGCGCAAGCTTACAAGTTCCAAGCGATGGTTTCAGCTTCGGTGCACCCAAAGACAGTACAGGATTCGCTTTCAAACCAAGTGAGTCGGTGGCTGCGGCTGCAACTTTCCAGTTTGGAGCTAAGCCTATTGAAACAACGAGCACGGGAAAAGAAGAAAATAAAACTATTCCTACAGCGATTTTCTCATTTGGGGCATCGCCGAATGGTAACACTTCAGCGACTACTGGGTTTGTCTTTGGTACTCGTACTACGACGACTGCTTTTGGATCTACCACAGCAGAGAAAAAAGATGATAAGGCTAATACTTCAGTCACTTCAACTAATGTTGGATTTAGCTTTAATGCATCTACGGCAAATTCAACATCGAATACTAAAGGTAAATAAAATATCAATATCGTTTAAATAATTTCGCAAAAGGTATAGGTAATTCAAATAAATTTTTGATTTTAGAATCACCAGGAGAAGCAAATACGAAGTTAGCAAGTGAAACTTCCACTTCTACTTTTGTCTTCGGTACTCCTAAATCAACCACCGATATAAGTTCTAAAGAAACTTCAAAATTGGTCGCAACCTCCAACGTTACAGTAACACCAAAATCAACGTTACCTTTTGGCGCAGCAACATCGACGGAACCGAAACCAGCCGCCTCGCCAGCGCTTTTCATCTTTGGTGGGGCTGCTGCTGCAGCAGCATCAACGTCTGCCACCACCAGTACTTCGAGTCCGTCATTGTTCACATTTACTCCCACGCAGAAGACAAGTGAAGCATCAACAATTAATAAGACCCCCTTACCAACCTTTGGGTCACCTGGTGCACCGGCCAAACCTAGCTTCTCATTTGGTACGCCTACAGAAACAACGCCAGTGCAGCAGAATGAAATGAAGTCGGGATTGGAACTCGGCGGTGCAACACCAAACTTTAGAGGTTCAACGTAAGGCAATAATTATAATTTTTTATTTGTTTTATTCAATTTTGCGATATTTTTTTACGATAAACTTATATTATTTAGGAATCAAGCGACGCCATCGTTGTTTGGAAATATGACAGCTACATCCTCGTCGTCTAGCTTAGGAACGGCTGAGAAAAAACCATTATTATTCGGTACAGCAGAGAACAAAATCACGTCCAACTTTGGTGATCCAAGTGCAAAAATGTCAGCCTTTGGTTCGGCAACAGACAACAAATCAACCACATCAGCTTTTCCCTTAGCAACGACAACGCCGACGTTCGGTACACCTACATCTGTAACGAATCCTGCAGCTGTTGTCTCATCGTTTGGATCGACTGGCAATATGTTTGGTAGTCCCGCAACATCCTCATTCGGCAGTACAGTAGCTACTGGTATCTTCTCGGCGACAACGAAAGCTAACGAAACACCTGCTGCAACACCAGGTACATATCAGGTTAATAAAGTAAACTGAGAAAATACATAGCATCATTGCCAGCAATGTAATTCAAATTTTCAGGGATCTTCAGTTTTGGCGCATCATCGCAAACTGCAACCACAGTTACAGGTGGTTTCGATTTTTCGGCAGGTTCAAATGCAAGTGTCACCAGTGATCAGCAGAAAACTGGACTTTTCTCGTTCGGCGCTTCCTCATCCACTGTACCCGTTGGCAATGGATTTGGTAGCAGCGGTACATTTGGCGCCGCTGCTTCTTCCTCGACAACTTCAACGCCTGCAGCAAATTTCACCTTTAATGCGCCAAAGCCTGATGTTAGTAGTTTTGGCGCAGCCACACCAACGCCAATGTTCAATGCACCAAGTGCACAACCTGCTGGAGCTCCACCCGCTTACCCGGGTACTGCCAGTGTGGCGTCTGGTACAGGAGGATTCAACTTTGGCAATATTAATATGCCTACGAGTTTCAATTTCAGCAGTGTTAGTATTTATTTTTAAATAAGTGTAATCTTTAACAATCTTTAAGTAGTCAGAGTTATGATATAAAGTGTGCTGTTACGCTAACAACATTGCGTGTTCTAGACTCCTGCGCCAGCTGCTAGTGGTTTCAACTTCAACGCACCAAGTACTCTAGGGTCTCTTCCAGCATTTGATCCTAACGCAACGCCGACTTTTAACTTTACAGCAAACAGCGCCCCACCTACATTCAGGCACGTAATTTTTTTACCGGATAGAAATACGCTAATTACGTTGAAGACGCTTGAGGTTAAGTAACAAATTATTTTCATTATAGTGCACCTGGCGCTTGCGCTTCCACTGCCCCTGGCTCAAGGAAAATTAAAAAAGCAGTGAGAAGGATGCCGAGGCAGTAAACATCAAACGAGTGTGTCACTGAATCACACAGTCAGACACCGCAGTCGTGTTGACTTCGGCAAAGCTACAGACGATACGCGTAATTCGCATAAACGTGAAAATTATCAAGTGTGACGAAACTTGTCTCTGCGTGCCGCCGTAGAGTAAAAAGGCATAGAAAGTGGTGACACATCGACTTCAAGCATTTTTGTTCTTTTTTTTCCTGTACAATAAGTTCGTTCGTTATACGAGTTTGTACAAGTTTGTGGCTGAAGAAAGACATGATAAAAACGTAGTATACAGCCCACTTGTTGAGCGATCGGAAGTGATTTGTGATTTACAAGTTATTTAATTTAATGAATGGCACCGTCAAAACACAATATAATCGAGACAAAGAAGCAATGTTCAATTGAAATAGAAAATAAAGGCTGAACCGAGGATCCACTCTGTTCTTAGGTAAGTATTTAGAAAAAAAAAACAAAAACAAAATTAATCTTGAAGCTCGCGCTGACGTTCCTCATTTAACATGAACTTTGAAAGAAAAAGAAAAGAAAAAGAGCGAGCATACGAGTGAATTATAGCGAAAACAAAAAAATATTCTGTCTTTTCTCGTACTGCTTGACTTTGACTACTAATCTGTGATTAAAGTAACGTTCTGCGTTTTTTTGATCGGAGAATTTTCTAGTTGCGCTGCGGAATGGCAGAAAAGGCAACATATTTATTAAGAAAGAAAAATTAATACGCCTCGCATGAGCTCGCGAAAAAAGATTTGCCAAACTCTCTCGAGCTTTTCAGATAACAAGTGGAAAGATGGTTCTTTTTTTAACGAATTTTTAAAAAGTAATGATTATTGAACTCGCCCGTGTGCGCGAAAGCTGTTGCCAAGTAGTTACGGAATCTTTTTTCAGCGAGCGAGTTGCGATTAGGAATTATACATATATCAACTAGGATTTATCCCACTACACTTGTCTTCTTTGAAGTATATATAAACCAGAAAAAAAAATTCTAACAATTATATTTTAGATAGGATGCGGTTGGTCAGTACTGCATATGTCGGTAATCGCAGCACTTTCCAACTTACGAAACAAATAAAACAAACTGTAATATACGGAATAAAAGGGTGTGAGAGTATAATCGTGAAAATGAACAAAGCAAAACAAAAAATGGCATTCGGATGAGTACAAAGTCACGGTTACAGATGGTTCAAATGTGTAATCGAAATTGTATATTTTTTTTATACGAAGCGCAAACGCGAGAGATAAACTTATTGTAATAAAGACGAAAACTGAATGCCATTTTGCGCGGGATTTATAAATGATATATGTTGTACACGTATATATGAGATGATAAATCAAGCAAAACATTTTCTTCATGTTGTAAGCTATATCGCTACGTGTTTTATCGTCAGAAAAAGAAAATTGATCATCGAAGGGGACAACAGTGAACAGGTTATATATAGCGATCTATTAAAAATTTTTTTTTCTTCAGCGGGACTTCTGAAAACGAAACGTTGCATAAAATTAAATTTTGTGCTTATCCTTTTTTATTGTAATTATCAAAAAGATTAATGTCAAGTTGCAAACAAACAGACAAATTTAATGAAGCATACATGAGTTTATTAGAAGTTCCGTGTGTGTATGTGTGTGAGGGTATGTGTGTATGTACGAGCGACGAATAGTTAGCTTTCGTGCAATGGCAGTATGTAATAGAAACGGCTAATATTTAGCTAGCCAATGAAAATAACAAAATGTATCATTCTAGCCTCTACGATAACTTTTTTTAATAGCTTATGAAAAGCAAAGTTTCGTTTATATTTTCCTTTTCTTTTCTGTTAGCAATAACTCCTACATTTTACAATGATGTCTTCCCAAACAAGCAAGCAAAAGATTAGCTTGTGGTTCTTTAAATTTTAATCCGAAACGCACTATTATTTCCATATTAATTTATTGCTGATATAACTGTTTATTATGAATATACTTGCATAGAGCTTCGGCGCACCTTCTTTCATGCTATTTAGTTTTATAGAAGAATAAATAATAATAATAAATGGAAATGTCGCAACAATCAATCAACGCGGAAAGAGTGAGACACTCTTGAATAATATTGCGCAAAGAAAAAACAACAAAGCACTCATCAATATAAAAGAGACTGCAATCCGAAGTTCTTTTCCTTAAATTATTTTCCACTTATTTATTGTAACAGTGAGCGTGCCATTGTACTCGCAGCATAATTACTCGAATCGACTTGGCAGTGTATAAATGAGTTATATATACGGAACGATCACGACGTTGCAACGTTCGTCGTGTTATTTATAATGTAATTAGTTACGTGCGAGATTCGCTTGTTGAGAGCTTTTGAATTATATTCCTTTCGTTTTTTTTATTACGAAAAACTTGAGAAGTTTGTATCAAATTGTGGTTTGTTATATATTCTCGTGAATTAAGTTTGATTTAATAACTCAAAGCTTTTAGTTATTGTTAACGTCGAGACGCAACTTCATTGAAATACGTAGTGAAATCTATTTGTCTGAGGAGTTATACTGTTGTAATTCTTTTTAGGGTACACAGCTTTCGTCTAGCGTTTCCATTTTCGTAATGCGAAATAGGTGACGACCATGGATCAAATCGTTTGATTTGCGTTTGCGAAAAGAATCTCCAATGCAATATAGTCTACGGTATGTTCTCTAGAAAGGAGTTGACGGAAAAACCATCGAGGATTGTATAAAAAAAAAAGCAAAAACAAGCGAATTGTCGTCGAAAATGCGCGCAAGCAAGAGCTTCATGAGACTCGGTTTCTTTATTTTTTTATGCTATCGATGTACAATATTATCTGTTATTACTGTTAATTTTTTTATAGACGATTCAACGTCTTTGACTCTTGCTTCGCGTATTTTAGCATTGTTTAATTTGTCGAGCTTTTCAAAATTTACGAAAGCCGTTTTATTTTGTGTAATTAAAATAATTATAAATAAAATTCAGTTAAACAAATCAACAAAAAGGTCATTGATACTTTTATGCATGAAAAATGAGTGTCTAATTGACGAATGAGAAAAAGGATGAACTTTAACAAAAGCGTGAACATTCTCTGTTTTTATGTACGTGCTACCATGGAGAAATGGTACATTAAACTGCCAGTAACCGGCGAACAACTTATCAAAAAAAAAATTGATGTCATTTTACGATCGCGCTTTTGTGGGCTTTCACGTGTGATAATGAATAGAAAAATCATCGTTTTTGTAACATTTTCTAATGTTCAGCAATGTTGCCTCAGCTTTTTCATGTTACTCTACTGATCTACGAAAAACTGTGATTAATTTGAGACATCATTTGATATTAAGTTGTGATCATTTTAATTCTAAAAAAATGTACTCAAACATAAATGCAATTTTCAACGTTAACTCAAAAATCATTACATAAAAGTGGACATAGATAGTTGTTTGATTAGAAAGGCAAACAAACGTGTTACTACAGAAATTTTTTATACACGAAGTTTTCAGTAATTTTCGCGACTTTATGATCTACACTTTAATACCAAAGGAACCGTCGTCGGTGTTAACATAATCCAAAGCCTTAAAAATTACGATAATTTTATAGAAACTTGGTAATGATCGAGACTCATTTTAATGACTGATTGTAATTAATACTGAAAAAAAGAAGCGAATCGAGAATGTTCACACAGCTTCCCAGACAAATATTATTCAAACAGTATAGGTATAAATTTTCCTAGTAACAAGCACGTATGTGCGTAAACAGAGAGAGGGATAAATCGAAGTTTCGTCCGTATGTAGACTTACGTGTGCGAGGCTGTGCACGTCGTATGGCACAGTGTTTGTAGCAGCTATAAAACCATTTAGATTGATACACTTTTCGATCTAGATTAAGAGACAAAACTTACACGTAAGATCAGTAGAGATAAAGTTACACCCAAATTAGCACTGACTAATTTATTCTTTCATGTTTTCGGATTTACTTTGAATGTTTTCTTTCTATTGGTACATTTACTTTGGTCATTTTTTTAGAATGCACATGCTCGTTTTTTTATTATTGTTTACTATTTACCAACATGGACTAATTTTCATATTTACAAGAATTCCATTTTCATTTCGATTTTTCCAACAAATGAAAACATATTTATTGTTGTTTACTGATGTCTGTTAGCGTTAACGAACTTTCTAACAATTATGATTTGATTACCCTTCATGTCAACAATGTGAATTAAAACGCGCTGTATACGAGACGATAAGAAAAGAGCGTTATTGCATTGTTCCCTCTATTATTCTTTTTTATTTCCTTTCAACAAAAATAATGCGTTTTGCAAGATATACAAAGGTTGAAACCAAAGAATTTTGTAATCCTCTGCGAAACGTATGACATACCTCTTTTTTCCGTTCCCCTTGTCTAGAGTTGTCAATTTTTTTTCATTGCTACTACTTTCATTGTTAATTTAAGCAACACTGTAATATAGTGTAAAAAAGTAAATCTTAAAGAAATGAACAGCGTTGAAATTCTTTGGATCATACCCTAAGAATATGCTAATATGTAATTTAATGATGTAAAATAAACCGTTCGTTGTAATAAAACAATGGCTAAAATGGCTACTTTGTTGCTAAACATTTCTTCTTTGTCCATATCCACTTCAATATTTTCCTTTTTCAGTTTTGACCCGTATCATTAATAAAAACATGCTATTCTAAGAAAACAAAATAAACACTCAAATCAGTTACACGCCACACTCAGAATTTTTATTACGTAATTTTTTTTTCAAAGTTAAAAAAACTAAATGATAATTTTTTTACTTTTTCGCTTAAAATTAATCATGGAATAAATAATTACATAGATTCTTATTTACAAAACTGTATATTATAAATTACTTTTACAAAATCACTAATGTTTATAAAAGTGCAATGCAAAAGTAAGAATTTTGAAAGTTCAGAATCGGTCCTTGGTGCTACATCTCTGTATTGTACTTATGAAAAAACATCTAATTAATTGCATAAACACATTTATACATATTTGTGTAACAAAAAGCTGTTTTCCTATTTAAACTTGATACAAAGATAATATCACTGTACATGAGTAATATCTAAGGAAGATGACTGGAAGAAGCAGATGATCAAGTAAAAGGACCGAACTTTGTCTGTTTTTTTTTAAAACTTGTGGCATGAGTTTTATTCCGAGACTTACAACAAAACCGTTTTCGAGCTATTTAAAAATGCCGCTTTGTCGCATGAAGATATGAAACATTGACACGTACAACATAGGTAATACAAGACAATTGTGAACAGTTCAAATATACAATTCATCGTTGAAATACAAGTCGAATTAAACCAATGAAGTTAAATTCACTGTTTTTCAAACTAATATTCTTTGTTTTTTCTTTTGTCATTCTTTCTAGTCACTTAGTGCAAGTATGTGTGCATACGTTTACTGTGTTTGTTCCTTTCATTACGTCCTGGTTTCTTTGCAGTTGACCACGAGAGTTTGTTTCCCGATTGAAATAGGCCTCGTGTCGTTTCCAGGAGGTACGTTCACTAATTATCATTAATAAAACTCGCTTGGCCGCCTCTCCGGATTTATAGTCCTGCCAATCGTACGCTATGTATATCACTTCTATTTCTGATGATAGTATAATTTAGGTACAATTTTAATTATTCAATATTAATGAGAAGATTAATAAGTAATGTTTTATTTTTTTTCTGTTTGCATGAATTAATTATAGCTCGTAATTATTATTATCATTATCATTATTTTTATAAAGTCTCTTACACTAAGAATCGTCAGACATGAAGGAATTTTGGGACTTGAGTTCCTCTAGAGTCTGAATTTGTTGACGTAGAAACAATATCCTACAAAACAAAATATAGCCAGAACTAATGATATCGATCTTTAATATTGAGTAGTTTGAAAAACAAATTTGGACAAAACTAAACTGACCTTTGTTCCTGAAGTGTCGCTTGAATTTCTGTCAGCCTCACTATCGATCGCGCACTTTTTAGTTCAGCAGAAACTCTTGTACACTGCAAACTGCCCATAGTATGCGCTTCCTCACTTAGTTTCTGCGCCTAAAAATTACGATTACCCAAATAATAATTTAATTATTATTAAATTTAATGTAGTAACTACCCAAATAATAACCAAAGATATAATTATTAAGTGCCATAATGAAATCAAATGACCTCAAAGAATCTACTTCATGAAAATACTTATTCACGCAAAAAAGGAGTATCTGGAATAAAGAGTTTTTACCTGTTTCTCAAGGATATCCGCGGGGAAGGCGCGCACGTGTTGTGTGAGATCCTCGCGATAGTGATTGGCCAGCGAGGGCGTGAGCGAAGGTGTGATAGGCGGCTGCACTCGTGAGAGTGCTTGCAGTCCGCCACCATTACCTAGACTAGCTAGATTGCCCAGCGAACTGATCCCTTGCAACGAGCTGATACCTTGTACTCCGCTACCTGCTCCTTGCGGACTGTTCACTACAACAAAGCGGAAGAAAATTTATTTACAGCCACCGTTCTCCAACGATGGTAGTGAAGTGATACTTACTCTTCCGCGCGTCGATACAGTCCTGAGTCTCCGAGTGCGTTGGCGTTGGTGGCCCCTCGCCGGATATCACAGCGCCGCTAGTGTCCACCTTGAGCGGAGCCATTACATCGCTCGATCGGTCTCCACTTGACTGTCAGATGGAAAGAAGACGCAATCAGCGTTATTGTTTGACTATCTGCTTATGAAGCTGGATTAAAGTGTCTCACTTGTCGGGATAAAAGAATGGCCGTTTGGATAGTCTGCAAGGCTTTCTGGGCGTCAGGTTGCTCTTTACTGCCAGTTATTTGGGAGAGAAGTCGAGGTAAGCTAGACAACGAGACACCAGGTGGACCCGGCGCATTGCTTCCGACGTGTTGCGTTGGCGAGCCCAGTTTGCCCGATACTTGTGAAACGTTTGTTGGGTGTGATGTTAGTCGAGGTAACGCTAAAAAAAAGAATCATGCTAAATTAATGTCCGTAAGTACTAAAAGGCTACAAAAGGATTCTTAAATCGAAAGTTACCTGTAGCTAGGAGTACGGGACCTTGAGGCATATGATCGTGCGCCGAAGAAGTGATACTTTCAGAAGTAGGTGTCGAGTCACCGGGCGATATATCCATATCCTGTGTTTGCCGATCGTGCGACTGCGCTAGCGCTTGATGATCCTCCCTTGATGATTCACGATCTCGTTCCCGATCACGCTCACGTTGCTCTCGACTGCTACTACCGCTGCTCTCCTTGTCGCCTCGATCTCGATCTCGAGACGACATAACATCGTCCCTATAATAATCGCTGCTACGCTTGTCCGACTGGCCACGCGACGACGACGACGACTTGCCGTCTCTTGTACTGCTACTGCTGCCGCTGTTTGACCGCGAGTTGGAATGTTTATCGTGACCTAAAGCACAATTTAACAGACGCGTTTTAGTACTTGTAACAAAGCATATTGTTTAATGAAATATTAAAAGTTCAAAAAAATTGAGTGTGCTTTTGACCTTGTATGAAGTATGCATGCATAAAATGTCCTTTATAACAACTTATTTTCATACAAACGTTTAATTTAGTATTAATTAGAATTATCTTTAGTTTACATATAAAAAAAGAATCATGACAATATTTGTGCAAACTCAATGTCGTAAAACTGAAAACTGATATTGAAAATACTTGTCATGGTTATCGTTAATCTCGACCTCTAAAACTAAATAACCGTCATTGTATGACTTACTTGACCTAGAAGATGAATAATCATTAGATTGACGTTGACGACTCTCGGTTCGAACAACCCACTCTCGTGGCTTTTCCCACTGGGAAACTTCGGTTTTGCAATTGTAGTAATACTTTTTTCCCGAGGAGCTCATGTGTTCTGACCAATCGCCGAACCTCGCAGTTCGTTCCATCACACCTCGCTCGTCTCCACGCTTATCCTAATTTTAGTTTCAATATACGTTTATTGTTAAACTTTTTAACATAGATATCAAATTTAACAACTTATTAATTAAATCTTTTATAAATAATTCATCTTTAATCTATCAACATATAAAACAGTATTTTTTTATATAATGAGTCATTATAAAATCAAAAAGTTTTTGCTAATTAAATCAATTATCATGAGTAAAAAATGTATTTTGATTTATATATAAACCATAGCAATAAATGATTCATCATCTATACTCAAATCTATATAACAATTAATTGATCTTTACACTAACCTGACATGAATTGTGTGTTGGTTTTCTCTGAGAAGAGGAATCTCTCGACGAATTTGAGGATAATTTTATTGGATGTAGAATCTAAAAGCAATAATAAAAAAAAAATAAGCAAATGATAATATTGATAAATATAATGTAAATAAGAAGCCAATTTAGAAGAAGAGTATATTTGTTAATTAATTTGTTTCCTTTTCATATAAAATTATGGCCAGAAAAACATTGAATAGTGCATTGAAAAATAATAGCAGTTCTAAACTTATGAGTTATTCATACTGCTTATTAAAGTTATTACAACGTGAATACAGTATTTTGATTTTGGACTCAAACTAGTAATCCAAAAGTAATTAGTAAACCAGTTTAACCAAGTTCAATATATATTGTTCATAAAATATAAAGAAAACTCACTTCGCCGCTGCTCCTATCATGGTTGGTCCTGTGCTCAGAGTCCCTAGACTCTCGATTTCTCTTCTCTTTTGGAGATCGTGCACAATCTACAAGAAAAATATAAAATGACAATAACTTCTAATATGTCAGATTAGATTAAAATAATATGCATCATAACAGCAGTAATACAATAAGTAATGAGTATGTAATGGAAATAATAATAATAATAATCAAATCAAGAAATTTAGATAAAATATAAATTACTTACCGGTATACTTATCCCTAGAGGAGGACAACTTGTAGTCTCTATTTTCTCTCTCCTTCTTATACAGCGGCTTGGTAGAGTAGCTACGTGGACTATCACGGTCTGCCCCCAATCCCATACCCAATCCCCCAGCAGGGCTGTATGAGTTTCCATTTGGGGAATCACGCATTCGCCCCTCATACCTGCTATCCGATGTGTTTGAAGATGAGTAACCACCCTTTGAACTACTATACTTGGCATTCTGAAACAAAAAAATGATTGATTAAAAATTGAACACATCAATATTTGCAGATTAAAACATTCATCACTTTGTTTTAAAGAAATACTTTTTTCTGCTATAATAAGTTAAAAATAACTATCACATTTGTCGTTTATATTGTTTTCCTAATGATTAAACATAAAATTTTGATTGATAATTGAGCGAATCATGGCGAGTTGTTCATTGTAATTATTCTAACCTCAAAGTGATTCACCCAATTGAGTAATTTACCTACAAAATTGTTACAAAATTCAATATCGTCGTTTAATATCTCAATAATAAATATTTTCAAATAATTATATTCAATTTTCATCTGAAAATTTAAAAGAACAAGCCTGTAATGTCTTATAGAACAACTTGTGAAAACTAGCCAAATGCTAAGCAGCTGAAGACTTTAATTTTCACATTTTCTCGTCAATTGAAGAATAATAATCGCACGATTGATATATCTTCGCGAAAATCTCAGATATCGCCCTGGAGAAAGTGACGGAGTCGTACTCGAATCACATGATAATCGTCGTCCTTGGAGTTGGAGTTCCTGTGGCAGTGCCTCCACGACATGGCTATTGATTTCCTTTGGCGCTGCCTGGACGACAATGACGACGCTGGGGTTATGTTTACGCGATTGTCTAGTACCAAAGGCGGCATCCGGACATCGTAGTCGTTACTCGTCTTCGCGGTAGTATGCCTATCGCGAACGAGGCGTCACTCCGTTATACTGGCTGTACTTGTGTTTTTTTGTCTGTGTGTTTGTTTCCTCGGCAATCAAAGAACGAGCGAGAGCTGCTCAACGAGCAACAGTCAGAAATATATTTTTTTTTGCTTCCGTAACCGAAGGAGACACGGGGAGAAGGCTCCTCTACGCGGCACAATAAATCGACTCCATCTTTGCGGGGAAGCGCGAAACTTGGGATACGATGTACCTAACACGTAGTCAAGACCTATATGTGTATTTGCGAATCGCGATCGGGCATAACCTCAAAATTTAAGGTACGGGATATAGGTTTTCTCGAGTTCCGAGTAAAATTTGTTGAACTGATCGATTTTCTCACGATTTTGTAATCCAAACTCCTTATTTCTGCAAATTTTTAAAATTTGTATATCTATATTTATACTTTTTTGAGCTTTCGATAAACGACACGATCATTCAAAATAATTGGTAGACATTGATTATTTGTAATTTTGTTATTATTGACGAAATTGCAACCAAAGATTTTAGTAACCATCGTCCCAACTTGAATTAGGATACAGAAAAAGCAATGAGAATTTACAAATGATAAAAATTTAACTAAGCATCTTAATTTGCATTTCAAGTATCTTTTAAATAAATTAAACTTGAAAAATATTCTTACTGACTGCAAAGTCAATGTAGACATGCATAGATATCTACAATAATCATTTAACCTGCTATAAATTTTTCAAATTAATTTTAAACCAATACATGCATTTTATGTTATTAGATTTAATTAAATTAAAATAGAATATTGAATTTATATTTTTATTTAAATTATTTCTTATGCACTACTAGCAGAGACAATACTCTACAACTGGCATTGAAAAGAAAATATGTATGTTTAAGCAAATTTAATCAATAAAGCCATGTCAATGGTAATGCAGTGCAATTAAGATAGAGAATAAGAAATAAGTGTTATTGATCTGCAGCATTTGAATAAAAGATGCTTGACACAGTTGAATAGTCTATTCAATGTTGAAGCAATTTTAATGCATAAAATCTTTTATTATTTAACCTATTGACTCTCAAAAACATTTAAATGATTATAAATATTTTTAGGGACAAACTAAAACTATAACTTCTTAAAAATACTAGTTTTTAAAAAATTAATAAAATAAGTTGAAGCAGATATCACAAGACACATAGATCTAAGTCTGAGTAATTAAATCCATTTCAAGCTTTGGTAGAGGGTAATAAAATAGTAATAATATCATTAATATCAACTTTTTTTGAAGAAATCAATCAAAGTTGAGTACTAAATGAACTCATTGACAGGTATATATATTTACCTGGTAAGGATGGGCCTGATGTTTGTCGAAGTACCTGAAAGCAAAAATGATCATTTATTACAATGATGTTCTTAAAATCTAGCATCCAGAGTGTATTGATTGACTGTACTGCCTCACACACAGACATAAAGAGGTGCAAGAGTATATCGCGAGTGCAGGAGGGAGAGAGAAAGTAGGCGCCTTACCCATCATTGATCCTTTGTGGTTTCCTCGCATGCATTACCATTAATGCCGGTGTCTTAGGTGACGCTCGCGGCCTCGGATGATGTTTAGCTGCACTGCCCGTCACGCTCGTTGCTTCGGCGGCGGCAGCGTCATCAAGCCTCACCTCCAGCGGTGGCTATGATGGTGTAATGTGTGAATTCGCGTCGTCTTCGTCGTCGTCGTCGTTTTCGTGTGTATAGCGACGCTACGTGCTATATACTGTACCTCTTCTCTCTTTCTTTGTCGACGTCGAGACCGACTCGACAATAAAAAAAGACAGCGATGAGAGTTCTGCGGCAGAAGCAGCTACCTCTATCCGGACGCCATGTCACCCTATGTGCAGCAGCAGTCAGCAGCAGCTTCGTTCTTTTTTTTGTCGTGAGAACCGTATCGGTGAGAGCAGCGTTTGATTGTGTGGGAGACATGTAATATAACGTCGATTTAGTAGAGCAACATCCACGAGTATTCTACCTATCATTACAGTATTTTACGTTTCATCTTATTATGTTATGGCCTGATCAGGCTATTATAAATGTCCATACCTGCCCATATAGGCCATGACTATTTCACGAAGAAAATGCGAATACATTGCCATATATTTATTACCTATAGGTTTTCTTTATCTATTATTACTGCTTTCGAATGGTTCGTTCGGTTGTCAGTTTATGTGTATTTACATTCATGAATGTTAATGGTCGTGCTCTAAATAATAAATAACATTCAGTCATTAAAAATATTTATTCAATAATCTTTTTTTTGTACTTGTTATATACAATTTATTCATACAGCTCTATAAAAATTGACATTCTAGAAACAAAAAAACATGCATAAATTTTGGAATATTAAAGTACATTGCACCCTTAGGGAATTTCTACATAAAGAGACGTCGGATATCGGCCAACAGACATATACCATGGTAAAACAAAATGATCAAATGATACATTATTGATGTATTATAATAATGTTAATATAGTAGATTTGTATTTCTATCATTACTTGTATTCTATGCAATCACGGACAAATCCAGATGTTAAACAAACATTTAGTTTTGTACCTTAATAATCTCGGTACACGTCCGGGATTCGTTATTCAACATTCGATGTATCCTTATGTAGAAAGTCACTTATAAATACTTTCATCAAAATAATATCATAAGTAATATAAGTACACTAAAACTAATTTAATATAATATGAATCATATGCCTCTATTTTTTCATCTCATTATTAATATTGCAAATAATATTCACATTGTCTTAAATTATATTTCTAATTAAATAATAAAAATTACATGATTTAATGAAAAATCAAGTTGTCTAAGCATAATTTTACTTACAGGAAGAACTTAAATGAAACATTATTTGCTGCAATACTACAATCAATTTTTGTCTATAAATAATCAGCAAAGCAATGACTAACGATTTCTGTCATAAGGACAGTTGTATAATTTACAAAATGATTTTCACAAAATAGTACTCCTTTTTACAATCTACACAAAAATAATATGCACTTCTCATAAATTTGTACTTTTCAATAGATTTTTCTAATCCAGAATGAATTTATTAAGATCAAACTGTAAAATTATGATAGTAGTTAAAAATCAAATATTTTTTCAAGGGTATTTATAACGATAATACAATCGTTGAAAAACATTGTGTAGTAATTTGTACTGCAAAATATTTTTCTGAAACAAAAGTATTTTAACATAGTACCATATAGTTTAAAGGAACAATAATTTTCCTTAGAATAATAATTTATGACCAATTGAAAAATATTTTTCTATAAATAATACGTTAACGTGACTTTACAGTTCAAGATTACTCCAAATTCGATACAATCTTGTTAACATTTTAATTTATAAAATGGAAAATTATTAAAGATATGAGGCACATAACGCATGTATCATGATTTCTACTTGAAAAATCTTAAGCGCAATATTCTATTAATTTGATTATTTTCCAAGAATAAGTTTTGATTCTTACATATACTTTACAGTTCATATATTTCATAAACAAGTAAAAAATAATTATCAGTTAAAACTAAATACATGAATTGAACTATGAACACTAACGATATATAAATTCGAGTCAACTAACTTTAATTAAAAATGTGCCATATACGTATATGCATACACACACATACACATATGTATGTATGTATGTATGTATGTAAGTATATAAGTATATATGTATTATCTAAATAAATTTATGCAAAAAAGAGACAGAATAAAAGGCAACAGGAAATAATTGTAGCGTTTGTAAAAAATCTTGTAAGAAATGCATTACGATTTACCACATACTCAGTACCACTGTTAACTTAAAATTGTCTCCAAACAGAGTTTTATAAAAGTTTCAATATATACTGAAGTATTGACAAGTAAACCTTCTCAACTGGCATTTGACACATCAATATCAATAGTTTCATCTTTCAACAATGCCTTTTTATCTTCTTTTGTGCCTTGCTTTTTCCCTGCTCCCTTACGTTTTCCACGATTAGTGACTCCATTTTCTTCATCCATCATTCTTAATATTTGTACCTGATGGGAACTTTCTATAGGTGCAATTGAGATATCTCGCACGGCACGGAATTTGCCACAGTTATTCAAATGTTCATTCTCCAATCTAAAGAAATTCCACACAAATCTCCTGTTAACAAAATAAAAAATATATATACTGTCTTTATTTAATAATCAAAATAATTCAAAAAATCTACCTAAAAACTTCAAGTGGCGCGACTATGGAAACCATCAAATCATTTCCAATGTAACCATACTCAGTCAAGGCAAAACTTGGTATCCAAAGAAATCTTATAACTAAGTCTTCAATAATGGCAAAGTAGTAAAAACTCTGTAAGTAGTTATAAGTAAAAGTTATTATAATTACAGCTAATAATTATATCTAAGAAAAAATAATAATAACATAAACTTACAGCTGAAGAATAAACAACTTCTTCTCTTAAAAACTTGTTTTCTCCAGCATTAGAGTCTAATAGACCCCAATCCATCTTAATATCCCAAGTGTAAGAATAAACGGAATTGATAAAGCAGCTAACAAACCACAACCAAAGCCAGGGACTTTCCCAAATATTTTCTGTCTTATCTAAAGAAAAATAATGTATTATGCTTCTTGTCCACGTCTATTGAAAATAATACAAACTTAAGAAAAATCTGTTTATACCTTCATATCGCATGCGCAAGCTCAGCGTGATAACTACCAAAAATGTCGTAGCATACTTTCCAGCGTTAACTAGATGCGGGAAAGCTTCTCTTGAATCACGATATCGTCGCAAGCATTGAGCAAACCGAAACCATGCGGGTAAGCAGTTGACAATCGGTCGAATTATTAGCGAACCAGTGGAGCATTGAGTAGTATCTCCGGCTTCGAGCCAATTACCATTCGTGATGTAAAAGCATATAAGAAATTGTAAATCCAGAAGGGCTGTAGAGAAGCTTGTGAGCTGATCGCCCAACCAGAAATCCGCAAAATTGACATAGGCGAACGGCGCTATGATAACTCGTGACTGCAACAGTTATACAATTATACATTTGACATAAAGGTTTTACACTATTCAACTAATCTGGAAGAAAATATAACTTATTTGTCTTAGCAACTCGTCGACATATCTCCAGTATTTCTTTGCCTGAACGAAAAAAAATTTTACGTCTCTAATTTTCCATGAAAAGATTAAAAAGCTACTCACGGTAATCCTCAATAGCCAAAATCTCGCTTCATGCCTAAACACTTTCAAAGGATTCAAGAGAAATGCCAACATTATGACAACAAGAGCCAAAGGATTGATATATGGTGGTATACTCAAACTCGCACTGTACAAGAAACTCAATAAGCTGAGAGCCCAAACGACACCAAGAACAGCAGCAAGTTCCATGAGGTGTTGCTCCGATAAGTGATTACGAGGATCCAGTTCGAAAATTAGTACGTGATTGACACCAGACGATCGCCAACCGTACACGTTCACACCAATCAGAAAGAGAAATTGAATGAGTAAGAGAGGTCCTCTGTACAATCGGAAAGCGATCTTTAAGTTCTCGCCTCCATCGTGAAATATAGCTGTAAATGAATATTTTTATTGTATTTTTAATACAACGAAGAGCGCCAAATTATGTAGTTTATTTACCTGACAATACTACTGCTACAAAGAGAACAATGAAGCTACCAGAAAAGAGACCGACCTTGAACGTCGTCCAGGGACTTTGATGCTCTCCTAAAGGAGGTACTCTCAGGCGTTTCATTGCTCGTTGACGATCACCGCCTTCGAGGCCTTGAGTTACACTTGCCTCTGTGTCTTGAATTAATTTGTCTATATCCTTTGAGGTATAAAAGTGAGATGTTTCTACGGATTCTACTCTCCATTTTGAACCAGCATCCACAGCCAGCAACTAAAATTTATTTATGCTGTTAATGTTTCATAATTGCTTCATCTATTTAATAATATTTGTTGAAAGTTACCTTATCATGCTTTTTTAAAATTTTACGAAATCCTGTATAATTAAGGTTTTGATAGTTCTGCAGGAGAATAAGTGATAAATAAAATTCTGAAAAAGCAAGCTTGAGTTCTCTCATTTTTCTGGCAGGAATTTGAGTTTTGGACGATGTTTTGCCTTTTTTGCTTCCTCCATGCTGCATATCTTGAGCAGTTTTGAGTTCACTTTGTAAAGCTGCATATTTCCTTGTTGCTTCAGCCAATTTTTCTGAAAAGGTTCAATATTTTCTTTATACAGAAATAGATTCTATAAAAAATTATTAATATAATTACAAACCAGAATAAAAAGTATTAATCTTCTTCAGTTCCCTATCACAGAATGTGAAAAATACCTCATCAAATGAAGCAAAATGTCGAGTAATCACCTCAGGCTCTACACTTTCTGCTGATGGTGCTTCCTCTACTGCTGCATATAGCATTGCTTTCATTTCCTACAAACATAATGGAACAAATAATTTAAATTATTTCAAGACTATATAGAAAATTAATATTTCTATTATTTACTTCATAGCTTATATACTGTTTCCTCCATTCTGGTGTGATGTGAGCTGAGAGATGTTCTGCAAACTTCATTGTTACTTTTTATTTTTGAAAATTTTTCCCTATGAAAAACAGGTAAAATTTATTTGGACGATTCATGTAGACTACATTGGAATTATATTAGTACTGTACTTACAGCTTTTTGTGAAAAAATGTCTAAGTTGCGCAAGACTTCGTCTGTAAATGTTTTCTTAGATCCATAAACTTTGCTTGTTATACTCCTAGCAAACATTGAAATAACCTCTTAGCGTGAAATACAATGGTGTAATTAAGACAATATTCCAAGATTTTCAAAGTTTACATAAAAAAGGGAGACTGAGTTATAAGTTATCAGCAAATATCAGATCACTTGTAATTTTACAAGAAAATTAAAAACTGTAGTTATAAATGATTTTTATTGAAATAAATTTAGCGTGCAAATTTTATTATTAAATTAACTTAAAGAAGTAAACATGTAATAAATACGTTTTTAAGATAACCAAAGTCACGCGTCGATTTTTGAACGTACATTCGAGAATAAAAGTTTAATCTACAGTTAATCTATGGCTAACTGTTCTGTAAAATAATGATAGAAGCTTACCTTTTCACGTAGATAACAAATAAACTACTCTGTATCCTACAGATACGTTTAAATTAATTCTTTTGATCTCCATTCCATACTTGTGACTACTTCTTAATTAACTTTTCTTTGCAAACAATGCAATCACGTGACAGAGCTGCTGACAACAGCTGTGTGAGCGCTACCTATAGCATGTATGGATATGAGCATTTAACAGTATGATGCGCGAGACGAATGGAAAATTAAAGAGAATTTAACTCGAAGCGTTAGAGATGATCAAGGTTGTTCTAATCAGCTTGCAAGTGAGCACATGACTTTTTTAATGTTTCTTCCTTTCTATTGGTAAATACACTAACGTCATTCAATCTTTACTAACGAACTATAGTAAGGGTAATCCCTTATTAATAACATATTTGCATACTACGCAAATCATACTTAATTTGTCTCCTGGGAACTTAGAAAAGTGAGTTTTGTTTCCAATATATAACATATCTTACAATATTTAAAAATATTAAGTAAAAAAGGCACATTACAGCTTTTATTATTAAATTTCGTTTTTTAATCTTTAGATATTTTACATGGTACTATAATAAGAAAATTTGTGCTATCCATACACAATATTTAAATATAAAAAATAAGTACAGCATCTGGTAATAAAAAGCAATTCGGAGTGTAAAATATCAGAATGTAAAACAGAAGTATAATTAAATCTATCGAAAATGTTAGAATACAACTATTTTCCGCACTAGAAAAATAATAAAATAACAAAAAATCTATAAATGCACAATTATTGAGTATATGCTACAATATTAAATACACTATAAACTGCCAAGTATTGAATGCTGTATCCTGTCGCAGCTCTCGATTGTAGTATTTATTTTCTCCAATTGTGCATTAAATTTGTATTTTGTTATTAGAATCTTTGGCGGTTTTGACGGGGATATCTCTTACCGCGCGTAATTTACTCAAGTTACCTAAATGTTCGTATTCCATTCTAAAGAAGTTCCAGATAAATCTTCTAATTTAAAAATATAAAAATAAAATGTTGAATAAATGATAATAATTTTTTTTTCTAATATGGAAATATTTATTGAACCTGAAAATTTCTAAAGATGCCATAATAGATGTCAGTGATTCGCTAGTCACTATTCCATTTTTGTTAAGTATCAGTGACAAAATCCATATGTATCTCAGGATGAAATCTTGAACCATAAACAAGTAGTACAAACTCTAAAATATATATAAAAATAAATGAATTATAATATGTCTCATTTGTTTATGTAAATATAGTATGAAACTCACAATCGAAGGGTAAATCAATTCATCCCTCAAAAGCTTGTTTCTCTTTGCATTAGAATCCCAGAATCCACAATCCATTTTGATATCCCAGAAAAAGCAGTACGTGGCCATAATAAAATTACTAGTAAACCAAATCCAAAACCACGGACCTTGCCATATATTCTTTAATTGGTCTTCGAAACCTTCGCGTAAACCAGCCATAATCCAAGCCATAATAATGGTAAAATATTTTCCAGCATTTGCTAAATGTGGAATGGCAGCTTTTGTATCTCTGTATCTTCTAACACATTGAGCGAATCGGAACCAGCCCGGTAGCAGACTAACGATAGTTCTGGTGATGAGGCAACCTTTAGTACAATAAGTTGTATTCGATGCCGTCCACCAATTATCGTTTGAAGCGTAAAAGCAGATCAAAAAGTGATAATCGAGAAAAGGTGTGACGAAGCTGATTAGTTGGTCCCCTAGTAAAAAATCTGAACAGTTGACGCAAGTGATAGGCGCCGTGAGAACTCGAAACTGCAAAAAATATATGTACATATGTATATTTCACTTGTTATACTTGAAAAATACACTTAGCGATGTTAAAAACAATACCATCCACTGTTGAATAAGACTTACGACAATATTTATGAACCAGTACCGAGTATCCCGGTAAAGTACATTGACAGGGTTTACTATAAACATTAGTAAGAAAACGAAGAAAGCCAGAGGATGAACGTAAGGCGGGATATTAAAAATTGGACTACGTAGAAAAGCCAATAGACTGAGATTCCACATGACGCCCAACATCAGCGCAATTTCGACGATGTGTTTCTCCGTCAAATGCCTTCGAGGATCCAGTTCGAATAGTAAAACATAATTGACGCCAGCGATTCGCCAACCATAGACGTTGATGCCAAAGAGAAAGAGAAGCTGAAGGGTCAAAAGGGGCCCCCTATAGAGCTTGAAGGCTACTTGCAGATTGTCGTTACCGTTACAGGACAGTACTAAGAATGAAAAAAGTTGCACAATCGTAAAATGAATTCATTAACAGCTCGAGTTTTATTTACTTGACAGTACAACGGCAGTTGAAAGTAGTACGAAACTGGCGGCGAACATGCCAATCCTGAAAGCCAGCCAGAATCCTTGTCGCTGATTGTCGCTTGGCACTTTCAACATCTGCACGGCTCGTCGACGATCATTACCGGTTAGCACATCTGTCACAGTTGCCTCTGTATCCTGGATCAGTTTTTCAACTTGCTCGGAAGAGTAGAATTGCGCACGATCGACGCGTTCTACTCTCCACGCGGATCCGGATTCAACAGACAGCAACTGCAACACATGGATTCTACTTAATTTTACTTGTATCACTTGCCACTCGAAGTATTTTCAACCTACTATATCGTGTTTGGCGAGTAGCTTGACGAATCCCGCGTAGTTGAGATCCCGGTAGCTTTGTAAAAGGTTGAGAAGGTAGTAGAACTCGGAGAACGCTTCATTCAGTCTTTGCAGTTGCTTGCTCGAGGTGGATTTGTTCTTGTGGTTAGTCATTTCCAAGGTGGCTTTCAGTGCGCTTCGAAGAGTCTCGTATCTTGTCGTCGCTTCGACCAGTTGATCTAAATAATGTTCTTATTTACGCATTATTGCTGCGGATAAGTTGGATTCATCGTCAACGCTTACCACCGTAGAATGCGTTGATTTTCATTAATTCTTCCTCGCAAAGGGAGAAAAATAATTGATCGAACGACGTGAAATATTGAATGACCATGTCGGGGCTGGCTGTCTCTGGAGAAGGCGCTTCTTTGACCGCTTTAACCAGCATTTCTTTCATCTCCTGTAACAAGATATTATCGCTATGTCAGTTCCTTCTTGAAACCAATAAATTAGTTGGAGAACGTACTTGGTAGTTTATGTATTGCTTCTTCCATTCTGGAGTAATTTTGGCAGCCAATTGCTTTTTGAATTTCATAGTATAAATGTTTAGCTGAATACCTTGAACCGCTCTTGTTCTAAAATAAAGGATCATCCGTAGAGCATCATTGTAAAATTTCCTTGATAGTTTAAAATAGTTGAGTCATTATCATATTTAATATAGGTCTTGCAATTAAGAGAAAATTAAAAAAATAAAACGACAATCCACAATATTTCCACCTGAGTCGCTAGAAAGCTCGAATTTGCATCGAGATTCTTGAAAAGCAGCAGTAACTCGATCACACGAACATTATTTTCGAGAATCTCGTAGTTTGACGTACGTGCCTATTAGTTAAGCAAATAGCGCGTGACGCTTACCACTTATATCGCGCGCTAACTATCCTAACGTATCTCTTGCTTTTTAAATTGTATATCGAGCGGCAGTTGTCATCTACGATCACGCCGATTTTCCCGAGTTTGTGCCGCGATTCACTGTTGTAACGGAAGTCGATCGAAAAGCCTGATCTGCGACGACTTATCCCGCTGAAATGCCACGTTCCTGCGACGTGCGTATACTCATCTGTTATTTATATTACCGCTATCCTAATTATCGAGCGATGCCCGTTCGATTCCAGGCATAGGAGAACACGACTCGAAATCAGGCCTCCCCGGACGTTCCGATGGAAGGCCTAAGCAAAAACACGAATGCCAGTGCTGCGAGCACTCGAGGCTTGCGCCTTTTCGAAAGCAACGCAGGCTCGACAGAAAAGTTGCGCGCCGCTGCACTTTGCGGCTAACAGTAGTTTACAGGAGGACAGCTGGTCTTTGAGATAAAAGACGCTTCAGACCATTAGGGCTGCGTGATATCCGATCGTTAAATTACGCTTTCGCACTTTCGTCTCAAACGCAAGCCCATCACGAATGGCTATGCTGATATTCTAGCGGAGACACACGCGCTTATTGCTTTCTTACTTGCGCTTATCCAGATCAGATGTAATTAAATAACGAATGCACGATCCTATCAGTCAGATGGCAACAGATGCAATAAAATGTCATTTCTAAGTCGCGTGGCAAGATATCGCCTCGAAAGCGGTACAATTAGAAATCGAAGCTCGCTTACCGAAAGAAAAGGCAACGTAGCGTCTACTCCACTCACTGACTGGTCTACACCGACAGCGCGTGCAATCCGGGCAAATGTCGCAGCTGAGAATCGCCGAGAGACGCCGACGCATCGACAGCTGTTACTTTGGCAAACGATCGAATCACGCGGCGGCTTCGCAAACAGCGTGCTGACGTTAATAATTAAGCCGCGGGGGCTAATCGGCGTGATCCGAAGCACTCGGCGGCGGCATCAGCTGGCACGGCATTGCGCAAGATTTGCACACGAGCCGCGGTGGCTTGGCGGATAAAACACGTCAGTCCGTCATGCGGGAGTTTGGGCTTCTTTTAAATAATGTACGTGCCAGGATTGATTGTAGCTCCGGTGACTCAAATTCGGTCCAGTATATTTATATTGGCACTCTAGTTACTCTTTGACGCTCTTTTCATAGAAGCGATTAAAACACTATGTTTAAATAGTCCGGATGCTTCTAGAGATGGGTCCTTCTCCCCGACAGCGTTATAATAACAAAAATCGCGCTCGCAAAGGGAGCCACCGCCATCTATTAAAACTAAACTAAAAACTAAAACTGATTCGCACGCGGAGCGCGGGGCAAGATTTTACTCTCGTTATATACGTATGTCGACCAAGTTCGACTCGTCGAGTGTAGATGGAGTTTGTTGTGCAATGAATACCGAGGCCGTTGCGTTCGGCGTTGATTCGCTGATTGACGCCCGTTGTCAGTAACCGAGGAAAACTTGCTAAAAATGCGTAACAAGCTTTGGATTTTCTCGGCACGATGCGGCGAGCGTCCGCGGGTACGCGACTAAACGCAGTGTAACGCTCTTCTTTTTGTGCACATGTATATTTCCACTGTCAAAATTATCACACGCGCGCGTGTATCGTCTTCGCACGACTTTACGGCTGCAAAATAATTATACCGCTCGTTCCTTTTGAAGATAACGTAACGACATTCGCGTGTTTTACCTGGAGTACCGAAGAAACAAACGTTTCCTATCTAATAATTGACGCAATGTAAGTGTCAATCGGCCGGCAATGTTTCGCGCTTAGCCAAACCATAACTTGGCTAGTCTTTGATTTACTCGATAAAAAAAAACAACAAAATTTGAGCACACCGATCGGATTTCCAAATATCTAATTAACCTCCAGAGTGAACTAATCCGCTAACGTAATAACGCTCTGCACGTCCTTGACATCGAATTACTTAACCGCCTATTCACAAAACTCCATCGTTACTCCATCGCGAGTTGTAAGCGAGTGCGCGATTAACGGGCTCTTGCCAAGCCTTAACACAACTATACAAACAGATATACCTATATAAATATATACACCGTGTATCAAGAGATTGGACTTTGGACTTGGTGCGGTGAAAGCATCGTGTATATATATATATATATATGTGTGTGTGTGTACACACGTATACACACACGTACACTAGCTTGCGTAGCACGTGGGGTACAATACGAAAACTATTATGTACGTCAGTCGCGGATCTTCGGCGCCTTTTTTTTTCTTCTTGACATATTCGTACAGGGGCGGACATGTAATTGCATTTATGAGTTATCGTGCCATAGCGAGAATACAAATAAAAGTTGAATTTTAGAAAATGCTGAAAAAAACTGAGATCTATAGATCACGATGACTTAGGAGCAAAGGAATTCGTACACTTTGATATGTCATTTTCTTGCACGCCTACTTTTTTTAAAACTTGATTTCATACAAGCTTGTAAGTTGATGGTAATGTACGTAGTGAGAACTATTTGATGTTTTGATGAAAAACACTCGCGTACTAAATTAATACACTATAGATGCGAGATCCTTCAATTAATACAGATTCAAGGAGTTCATTCTTACTTTTTATCCAAGGCGGACGAATGTCCATGAGAGTGGTATTGCTTCATTAATATTTAAATTTGAGTAAACAAAATAACGAATAGAATGGGATATATTATCTGAATATAAATTCAGGCAAATGAGTTTGGAAGGCACTTTTTCCAAATCGAATATGCAATTATATTTATCGACAAGAAAAATATAGAACTCGCACGGTATCCCATTATTATAATAAACCGTACTGGTTTAAAAGTCTCAATAAAATTCGTCCGTAAAAAGCTGCAAGGTGGTAGAAACATCGAATTTCATAGATTAGAAGTGTAGCAACAAAAAAACAAATAAATCTTTGTCGGAATGACTAGCAAAGTTAAGCGAAGGGGCCCGAAAGCTACCAACTCATACGTCCATCCCTGATTACGGCAACGTCGTTCCTTCTCCCGCTAAGCTGCTCCTCACTGCTGTTTGCTCGCTGCCGAGAGTCGTTCTGCCTCGTACACAAGCAGTGGCCTACCAGTCTTCCGAGTGTGTACTGCGTGCGCGCCGCATTTCTATTCGTTTTCTTTTTGACATTTGCTGCTGCAAATTCGTCGTATAATACCAATACAAGAACATCCAAGTTTTACGGGACGTCGTCGCATCAACCGGTCTTCCAAAACGCACATCGTCGACGGGTCACCTGTAAGCGCAGATTACAGTGAGAGAGTTTTCCAAATCGAGTGCGAGTGCGCGAGAGAGGTATATTATACAATAGAAGCCAGAATAGATACACTAGATATACTCATACACTCATACAATTTCACCGTACCGCACGCAGAGCGTATGACCTAACCTGCAAAACGTACGAAAACTCGTGTTATCGCTAGCCCAGCTTTTCCTCCGTCGACATTGCACATATTCTCGTATCACAGAAGAGGAAGAAGATTATCAAGTGCGATTGGCCAGATACTACGGCCCTCGTAGGTGAGTGCGCGCCGTCGCCGCCGCCGCCGTCGCCGCAGCCGTAGAGATTATTTTCGCACCTATGGTTACATCCACACGCATATGTGCACAGGTAGCGCGCGCTCTGTCGGCACGTGCTGCTGTCGCACACAGGGGCCGCAGTATTTACTTTGCTCCCTGGCGGCGACGTCGAGGTCGCGCTGCACAATGCCACAATGCAGCGGTTGCGAAGCCAAAGGCGAGAGAAGGGCTGTTGTGTTGTCGCGCGGCAAAAGTAAAAACTATTTCGAGCACACGCGAGCGCGGCTAACGAGCCGCAAATCCACTCGTCACTCGTGTGTGCGAAGAGTCGAAGGCCGAAAAAGAGAAAGGAGGATCGCATTATGTGTGTCATCGCCGGCAGGCGCGCCTCCAGACGGACTTTTGATTAATATTATTATTGATCGACTCGCGACAGCGTCTTGTCGGCGGCGCGACCTCAATCAGCTTTGAGCCTCGTTCATCTCCGAGCTAATAACGACAATGGCCAGTGCGTTCGACGGAGACGAAAGTCCCGAGTTACCGAACGGCGCGCACGTGGAGTCCGCGAGTCCGCGACATCAGCGTCCCGCGCGGCGCGTTTGACTTGGCGCGTCGCGCCGATGCGGACGACGATTTCGCCGTCGGATCGCAATCGCTATAGCCCGACACCGGCCGGTCGAAATTCCAAGCTGGAACAGCTCGCCGTGAACGCGAGGGAACAGGTTGAACTTGACTGCCGCGCCGAGTTTCACTTCGAGCGAACGGAGGAGCGTTCAATTGCAAATTGTGACTCGTCATCCTGCGAGCCACTAGCAATGGCGCGTCGATCATGACCGCGTAAACGTTTGTACATCTTCAGCTTCGTTAAGGTTTTTTCCCGTTTTTAGCGACGATACCTTTCACGAATGACGAACACGCCTGGTCGACTCGCAAACGACAACGCAGAGATTAACCGTAGACAATGTACAATGTGGCAATTACCCTTGACGAAATGTTCCACAAGTGAGATCGTTGCGCAAGCCGATCGTCCGAAGAGAGAAGCAGAAGACAGTATTTTTAACGAAAAAACAGCCCGCGCTCTGCGGCCAACGACAGAGAGAGAGAGAGAGAGAGAGAGAGAAAGCTCGGAGGCGCGGTTCGGCTCTCGACCAATCGCTGCTAGATAGACCTCCCGCAGGGACGGCTTCACCGCGCACGTGCTTCCTTCTCTTATCTGCGCCTTGTTTTTTTCTGTCGTTGTCTGTGCGGCTGGCTACTTTTGGATTTTCAAGGACTCCCTCCGCACACCGGCGACGAGCAGCTCCATAGGTGGGAGCGAGCGATGTCCCGATCGACTTTTCGCTGAGAGAAGCGGGAAGGAATGTGCTGCGCTACGATGGCTCTCGCTAGATATTTTCATATTCTCGCGCATTAAGCCTGATCGCTCGTGCTCATTGACCGAAGCCTGCGTCGGCGATAATTTATCGGTCGAACGTTTTTCGTTTGCGTCCCCTCCCTTTGTTGTTTTTTTTCTCTTTCCTCGTCGACAAATAAAGCTCGTCGCGAGGCTCGGCATTACAAACAAATTTGTTACGAAATGCACGAGAGCGAAGATGCACTTGCATTTTCAAAGGCTCATTTCCGCTCGCCGTTCCTCTTTCTCCGAGCTGCCCACTGTAAATTCGGATTACACGGCTTTCACAATGTTGCTTTTTCGTACGTGGCCGAATTGTCACGATGTCAATGAACTTCTTCCTTCCCCTCCACTACATAGTCAGCCACGAATGTTCCATCTATTCGCGTGCTTGAACTCGACGATAAGTAGCTCTGTTGCGAGAGATTTTCCGAGTCGCGAAACGACGCGTCGGCCGAGTAAAAAGCGTCGATAAAAAGTTACGTAAAAAAATCTACCGTAGAATTACATAATTGCAAATCGTCTGTAGGTATGATTCTCGACGATCTTTCCGAGTATCCCTAGATTTCAATTCGACATAGTGGTACGAAAATTTCACACGTCTGCTTGCAATCATCTCGACGCGAAAAAGAAAACGCTTTAACAGACTTTGTTTGCGCGTCTGCAAAATATTTATCGCGCTTTTTTTACGTTTCGCAGTGTCAGATCGACTTATTATTCTCGCGCGCGCGAAAGAAAGAGGAAAAACAATTCTAGTCGACATTGAGAATCGTTCTAAGCTTATTATTCACGCGGATGAAAAAAATTTTCAGCACTGCGTATGTTTGCAAACAATTTTCGCCTATGCGATTTTTTTATCAAGGCGTGCAAGGTGATTCATAATTACGCGGAAATTATGCCACTAGATGATTAAAGTGCAGGTGAGCAAAGAATGCCTAATTCGTTTCCCGTTTATCTCTGTAAAACTGGAGTTTTCGTAAAAAACGATTCGTGGTTATCATTAACATACATCGATCATTCATTGCTGAACTAAATACGTATTTGCTTATCGTAGTTTTGATAAGATGAGAAAACCCAACTATTTGAGAAATTATACAGTAAAACGAATAAAAAAAAGATGTGAAATGTGGCCGAGACAGACTAAATAAATTTCAGAAATTTTCGCAAAAACATACATTGCCACTTATCGCTCGCCGACAGCCATAAATCACGTAAGTTTAATCTCGTTATCTCTCGCGCACAATTAAACCGATGATTGCTCGGTATCCGTTCGCAAATTTTAGCGAACGTTACTCATCGGCCGTAAAATAGCTCCCTGTTCGTTTCACCGTCTTTTCTCGAAGGAAACGCTATCCGCGTCGGCGCGGGTCCAGCAACAAGTGACACACTTCGCGTCCGAAACCGCGCCAGCAGCAGCGACAAAGCGCTAAATTCACAACGCTCGCTCGCGCGCGAGAAAGATAGAAAAAAAAACTGTTCATCAAGCTGCAGATCCCGCGGCACGCTCTCGTGCGCGTGTGCCTCTAAATGTTGACCCCGATTGGCGTTTCTTTTTTTGCCTCGGCAGCTCGGTTGCGTAAAGCGCGACGCTGCGTACCGCGCGGTCTTGGCGCGCATTCGGCAAAATCGAACAATGCGTCGGTCGTCGAGAGCGCAACGATACGCGGCCCGTTTATAGACGCTCGCGAGACAAGAGGATATAAAATTGCGACGGAGGAGGCGCGACGTCCGATAACCAATGTGAACAAGTTCTCGAGACCACCACGGCTTTGTGTCTCGTTCTCTTTCTATCTCTCTCTCTCTCTCTCTCTCTCTCTCTCTCTCTCTCTCTCTCTCTCTCTCTCTCTCTCTCTCTCTATCTGTCTGTCTTGTCACCTTATCTAGTTTGGACTTTGCACACATGGCCGCGCGAAACCTAATCGCCTTTTTCACCTCGTGACGTATGACGCTCGATAAAATTCAGAGCGGGCAGCGGGCGCGATGTTTTTTCTACAGACTCGCGTGTGCGAAATGGAACGTCGTTTGGTCAGCGATGAGCGAGCTGCTAGCCGGAGTCGCGCGCGCTCCCGTCTATCTTTAGCTCGGTCGATTCGCGCGAGTTGATCGCTCCAAATGCCGCGGTTCGCGCGTCGGCGGCAACGACGCCTCTTCTACGCAACGACCAAATCTTACAGGCGAAATCTCCGTTTTGGAAATCGCGGACTTTCTCAATTCGTCGGCGGCGCGGCCCCTTCTCCCTCGTCGGGCAGACACGCGTGCACGGGCGAAGCCAAGTGGCGGCGGCAATCCGACGCGAGTCCTCGCTCGCAGCTGACTTCGTCAAGGTCGCTGCACGCCGATGCGCGATCGCTTTGAGATAGACGTGTACATACATAGGCGTCACGGTGAAACGCTTGAACGGAGACCGGTCGGCCGATCGACAGTTGACGAGGAGCGTCGCCGCGCATTGCCAAGCAGCGCGGGAAAGTGGGCGAGTCGCAAACCTCGATCGACCTTCATCCCACTCGTCGAGCACTACCCGGTTCGCCTGCTGCTCCAAGCTGACGAACTCTAGCTGAGTTTCGTGCGTTAGCTTTGGACGAATCGCCACGTCCGTTGCGCGCACGTGTGCGTCGCCGAGAGCACGTGCGTCCAAGGTGTCGTCTGCTTTTTCTCGCGCGCGATTGCAGCTTAAGGTCAAACGACGCCAACGCAGCGCGGCTAGTCCGTCCCGCGCCTCCAAGTGCCATTCGTTTCTCTTTTCTCTATCGACGCCGATCGCGCCTTCAGTCGATTTTTTGCTTTGATTTGTTTTGTTTTCTTCGTTCGCGCGATTGCGGCGCACTGAACAATGACTCATAGCTGTCGAGCGCATAAGGATTTCGATTAGCGGTGACCGGGCGCACTGTCATTATCTAACGCTGCAGACGATTAATCATCACCGCCGGCATCTTCGGCCGCGACTTTGCTTTCGTCCGATCGCGCCCCTAAAGACTTAGCAATGTCGAGGCTCTACGCCAAAGGCGCTATCTCGGACTACAAGAATAAAAGAGAAAGAGCGCGTCGATAGGTGCGTAACGAAGCGTTGTACAACGTCGATCGTTTCAGTTTCAGGACTCGAGATTTAGAGCACAAGGATGGCTGAAGCCCACTCAGCTGTCGCGTTCAGCTTCTCCATCACCCACGAGGGCTGGGACGTGAACTTTGACCGCGAGGTACTGAACCTCGTCTGGCAGTCGGGGCTGCGCTCCTGGAAGAAGCGCTTCTTCAGATTTCAGGTGGGGGCGTACGAGGCAGCGCGAGTGCGCTCGACCACGCCGCCTCAAAGTCAACGAGCGGCTGAACAAAACGATTGCTTTCGATTGCAGAACAACATCAAGAGCGGAGTCTATCCGGCGTCCCTTCACAGCCTCTGGCTGACTGTGATCGTAGTAGCGGCGATCCACTTCGCCGGCTACAAGATACCCCACGATCCCGTTGGCAAGGTGGCGCCTTATCTATTCGCGTGAGTACGCCGGCGGAGCGCCGCGGCATCGCAACGACGACTTTACTATCGACATTTTTCGACCCGCAGCTCGTCCCTGCTGGCCCACCTGGCGGGCTGCTTCATCGTAGGACTGCTCCTATGGCTGGTCACCATATACGCGATACGCTACACGCTGAAGCTGCTGCTCATGTACAAAGGTTGGATGTACGAGGCCAGAGGCGCCGGCTCGTCGGTCTCGCTGCCCACTCGCGTCTGGGCTCACGCCGTCAAAATATTCTCGGGCCGGCGCAAGCCTATGCTGTACAGCTTCCAGGGCTCGCTGCCGAGGCTGCCGCTGCCCAGCGTCGAAGACACCACCCGCAGGGTACCTTGACTTTCGATCCTATCGCAAACTAGACCTCGCAGTTGTCGTTCAAGTGCGGCGCTTCGAATGAAAACGCTCTACTTAGTCACGTCGCTTCGCGCTATAAAGTGTGCCGGGTTTAACAACTGACAACAGCTGACGTTACAATTGCCGCTTGTATGGCTCCCGGTAATGATCCGTAAATTATCGTAGCCGAGAGAAACGATGAGAAAAATGTCGGTAGCGCGAATACTCATGTGAGATCATTAAGAGCACGCGTATTCTTCGTTCAGCAGAGGGAAAATTAATCGCTACAATTGTATCATTCGTTCCTTTTCTTTCAAATTGCAGTACCTTCGAAGTGTCCGACCACTGCTCGACGACGAGAACTACAAGCGAATGGAAGCTTTAGCTCACGAGTTTCAGAATGGCATAGCCGTCAAACTACAACGCTATCTAATGCTCAAAGCTTGGTGGTCGAGCAACTACGTGTCCGATTGGTGGGAGGAATACGTCTACCTGCGTGGTCGTTCACCCATCATGGTCAACTCCAATTTTTACGGCATCGACGCCATCCTCATGCATCCAACCAAAGTACAATCTGCTCGCGCCGCCAGCGTCATTCACTCGTGTCTGCTCTACCGTCGATTAATCGAACGTCAGGAGCTCGAACCGGTTAGTTTTCTCTTTTTATCATTTTCGGCATTTTCTCTTGGCTGACCTTACTTTTTCGAGAGTCAACTATTTCATAAAATATTTTCCTTGTCTTCGCAGATTCTAGTTCAAGGTATTGTACCATTGTGTTCATGGCAGTACGAAAGAGTGTTCAACACCACGAGAATACCTGGAATAGAAACCGATAAAATTATACATTTCAACGACTCAAAACATGTCGTCGTCTATCACAAGGGCAAATATTTCAAGCTTCCAATCTACCATAAAAATAGACTGTTGCAACCCTGTGAAATCGAAATGTGAGTTTTTAATTGTTGAATAAGCATCTCTGAAAGAGTGTCAAACTTGTGCAATAAAACGCTTTGTCTTAACGAAACAAGTAAACATTACCGAGGGCGCATAGGCACGATGTTATAATATTCTGTGTAAACATAGCCAAATCCAATCGATTTTGGACGACAAGAGCACACCTTACGAAGGCGAAGAGAAATTGGCGGCGTTAACTGCCGGAGAACGAACCCACTGGGCGAAGTCGAGAGAGGAATATTTCAGCAAAGGAATCAATAAAGTCTCGTTAGACACCATCGAGAAGGCTGCTTTCATCGTGGCTTTGGACGATGTTCCTTACGAATTTGACAAAGTACGTTTATTACATTTATGCTTTATGAGCTTCCTATTTGCAATTACTAGATGGAAATTGTTTGCAGAATCATCCAGAGAAACTCGACAACTATGGCCGCATTCTGCTCCATGGAAAAGGTTATGACCGCTGGTTCGATAAGTCTTTCACTCTTTGCATCGGAAGTAATGGCAGAGTATGTCAAGATAATTTTATACTTGAAAAATTATCTGATAAAGCTAAATTTTTTACTCTGTCTTATTTTAGATTGGTTTTAACGCGGAACACTCGTGGTAAGTATACATGAATGGCTCAGCAGAGTTCTAAATTACAGATAATTGATGGACTGAATGATTTGTCGTCGTGAAAAGTAATTAATTTAGTATTTAACATCATTTTTTTTTAATCATTTCAATGAAATGCCCTTTGCCATTTATATTTTAAGTAATCGCAATATTTTTATTAAATGAATATTAAACTTGAATCCCCGACGAGCAGGGCAGACGCTGCTGTGATGTCACATCTTTGGGAGCATCTGATAGTTGAAGATTCAGCTGAGACACAGTAAGAACTATCTTAAAGAAATAACCCCAAGCAAAAGTAGCGTCGCTTTTCTATATATATACTACGTTATCTTCTATACTTCTTCTGTATTTTAATTGCCTTGTACATGGTCAACAGTGTGGTAAACTGGATCTAAGATTCTCTAAGGTTTTAGGCCGTAAAAGAATTTCAATACGAACGGTCGAATCATCCTAGCATACGTCTGTCAATTCTGTGATTTTATTTTCTTTACGTTTAAATATGTTAGAATGTTTTTTATTTGCAAATATATTTTATTTTGTGTGTGTGTGTGGGTATATATATATATATATATATATATATATATATATATATATATACGTAGAATGTGCTGCAACGAATGAATGGAAATTATCTGTAATTTGATTCAGCTATCAAACGTACGCTTCTTTTATGAGTATCAATGACCTTTTATTTTTTGTGGCTTTCCCAGGGCGGATGCTCCTATTATGGGAACACTTTGGGAATACTTAATTGGTACTGATGTGGAAGTTGGGTAATTGCATTAAACCTTCTTTTTCACTTGCATTCCATCTTTTATATTTTTGTCATGCATGCTTTGTATGAACACTTTTAATGTACTTTTATGATGTGTTTCAAAATCTATGCATATGCTTGCTTTATATTAATGCATAACGCTTATGTGCTAACCATTTATTTATAACAAATAAATTTTGATTTATATATTGTTAGTCAACTTCCCCTATTCTGATAAGATATTTAATAAGAATTATTCATTTTTATTTTGCTTGATTATAAATAAATGCCATAAGAGTTTTTTTATTTAATTAAAAATGCATACAAAGCGATTTTCACGAAACATTTTTATTTTTTTATTTTCAACATACCTTAGCTGCTAGCTATTAGTGTTTAATAAATCTCCTTTTCTTCAATATAGATACAAAGAAGACGGACACACAAAAGGTACTCCAGAGTTTATGCCACCACCACCAGCTCGTCTGCAATGGGATTGCAGTACTAAGTGTCTCGAAGCTATCGAGACTTCATATCTGGTAGCCGAGGAATTGGTTACTGGTGTCGACCTCCGTATTTACGTTCATGATCTTTACGGCAAAGGATTTATGAAAAAGAGCAAAATGTCACCAGATGCCTATATTCAAATGGCCCTGCAATTGGCCTACTATCGTGACATGGGTAAATTCTCTCTCACCTATGAGGCTTCCATGACAAGATTGTACCGAGAAGGACGTACCGAAACTGTAAGACCTTGCACCATTGAATCGGTTGCTTGGGTAAAGGCTATGGAGAATCCTAATTCTACGGTATAAAATATTTGATCTATTGCGCTTCATAAATAAAAAGTGTAAAAATTGAAGTACTGTTTTTTATCAATTTGATTATGTTTTAGACTGAAGAGAAGCATAAACTCATAATGAAAGCTGCAGCTCAACATCAACGCGGATACCAAGATGCCATGTGTGGGAAAGGAATAGATAGGCATCTTTTCTGCCTGTACGTTGTCTCAAAGTATTTGGAAGTTGACTCTCCTTTCTTGAAGGTACGATGTTACATTGAATTTTTATAAGAGAAATAACCAATAACGATAATTTGAAATAAAAAATTATTAACTGATTTTATCTTCCAGGAGGTGCTTAGTGAGCCTTGGAAGCTTTCGACTTCGCAAACTCCTCACGGACAAACTTCCAAGTTAGATCTTAAAAAATTTCCAGATTGTATATCAGCTGGAGGTGGTTTCGGACCAGTCGCAGATGATGGTTACGGTGTTTCTTACATTATCGCTGGCGAAGACATGATCTTCTTCCATATTTCAAGCAAATATAAATCGCCCGAAACTGTTAGTATTTTTGTTTTTGTCAACTTATTTATCTAATAAATGAATGAATTTATTTGATTCAATTTTGATTTTTCAGGATTCTAAGAGGTTTGCTGAAAAAATCAAAACCGCTCTGATGGACATGAAAAATTTATTCTTGGAGTATAGAAAATTGTAACAAGACCAGGCGAACGGCGTTGCTCGATAACGTAGTAATTCGATAAAGCTTCAATGTGAGCGATAATAATACGACGACATGAGTGTAGGAAGATTGATGAAGATTTGTTACTGAAGACAAAGTTTGAAAGTACTGGCAGAAATTCCATCTGTTTTATAAGTCTTTGACATTATTTCGAAGTTAAACCAACTGTTTACTAGTATATGCACAAAAAAATTATACGTGGCGTGTAAATGAATTTTATAAATTTTTTAATGACGCCGCGTTAAATATAAAATGCACAATTATATATGATGCAAGAATAGCTAGATCCATTATACTCTTGCAGAAATTTTTATCTACGCTAATATCTTCCGACCGAGTAACTTGGTTGCTTCCAACTGACAGAGAATAATGGTTTTTAATAATATATATATATATATATATGATTTTTTCCAGAAAAATTATAATTTTATGAGAATATTTATAAATGATTCAACTTGGGAATTCAGAACTGTTTAGGACTAGTATAATGCAAGTTTTTTTATTGTTTTTTTTTTAAATTTGGCAATATACATCTTGAATTCTAGTTGATTGGATGGATATATAGTTTATTCCAGTCTTTACCGTATTAGATTTAGTAATAAATGATTTACGTAAGATTTAAACAGATCATGAATTTAGCGTGAATCATTGACATTGTAATAAAACAGACTTATAGTCTACACAACCCACAACCATTTTTCAGATACCAAAGTAAAATCAATGATAATTTTATTCCATTGTTTTATTTAGTTCTGAACGGTTCTTTTGAAACTTTTTCGTCGAATTAATGCAATTATTAGCGTAAATATACGCTTGTATGATGAGTGATATCGTTTTTGTTGTATAAGTGATGAGAGATAGAGAGCGCGAGAGAGAGAGAAAGATAAAAAACGAAAAAGTTTGTTAATAAAGACTATCGATGTTTTAGACGACATAAATATGTTAAGCGCAAACTTTATCAAGGTAAAGATTTTGTTAATTACAAAATGTGATCGCGCCAATTTTTAGTATTGGGAAATGTTGAGTAATGCCATGATCCTAAAAATGTGCAACCTATCAATGCAAAATAACAAATATTACAAATAATTTTGTACAAGTATATTTTCTATGTTGTTAACATGATTAGTGGTATTGGTGCTTAAGTTGTAAGTCCTTTGATATAATTTCAATGGAAAATATCAGACTAGAAAAATTATATCTGTACAATCACTTTTTTTTTTGAAAGTCGATATGCACAAACTTGCTTTGAATTATAGAGATTTTTTAAATGAACTATTTAACAATTCGCCATAAACAGTGTTATTGTATACCTTGTCAATGTAAACTCTACTCTTGTTTTTAACTATGAATAAATTGATTTTATAGCCAGATATATCTTGTTTGTCACACTGTTTGTATACGTAAATAATATAACAATAATTATAATAGCTTATCTGACAATATCAACTGAAATTAAAATAAATAAAAATTTTTTTGATAAAATATCCATTCACTTGATTATTAACACAGATACATTTATTTGAGAACACATAAATATATGCTATATTTCTTGCACTTTGACGTTAATTTTCACAGGTACTATTAACTTTCATTTGTCATTCAACACAAATAAATTATTCAGGCTTACTTTGCTTTTCCCTTATTTTCAGGTTTTCTTGAGGGACTATTGTCTTTCCTTTTATGATTTGATGATTGTTTATGTTTGTTTGATAAAACTGCACTCCGTAGCGTAGAATGTAGAAATCTTTTATTAACTGTTTCTTGTTTTTTAATCCATCCACTGGGACCTATTATAGCTGCCCTTCTCGCTCCACTTTTTGCTTCTTTTAGTAGTGCTTCAGCGGCCAATCTACGAATTCAACAAATACAAATTGCTATTGTAAGTACAACAAATCATTTATTATAAATATTAAGCGTAATATTTTGAGCAACGAATTGTATTCACAAACATGACATTACTTATTCAATGTTTCTTCATCAATGTCAGGCATTTTGTAACACTGACGTGATAGCTAAACAATACTAGCTTCTGAAAAGCTATACAGTAGACGACGGACTGCACCAGACTGCACTAAACTATCAGAGACTAATGTTTATACATATACCAAATATTCCACTGCAGATGCTACTAAACGTCTGAGAATACGATTGGGTGAATTAGGATTAACAGTCACGTGACAACGATGATGTCACAAGTGGGAATATATTACCAGCATGGAACTGATGTATTTTTCAACTGGATAGTTTGAAATTCTGGATAATTATGAAACACTCAAGCAGAGAAATGTTCATCATTTTTTTTAACTAAAAAAATGTTTTTTAATATAAAAATTTTTTTCCGATGAAAAAATAAAAAAAAATAAGACTAACAAATTTCTCTGTCTGAAAGTTTCATAATCACCCGAAATTTAAAACTTCAGCCGAAAAGCTCATCAGTTCACTATATGTTCACAATCATAATGGAGATCGACCATGTTTTCTCGACCGCCAATCCTATTACTATATAGAAATGTGTGGATACTACTGCGCACTCTGTTGTACTCTGTGCTGTAGTGTTCGCGCGTTTCTGGGTTCCTGTCTTGTACGTGCGTGTTGTCTTTCTTCATCCACGCGAACCTGGTCTGCACCACGGAAAGGACGTGAAAAGGCCCGGCGACTTTCACTAATTTTTTCGTAGCGTCTATCTGGTAAGTTGGAAGTAATAGTTTTCTCTTTTACATAATCGTCCAGTTAGTTTGATAGTGGCCGTCGTTGAGCTATTTTTTTCAGTTTTTCCTGTCGATGTAATTATGTGCGTGATCATTACAACGGCTTTTGGGTTCTGCTTACTGGGTTTGCTCATTGTCTATGGAGTTTTCCATTGGGGTTTTTTCTTTATATTGATCTTACTTTTATTAGTTTTTATTAAAAAAGCTGTGTAACTAGTGGGACTATGTTTATTTAATTGGAAACCTATTCAATGATGAATAAGTTTTCAATCTGAATTATATAGTGAGTATCAGCTGTTTTTGTGGGTCTATAATCTTTTAAAAACAAGACAGAAATAGCAAATAAGAGAAATTAACATTGTTTACTCTTGTTGACTTACTCTTTCATTGTCATAAACTTTTTATAATTTTATTAAATATTAACTACTTTGAATGCTATGTACTGTATAAATACATTCATCCTTTTATTCTTTGGTATATATACTTTAAGATTTCTTGTTTCATTATAATTTTTTGAAACTGAATATCCTACATAAATTTAGCAAGTTGGTAAAGAGCATTCTTATTAAAATGGTTTGTTTATTGCCCTTTTTAAAACATTACTTTTATCAGATTCAAGCATGAGTCATCCTTACTGTTAAGAGCTGTTTACTATCTAGACTATATTTACTTTTCATTGAGACTTAACTTAATGACTTTTTTCTCATGATAAATATTTTTGTTGAATTACAGTGTGCACCTTAGAATAATATTAGATAAATTAGCATAATGGAGGATGTTAGTGATTTGGATTTTCAAATAGAGCAGCTAAAAAAATGTGAAATCATTAGTGAAGCAGCAGTCAAAGCATTGTGCGCTAAAGCACGCGAAATCCTTATTGAAGAAAGTAATGTACAGCGAGTGGATTCCCCAGTCACTGTGAGTATATAGTAATTTATATTGATTCTCTTTGAAAATGATTATTGATTCTCTTTGAAAATGATGATTTAATCTACAGGTGTGTGGAGATATTCATGGACAGTTTTATGACCTAAAAGAACTTTTTAAGGTTGGAGGAGATGTTCCTGAAACAAATTATTTATTTATGGGAGACTTTGTAGACAGAGGATTTTTCAGTGTGGAAACCTTTTTATTATTATTAGCTCTTAAAGTGAGTTCATCTAACATAGGAATAGTGTTCCACGATATTATTGAAATTAATAGTTTTTTTTTCATAAATATATTGATCATTGTTTATAGGTACGATATCCTGATAGAATCACTTTAATTAGAGGTAATCACGAATCAAGACAGATCACCCAAGTTTATGGCTTTTATGACGAATGTCTTCGTAAGTACGGTAGCAATACTGTATGGCGTCACTGCACAGAAATTTTTGACTATCTATCTCTGTCTGCCATCATCGATGGTAAAATATTTTGCGTGCATGGAGGTCTTTCGCCCAGTATACAGACTCTTGACCAAATCCGTATTATAGACAGAAAACAAGAAGTAAGGATAATTTTTATTATATTATTTATAATATTTTACATAATGATGATATGATAGATATAAAAAAATGTGATTAATTCAGGTTCCACATGATGGTCCTATGTGCGACCTTTTATGGTCTGATCCAGAAGAAACACAAGGCTGGGGTGTGTCGCCTAGAGGCGCTGGATATCTATTCGGAAGTGACGTTGTGGCACAGTTCAATTCTGCGAATGACATCGATATGATTTGTCGAGCGCATCAATTGGTAATGGAAGGATACAAATGGCACTTCAATGAGACTGTTCTTACTGTTTGGTCAGCGCCAAATTATTGCTACAGGTAAAATTCTAGCTCGTTGAATTTCCGTAAAACTGTACTGTATTTTACGTAGTCACTGTTATTTTCGTATAGGTGTGGCAACGTAGCAGCGATATTAGAACTGAACGAACATCTGCAAAGAGACTTCACGATATTCGAGGCAGCACCCCAGGAAAGCAGAGGGACACCGAGTAAAAAGCCTCAAGCTGATTACTTTTTGTGAAGTATTGATTTTTATAAAAGCCACAATGTCATTTTTTGAATGATGAAACAAGGAAGATCAACAATAACTCGAGAGACGCCATGAGTCTTTCATGGAAAGATGTTTGAATTCACGGTATAACGCGTAATTTTAACGATGATGAACAAACAAACCTACTATTGCAATTTCAAAAGGAAAAGTGCTTCGTATTCGATTCTCAATTACACCAATAAAATTACGGTTTATCTATAAAATGTATCGCGTATTTTTACATATAATTTTAAGTATATACGTTCTTGTGCAAATCACCCTTTTTAATTATAAAAAAAATTGCTCATTTATTTATCGACTCTTGACGTGATTATCTTCTTTTATATCTGTTCAGGATTTTAGCTATTTTTTTTCCTAAGTTCTTAGGCCGCTCATTATTTGTACTTGTAATATGATTAAAAAATTATTTTCTTCTAATTCATCAATTTTATGGATTTCATTTATGATTAATTGTTAGAATTGGAATTCGAAAAAATATACCTAATTTTGTATTATCAACAATCAAGTTTCTTTGATACAGTCACGTGAATACACTGATTTATTAATAATTTACAAATACACTCGTGAAAGTACGCAGCACAAATAATTTATGTGGCCAAAACGTCAATAGTTGTGCAGAAAAGTAAGAAAGGTAGCAATCAAAATTCATCGGTTGTTGTGAGTGAATCGGAGGCAACTTCCTCGTAATCTCGCTCGAGGGCGGCGAGATCTTCGCGAGTCTCCACGAACTCGCCTTCTTCCATACCTTCGCCCACGTACCAGTGAACGAAGGCGCGCTTGTTGAACATCAGATCGAACTTGTGGTTGAGTTTCGACCAGGCTTCGCCTATTGCCGTTGTATTGCACAGCATGGATACTGCTCGCTGGATCTAGAGTCGAATGGTTCGGCAAGCGAAAGAGGAGAGATGAAATTTGAGCTGAAAGTGCCAGCTCGAACGAAGCTGGAGAACGGTGCAAACTCACTTTGGCAAGATCTCCGCCAGGAACGACCGTGGGTGGTTGATAGTTGATTCCGACTTTGAAGCCAGTTGGACACCAATCGACGAATCTTACACTGCTCTTGGCCTTCATCGTGGCGATCGCGGTGTTGACGTCCTTGGGCACGACGTCACCCCGGTAGAGCAAGCAGCAAGCCATGTACTTGCCTTCCCTTGGGTCGCACTTGACCATCTGATTGCCCGCCTCAAAGGTCTCGCTGGTGATCTCCGCCACGGACATGCCCTCGTGGAATGCTTTGTCGGCGGATACGACAGGGGCGTACGAGGCCAGGGGAAAGTGGATGCGGGGGTAGGGCACGAGGTTGGTCTGGAACTCGGTGAGGTCGACGTTGAGCGCGCCGTCGAAGCGCAGCGAAGCCGTGATCGACGAGACCACTTGGCTGATCAGCCGGTTGAGATTGGTGTAGGTGGGCCGCTCGATGCCCAGTTTTCGGCGGCAGATGTCGTAAATCGCCTCATTGTCCACGATGAACGTGCAGTCCGAGTGGCCGATCGTCGCGTGGGTGGTCAGCGTGGCGTTGTACGGTTCCACCACCGCCGTCGACACCTGCACGGGACTCGGTCCGCTAGCGCGCCCCTCTCTCTCTCTCTCTCTCTCTCTCTCTCTCTCTCTCTCTCTCTCTCTCTCTCTCTCTCTCTCTCTCTCTCTCTCTCTCTCTCTCTCTCTCTCTCTCCCGTTCTCACCTGGGGCGCCGGGTAGACGGTGAACTCCAGCTTGCTCTTCTTGCCGTAGTCGTTGCTGAGCTTCTCCATGAGCAGAGAAGTGAATCCGGAACCCGTGCCGCCGCCGAACGAGTGGAAGACGAAGAAGCCCTGCAGGCTGTGGCACTGGTCGGTGAAGCGCCTGATGCGGTCCATCACTTGCGTGATCACCTGCTGGCCCACCGAGTAGTAACCCCGCGCGTAGTTGTTCGCCGCGTCCTCTTTGCCGCTGATCAGCTGCTCCGGGTGGTAGAGCTGACGGTACGGCCCGGTGCGAATCTCATCTGCGCTCCACGCTCCGCGTCACGAGAATTGCCGTCTCGACCAATCTCATTCCACTTAACCGTTCAGATCAACGATTACGAACCCACGACCGTCGGCTCCAGATCGATCACCATCGCCCGCGGTATCATCTTGTTTTTGCTGGTCTCGCAGAAGAACGTGTCGTGGCAGTCCGTCGTGCCGGTGGTCTTGTCGGACGGCATCGTGCCGTCTGGCTGGATTCCGTGCTCCAGACAGTATAGCTCCCAGGTCGCGTTGCCGATCTGCACTCCCGCTTGGCCGACGTGGATTGAAATGCACTCGCGCTGTTTATTTGGCGCGTCACCATTATAACCAAATAGCCAGATGCGGGACCGTTCGCCATAATTACCATGTTGGATGGATGAGCTTGTTGATGGGTTTTTTCACACGGAAATTTCGACGAATACGTTTGCACCCAGAATTTACGCGAAAAATCGGTTGGTCAAGTTTGAAAACTAGCAATTTTGCATGCTCGGAGGCGTTGCTGACGGGGCCAAAAAATAAATGACAAAGAGCTGACGGGCTGTGCCTATGGAAACTAAATGCATGAATTTTGCTCTTTAACGTTGTCCAATTGTTCAATTACGTGCGGGTGTGGCCGTTCGATCGACTGGTGGGCGATCGGGAATTCCTACAATTGATTATTGAGATAAGCGCCTGAACGGAGAAAGACACTCAACGCTTATTCAGCCAATCGAAAGTCTACAGAAAAATACAGAATTTGTATGAATATAGGATCGTCGTATCGGGTGAAACCTCCGAAAGCTAAAATATACATCGCTTTCGATTAGAAAAGCCTGTAGCTAGCGTACCCTTCAATCTTTTCTTTTGATCTAAACCAGCTTTAAATAACATTGAGTCCACAATTTATCCATATGCTACTTTGTACCAGTGCTGATAAGCTATCGGAACTTTTTCTCAACGGTACCCTGGAGGCGAGTACATCATATTACAGTAGCTTTTAGTCTGTCAGACTTGGGTGGTTTTTCACAAGATTTCCATTTCTCGATGCGTGTTTAGCAAACATTCTATCTGGCGCGCTTCTTTCGAGGCCAATCGCGAATCAGCATGGCTTCGTAAAGACACGGCTCACTTTTCCAAACCTTCTTATTATAGAACACGATTAAATATCTGAATCACTCGATCAGTCCAAACAAGTTAACGTATCTGTACAGTCGTTGGTAAGGCATTTGATCGAGTGAATCACAAACGTTTGATAAGTGCGGTTTGGAACCTCTACAGGCATTCGTGGCCAAGTGTTTGGGCTTACTCAAATCGTATGCTCATACAGTACAATTTCACGCTGACTATGCGCACTTAGGCCCAACTTTTTTATGTACTTATGTCAACGACTTGACTCATCTAGTCAGAGACGTCTACTCGGTTTTTTTTAATGATAATCTAGAGAAATACCTCTTAGCAAAAGCGTAATTTAAGACAAAAATAATTTGTCGACATTACGGAGAAATTCCTTTACACCCTTTGTCTTAGACGGCTCACGACCCGGCTCACCTCATATTATGGGCACGTTGAATATCTATATTAAGTTTGTAAGATCGATAATTGATAATAACAATCGTTCAAACATATTGCATTCAATCAGCTTGCAATTCGAAATATTTCAGTGTGCAATTGTAAAACTATCTGTATTCATTTTGCTTGAGTTTCTCGTTTAATCTTAATTAATGTTACACCCCTATTTCAAATGACGCGTCCTTTACGGCTACCAAGCCTGCAGCAATATAAATGGTATGAGTAGTAAACGATGCCAAATTACCGACCGAGTACAGCTGAATTATATGATCTGAAGTATGTAGTCGCCATGATCTGAAGTCACACGCGGTTAACGGGACTCTAGTTAAGCTTCGAAACAGTCTGCAAATAGCTCCTGAACGTGTTTTGCGTTGTGTACGTTGTATCTCAGACAGATTTGCGCGGATTATTTATATCTGTGCGGAAATAAAAAGATCCGAGCAATGGAGACAATCCTGGAACAGCAGAGACGTTACCATGAAGAGCGGGAACGTCTTATGGACGCGATGGTCAAGGAGATGTTGTACAAAAAGCCAGGACACCGCGAGACAATCAACTCGGAACACCGGCTGAAAATGCTCAGCGATCAGTACATGGAGAGTACCACACATCTGGAAGAAATGTACGAGGATAAAGATGGTCAAAGAAAGGAAGAGGTGTGCTTTTTGTTAAATTAACTGTAGTTTGAGACGTGTACGATTATTGATTCTAACCTATGACCGTTGTTTATCCTAGGTACAAGCGTTGTCTGGACCTAATGAGTTTTCAGAGTTCTACAACAGACTGAAATCCATCAAAGAGTTTTACCGTAGACATCCAAATGAGGTTAGCGTTCCTATGTCTGTTGAGTTCGAGGAGCTTGCTAGGATGAGAGAAAATCCTACCGAGGAGAATGCTAATTTGGTAGATTTCACCGATGAAGAAGGATATGGAAAGTATTTGGACTTGCACGAGTGTTATGAGAAATATATTAATTTAAAGGGAATTGAGAAAGCTGACTACATCACATACCTGTCAACCTTTGATCATTTGTTTGATATTCCAAAAGACAGAAAGAATGCAGAGTACAGAAGGTACGTTGAGTCTCTGCTAGAGTACTTGATGGAGTTTTTAGGTAGGGTCAAACCATTGTTAGATATCAACAATGAACTTGCAGAGGCTAATAAAGACTTTGAAGCACAGTGGGAAAATAATAGCTTTCCAGGATGGCCCAAAGAAGCCGGCAGTGCTTTGGCTAATGTCGGTGCTCATTTAGAGTTGTCTGCTTTTTCTTCTTGGGAAGAATTAGCATCTCTTGGCTTGGATAGGTTGAAAAGTGCTTTAATGGCTCTTGGACTGAAGTGTGGTGGTACTTTAGAGGAAAGAGCTCAAAGACTATTCAGTACTAAGGGTGAATCATCACTCGATCCTAATTTACTTGCTAAGAAACAGAGGAAACTTGGCAAAGGCAAAAATGTAGAAAAACAAAAAGAAATAGCATGTCTGGAAGCCCAGGTTTATAAGCTTGCTGAGCTGGTGAGTAGCCAAAGGAATGCTACCAAAGAAAATGTTCAGAGGAAACAGGCTAGAACTGAAGGTGAGCGAGGAGACTCTGATGTTGAAGCTAGTGCAAGTGAATCTGAGGAAGAAGATGACAATGATGTTCCTTATAATCCCAAGAATTTACCTCTCGGTTGGGATGGAAAGCCTATTCCTTACTGGTTGTACAAGCTGCATGGACTTAACATCAGTTATAATTGTGAAATATGTGGTAACTTTACCTACAAAGGTCCTAAAGCTTTTCAACGTCATTTTGCGGAGTGGAGGCATGCTCATGGCATGAGGTGTTTGGGCATTCCAAATACTGCCCATTTTGCAAATGTAACACAGATTGAAGATGCTCTAGCACTGTGGGAAAAATTAAAAACACAAAAGCAAGCTGAAAGATGGCAGCCAGAACAAGAAGAAGAATTTGAAGATTCTCTAGGAAATGTTGTTAATAGAAAGACTTACGAAGATTTGAAAAGACAAGGATTGTTATAAACAAGCTTGACAATATTGGAATTTTTAATGCTTTATTCTACGACATTTTATTAACTTTTCAACATTTTCTGCTATCTGTAATGCGAGTTGTATAGATATATAATTATTGATGGTACATTAAAAAGTATTTATTTAAGTCAACCAATGTTTTTTTTAAGTAAACATTTATTGATTGATATTTTTAAATTCATTATCTTTCTTAAAATATTAGAATATCAAAAACATGATAATAGTAAAACAGAAATATTTACAATCTGTACAAAAAATATTCATTGCTCTAAAATCAGTTAAATAATTTTGATCATAATTCTTTTCTACACATCTTCAAGTTTAGGTATTTGTTTCTTGATTCTTGGATCTAAATCAGTACCTTCCATGACAGCTGCTCTATGTAAAGCTTTTTGGATTTGAGCTATTTCAATCTTGTTTCTACTATACTTCAATCTACAATCAGTATAATAACCAATAGTAACAGCTGTATATGCTGCAAAACCTACATGAGATGAAAGTGCAGGTTTACTTGTAAATAAAAATGTAGTTAATCCAACTGCTATGTAAGATGAAATTGAATAAAGAAAAGTAGTGCGAAAACATGGAATCTTCAGTAAATCTCTTCCAAAAATAACAAAAGACCTTTCTGGTTCATCTTCCATTATACCTGAAAAATATTACACTTGTAAAAGCATAAATAATTTAATAAAATTTGTATAAATTTCCTATTAACGAATGTTTTGGTAAATCAGTCTTAGATATGAGTATCACAATTTTTATTAAAAAGTAGTACAAAATTTAATAACTATTTTATCAAAAAATGATGTAATTATTTAAATTTCTATTTTATACATTTTGAAATATCATATTTAATAAATAAAACAGAAAAATATGTCTTTCTTTTTATTGGCTTAAATTTTTATTATAGTAAGCATTATCATGAAAAGTAAGGTAATCAAATAACTTCTTTCAATAACAATAAAGATATAATAATTACCAGTTTTGTTTGAAAGACTAATCCTAACCAAATTTTTGATAACAAGCCGATCGGACTATCTGAGTACTGACGACATTCGGTTCAGTATACCAAATGTTTCTCGTACTAATCTTCAATTTAATAGTTCCTTCGTTCCTATTGTTTGTAGCAGAACTTGTAGGAAAAAACTGCAATATGAATTAAAATTTCAACAATGTTTATCAACTTAATTTATTGTTTGTTCAATCGATGAAATTGTTTACAAAATATTACGTTCAAAAAAAGGGACTGTTCAAAAATAACTGTGGTACATTATGTGTGAATAACATTGGATGTGTCTAACCTACAATACGTTTTTGTACTCAATATAGAATTATTATTGTGTAAATAATTATTGTATTAAAACGTCATAGTATTAAATTAAAATTAAAAAAATGGTGGATAAAGTATCATCAGATGTTATTGGGCATGACAGTCCCATGGACCGTAAGTAAAGAAAACATTCTTATTATGTTTTCAACATTTATTATCTATATTTACATCGGTATATTCTTTATTGTCAGTCATAATTTTATATATACAAAATAGTACCAAAATACATGAGTAGTCAGGTATAAAAAAATATTTCTTTTTCTCTTTGTCAATGGGATATTAATTCTGGACGGCACTACTCAAGCACAGAAATCAGAAAATCAACAATTTAACAGTGTATTTGCATTTTTATAAAATATATTTAACATTATCACATTGGTGTTCTGTCGGTAATTGAAGAGTATACTTACTCGTGAGTCCTTAAAAAAATAAATAATATTGTCTTATTTTCTTTATCATGAAGATGCAATAACGTACAATATTCATGCTTATTGAATGGAGCATAACTTTTGATAGATGATTTTGAATGATTATATATGTAAACAACTAAATCTGCCAAGTATATGCAACAAGGAATGCTCCAATTGTCAAGAGAACTCGAAGTATGCTTAATATCACCTTGATTTGTACGCCAACAAATAGTATCTATCTAGTTCTGCGTAAATGCATTACGATAGAACATAATGAAATACTTGGAGCAGCATTTTCCCAGCTCGTTTGCCTGCTGCATATTGAAAATAAGCATTAGCCTAAACAGCCCAGGCAGGGTAGTCGTTGGTCCCGAATGCGTAGGTACCCAGAGTGGCGAAAGTGGCGGTTACGATGACCGCAACGATGACACTGGGTCCGATACCAGCAACGACGAAGTCTTTGGTTTTGATCCGTCCTGCCGCCGACACAATGGCATTCGGGGGTGTGCCCACTGGCAAGTGGAACGAGAACGAGCAGCCCAACGAAGCTGGCACCATCAGGTAGAGCGGGTGAATGTGGATCGCCACGGCCTGCGATTAGTCAATGGCGTAAATGAACGTCTTGGTTAGATGAGATCGGCAATTGGCGAGAGCGCGCGCGCCCCGGCAAAGCTCGTGGGAAAGAGCTGCGTAAGCTCGAGCGACGGCGTGAAACTCACCAATTCCGCGAGAACCGGCAGAATAATATTCGCCACGGCGACGTTGGAGGTGAGCTCGGTGGCGGTCTCCGCGAAGACGGTCACGAAGAACAGAATCACTATCGGGCTCATCGGTTTCAAGCCGATGAGCGCGTGTCCCAACATACTCGACAATCCCGACGATTGGCTACCGGCAGCTATGGCGAAGCCACCACCCAACACAAAGATCAAGCCCCAGTGCATCTTCTGGTTGATGATCTTCCAGCAGATGAGGCCGGGCGCTTGCTTGCGCGGCCGTTTGCTCGGGTTCCTGCTGAAGGCCTTCAGGAAGTCCAGTCGCGCCGGCAAGACGAACAGCAGGAGTATTATGCCGACCACCGAGGTCGAGTCTTTGACCGTTCTGCAAGGGCGCCCGGATCGCGATTAGAGAGGCCGAACGCGCTGCGGAGAGACGCGCGACACTCACAGGTCGGTGACGTAGGTGGGCCAGCCGTCGATGAAATCCGGCTTCCTGAAGAACCACAGCAGCACGATGCCGACGAATATGGCGCCGACCACGGACTCGTGCCAGGTGATCGGGCCAAGCTCCTGGTATTTGGCCTCGATCACTCTGCTCGCCACGGTCTCGCCCTCCTCGCCGATGTCGATGGCCCTGGCCTCCTCGCTGCGCGATCTGAACAGGCCGGTGTACATGACCTGCAGCCAGAGCCAGGTGAGCAGGCCCATGATCAGCATCGCCGGCACGGCGTAAGCCATCCAAGCGGCGAAGTTGATGCCGGGGCTCTTGGGGAACCGGCTGCAATGTAAATCGGCCGCAATGCAGACCCCAGCATCGCCGCGCGAGGAAGTTCGCTCGAGCCACTTACGCCTCGTAGATTCCCTTCATCGTGAGATTGGTGCCGGTCCCGACCAGAGTGCCGATCCCGCCGAGACTCGAGGCGTAAGCCGCCGCCAAGTAGTACGACATCGTCAGCTTGGTCGGTCGCTTCGTGCTGCAATTTCACGGCGCTCGATTAGCGTCGTCGTCGTCGCCGTTGTCGCCGTCGTCGTCGTCGTCGTCGAGCCCTTCGGCCGACCGAGCGGCTTACCTGTCGGAATCGTCGTCGGAGTCCTCGTCTTGGACGAACATCTTACCCAGCCCTTGCTGCAAGAATGCATTATCATTAATCGAGCCTGTGCCACGCGACGGTCAACTCTCATACGCACGGCTTCCAATTCCATTAGGACCGTCTCGACGATCGGCAGCATCATCGCCGTGGCCGCGGTATTCGAGATCCACATCGAGATGAACATCGTTACGAAAAACAAGCCCAGGCTCAACCTGCAAACGAAAAGACCCATCGAGTTTGCGGCACTGCCCACTCGGAAGAAGCGCATCTCGAGTAAGCATTCTCGATTACTCGACGTACTTGCGATGGCTGCAGCCGATGGTCTTGATGATGAGCAAGGCCACCCTCATGTGTAATCCCGAATGCTCGATGGCAACGGCGATCACCAAGCTCCCGATGAACATCATCGTCGTGTCGTTCATGAAGCATTGGCAGGTCTTTGCCGTGTCCATCACTCCCATCAGCGGGTACAAGAGTACGGGGATGAGGCCGGTCACTGGCAATGGGATCACCTCCGTTACCCAGTACATGGCCATCAGCGCGACCACGTACAAACAGCGGTACATCTGTCGATTCATGCCAACGTTTATTCTCTTTTTTTCCTCTATTTTTTCCTCTTTTTTTTTTTCCTCTTTTTTTTCCTCTTCAAAACACGAAACAATCTTATGTCGCGGCAATTGCCGATGTGCGTAAAATTAGTCATGCGATTAAGGTTTTGGGTTATAAATAAACTCGCGTGTTCAAAAGATCGACAAGCGTTGTGAGATTTACTCGACAACGGGCAGCACTTTACATGATAAGAGCACTGAAAATAGATCTTCGGATGCGAGCTCGAATTTGCATCAGTGGCAATGGATTGCGTTAATCTCTTTGGATTTTTTTGCGACGAGAAACATTTCCTGCGACGTTCGACCTGCCACTGACTTACCTTGTCATTGCTCAAAATGATAAGCGGCAGAAGTATGATTGGCCAGAGCACCACGATCAGCGACTTCCAGTAGACCGACACGAAGTTAAGGAGCAGCAAATGACAGCTCGCGTCCTCTTTTCGAGCCTTGCTACTGAAGCTCTCCGACGATGATCTATCGAATGGACCCAGTGCGCAACGTTAGTTTTGTCGAAGGCGCGCTATACCCGTGTAAACGAGAGTACTCACCTCTTGACGTTGGCCTCGGGGTCTAGGTTGCCGTTGGTCGCCGCTTTCGTCGTCATGGCTCGCTGTGACAATCAAGGTATGGACATCAGTCAGCCGGATTTTACTCTCCGAGAGCGTGCCGCTCGACGCCAAGTCGACTTGTCGCCTCTGCGCGCGAGTCAACGAACCGCGAGACTCGCACGCCCTCGAGCGCGACCCGGATCCCTCGTTTCTCTGCCGTATTTTGTTTTTTTTATCTTTCTTTCCGAGCCGCGCTCGTCGTGGACGGTGCGGCGAAAAATTAGCCGCGACGTTGCGCGCGCGTCCGGCTTTTCGCGCTTTCTGGAAGAGGACGACCCCACGTACCGAGCAATTGACTTCGCGCGCCGACTCGAGCTCGACATTGAGCAATTGAGCGCGACGAGGCGGGACGACGCGAGAGAGAGAAAGAGAGAGAGAGAGAGAGAGACAGACGGACAGATAGAATTCATAGTCTTTCCTTTACATCTGCCTCTTGGCTCTCGCCTCGGCGTCGTGATTTATAGGAGGCGATTAGCTGCTGTCCGCCGCGGCGTCGCGATAGTGCACGCGCGTGGCGGCCGATCGATCAATCAAATCCTCCGGCGACGTTTACTACGATCGATCGCCGATTAAATTCTGGCCGGCCGACCGGTCCAGCAATCCGCCCCGATAAGCAAATTGTCGCCACATTCTTCCAGCGTTACCGCGCGCGCGATAACTATATTGACTTCCCACGGATAAGGTCGCGTATCGTTGACCGGTCGCCAATTGTCGTCAAGTCGTCGATCGACGAGGACGACTTCGCCGCGAGTCCCCGACGATCCCAAACGGCGTCAGAAGATGAGGTCGTCTCGCGTGCGGCCTGAATTCGCAAGCGCCGCTCATCCTTGGCGCGCCAATTGAACGATAATAATGCCGAAGCGCGACGCCACTGATTTGACGCTCGAATCGGCTCGCCATGGACGTTTCGAGGTTTGTTTTTTCTTCGTTCATTGGCGCGCGAGGTGCCGCACGGCATTCGAAAGTGGCGACGATCGCACGCGCGACGCGCTTCGAATTATCGGAAAGCTCCGGCCGCGTGGGGGGCCCGTGTTTTCTCGCGCGAGCCGTCAAGTCGATCGAACTGATCGCCGAGTGGGGCTCGTGTGGCCCGGCGCCAGACCTCGGATCCAGCCGTGCGAACGAGGTACGTCCTCGCCCGTCCGAGCACACTGCCGATACGTAGTCGAAAAGTCGAGAATCGTTCAACTATCCGCCGCGCTCGCTGCGATTCGCGTGCGAGCGAGCGATTCTTTACGAGCACTCGTACGGATTTTTCGGCGATCGATCGAAATCGCGCGCGAGCAGAGTTGCGCAACTGCGCGCACGAAATCGAAGGTACGGCTAGCCGGCGCGGATCGCCGATCCGAGAGTTAAAAAGCATGTTTTTTTTACCTTTGCCGAGGTCTCCAGAGCGGGAGCGAGCGAGCGTCTCACAAAAAGTACATCACCACGCGAACTCGCCGTGTATTATTGTGAGCGACGGCGCGGCGCTTCGACAACTGACGATCAACGAGCGAATCGCGAGCCGCGGCGAACCATCACATTTTTCGGGACACGCGCGTATGTGCGAGCAGCGATGCGGCGGCCGTTAAACTGCCGAGCCGCGCCGCATTATATCCCGCGGAAAAGGCGCAGTGTGCGTTGCTCCCTCTCTTCTCGTTCTTCTCTCTCTCTCTCTCTCTCTCTCTCTCTTTCTCTCTCTCTCTCTCTCTCTCTCTCTCTCTCTCTCTCTCTCTCTCTCGTTTGCCCGCTTGCTCGCTTGCGTTTTGTTCGCTCTCTTCTGTAGCGCACGAGGCGAAGGTGTACTTGCGCCCAAGAGGAGAGGTTCACCGTGTCGGAGATGCAGGTCGACGGTGAGTATACGTTCCAACTTTTCGTCGACAGGCCTAACGCTTTATTTGCCTAGACAACGGCCGGCAATGGTCTCGAGTCAAACTAGAAACAACTGATATCACTTGGCCTGACTAATTCAGCGTAATAATTAAGCTCTATAAATAGCTGTGACTGCGAGCTTTCGATTTTACCGTCCGACACTTTCTCGGTGATCGAGTTGTTCGCTATGAAATTGAAAGATTGGTTTGTGCCCACGATGACACCCTCCGCAACTGCATTTCCTTCGCTCGCTTCGGCATGACGTAATGAATTACAATGCGCGCAATTGGCGCTCCATTCGCCTTCTATCTCGTTATTTACGCGCGCACTTGTGTTATTACCAATAAAAAGAAAAAAAAAAAAGGAAAGACGCTCGATCGGCATCTCGGAGCTCCGTGCGGTAATGAATATAGCCCGCGCGATCGCGATTTTGCGAAACCGCTTGCTGCCTTTGCTTCGCTTATTCGTACGATGATTCGCCGCGCGCGAATCTTGAGTAATCGCTGTCAATAGCGCGCGAGATCGGCAATGAACGCGAATCGCGCCGCGCGTGAAAAAAAGAAAAAGAAAGAAAAAAAAAACAACGTCCTCGAACGCCTTCGCGCGAACGATGATCGCAGACGACTCGTTATGCATGGCGAGGCGGCGGCAAACCTCCCTTACGTAGAAAGCTCTTCAACCCCCGCACACCCGTGACCGTTGCAAATTAACGTGCGGCAAGGAGCGACTCGCACCGCGTAATGTAATTACGCGCGCTTGGCAGCTACTAGCTTTAACACGTAACAGAGACGTCCGCGTTTCGGCCTTTGGACTTTTTGCGTGGCCGTGTCCATCGATCCACGTCACTCCTTTTCCATTTTTTTTTCTTTTTACAAAGCTGTAATTTCGGCACTGAGCCGTCGCCACGAACAGCTTTTGACGAGAAGGAGCTGCTGCGTGCCGCGTCGGCGCAACGCTCGTCTTCGGCCGGAGATGAGCCGATTATGCGATTAATTGGCGGCTATCAAACTCCGTGGCAGCGAACGACGTGATTTTCGATAGCGCGAACCTGCGCTCCGGCACGCGTGTTTTCTAATAAAAGCGCCGTAATACTTTTGTTGTGACGGCGCGGAAAATGTTGTAATTGATCGATCGAACGGCAGTTCGCGCCCGTGACTCTCGTCGGTTACACAAGCTCGACGATGCATACATGTATAAGAAGCGCTCGCGCGCGTCGGGACGGTCAACAGAACGTTCATAGGGGAGTTTGGTTGGACGAGTCAGCGGAAAAGTCCATCTATTATGAACGCGCTTAGCGATGAATATGCAGAAGAGCAGTGGCGTCTATCGCTCGATTATCAAATCCGCAGCTCGCGCTCGCTTCCGCTTTTCGTTCTTCGATGACGCGCTTCGATGATTCCAGCGACGCGACGTACCGGGCCGAATACGAGAGTTCGAATAGCGTCCGAGATACACGGCTTGGCAAGCTGCGCTGCCCAAGTGGATACAGTTATTAAAAGTGCTCGCCGCCAACCTCGTGCCCAATACAAACAAGACTCGACCGGATCTTCAACGCTGAGCTTCGAAGCCGCCAAGACGCCGCGAGCTGAAAGCTCGTTCGCGTGTCTCGCGATGGCGATGACGCGCTCGTGCCGCCGCGCTGCCAAAACCGTCTCGTTCGTTTCGGCCGGACCGCGCCTCTGCGGACTCGATTTCAAACAAGCCCGAGAGCTTCTATTTCTTTTCGCGAGGGGAATTTCACGCGAGAACCAACGTATCGAGCGGATCTTCAAGGCGACTAGCGGATACGCTTTCCCAGACTGGCGTGCGCGCGTAGCGTGGGAATTCGCTCGATCGAGCAACAAAGAAGCAACGAGCGAATCTGCCGACGGAAAAAGAAAAGTAAGTAGGAGGGAAAGCTTCTGTTAAAACGGCATACAGTGGCGTGTTTGAGGCTGTACTTTTGCGTTACTCGGTCAAGAAAGAGAATCAACATGTTTAGTTGTCATTGGCAATAGTTTCGAATGGTCTGCCGTAAGATGAACGACAGCGACAGCGAGCCGATCGAGAGCTTTATCGACGCGCGCGACAATACCGTCGCCTAGTCTTATCTACCTGCGTTTAACAAATGTGGCAGTAAAAAGCAAATGACGCCGGCAGGATTCTCATTGTTCTTTGACAGAGCGAATGATTTACGGCAACTGATTTTCGACATGTTGTATGCGCTGAAGCAGTTCTGGATGACTCTGTGCAAATATAAGAAAACAATAAAGAAGAGAAAAGGCACGATTGTACATCAGTGACAAGAAAAATGCGCACTCACGCTTGTTTTGCTTATACTATACGTGGATTGGTTATTCAATTTCTAATTATTTTGCCCGATAAAACGGCTGCGCCAAATTATCCAGACTCGCAAGACGCGCCGTGTCAACGAACATCCGTATTCAAAACTTTTCGCTTGGGCGGCGAGACAAGAGAAAAGCTGAATTGATCGGGGGGAGGGGGGGGGGCGTGGCAATAAAGTTTCCTCGATTGATCGACGACTCGTACGAAAGGAATTGACGCGGGTTTGGCGCGGATCGTTGTCCGATACAGCGCAGCGACGATCGCGAGACGCAGCCGATTTATCTTCGAAACTGGCCGGTCAATCGATGATCGAACGGCAACCGACTTGCGCCGAGACATCAAGTGCATCTTGTCTGAGTATACCGCGGTCGTTTTCGTTGCAGAGAGGTGTCGAGTTTACGCCAGCATTTCGTTCGCGGTGATTCTCCTGGCGATTGGCTTGCCCCTATGGTGGGAGACCACAGCCGTGCCGAGGGCGAAGGTGCCCCACGCCGAGATCGGCCAGCTCAAGAAGCTCGAGCTCGCCTTTCAATTGAGGCTTTACTTGGGATGCATCGAGCCGAGGCGCAGCGAGCAACTCGCGATGGAGTTGCTCGAGAGACTCACCGAGTCTGGACAATCTGGTGAGCGAATTTTACGGCAATCTCTTTCTTTTTCTTGTTTATTTATCCTCGCTGACTCTCGAAGTGAAGCGATTCGACGGTTCGTCCTCGACCGAGCAGGTAGTAAGCTCGTAACGAGTAGCGCAAAAGTACGCTCGTTAACTGTGAATTTTACGTTCTTCTCGGAGGACGAATGTTATCGCGTGGATCGTAAGCGGAGAGCTTTTCCGCAAAAGGCAATAGGAAGTCAGCGATAACAATCGAAAATCGGGAAATCCGCGGGAACAATGTCAAGAACGGACAGTTTCTCATTTCGCGTAACGACTAGCAACGAGAAAACCTCGGAACGACGTTGGAGCAAATAAAAAAAAAAAAGAAAAAATAAATAAGACGAATGCACGGAAAAATACAGATCGACAACTTTGACGCTGCGAACGTTTTCGATAAAACAAAAATAAAGAACAGCTTGTTTGCGAAGCTCCGTCGGCCGGGATCTCGTTTAATCGAGCAAATCCACGTGCACGAGTACATACGTCGACTCGCAAATCGAGCGCACGCGTCGTCGGTCCCGCTCGCCGTGCAGTCGCTTCCGCGGATCCTTGAGACGGTTTCGCTTCGCGCGCGGGGAGCTTGTTTCTCTCTCTCTCTCTTTCTCTCGCGGGCGCGCGACAACAATGCGCCTTTGCGCGCATTCTATTCGCGCGGAGCGGTAAGAGGAGATGATTCAATTGAAAGGGGTTTCTGGAGCCGCCGCAGCACTCGCGGGTTCAGCTCGCTTTTGCGTGCAACTCGAGAGCCGGCGATTGTTGGGCTTTTCCTTTGTCCCGCGGCGACGCTACTATTTCGCTGTCCGCGAGCCCGCCGCTCCTTCACCTCGACGCCTCTGCCGTTGTAATTTCACGCGTCGTTGCGTTCCCTCGAGCCTTCGTATCACGCGATCGGCCGAGTCCTGGCCTCGAAAGTAGTTGCTACGCTTGCGCGTCGCGGGCAACGGGGAAGCAGGATGAAACGAGGAAAAAAAAGAAAAAAGGAAGTCGTCCCCGAAGAAGGCTCTGATCGCGCGGTCTTGGGCTTGTCGCGCAGAGATATTGAAGATGACGGTGTCGCACTTCGCCACGGCCAACACGTCGATCGCGAGGATGACGTCGATCGCCGAGCTGGAGCGCGCGTCCGGCAGATTCGAGGTCGGCCACGGCGAGATACTGGTGCTGGAGGCCAGTAGGCAGGCGCTCGGCGGCCTCGAGGTGCACGTCTCGTCCGGCAGATCCGTCTACTTCTCCTCCGACGCCGGTGAGTGACGACGCGCGCGAGGCGGACGAGCGCCGCTAACGCGAGCCTGTTGCAGACGGCGACAAGATCGCGCAGGTGCTGCGGGAATGGATCTACCGGCAGGACTCGCTTCGGCTGACCCGCGACGCCCTGTCTAGGCCCGCGGAGTTCAGTCTAGACGTGGCGAACCGGCGCCGCTTCCCGGCGAGTCCGAGCTACGACGTGCTGCTCACCGTGGTCAACCCCGAGCCCGAGGACAGCCGCGTCGACCGGGACGTCTCGCTCGTCGCGCAAAGTGAGTATGCCCCGCCCCCGTTGGCGCACGGTCCGTGCTCGAATGCTCCTTTCGTCGACAGACTACATCGAGCCGTTCCTCGAGGAGTTGTCCCTGGTCGCCGATTTCTCAGTCAAGTCGCAGTGGCTGTATCTCGTGCCGCTCGGAGTCAGGCCGAGGAAAGTGCAGAATCATTACGCGCTGTCGGAGGGCCTGCTGCCGCAGATAATCACGCCGCTGGAGAAGAAATTGGGTGAGTTTGCTCGGCGTCGAGGCGCCCTGGCCGGCGCCCAGTGACAATCGCGACGTTTACCTTTCAGCGTCGCAAGTGAGCCTGCACCCGACGATCAATCTGGTGGCCTACATGGTGCCGTGTAGCGAGGCGCCGCTCTACATCTACGACAAGAATCATGTGCGCGCGACCAAGGATCCACAGTTCGAAGCCTTTCATTCGCCAAGGTACGTCGCGCTCCGTTGCCTCTGTTTGGAGTCCCGAGCAAGTTGTGGTCCCACGCGGGCTTATTCGATTGCAGATGGGGCGGCATAGCTCTCGTCAATCCTCCGGCCAATTTTTGTGACACTGCCAAAGAAGATCGAGTGCTCAGGCCGAACGAGCAAGTGGTCGTCGGAGTTTTCCTACAACACCTGAGACTCTTGCTGGGCGTTCCAGACAAGGTAGGTGGCTATTCGCCGTTGGCGCACACGGCACGCCGATAAACATCGAATCCCGCCGCAGGAATCGATCGAGGGAGCGGCGATAGCGCCGCTAAGAAGCTTGAAGCCTCGCGACTGGGAGCTGGACGATCTGCTGCGAATACGCGCGGTCGAGCAGCTCACGTCCGCCAAGCTCACCTTGCAATCGCTCTCGAAGCTCCTCAAGGAAATCAGCAACATCGTGATTACCGAGCAGGTGGGACGACGCATCAGCAGCGCGCTCAAGCTCATCCACCACGCCACTGAATTGCTCGCCACGGGCAACCTTCGAGACGGCTTTGTCGCTAGCAAGCAGGCATTCGTCACTGCCGAGGCCGCCTTTAGCGACCCCTCCTTACTCGCGCTGCTTTACTTCCCCGATGATCAGAAGTACGTCGAGCGCGATACTGGGCAATTCTTTGTTTCACATGCGCACAACTCTACTTCCGTTTTCGTATTTTTTTCTTTCAACTTTTGATCGTTAAACCATTATGACGTTGTTATCGATTTGCTTAATCGCATGCATCATTACTTGGATTGCTCTAATAGCGAGCTTATATAATCTGATATTATTGCAGGTATGCCGTGTACATTCCGCTCTTTCTGCCGGTAATGATACCGGTGTTGTTTTCACTGAAGAACATCAAGAATTATTTGTTTTGTTCCGACTGATGGCCATAGATAGATTTTATGCGAGAATCCACGCTGTGCATTTTTATTTCGTAATTTATACATAATTAATAAAGAGTTTTTTTTATTGACAAGCCAAAGACATTGCGTTATCATATTCATCTTTTCCTTATTCTCATTGAGGTCTCGTATAATAATTTTATTTAAATAATTTCATTGTCCTAATTAAAACTAACACTTTGTCATCGCCAACGGCATTCCAACTTGTATAAACTTTCATAAATAACAATGTTTTTGTTTTGGATTAACTTGCAGCCATTTTTCCGCAAATTTTCGGAAAATTCTCATTTACCCCTCATCCTACCTATTAGTCTCTATAACACTTGCGCACCTATCTTCGCGCATCGTGTGTCGTGTCGTCTGTTTTTACGTGTTGGCTTGGTATCGGACTTAAAAAATGGAGTGAATCTTTCCAAAAGTGTTATCTTTATTATCTCGATAATATAAGTTAATTTTCTGCCAAGTCATGGCTGAATTGTTGTTGGATCCAAATATTCGCGGCTGGGTTTTTTTACCCATTGTCGTCATAACCTTCCTGGTCGGAATCGTTAGGCATTATGTTTCTATTTTAATTTCTTCTCAGAAAAAGGTGGAACTTCACCAGGTGCAAGACAGGTAAATATTTTATATAATTCTTGTAGAAAAATAAAACATATTTCTTAATTGTTTTGGCTTTGTAGCCAAGTGATGATACGTTCAAGGCTGCTCCGAGAGAATGGACAGTACATTCCAAAAGCATCATTCCTTGCTAGGAGGCATTTTTTTAATAACGAGGAAACTGGATATTTCAAGACACAGAGAAGAGCACCAGTTTCACAAAATCCTATGATGGATCCCAGTATGATGATTGACATGTTGAAAGGAAATGTTACAAATGTTATACCTATGGTGCTTATAGGAGGATGGATCAACTGGATGTTTTCAGGATTCGTAACAAGTAATTACCTTGATAATTTCTGCATATTATATTAGATATAAGTATACAATCTATACATTAATATAATTGTTTGCAATTTTTAGCTAAAGTACCATTCCCATTGACCCTACGTTTCAAACCTATGTTGCAAAGAGGTGTAGAGCTTATGACTTTAGATGCAGCTTGGGTCTCTTCAGCCTCATGGTATTTCCTCAATGTATTTGGTCTACGATCAATTTACACTTTAGTCCTAGGAGAGAACAATGCAGCTGATTCATCAAGACTCCTGCAGGATCAAGTCTCAGGTGCAGCAATGTCCATGCCACCAGATCCAAAAGCTGCTTTCAAGGCTGAATGGGAAGCTCTTGAAATTTGTGAACATAATTGGGCTTTGAATGGTGTTGATGCTGATTTACTTGGATTGAAAATAAAAGGAGACAATTCTGAAACCGCTTATATTCAAACCAGAGCCAGTTAGTTAATTTTAAATTTTAATTTTAATTTTAAATTTAGGTTATAATTTAGACTATAATTTAGTCGATTAATGATTGTTTGTGGATGTAATTGGAGGGTTTCTTCAATCATATATTTAATACAATTCACAATTTTGAATACTTTATTTGTCTGCAAAGAACTATATAGCATAATAATATCCAATTATACGTTTGTGAATTTTATTTTGATGTATGGAAGACTTTTGAAAATGTTGATTACTTATATCTACTTGTAGTGCAAAACATTGTAATTACAATTAATACACTCTTATTAATAAACATATTTATAAAAATATTCACATTCAAGTCTAAATTTTAAAAACTTATGGAATTTCATTTTTAACATCACAGGTTGACTATGTAAGAAGCCTAGCAAAATTCTGTATGTACAATTTAAAAAATTAAAATTAATGATCTAATGGCAGCATTTCAGGGTATAAATCTGTCCTTCGATGTTGCTCGTTTGGCATATTTTTTCTGACTTTCTTCAATATTTCTAAATCTATTTCAGCTACAGCAACTCCTTGTTTTTCCATACATTGTGCTATAACTGTTCCCCATGGATCTACTATCTGAAAATATAATCGAAATTACATTCACATTTTCAATGTTTACCTTATTAATTTTTTATGGAAAATAATTATTTTATACTTTCCATAGCGTGACCCCAGCTAACTCTTTTCTTATTATGAGTCCCTACTTGTGCAGCTGCAACTACGTAGCATTGAGTTTCTATTGCTCTGGCCCTTAGCAGTATTTCCCAGTGTGCAGCTCCAGTTTGATATGTGAAAGCAGAAGGGAATGTTAATATTTGAGCTCCCATATTTCTGAGACAAATTGAAAGTTCGGGGAAGCGCATATCATAACACTAGAAAATTTAATTTACATTAATTAAATTTTATTTTAGTTAATCATAAATTTTAGTGAAATACAATTTTGCATAGTACTCACAATACTAAGGCCTATATTTCCTACTGGTGATGGAACAGGAGGTACTATTTCACTACCTTTTTGTACATAATCTGATTCCATTAATCGAACACCTGTTTCTTTATTTTCCATATCAAATAGATGGATTTTCCTATATGTTGATACTAATTCACCTTTATTGTTTATGATTATATGAGAATTTTGTGTTTTTCCTTTTCCAGGAAGCTAAAATACCATATAAAATTCATGTTAACGTCTTATAATGGTCAACAATTGATACTAAGAAAAGAGAGTACATACAGCTTCATGAACTCCACCAAGAGAAAGCCATATGTTTTCTTTCAATGCTAAATCTTTATATCGTTGCACTGTATTGCCATCTAAAGGCTCAGCCATAGCTACTGCATCAGCTTTATTGTCAGCTAAGTAATCACAAGCTTCTGGTAAAAAAGCAATCTAAAAGCATTTATAAAGAATCTACGTATTGTTATGCAGCATGTTAAATAATTTTACCTATAATTTTAACATACACAAGCATTTCTTCTTTTGGCTTCTGCTACAAGCTTACTAACTGCCTCAAAATTTTTATCCTTATCTGAGGTGGATGTCATTTGGCACACTGCAACTAATGGGTTTGGCATTGTACTCACTTGAAGTTTTGATATCTTAGGACTGAAAAAAAACAGATTAACAATTAGTCTATAAATTATGCAATTTTTTGAAACACCTATGCGACAATAATCGAAAAAAAACGACGATTACTTTAAATTTTCACACAGCGCAAATGACACTTTCTTTGAACATGCTCGAATCATTATGCTACTTTGGTCAAATTCTATAAGAGTGCAAAATAAATTTGCACACGATCGTCATCAAATCAGATGATTCGATTGTCCTAACCTTACATGTTTTGTTTACAAACAACAACTATTTTAGATTATTCAGCACGTATCTCTATTATACTAGTAAATAATCTTGTACTTGTGATTTGATAAGAAAAATGCGATTTCATTTTTTTCGAGCATATCAAATGGTGCTAATATTGATTAGATCGTCAATATTTTTAAATTTCCCAGACATTCGAGTGAACATCCATAATATATACTCCATTGCCCAAGCTACTCGATCTAGCTATAAAGTCAACTAAGGGTCACACTTCAAGTTGTACCACTACATGAGAAATTCCATTGTAAGTAAAAAATCCGTAAACACACGTCACATTGGCCTATATCTACATATTCTCGACGTTGTTGAACGAATTATCTGGAAAGCTTATTGCGTGGGCACATATCATTTGTCGGAGAAGTGTTTTTTACATTTGTCATTTATTAGCATATATTGTTTAGCAATAGCCTGACATCTGGTCTTGAGTATCAAGTGTAGAAACTTGAAGATAAGGATATAAACAACTCCAAAATGTCACATCGTTCAGATTCTGCTTTAGTTCGACCTTTCCGAACCATTTTCTCATTAATTGGAGGAATGTTTGATGCTGTTTATTATTTGTAAGTACTTATTAAAATAATTTTATAAAAGTATTATATTATTGTGAAATAAATATTAAATTAATAATTTAGTTCTTAATGAATTATATAAATAATTACAAAGTTTTTGTGATTGAATTGATATCTTTATTCCAGTTTTGCAACATTGATTCCAGGCAATTCTGGAAGCTTGAACAGGTAATTTTTTCTTGGAATAATTGTTTTATAACTTATTGTATATTCACTATTGTACTCATGTGAATATGCTTATTCAATAGTAATCCAAGACGATCAGGTGGCAATGGTTATAGTAGTGGCAGCAGCAGTGGCCCGAGAATAGGAACAATCCACCGGTTTCGTGGAAGTGCTCCTAATATGGCTGTTGGTGGATGCAGGAGTTGTATGTAAAGTGTGGTAGCCAAATATTATACACAAATAATAAATTGTCACATATAACTCGATCATACTTCTTTTGTAAGATTTAATTAAATAATTATTAATGTTATACAACTTATAACTTTATTAAGTATAATTAATAACTTCAATATAAGTCACACTATTTCTAGCTTACAAATCATTTCGATTTTTCTCCTATTAGAGGATGTTTAATAAATGATTTTTTATTGTAATGATTCTTTTGTGTTCTTTTTTCGTTTTTAGAAAAAAATACAGAATTCATAAAAAAGACCTTACAAATTTCAACAACATACAAGTAAATGCTCGTTGTTTATGGTAACAATATGAAATAATCATGAAAACTGTAAAATCCATAATTTTAAGAGAAACTCGCGTGTAGCTCATTTTTGTTGTTGACAAAATAATAAATTCAAATAGATAAAAAAGCAATTTTTTTATGATATAAAGTCACGAATCAGTTTTTAATCTTAGTAATCAGTCCTGCAGCGATAGTCGTGCCGTCTATCCTGAGCATAACTCTGCCAAGTTGTTTAACATCTTTGTGTAATTCTACGCAGATCGGTCTCTGTGTAGTGATCTCAATAATCGCACTGGAATTTTTCATCAGACACCTTGGTTTCTTCTTGATCACTTCACCAGTGCTTCTGTTAAGTTCAACAATAAGCTTGCTAATAATCACAGGTTCGACAAGCGATTGTTGATGTAGAACTACTGGCATGCCGTTGGTAAGAGGCATTTTGACCGCAAAGATCACTACGTGAACTTGGAAGCAACTTGTTACAGGAACTGGATGATGAGGTGTGCACACAATATCGCCGATAGCTAGCTTTTGCTGGTCGATGCCTGAGAGTATTAGGGACACTTGGTCACCCGCAAATGAATGGGTCACATTCATTTCGTCGATCTGAATACCTGTAACATGTTTAAAATGACGATAATTATCTAATGAAGTTTGGAACAAAGTAAAGCTCAAAAAAGCGTAAAACAAACCTTTGATCACAGCAGTTTCATTGAGAGGTAGCACTAGAACTTTGTCACTTACGGATATCATACCAGTTTCCATGTGTCCAGAAACGCTAAAACCTGATCCAGTATTCTTGAATATATCGTTTACGGAGAATCTAAAGGGTCTGTCTACTGGACGTTCTGGACATTTAAAGCTGTCTATTACTTCCACAAGTGTTAGACCAGTATACCTGAAGAATCAATTATTGATTTTGAAAATCCATTAAACCAATAGCTAACAGAATATGGAAATTGATTCTCACCAACTTGACAGTCCTTCGGCCTTAGGCTTCATAACAATATTTTCACCTGAGAGTCCACTGCATGGTACGAATGTCACTATATCTCGAAAACCAGCTTGTTTCAAAAATGTGCTCAACTTGTTGACGATTTCATTAAAACGCTCTTTCGACCAGTCAACTGTGTCTAACTTATTAACTACCACCGCTAATTGTGAAACACCTTGAAAGTAAAAAAATGATGTATTAAAATACATCAAGATTAATGTTAAATGAGTGTAAAAGAATTAAATGTTTACCAAGAGATCTCAGCAATAAAGCATGTTCCCTCGTCTGACCACCACTGTCAAAGCCAGTTTCGAATTCTCCTCTCGTCGCATCAACCACAAGTAGAGCGACGTCTGCTTGAGTAGCACCTGTGATCATGTTTGGTATAAAATCTTTGTGCCCTGGAGCATCCAGCAGAGTGATAGATTTCGTGGTTGTTTCAAATTTCGAATGACCAACATCCATCGTGATTCCTCGTTCTCTGTAAATGTCATTGCGATTGGATTTAATTTTTTATTTACAAGCTTGAAAACAACATATTAAATAAAGCCTCACCTCTCCTCGCCAGTCTCATCAAGTACCCAAGCGTAGGCGAATGATTGTTTGCCAATTTTCTTGCTCTCCTGCTGATATTTATGAATGAGTTTCGAGGGCACCTGACCAAGATCGCAAAGCATTCTACCCAATAGAGTACTTTTCCCAGCATCAACGTGTCCAACGCAGATAAGGTGCAGATTCTCTTTGCAGCCTTCGCGTTTACTCTTGTAAATTGCCAATGCATCGCGCTTTTCCTCGGCCGATTTAACTCTTGGCTCAGCGTCTTCTGATGCGGCTGGCGACTGACTTCTTGATGTATTTAGTTTTTCCTAAATTGTGAATTATTTATTAGTTTGTGGAAATATGACGAGTTAAGATAAGATCTTTGGTTAGTTACAATATAAAAATAATAAAAGTGCGATTGAAACAAATGTTGAGATTCGTAATTCAAACAAATATAAAATATTTTTTTAGTTCAACACATTGCAAATACAACTATGTAATAAAAATTAATATACTTTATAATTAATTAAAGAACAAAAAACATTGGCATGATTTCAGAAAACATATGTTAATGTTAAATATAATCTAATCGAATCGCTTAGAAAATTGAAGTTGGTATAATGAAATTGTTGAGAGGTAGCATGAAAAGGAAAAAGAAAAGAAAAAATCAAAATAATCACTACATTTGAGTTCAGCATTCTAACCAGAGCAGAAGCTTGTCTCCTATCTCCAGCAGCTGGATCGGGCGATGTTCGATTCGAACTGGGGCTTTGAGAGCGTGGTGTTGTAAGAAGATCCGAATCCGTTGCACAAATATCAAAACCTTTGATTATACTTTTCGATGCAGCTGGAATGACTTTGACCGTTGGCACACTCACTACTTTTGGTACTGTTGCTTTTAATCCTATTGTAAAAGCTCAACATGAGTTTTCCAATGTATACATTATTGCGAAAGTTGTAATAAGTTGTCGTTAATATTACCTACAATGAAGTTACGATATTTTTTTTATTTTTTATCGAAACTTTAGATAAAAATAAGAAAGTCAGTTCGTGTAATAATTATGTATTATGTATATTTTTTTAATAAACGATTTTACAATGTTACTTGCAGTCATCTTATAGTTAAACAACGTTCGTTTCATAAAAATTATCAAAATATAATTATGCAAAGTATTTCGGGGAAAAAAATGCTTCTTTTACGTATTTAAAAGTTACCCTTATACAACGTTCATTTGAATTCCAACAATGTATTATGCAATAGCAATATCCAAATAAAAGTAATTTATTTTAGACAAAAATTTCACAAAATTAATAAATAACGCAAGACTTATTTCGATGTCAATATTAGCAATGATTATGCAATTACATGAGGCCTCAATATTATGCAATTTGCAAATTTATAATTACAAAGTTTATGTAATATCAAGTTATCACTACAAATTCATTTTCTCTCAACAATAAAAGTATAGAATAAGGTCGTTAAAATAAATATCTTCTCAACTATTAAAGCTTAGCTTACACTATATTACAAATTTATACGACAACTCCTCTTCTCAATCGAGCAAGAACTATCGAATCCGGTGATGGACTTGAAAAGTCGAATGGTAAAATGGTTCTCCTACTATTAACAGTACTATCTCGTACTATTTCCTTTGGATACGGTACTTTTCTAGAAAAACTTTTACACAAAACTTTACCGAATGGCGATGCTGATTTCCGCTGGTTCCTAGCTTTCACGCGGTATTGATTGCACTCTCGTTTGACTGCTTCTAACGACAATTCTAATGCTTTAGATTTCGCGCTATCTGGCTTTTCTGATTTGATAGCTATTTTGTGTATGGAAAAATTTATTGATTCACTTTCAATGAATTTATTAGGATCAAATTCTTCGATACGCAAATTCGATATATCTTCCAAAAATGACTTTGAGAGATTTGGATTGTCTTCCAAGTCCTTTTCTTTCTTTATGATCAGATCAGGTATCGTCAATTTAATGTTTGAATCAATGTTTTTTTCTTTTTTAATGTGCATTTTGATATTTGAAAGCGATGAATCCTCTTTGGGAATAACGAAACCAAATAACTGAGCTTCAAAATTTGTATCTTTATTTGAACTTTTCAAATGATGTGCAGTCAATTCCGCGAGCGAACCAAACGGTAGCGAACTACTTTGATTCGAATCATTATTTTTAGAACCGATCTTTGGTGTAACAAAGTCAGAAGGCAATACGAAATTTCTATTAGAATCTTTTTTGTTATTTGATATTTTCAAGTGATGATTGGATAGTTCTGCAAGTGAATTGAACGAAGGTGTATCACTTTCATCGGACTTCAAATCTTTAGGCCCAATTTTAGGAATAACAAATCCAGAAGATTTGTTGTCGTTCGAAATTTTTAAATGATGAGCAGTTAAGTCAGCCAAACAACTAAAGCTGAGAGAATCATTACAACTATTAGTTGATTGTTTGAAACTATTGAAATTAATTTTGGGAATTGAAAAAGTAGATTTGTTGGATTTCTTTTCTGCAATTTTCGAATGATATGCTGTTAAACCATCAAGAGAATTTAATGGTCTTAACTTGTTTTCTGGTAGTTTAATATTAACAGTAATCATATCAGACAAAGAGGGAAATTCTTCACTACTTTTATCACAGCCTTTTTCTGAATTGCATTTTAAATCAGAATTTGTAGTTATGTTGCTGGGTATTGAAGCACTAGCGTTATTTCTAAAAAAATGTTTAAATTTGGAACCTTACCTTACCAACAAAAGGTGGTGTGAAAAAAGATCATGAAAGAGAAATTATTAAAAATTATATTAAATTCATTATTCTTAATATAAAAATAATTAAGATTATGATGTAATCTCTTACCTGGTTGTATATCAAAAGTTTTTTCCAATGGTTGTTTTTCTGAAACTAATATGCTTTAGTTTATTTTCATGATTTATTGTAATAAGTCTGTAATAAGTGTTGAGATATAAACCTGTTATATTTTTTGATGATTCGTCATTTAAAATTGATTCAAGAACAGCTTCTGTACTGAATTTGAATTCAATAATTTTTCTATTCAGTTCTGATTCTGGATATGTGTCTCCTATAACATTTTTAATTGTTTCCACACAAGACATTAATTTAGCTGCATCAATGTCAGATAGATGCGGCACCTTGTAGCTAGATGGCATATCTTCAACCTCTTCTATATCTTCTACGATATCTGGCTCGGTCATGAATGATGCAATATTTGCTTGCTTAGTGCGATCGTACATAAATTGCTCCGCTAGTGAGTGGTAGAATGTAAAAAAAGAAATGAGTTCACCAACCATATCATAGATTTCTTCGAACAAAATGATACATGACAATTTGTATCAAGTAGACAAAGCTTTAGGAGCAGTCATTGTTATTATGTTTGCACACATATTCTTATTCTTCTACATTATTCCTATTAAAAGAATCTGGATTCATAATTTTGTGATGTTATCAATGAAAAATAAATGTTTGTGACTCAAAGGGTAAACGAGTGACATATTCAAAGTGAATCATTTGGTACATTCAATGAAGTGTCACGAAATTACGAAACATATTAGTTACAATTAAACTAGTCATCTAAACCGCTTACCACTTGGAGAAATGCAATAGTCATCTTCGACTGAATGCCCGTAGCAATCCTCCAAACCATCGTATTCTGTAAAAGAAATCAATTGTTTTTAGTAATACAGAATATTCGGGCATCGGTAATGTAACCTCAAATTCATATTTATGCAATCTCATGCACTGACCATCTGAAAAATTTTTACTTCTCACAGTACGATGACGAGACATTTTAGCGAAATCGTTGACAACTATTACTACAATATTAATTAATAACTAATGGCAATACGCTTGTTCCTGTTAACACCAATCCATTTTTTGGTAATAAATTGTAATCGGTCGCTCCTTTCATTTTGTATGTTTGAAGGTGTGTTCAATCAACACAAGCCTCTTACCAACGAACCTTATATTCAGTATTGCCGTCATCACTGTTCTATGACGGGCATATTTTTGAAAGGCGATTAAATCACGTGGCAAGTTAATTAAGTTACATTATTATGATTTTAATAGCAATTAAATTGTTGTTAGTAAAGCGTTCACAGAATTGACATAGAGGACTTTTCAAATTCTTCATTAGAACGTCAATGACACCAAGTTTATAACAACTTACGTGATACCTTTCACCGAATAAAATAAGTATTAGCGATAATTAATGAACAATTAGAAAAAGACAAAGTAACTATAAAAGATTGAGCCGATTAGAGGTTTTTCAGAAGTAGTAGGAAAAGCATGAAAATTTATTTTAGTGCAATGTAAATCCTGTATAAGATGCGTTTTTTCTTTTCCATAATATCAGTCCTATTTTTCATTACGAACCCTGTTATCCTACAAATCTTTTTCTCTACTCATATTGAATTGTGATGCTATCAATTGAACAGGCAGTTGTAAATTCTCATAGTTGTAAAAAAGGACATAAATCATAATCAGTAAACAATTATCATCAGAGTCAGAGTTAAACTTTGTTTTCAGGAAGCTGGTCAAATAATATTTATGACAAATTCGAATTGATAATGTTACTTTGAGAATTCATACAAACAATAGTGGTAAAAAAATTTTTAAACCTATACAATTTGTTTAAACTTTAACGAATATTATCAGAAGTCACAATCGTTTCATAATATTCTTGATTGCTTTATTTATAATACTTTTCAAATAAGATATTCGAAAAACTTTGTGAATTCTCGAATCAAATTTAAATTTAAATAATTTATTTCTCCTAGAAAAATTCGTAAAATTATTAAACATTTTCGCGAGCGTTTTGACTGAGTATGCGAACAGCTAATTATTTATGGAGTAATAGTGTATTAATGCAAGGAATCGAATTAAATTTTTTTATTTTTCCAGCGCATTCCTGGGATCTTATCTACTTGTTTATGTTATCGAACAATAATAATCTCAATAAGACAAAAGTGAAAACACTCTCACCGCGAAGAAAAAAAAACGAAATATACATCTTTGAGTCAAAAGGCAAATCTCTTATAAACAAAACGTATCCAGCTCCGTCACGTGTAGCGAGAAAGAAAGACGTGCATCGGCAAAAATAAACATCACCTCACACGATACAGTTCTCTTTCCCCCTGGCATTTAGCTCGGGCGAAAGACAGAGAGAGAGAGAGAGAGAGAAACTGTTGCGAGCTCCGACACACGCACGTAGGTCGAGAGATCGAGGTCGAGCGATGATCTTCCACCGATGCCGGAAATTAGCTCGCGCCCGACGCCCTTCGTCGGATGCGCGTACGAAAAAGCGAAGCGCCGATGGCGGCAATGGATCGCTTTGCAAAAAAAAAAAAAAAACAAGTCACAAAGACGACCTCGCGGTGGCGAGCTCCGAAAGGCCAGAAGCTCGAGTCCGCGCGACGCGTGGCACAAGTTTATATATGTTTAATCAATGAATACTCAAGCGTGCGACACGCCTACGAAATACCTCGCGCGCGCTTATACTATACGCTGGAACGATTGTTTTAGCGCCGTTCGGCGGATGACTAATAATCGCGGCGACGGGAGCCAGCGAAAAACAAAAATATGAAATTTGCGCGCTTCCTGTTCACGGGCTTTCGGGCGTGATTACATCGCGACCGCGGCCGCACGCGCACTCCGAGTGGAGTTCACCAAAGAGCGACGACGCGGCTTCGAAGGTGCTCGTGCTCAAAACATTGAGCCAAGGGGGTGATGCGCCGTTGAATCACGGCTAAAAATGGGCTTGATAAGAGGCTGACGACGTACGGAGGATCGCTTAATTATGTATATTTCTTTTCCCATCAAGGCCACGAAAACATCATCTTCGTCGCCGAATCAACAGTTTAGACGGATGGAGCAACAATTATGTTGTAATGACGCTTTCGATAAGATAGCGCGTGTAGCGTCATTGAATGACAGCATTTTTTTGCCGGACTCGTTATTTCCCAAGTTCGGCGAGAATTAAAATTGGAGAAGTGCTTTTTCGAAGTTGCCAATACGGAGATTAAATATTAGCAATTCCAATGAGCCGCAAATTTTATACGAACACATGTTATTCTTATTTATTACCGTGTCAAAGTGTGGTTCAAGACTCGACATCGTCGGCGCACACGTCGTAGTTCTAGTTCACTTTCGAGTGCACGCCCCTGCAAGGAAAAACAATTTCCGTCCGATGTCGCGCAAACGTTCACTCGAAGACGTTAGGAAAATCAGATAGAGAGCGACTCGGGAAGCTGTTTGTCTCTCGGCGCGTCAATTTGCACGGAAATCGCTGATTTCATTTCCAAACAACAACGTCGTTTGCCCGCGCGCGACGAATAACAAAACGCGCGCTCGCGGCGATCGCGAAGCCTCGGACCGACCTCGATCGCAAGGAAGGAATTCAACGAGGAGCGGAAAAAATTCAATTGCGAATACCGCCCTCTCTGCTCTCTTGCCGCCGAATAAGCGCAGCGGGACGCGAGGCGCGGACAAGCTCTCCTTGGATGGGCATTAAACGCAACGACACGTCGGCAACTGGCAAGCGACGCTAAATGCCGCAAAAATTTTTCCGCCAAAGTCGCTATATCATTCGCAGCGATGACTTCACGGTGGTCGTCGCTGATGCGTCGCTTTTATCTCCCCGATCGTGCACCTCGACCCGCCGCGCTCATCTCCCGATAACGATCTCAATTCCGTGCGCGCGCGCGCGCGCTCGGCCGCCAGTCAAGTGCAAATTTGTCCGGCGGACGCGTTTCGTCGGCGTGTCGTTGGGAATGGCGCGCCTCTACAAAAGGTCAACACGCGACGGAGGCAATAGAGGCGCCCATTGTCTTCACGAGCGCGCGCGTGTTGCGTCAATCGATCGCCGATCCCGTCGCGTGGCGTCGAGCTTCGCTCGAAATATTCCAATGTCGAGATGAGTCTGTGTTTCGAGTAATGTCAAAGCACTGTTATTCGATTCCAGCGCCGAATAGTCCGCAGCAGCAACGCGCGCCGCAAAAGCGAAAGACACGCAGGAATATAAAATGTCGAGATTTTTTCTTTCTTATTTTGCGGAATGCGTGCGCGTGGATTATTACCCAGGTTTTTTGACGCTCAATCGGATTCGAACGCACCGCGCGCGTGACCCCGTACGCAACTTTGAACGCGATTCCTAAATTCGTTGCATCTCTATCGGTACGCGCGTTTGCTTTACGAAGCTGTACGATGGTCAAATATCGATCGTATGTATAAAAGCAAACGTAAAATCTTGCCCTCGAGGGTTCATTAACATTTGCGCTCGTCGTGCTTCCTCTGCAAATTTCAATCTAATGACTGTCGTGCGATATCATTTGCAATTAAATATTTTTCAAGCCTGGTGTGACTCAAGTATCCCGTCCGTAAGCACATTTTTCTTGCTTCGGTACATAAATCACGGCGTTATTGAAATGTGCTTTCCGTTTTCATAAATTATGCCTCGAAGCGGATCTCCGTTGATTATGTGTGACAGACATGGATGAATAATTCCTATTGTGAGCAATTGTTTCGAAGGCTCATCCTGTAAACGCTTTCAATTGTGTGCGTTTGTTTATAACTTCTCCGTCGTCAAAGAAACATCCATCTAGGCTGAGATGAACGTTCGGTGATACGTTTTATGAAGAATTCCAGTCGATATAGTTTTTTGGTCGAACGAGAACGAGTTTTCGACTGGCAACTTTGTGATCCGTGAAAATACTGAAAAAGTGTCCGTGCCACATCCCATCCTACCGCGCGCGTCTAATTCAACGACCATGGCTAAATAAATACCGACAAATATTTTTCGCGACGATGGCGGATTAAATTACACTAAATGGAAAAAAAATGTTTATTTACAAATTTTTGCTGTTTATTGCTGTTCCAAATCGATTTTTCGCGGAAAGGACGCAAGCTCACGTACGTCAAACTTGCGAATATCTTCCGTAGCGCTGAAATAATTTCAGAAAACTTGTAACCCGTCGATAAAGACGTAACGTCCAATCTAAATCGATCGATTTCGCAACGAGCGAGCCGAGCGTCGTGATAGGCGACGGAAAAACAAAAGAAAAAAAATACAATGTCCTCACCGGCTGACAAAGCTCGCACGCACCATTATACACTGTAATGGCAAACCACTTATCGTTATTAATAATAACAATTACATAAGCTTTTCTTTTGGCGACTAAATGTGCGGTACGTCATCGCCGACTGTCGCGCAGCTCCGAACCCGCATCTGCCGCGGTACGACTGCGCATTGTATGTGTATGTGTATATATATTTGCCGCGAGGCTGAAAAACAAAGCCGTCCACTTTTTCGCTTCAATTTTATTACTGGTGCTCTTCTAATTGGCGAGCAAATAAGGTATGGACCAAGGCGTGGAAAACGCCCACGGAATATATATAATCTTTCCGACGGAGCACCGGTATCATTGTTTCGTTCTTCGCCCGTAAGTCAGCCGTCTACGTCGTTCCTCCTGTCCCTCGTGTTGAACGACGCAGTCTTGATTGACTGATCGCGGATGGACTGTAATGCGTTTTCCAAGTGAAGCTCGACCTACAGATAATAATTGCCTGTCGTTTCGAGATTCCGGGGAATATTCGACTCCAAGTGTCACGACGAGCTCTCGTCTTTTGTGGTTCGACCTGCGATGCGGATAGACAAAAGAAACGCTAATGATCTCGTTTTCTCGTGGAAGCACTAACGTTCACAGCGCGCCTATTTTTTTCCCCTCTAATAATTTCTTTACTCCCCTTTATTAATTTTACATTTTTTTTTTCAACGAGCAGCTGTGAACATTCGAGCGACATTGCATTTTCTTGACCTGTTTATATATTTTTTGTACTTTTGCGCGTTTCACTTGATAAAAACTGTCTATTTTCTACTCAAAATAGAAATGGCAAATTTGCAATTATGCATTGTCCGTGGTCTTTTTAATGACTTAGCAACACGCAAAGTATTAGATCAGCTTATTTCAGAATGACCAATCATGTACCGTTACTTCACTCTTTTTCTCGATTCTCAGCTTCTTTTTGTCCGTTTTCTCTAAGATCACGTTTTCTTCAGATTTTTCAAGAATCATTCAAAAGCCACTTTTTCATATCACAGTTGAAATATTCACGTCGGATTGCTTTGACAAATCGAAAACCGAAAGTGATGCGAGACTTATGTGCATTTAATCGTGACAGGCATGAAGTCACAATTAAAAATAGTATAGCGTCAACTCGCGATGTGGCGTGACGTTATGACGGAACGCACAATAGAGATCGGCGTCGCTTGGCGTCTCATTGCGCTGTCAAAGCGACTTTGTTCCGTGAAAAATCCAATAATTCACGATAATTGCATATCACGTAACAACAAAAAGTGGATCTCTGACGGGGAAAAGGCTTGTAAAAAGCAAAATGCTACCGACCAATCTACGACCGCTGCGACACTTTGTTGCAAAGCTGACGAATAGCCACGAGACGAGCGGTGACTTTCAGCTTTTCAATTTTAGGCAATCGTTAATTTTAACTTTGAACTGTGCGGCATTCAAATGTTTCTTTGCCAGTTGGCAAAGAAAAGAGAGAGAATAAGAAGAAGAAAATGAGATTTCTCTTACGAGTTTTCTTCTCAAATTCACATCGTCAAGCGCAAGAGAAAAAAAAATCGAGTTCGATCATGGCTAATTATACTTATCAATTATACCCTTTGTACCCCCCACAATGTCCACACGCCACTCGCGCCGAGCGCAGATTTGACGGCTAATAATATTGATTCGATCATCGCACGTGACGTACGAGCTATACGCGTTTCTTTTATACTTTTTCGCTCTTTATACCAACGAAACATGGCGGCAGCGAATACAAGTTGCAAACAGTGGCCCTCGAGAGGTCGATGAAACCGTACGCAACGGAGAGAATCGAAGTGCGTACGCGCGCGTGTGTGTATACGTGATCCGGAGAGAGTTTTTTTTAACGACCAGGAGTTATTGGCGAAACACGCGTCTCCTTATATTCGACATTATTCATTTTATTTATTTATTTATTTTTTAATTATTTTTTTTTTCGCCGGATATTTATAGCGATTTGCTCGAAGGATGCGTGTCGCGATACAAACGAAGCGACTGAAGAATTTCGTGGGTCCGATCCAGATTTTCGCGCACGACTATTTTTGCGTATCATTATAGACGCGATATTGACGCTGCGTGGCTTCAGGCCAAATAGAACAATCTTGTCTTTGTTTTTTTTTTTTGTTCTTTCTGAGGCAAATACCGTTTGATCGAGCAGAACATCCACGAAGAAAAGCGCGACTTTGTCTTTTTTCCGAAGGTTGCAAATCTTTGACGAGTTTGTCGTCCCCAATTAGGTACGTAGCAATATTAGTTTATATAGCGTAGTGGCGGAATTTTAATTGTGAAATTTCCTCATTTTAAAGTTAAGCCTCACTATCTCTCTCTCTCTCTCTCTCTCTCTCTCTCTCTCTCTCTCTCTCTCTCTCTCTCTCTCTCTCTCTCTCTCTCTCTCTCTCTCTCTCTCTCTCTCTTTGTGCACGAACGCGTCCGAATGGGTCGATTGTAACGCCTACTTGATGAATTTCCCAAAAGATTGATGGCGCAACGAAGCAGCGACTGACTTATTGTCAATTCAATCGGGATAACTAGCGAAATTCAATAAAATAAATTTACCCGCTGTTCATATTAAATGAGGCTGAAGTCATCGGTCGAAATAAGCGTGTCAATGCTGTCCGCGTTTGCGCTCTTCGATGGCGAAGTCGCTTCAACGCCCCCGCCAACTGAAATCTAATTGAGCCACTTTTTATTCAGCGACGCGCGTGGCCGGCGACACTCCGAACAACGATGCGAAATTGACGCAGAACCGATCAAAATCGTCAGCAGTTAGCGACACCGATACGCGTCCGCAATGACGTACGCAGCCGCAGCTGTCGCGTATTTCACCTGAAAAATTACGCGGAACCGATGCGTAATTTCGCCGCATTGTTAAATTCCCCGTTGCGCGTACCTTTTCTATTCGTCGATGCACACACCTGCGGACAACTTTGATTTTCGATAAGCAACGTCACCGGGCGATACGCTGAATCAAGATATCCATGATCGAGACGAGAAAAATAAGGTCGAGGGAATACCAATTTTGCGGAGATCGATTGAGCTAGTGCGCCACGTAATTTTGCAATGTGTTGGTAAATACCTGACATGCTCGATTCGATGATTAGCTCATTGCTAATGTTGTTTATTGGATGATTGGATTAGAAGATATTGTCACGATATGTAGCTTTATGATTATGGATGGTCATCGTGAAAATCTCTAATCCGACAAAGTCTTACATAATTTTGGTTGTTGCGCGAATCCTTCGAAGGAAACGCTCGAGCGCGTCTGGCGTTATTCAAATTGCACAGCAAAAATCGGCCTCGTGTCTCCATAATTCATCAGAATAGCCCGAATAGCCTGGCAGCAGTAGAAATACTCTGATTCCAAAAGAATATTGCCGCAAGATGTATTTGTCGAGCGGCAACCGTTCGAAAATAATTTCCGAACGGCATTTTTTGGACAAGGAGAAAGAAATTGGATATCGTTGCAAGTAGTAAAGATCCCGGATTCGGTCAGACACGAAGGCTTTCCGATATCTTTCGTTTATCGGAGGCCTTCGCGGCACCCGAGTGCAAGCGTCCGTCAAGAGGTTCTCGGTGCTTTATGAGGCTGATAAACTGCTCCGGTCAGACATCTACCGGCTCGTCGATTCGCCTTGCGTTGCCATGGAAGGTGAAAGCTCTCTGTGGCCAATTTTTGCGTCGATACATATTGGCGACAGTTTGTATGCGCGTGGTGTTGACAGAAGCGTCGAGAGATAGGATAGGGAAACGGCAGCAGCGCCACTCGAGTCGCAGGACAGAGATAAGGAGAAACAGTGGCCAGTGGCTCGTGTGACATCACGCCTCATTGTTGGAGGTTTACGTCATTGCCCTGTATATACCGCGCGCGTGCTCTCCGTGTGTCGCGCCTGCGCGTGTGGTGAGGCGAACGCGCGTGCGTGTGCGAGACAGAGCGGCGACGTCGCTCGCCGCAGTCTCCAAGTTCGCGCGCCACCAGTTGTCGACTTAGTTTGGTTCAGTGTGCGACGATGCGTCGTCCGCTTCAAAGTGTTTTCCTCGTCGTTGATCCACGTGCAAGCATGCTTTGTTTATTCTCGCCGCCGAGACCAGCTTCGCACAGTTGATACACTCGCGAAAGTGTATCGTGACAGGCCTAGAATATACAGAGTGTTGCAAGGATATCCATTAGAGAATGTGAGTTTCGCCGAGAGATTACACACGCAAAACAGAGCGATCGAGAGTTATCGATTTAATGTTAACATTGTGCTGGCTGTGTGCGCTTGGTGTGCGTGTGCGCTTATCGATCAAAGTGCACCGCGCTGTTCCTTGTTTATTCCGGCAAATAATATTGCGCTCGACGAATAGGTTAGGTATGGCCGTGCAATAGTTGTCTGCTCTCGTTCTTATAAATGGAGGTGCGAGCGTGCACACGACCTAAAACAAACTAGGATAAGTCGTTGGCTCTTTACGCATAGAACATTCTTTTTGGTTACATCACGTCGCGATATCCGCCTGCATTGCATCCCCGCGGCATCAGCTCTGAAAATACAGCACAAGTGTTTACTGCGAAATGCACGTACGCGTACGCCTCTCGTAACAATTGTGTTTTGATTTGCTGTCTTCAAATATATTCGCGTCTACTCGGTTGATTTGAGAGCCGTCATGTTTTTGTTTCGGCTTATTGATAAGCTTCGCGCTATGGAACAATTACATAATATCAAACTTTCGAGCTTTTAACGCTCAATCAAGAAACTCGCTGGTCACTACGTGCAAACTTGTCGCGATCGTCGATCAACACGCAAACACGCGCGTGTCGCGGTGAGAGGTTTCCGAAAGCGCGTGTGATCGACCTTTCACTGAAACCTCAAGGTGCAAAGAGTCCAGTGCACTCCCGCTGGGAAATACACTTTCCGACGCTCACAGTTGACGTCGAGCGCACGCTGCTCCCGCACTCTCGAGCGCTCTTTCTCTCATTTTAAATATAACGGTGTATAAATAAGTATGAGCAATAGCGGGAGTACGCGAGGCTGTCTCGCCCTCTCTCTCGCGCACTCTTGCTTCGGAGATCGGAAAAGAGAGGGCGAGAGAGTGGTGGGAAGAGATAGTGTGTTCTCCAGTGGATGCCCCAGTGGGGCCTTGATACAGCGGTTTCTGGAATACGATGACCCTGGTATCTCTGTCTCTCTCGTTTTCTATGCTGGTGGGGCTGCTACTGCATGTGTGTGTTGTTGTTCAGAGGGGCTTTGCTGACAGTTTTGGTCTGACTGCTCAACCGCTAGCAACACCTGTATAGAGATAGAGAAAGAGAGAACTGCTGTTTGCGCCAAGTCTACTACAGCTGGAGACTGTTGTGTAGGTGGAACATTATAAGTTTATAAGTTTTTTTTCAACTCTGACAAAGCTGCAGATATTTTAGTGTGTTTGCGTAGAAAATTTTTCACTGGATTAGATGCTGATACACATACATGATTTGTGATTTTGTGGTTTTTCAGTAGCATACAAGCCATTTTTTCTTTTCTTCTTGTGGACTGGTAGGCTGAGTGTCCAGTTATTTTTCTCTTACGCTCAGCAGCTTACAAATGATTTCATAGTTATAATGAAAGCTTATCTTGGAAATTTATTTTAATTGTATCCACTTGTACTAGTTTCTAGTGGTTTGTTAATGTGTCATTTGGAAGTAGAAGACATTTTGTTTGGTAACTTGGCAGTTAGTAGGTCAGTGACTTTGGTGTGTAAATTAGTTATTTACAAGGGCAGATTTTCTTGAAAACATAATGATGGTAACAGAAGTTAATGGAGATGCACTCATTGGAAAAGTAGTTCAAGAAACAGTTCAAATTCAGTTTAGCAATGAACATTTTCTTGGCTCAGTGCCTACTGAGAATCACCTACTAATTTAAGTGTCACTATTACTATACAGGCGTGTGTCTGATCCCTTTATTTCACTTCAATCTAAAACATGTAATTTAATCCCACATGATAAAAATGAATTTTACGCTAGTTATTCTTTCATTGCTCACCTTGCGAGGCTGTATCCTGTTGAAATTCATGCTAATGAGTTGCTAGAGTTGCATTATTGCATTACTGGATGCTGTTCAAGTATTTAAAGTATGTTTAGCAAGTATTATGTCAGTGGGTTCGACGATTGCCTTTGACAAAGCATGTATGCATTCCTGCCAAGTGACAAAAATTCAAATGCAGTGCAGAACAATTGTTTAAATTATTTATTTTTATGCTATTGAAAAGCTTTAGTAAATGAAATGTTTTGCTTGATTGATTATTCTGTTGAGTAAAATTTAGTAAAATATTGTTAAGAATTAAAAATTTGATATTCTTTACAGTAAGAGACTTAAATTATATTTTCTTGTTTTAAACAATTTTTGCCATGCTAAAGTAATTAAAGCATAATCAACTAAAAAACCATTTATTTTCAACATTACTCGTGGGATGGCTACTATGTAGACTGTTTTTAGTTTGAGAAACTTTATCCATATTTTCTGTGTTTACAATTCTCAATGCTTTACATTCTGTGAGCTGGATTGGATTCAAGCATCTGCAAAAGTGTCTTTCATTTGTATTTAATTTTACTTTTTCACTCTCTCTTTTATTCTGGTTTAGGCACATTAAAGCGGAATTTCGGTTTTACTTTCACTCGATCTTCAATCAATTATTCGAACAAAAATCTAAGTGTGAAGATTCAATAATTTGTTCAAAACGAGTCGCATGGGAGAATTGGTAAACAACCACGCGGAAAAGTGCGCCACACGAAAAATCATTCGCTAAGTTTTCTAGTTGTTTCTATTTTTACGCAAAGCGTCTTACAAATTGATGAACACTGGTGGAACTTTCCTCGTTTATTAGACACACACTAAAAACCACGATGGAGTATCGGCAAACAGGACGTTTTTCGCGAAAGCGTCACACAACCGAAACATAATGTAAATCAAGTGGCGTCGTATCGTGTCGTTTGCGCCCATAAAGCTCCTTATCAAATCGTCGACTGTACAATATCCTTGTGACGTTCTTCTTTATCGCTTTCAAAGCAGTCGCACGACATTATTAATTGTGCGTTCAAATTTATTTGATGAGTTGGTTTATTTTACGAGTTAAAATAGCTTTCGCGAACGTACAGCTTCGTTTGGCGGTCGTGCGTCAAATTTTAACGAAAATAATCAAGTGTTTACGACGCCGGCCTTTGGGATGATTGCGAGTCGTAAAAAAAAAAACAATCAACTGATAATAAAGGTTGCATTACGAAAGATTTAAAAATAGTTACGTGTGCACAGCATTTGACATATGTATTTGTAGTCGCAATTGATAAGAGTATTTGACACTCGGTCAATAGGCTCACTATCGGTTAATTTTGATTAGCGTGTCTGTAAACCGTTCTATTTTTTTCTCTGGAAAATCCACGAAGCTTTACACGAAAGTATAACTATGCGAGCTTTGCCATTTCTCTTGTCTTTCGCGAATCTGATTGAAATTAGTATCTTCTACTCGAGGCGACATTTAAACACCTCAGATAATTACAATGTCAATACAAATCCGATAAAGCAAGTCACGTTGTCGGCACTGCGCGCGACGGTACGGCTGTTGTTCTGCCTTATCGCCGATGCTGTATATTTACGAATAGGCCGTCGCTGCGATTACTTCATCGATCACATCGCCACGCGTTTGACACATAATCGCAAGATCCGTTCGCGCTATTAGGGATGATATTTAAATCGGGAGCGATCGCTCGATCGAATGTCCCAGGGGCGAGCTTGGCTGGCACTGATGCAGGCCGATTTTCTGGATTTGCTGTTCGCAGGTACGAGCAGTGAACGACGGGCGAGCGCGCGCACGGCCGACGGAGAAGAAGAACAGAAGGGAGCCCCCGCGTAAAAATGCCGCACATCACTGGATCGCCGCTGCAGACGGAGAGGAAATCCAGTGGCGCCATGTACAAGGAGCTGATCTTGTTCGCTACCGAGCTCGCGTGCTTCTACAAGCAGGGGTAAGTCAGCCGCGTCGCTCTCGGCTCATTTCTCGCTCGTTGCCGGATAGCGAGATCGCGGATCGTCCGATCAACGAGCGTCGCGCCAGACCGGGGGGACCGCGGCGCGGCGTTCGAAGGCACGTCATTACGTTCGACGCCGCACGGACAATAATAGTCGCTTTTTGTCATCTGCGACGAGTCATTGGCCCGCAGATCTAATTTTGAGCGCGCGCACCGACAACTCGCAGTCCGAGGCGGCGGTGGCACCACCACCTGCCCGCGTCTGCGCCGCGACGCGAGCCTGCCGTAAGGAGCACACCGACTGGATGTTGGGGACGACGCGTGCCGCGGTTCGTTTTGCGCCAACGTCGCGACGCGGAAAGCATTCGTTGTGTCCTCTCTCATCCCGAGCGCAGCGCGTCGCTCTCTTCCTCTGTTGCAGGCGAGGAGCGTCGGTGCACCAAACGTGAACCAACTCTATAGTCTAACCATGTTCAAGCGCGAATTGTTTTTTATCCCCGTTAAAGGATTTGATATTCGAAAGTACGTCTTCGCAAAGCAATTCTTTGCTTCTCTCTCTCTCTCTCTCTCTCTCTCTCTCTCTCTCTCTCTCTCTCTTTCTCTCTCTCGCTCACTCGCTTTCGCGCTCTGGACTTTCTGGATGTTTGCGTTTTTCACGTTTGCCATTTCGTCCGATTTACCATTTTTATTTTATTTTCTTTTTTCTTCGCGGATCAATCGAATCCTGGTTGCTGTATGGCTAGACTTGCATGATTTGTCGATAATTATTGTGATGTATGCGTAAGAAGAGGTAATTATTTCTAATTAAATGTTTGTTGTTTTAGCACATACTTGATATAAGACGCTGTTTCAATATTTACCATTCAATCAATAATATTTTATGTTTATTTTGTTACTAGTATTCCTTTTCAGTTATTTTGTTTCACAAGTTGTTGCACTGACTGATAATCGAAAGAATCTGTGTACATATCTCGATTGCACAAAAATGTTCGTTCTATTTTATCGAAGCTTTGATTCTTTTGTATGTGATTGTATTTTGATTTTTTCCAATTATATTATCTAAAAAAAAATTACGATAAAAGATTAAGCTTATTAGTATCTCTGTAGAAGCTTTTTTTATTATTTGATCTGTATAGTTGGCTCTCAGTATGCTTTGCTTTACGCGTATTTTTGAATTGGTTATTAATTTTTTTTATCAAAGTAGTAGCTGTATAAATAATGTTTTTAAATAAAAGTGGAAACTTTCCGCAAATAAAAAAGATTAGCTTTTTTCAGCACTGCATTTACAAATCACGAGCAAAAAAAAACTATCAATCAGAGCGCTGTCGCTAATTAAGCTTTAAAATGCCGTGTTTACTGCTCGTTTATAGATAATTACATCATTATTTTCATTTAATTATTATCCATTCTCTCTCTCTCTTTGTCGCTCTTGTACATGCACTCTATAAACGGAATCCTAATCGTGTTTTATCTCTGTTTTTTCTTTTTTTAGAGTATCTGTTCCTATGAGCACCTCTTGCTCCATACATTGTGATGGAAAGGACACTAGCAAGGCTGGCTCAAGTACGTTCCTCTAGGCATACAAAATGGCAATGCTCGAATGTCGCTTTGTCTCATTTGATTTATAAAGCACGTTTGAGAATGCCTTTCTATTTATTTCGAAGCAAACGCATTTATTTGATATTGTTTTATAACCAAAAAAACATTACCTTTTTGTTGCTGCGACGATCAGAGAGGATGGCGTGTGAGGTGTTCCTCGGAGGTTCGTGCAATCCTACGACATGGAGGGCCGACATCGCTATCCCGACGTTGCAGAGCCTTGGTATCACCTATTACAACCCTGTAAGCTATCTTTTTAAATTTACGATCTATTGCCACTCGACAACAGTTGCGTCAGAGCAAATTTTAGTCCAGATTATAGAGAAGCCGTTTCGTTTTTTTTGCGTACACTTGACAAAAAGAATTAAAAAAAAAGGAGGAAAGAACCAATGACCTCCATCTGCGTTTACATAGTCAAATCAAAGCTATAGGATTGCCTTCGTAAGTAGACTGATTTTTTCAATGACACTGTCAAACACGATGATTTTGCTCTAATTCTCAAGTGAACTTCCGAATGTCGGTGATCAATAGGGGACGACTTTATTTTTAGTTCATGATAACTAGTTAGAAAGAGAACTTTTCAGGATTACAATCTCGGTTATAGTTTAAAATGGCTGATTAACTTGATTGTCATATTTTTTCTCATCAGAGAAAAATGAATTGTGATAAATATCGTTTGCAGATTATTGAGATTGTAAAGTTATCATAGCTGGTTTCATTTTTATATAAAAAGAAAGTAAAGAAGGATGATTTAGTTACCATTCTCCTGCAAAAATGGGAAAAATGCGAGTAAAAACCTTTTCTTCAAGTTTATTTATAAGTGAGGTTCTCATCTCATAGTAGTATTTTATCAATCAAAGAAAAACTTCGTGCAAATACGAATCTAAATAATAAATTGTTGCCGATATCTGTCGATTGATCAAAGTAGTTTATTTATCTTGATACGTCAAAGAAAGATAAACCATTCTGTTTTGATTACATTATGAGGAAGATTCAAGTGGGCTGCGAAATAATACGTGACTCCACAAAAATTGCTTAATCCACGAGGCGAAAGGAATGCATCGTGTATATCAAATACGGAATTCAGCTTTGTTGTCGATTCGTTCGACAAACATTTGCTTCTGAAAGCTTATCTATCCCTAACAAAATGCACTTCGCGAGTGCACGAGTTGTAGGAAAAGAATCGATGCTTCCGTCGGCGTTTGTCAAAAGGAAAAAAAAAATCAATCGTCAATTGCAGCAAGTATCGTACTGGTGCCCAGAACTCATCGCCGAAGAGTTTGAGGCGAAGGAAAGGGCACGAGTACTCCTGTTCGTCATCGATGAGCGAACGCGCAACACCGCCGGGATAATCGAGGCTGCCGAGCTTGCGGGCACTCGGCGAGACTCGCTCGTGCTCGTCATTCATCCCTACAGACAGGGGCAGTGCATCCTTGGCGAGCCTGTCTCCAATCAGTGAGTAAATACTTTCGTCGACGTGTTCAACCGCGCGGTATACAGCTCTGACGCTCGCGATCTTTATTTGAAGAATGCGCGCTTTCTCTTTTGTCCGGGAGCTGGCCGATCGAGAGCGAGGAATTTCACCTGAAAAGCGTGTTGCGGAGTCGATACGCGCGTTCGGTCGCGTTCAATGCAGCTATCCGGAAATACGAGGATTGAATATCCAAAAATTGAATATCCACGACAATGAAAGTCGCGAAAAGCTCGCACTTGCTCGGCGATTGTGTCGCGGCCAAAAGAGCGCTATTTCGAGCTCGCGCCCTTGCCAAGCCATCGTCATCGAGACGCGCGACTGCTTTCAGGGAATACTGCGAGCTGACGAACGGACTGCTGGTGCTGCAGTACTTGACGGAGAGACAGAGGATACCGATATTCGAGAGCATATCGGCCGCGCTTCATTGCACGTCCAAGGTGAGAAGCAGCCAGAGTCTGGACCGACGATCCCGCCTCCTGTCTTGAAAGCGAACGCTCCTGCTCCGTTCCTTTTCTTTTTCAGCATATTGGCGCTTTGCCAATCGTTATCGCTCGAATTTTTTTTGGCCAATAATACGCGAGATTAATCGTGGAAACATTTGTCGAGCCCTGAAAAGCGCGTTACAGTCGAGACATGTACCTGTGCCGTCGTGTATTCGAACTTTTCTTGTGTTTAACAAGAACGGATTTCTGATATTATCTCGTGCTTAAGTGAATTGTTTCCCCCGCCTGAAATGTGAAATATCATTGGAAAGCTTATTTGCTGTTGCCCAGTACAAGTTCCAGCACTTTCTTTCTCCGGACAAATGTCACCCGAAAGAAAAAGTAGACTTTTCATTTGACGTTTCACGTAAATTTTTGTAGATTCTGCGCAACGCAGTCAGCGTTAAAGATTTGCAATGCGAGGATGAAATCAGGTCATCTAGAATCTCATTCGGTCAACACGGAACTGATGTCACGTGAGTGTCTTTTATTTTTTTCTTTTTACGCGACGGCACACAATATTTGCCGGGCGGCTACGAAGCGATGGAAATTTATGAGCTCATTTCTTTCCTTCTTTGTTTTGTAGAAAGTTGAGCGAAGCATTCAAATCGATGGACTCGAACGACACGGGAACGATAAGTTTAGCCGAGGTAAATTGATAAATTACCCGCGACTTCTTTTATTCATATTTTTTTTTTGTATGCCTACATAGACAAGTCGCACGTGCAAAGGTATTGATCGTTTCACGTCATTTCAGGCGCTGATGTTATTGCAGAACAACGGCAACTGTAATAATCTTTCGGTTTCCGATCTGCGCAACTTCTTAAACAAAGCAGGTAATGTCAATTATGCAATTGAACGTTGCATTATTTAATAACACAAGAAAATTCGTATTCAAGGTCGACATTGACGATCAATATTGTTTCAAATTTTGAACGTATGGTTTAATACAACGAATAATTTTCAATAATTAATTTAAGTTATTTTAATTATCTTATTTTATTTAAATTATTTCTTTCCAGATATTCATGAGAAAGCAATGCTAGAGAAATTATCAAGCAACGGAGATCCACGGGAGCAGCGCGTGAGCTTTGAGCAGTTCTGCACGATATCAAACGAGTGGTCGTGGCGGGTGAAGGGAACAAATGGAGTGAGCTGCGAAAGTGAGATACCTTCAGTTTGGCGTATATTAAGTAGGAAGGCCTCAAAGTTTCTGCGCAGAGCTTTCGTTCAACCTTTTAATCATTTTATAGGTATTCAATCTACAACAAGTCACATTTTTACATTTTTTTACAAAGCCAACAAAACGTTTTATTTTTTTTCTTTATCACTGTAAACAGTACGTGTTTATTTATTTACTTTGGACGTCTGTGTAACTGTAATTATTAATATTTCTTAAGCGAGCTTATTAAACTACACTATGTGATACAATCGAATCAGTTAGTAATAAATGCAATACTTTATTTATCTACATCATATTTTGAGGCTTATCAGTGTTTTTTTATTTATTATTTTGATTGCAAAGCACGCGCAGAAAGATTCGAGTACTATTACTTCTTTTGCGAATTTCGCACATATAGAGATCTCTAAAATATTAATATTATTTTAGACTGGACCAACTCTATTATAACGGATACGGAGAAAAGAGACCTATATATTGGCGTAATAGGGAAAGATTCACTTTGGTTAGAGTCGTCAGCAGCACCACTTATCGAGTAAGTTGATTTATGATTTGTTGCAATTCTTTAAAATCTTTAAAGAATAATACTTGAATAGAGTTTGTATTCTCTTTCGATACATAATCTAATTTCGAGACGATTTGAAATTCAAATACAATCACGCGCAGAAATGTATAAGTCGAGAAATAAATTTAGTCGGCTTCATTTATCGATGACTCATGTTGAGCAATATAATAAACACATTATATAATAAAACAGCGCAATTAGAGTCACAAGCTTTTTTTCTAAATATTTTTTAATAATAAAATATTTTTAAAACTTATCGCTTAAATTGTGTAATAAATTATTGACAGATAACAAAGCTTCGCATCGCGAAAATGGAAAATAACCGCTTTAAGCTGATAGACCTTTATTGGTGTTGATCGCGGTCATAGAAGTTTATTATTCTAAAATACGTAAGCGACAATGGCTAACTGAATTATCGCGTTATTGGTCGTCTCGTACAGTGTACGTTATCATAAAAATGATAATATGCCGCAAAAAAGCTCATCGACCTTATTTCGTTCTTTCAGGTCTCTGAGCTTGACATTTTATCGTCCAAGTACAAATGATTTTATCGCTCGAGTATTACCTTTAGAGTTGCAGCGCATGAAGAACTCACGTCTAATAATGCTTGTTGTACCGCATCATGCGCGCGGGATGGCAATAATGACACTCGCCGCCCACCTTATTGGATTACACGTCAAACTCGTTCTATGTATTCAACCTCTTCCAGAGGGTATCTCCATATCTGGAGAAAAGGTAATTATAATCTAGCACGCCGCAAATTTGCAGCAATATCATGATTAAAACATTGTCTTCATTACAATTATGTGTTTATCATTTGTAGTTCTACTTCAACTTTCATAATCTAGTATTTGTTATCAATTTATTTTTAATATTTGATATTTATTTGACTCGAAGTCATATTCAATATATATAATGAATATCTTTCAATTTGATTGATAAAGTACTTTGATAGTTAGTCGGCAAATATGCATATGCAGATTAATAGTATTTTTTTAAAATATCATTTGTTTATTATGTTTATTTGAAAAATTATGTGTTATAGTTGACAGAGCAAGCAACAAAAGACTACAATAGAGGTAGAACATACCTATCAGACATGGCGACGCGCGAAGATGTACCTGTTTATGAAAATATCGCGGATGCGCTGCAGCACGCGATACAAATAGTTCAAAGTCCTTGCTGACTTTACGACATCTGTAATTTTTAATTTAAAAAACAATCATGCGCGAAAACTTCATTAATTATTTTCGACAAAGGTAAACAAAAACTAATTTATTTTTTATTCGATCTAAATACCATTGTATATTTTAATTCGTCATTTATCGTTAAAAACTTGTACTGAATAACGTTAATCTCTCTCTAATTCTTTTTTTATTACAGCTAACTTCTACTTTAAGTAGCTAATTATTAATTAGTATTAGTTATCAACTACAAATCGTATTTTTTAAGATTCAACGGTAGTTTGATTTACTTTGTATAATCTGATTTTGCGTGCAACAAGTTGATAATTATTTCGTAATATTTTTTTCAATTCTTGTACATAGTCACATTATTAATTATTTTTAATGGTTTACTGATTATTAATTTTTGATCTGAATATAGTAAGATAGTAAGATAAGACGCGAGTATCTTCAAGATGCTAATGTTTTTGAAAAATATATAAAAGAACATTACATGCGACCACGATGAAAGTAAAATAAAAAACTTCACTGTAAAGATACAGAAACTATAATCTCAATTCTTAATTTAATTATTATATTGTAAAATCATTGATACCATATGTAAAATATTCACACAGCCAAAGGACCGTGTTAAATTATTAGCTTAAGTAATCATGTGCCTAATTGTTCAGATGTAATTTTCATTCATGATGTGAATTCCGTGATGCGCATATGATTTCGTATTTTATTTTTGGATTTGTATTTTTTACGCATTCACCAACGTATTACGTGCTTGTGAAATTAACGAATATTGTAAAAAAGCATTTATAATTTATGAAAAAGTAAATTATCTTCGACTTGGTCGCAAAAATTCGATCGAGTTTTATTAGGTTTTTTTACCTTCAATTATTGTGTAAGTGAGAACTGTTTTGTGGAACAAGCTTTTTGTATTTTGTTTGTATCAAATAAATAAAAAATACTGACAAAAACTCAGGAAATCTGCGTGTATTATACAAATTTGAGAACTTATCTATGAATGATTAACGGCAGGGTACAAGCAATATAATTTAATTTAAACGAACGATTGAGGCAAATATATATATGTATATATATGAAATTAATTGCTTAGAATTGATACACTAAAAGATTTCCTTTTCTCCAAATTATTAAAAAAGTTAGTATTTGAAATTATTAGATTACTGTTACTAATTTATTTCTTTGTTAACTGAAAAATATTTACTAATAAAAATTACATTATATGAGGATAACATTACAAGACATTGTAATTATGTTGCTTGGTGTAAATTTTATAAAAAAATTTTACTTTGTTATAGAAGAAAACTAATTGTCACAAATTAAAAAAATAAATTTATATATGAAGATGTAAGGTCTTTAATTTTAGATTGTTTTTTTTCCTTTTTCTCTTTCAATCCTTTGAAATATAAATATGATACTAAAGAACTCGATGCAGCATAGGTTTTTAATAGATTTTTCATTAAAATTTGTGAAAATAATTTTTGTTAAAAAAAATTAGAAATTAAGAAATTTATTTTATAAAACTAAACCATATTGAATTAAAATATTGTATTTTTATATGAATTCTAATTTTAATGGAATATGATTACAACGACTGAGATAAGATAATTTCTACGTAACCGACATCAATCAGTTTATATATATATATAGCATAGTTCTTGGTATAGACTTTTAAAGTCGGGAAGTTAGAATTTGTGGGCAACGGCTTTATTACACGTGTCCTGACGTTAACAAAGGCGTCAGCATTTTGCACTTCAAAGCGAAATATATAAGCTTTGTTGAATATTTAAGACTGTTATTAAATTACATATATTTAAAAATTAAAATTACAAGAACAGGATAGTTTACTGAGTAATAAAATAGTATTATTTACATTATCACGACTTCGTTAAGGTTAGTTGTCATAAACAATAGGTTTAAACGCTCATTGGCTTTCATAATTAAAAGTGAATTACAAATCACTCTTAGCAATACATATGAAATATGATTTTAATTCACAGTATAAGGAAAAATGTCTAAGAGATTGCAGCCATCCTGGACTCCTCCAGAGCCTAAGAAAGATCCTCCACTAAAACTTTACAATAGTCTAACAAGGCAGAAGGAAGAATTTATTCCACAATATAGAAACAGAGTGTTGTGGTACAGCTGTGGACCAACTGTTTACGATGCATCACATATGGGCCATGCAAGGTATGATAAATTAATTCATAGTCTGAGCATCTTACATGCATTTTTATTTGATATAAGAATTGTATCGTCTTAGTTGTAATGTACCAATTTAATTATAATATGGTCTAGATCTTATTAAGCATGTACTTTAGTCATCATTGTTTACTAATAGACATTTTATGATTAAACTTGATCCTATTTTTGTTATATTGTAGATCTTACATTTCCTTTGACATCTTGCGAAGAGTATTATCAGACTATTTCAATTATGAAGTGTTATATGTTATGAATATAACTGATATTGATGATAAAATTATCAAAAGAGCCAGGCAGAATTACTTATATGATAATTATGTTAGTGAAAATCAAAGTCTTGATCAAATATTGACAGATGCTAAAGATGTTATCAGTAATTTTCAAGATACTGTCAAAAAAACTACGGATTCTGATAAAAGAAATATGTATGAAAAGATATTAGTCAAAGTGAAGGATACACTACAGAAACTTGAAGGTGCTGTAAAAGCAAATAATGAAGCGCAAATTAAAATATTCCAAGAGGTATACATTGAATCATTTTGATTAATTTTGATTTATAAATCTTATTGTTTAAAAGAATCATATCAATTACAACTTTAGGTTTTGCTCAAAGAAGCAAGAGATCCATTGTCAGACTGGCTCGATAAGAGGAAAGGTGATACAGTGACTGAACATTCTATTTTTAGCAAGTTGTCTCAGTACTGGGAAAATGAATTCCATTCAGATATGGATGCTCTTAATGTATATATAAATATGTTAACAAATTTGGTATTTTAAAATAGCTATTTGAGAATTAAATTATATTTTTTAGGTCTTAAGGCCAAGTGTTCTTACCAGGGTTAGTGAATACATACCAGAGATAATAACTTTTATTGAAAAAATCATAGCAAATGGTCTAGCTTATAAGAGCAAGGAATCTGTATATTTTGATGTAAAGGCATTTGATAAGAATGAAAAACATTTTTATGCTAAGCTAATTCCTGAAGCATATGGCGATACTTCATCACTTCAAGATGGAGAAGGTAATTATTTAACATTACATTAAACTTGATTTATTACAACTTTTAGTTGAAATCCAAAAATATTTACAGGTGACCTGAGCATATCAGCTGAGCAGCTGTCCGAAAAACGTTCACCAACGGATTTTGCTTTATGGAAAAGCTCCAAAAGCGGTGAACCATGGTGGGATTCACCATGGGGTAAAGGCCGTCCAGGTTGGCATATCGAATGTTCCGTTATGGCTTCAGCTATTTGTGGCGAAAGTCTCGACATTCACACAGGTGGTGTCGATCTAAAATTTCCTCATCACGATAATGAACTTGCCCAAGCCGAGGCCTATTTCAAACATTCACACTGGGTTAGGTACTTTTTGCACTCCGGTCATCTGACGATTTCAGGTTGCAAAATGTCCAAATCGCTGAAAAATTTCATTACTATTAAGGAAGCATTGAAAAAGAATACTGCAAGACAATTGAGGCTTGCATTTTTGTTTCACTCATGGAAAGATACATTAGATTACAGTGATGCAACGATGGAGATGGCGGTTCAATACGAGAAGTTTTTGAACGAGTTCTTTTTAAATGTTAAGTGCAGAATCAGGAAAATAGGTAGTGGCGGCACGACTATTCATACTTTTAACAAGTGGGATAGTAAAGAATTTGATTTAAATAATAACTTTTTCAAAGTTAAGGATGATATTCATGAGGCGTTGTGTGGTAAGTTTACATTTTTAATTCATATAATTTTTTACTTCATTTTTGAATTATCTATTAAGATATTTATTTCATTTTCAGATAATATAGACACAAGATCTGTTCTTGATATCATCAGAGAACTAGTATCTAATAGTAATATCTACATGAAAGATTGTGCAAATCCCAATATTCTTCTGCTTCGAGATATTGCTGTGTACATTACCAAGATACTTGCGATATTTGGAGCCATTCCGACCCATCACGCTATTGGTTTTCCTCTTGATGATGAGTCACAAAGCATTAATGTAAGTAGTTTGATTAAATTTATCCTGCTTTCTGCACATTGAAACTGAATTTTGTTTTGTAATTAACGTCACAAAATCCTTTAGATTGAAGAAACAGTTATGCCTTATCTTGAAATCCTCTCTGACTTCCGCGACAAAGTCCGAAGTAACGCGAGAACGTTAAAAGCTACAGAAATTCTAAAAGAGTGCGACAATTTGCGGGACGAAGTGTTGCCAAACGTAGGTGTACGTCTCGAGGATGAAGAATGTACCGGCTCGCGAGTAAAGTTTGTCAATAAGGTGGAACTGTTGAAGGAACGTGAGCAGAAGAAACGATTGGAAGCTGAAAAGATGGCCGAGAAGGATAGGAAAAAAGCAGAGGCTGATGCTGTTGCTGCAGTAAAGGAAGCTCAGAAAAAAATTCTGCCCAAAGAGATGTTCAAAGCTGAAACAGATAAATATTCGAAGTTCAATGAAAACGTAAATTAGAATATTTTATTAATTATATAATACCCTTTGATGGTACAGTAGACTTAATGTGACTTCATTTTGCAGGGTCTTCCAACACATGATATTGAAGGGAAAGAGATTAGTAAAGGTCAATTGAAGAAACTGCAAAAGTTGCAGCAAGCTCAGGAGAAACGGTACGCTCAATATTTAGCCAGTGTAGAAAATAGTACACAAAATTAAAATATATTTGTGAAAGCCACAAATGGTATAAAAAATTATTTATTTATTTATTTCAAATTTTCTGTTCTAATTAATTATTTTACACGTTTGATATTTGTATTAACAATAATACATCCATTTCCATTACATATATATATGCATAATATAATTTATGAAAAAGAACTGTCGTTAATCGGTTGTAAATTGATCCACTTGTAGGTCATGGAACTGTGCTTTAATTTGTTTTATTTAATTTCGACTTTAAACATGTAAAAATTAATTTGTTTATGTTTTATAACTGTTTTATAAATGACCTCTTTTTCGTAATAAAAAGCAATCTTCATCAAAATGTTATATTATGTTCCTGAAACTTCCTACTTTGGTTATCAATTGCCTCATTAAATTCTCTCTGAACTATTTCAATAAGATTTTACTGATAACATTTGGAATATAAGATAAGGAGCGTTTTTAAGGGTTTCGTATACGCATATTTGAGTGGCAATAGTTAACGAACTTTTACAGCAAGGCGAAAAACAAAAAAATACGGAATACAACAATTGTCGAATTCCATTATCATTTTATTAATGAATTGTTTATTGAAAATTCGATCTGCATAATGTAAAAGTTTACCTGCAATACCTGTGCATTTACTCAAATAAAAGTCATGTTTTAAAGTTGTGGAAAAAAAATATCAAGAGAAATGTTATCCTTTAAATCTCGCGAAAAAAAAGCCGCTGGGTCGGACATTTGAAAGCGTGCAAATAATCACGATATACGGTCGGGAGAAGGATTTTTATTTAAAAGTTGGAAAGCCCCTGTCCAACTCTCTCTCTCTCTCTCTCTCTCCCTCTCGAATTGAATGGCCAATGAATATCGGGTTGGCGAAGCAGCGTGTTATGCATGTGTGGCTCTCTTTTCTAAAGCCGTCAATGTCGCCGGCCTGCGCGCGAGTGCTTTTTGTGCGCGGACTGCGGAGGAGAGTGGCGCGCGATAAGCACGCTTGTGGCGCGCGGGGCTGTCGAGAGTGAAGTGGCTTAACCGGTTGAAAAGTCGCGAAACGAGGGATGTGTGTTTGGGCTGCTTATCGCACGCTCGATTGAGGGATTGTTTTTTTTTTCTCTCTTCTTGCACCCGTGTGCGACTTTTTTTTGTGCTTGCGTGCTTGTGGCTGACCAAACGCACGTATTTCTACTTATACGACCGAGTCAGTTTTTGTCGTCGTTTTTCTCGTGCTTCTTTTTATTACAATTTATAAATTTTAAAAGTTCAAACGATCAAAAGTATGGATTTTTAATTTCACACCCAAACAAAACTAAACAATGTCGTTTTAAAAATTGCTGCGGGAAAAATATAATCTCTATAATTGACATAGTGACGGGCGAAGGAGAGGAGGGAATTCATGTCTGAAAGTAGAATCTAGGGAAAAAATGTAATTAAAGTGCTCGCGTTACACGTGTCACACGCAGGAATTTGCATCAGTAGCACGCGCATTCAGAGCTCGCCTTTTTCACCCACCCCCTCCCCTAACTTTGGGGCAATTTTTTTTCTCTCGCTCTTCGGGCTTCCAAGGCGGCCAACCCTTCCCAATCTCCGACCCACGCGCATCTCATGAATAATTTTTTTTCTCTCTCTCCCTCCCTCCTCCTATTTTTTTCTCTTATTCATTCGAGGGAGGGTGAAGATGCGGCCGCAGAAGAAAGGGAAAAAGTAGGCTGTGAGGCAAAAAATAAAATAAGATAATACAAAAGAAGACCACGCTGATACTGCAGATATTTTCAATTTACATGGAGAATTCTCGTTGCCTCTCGCACGTCGCGCAAAACTTTAATTAGCACGAGAGTTCGAGATGAGTTTGATCCTCTGTGATTCGCTATCTTCGCGCGCACGTAACACGATTTCTCAACAAATTTGAAGGAAAGCTCAAAACACGCACACGCATTATCGAGGGTTAAGGCGCTCTTATATTATATACCCCGAGAGATATACGCGAAAGGGGTGGACGAGGCAAATCCCCGTAGATAAAAAAGAAAAAAAAAAGAGAGACGCCTGACTCAGCTGCACCCCACGGCGATTTTTTCTTACCCTAGCCGAAAAAAATAGGGTAGGAGAATCCTTTTTCTGACCCCCCACACACACGCGCGCGCGCGCGCACAACACTACGTGTGGCGTCTGCGCGTGCACCAGCCGAGACGAAAAAAAGGGGTTGCTCCCGAAGGACTACTGCGCTCTAGTTTTTGGATCTCTGGCTGGGTTCTTGTGCGCTTTTCCCTATTTAATCAATTATGCAAGTGGCTTGCGTCGGCCAGTTACAACGCGCGTCCATCATTTTCTTTTGTTTCGTCTTTGGAAGAGACGATGTTCCGGGCGCGAGTCTTTACGTGGCTTTTCGGAGACGGCCATCTCAATGGAGAGGGTCGTCGAGGAAATATTGACAGAGCTGATTATTTTTTTTCTCGGGTGAAATCCTTCGTGCTGTACTTGCTGCCTCGAGGATGAGTTTCGCCGAGAGCGATTTTCTTGCGATCGAGGCGACATTATTCAGAAATTCCTGAGAAGCATGCCAGTCGTGGCGTTCTCGATCAGATCCACGGCTGAGGCTCGTAAACAAGAGGCCCTCCACCGTCAGCCTGCAATCGAGCAAATTGATCACTAGATTTTGCGATTTTGCAGTGTGAGTTATCGTCGAGGCTTACGCCGCAACCTCCGTAATGTTTAGCCCATTCGTCTTCGATAACCTGGTCGTAAAGATTGCTTTGTCGTTTCACCACTATCGAGATGTTGGCGGAGCGAAGAAGCGCGTTACGATGATTAAATTCATCGACAGTTTCGTTTCTCCTCGCAGTGTAGTTTATTTTAGAAGTGCCGAAGCTCTAAAGAATTGCGTGCTCATCGATGTATCCACTACAACGGGCTTTAACCGGCAACCGTTTTGCAGACTGCTGTTCTTCGCTGCGCCTCAGCCGCAACAAGTTATTCCCACTGTGCAAATCGTGGCATTAATACTTGTCGCGCGCCAGTATTAATGCCAGGATGTGGTATATCAGAGAGAAAAAACTGGTCAACGTAGGGAAGAGAGTGAAAGGAATTGAAGCTCACCGCGATTCGACAAGTCGCAAGGTTGAAGTGTCGAATGAAAAAGAAAAACAGCAAGTTGAGAACTAACTGTAAGTGTTAACGTCGTGGCTTTCGGTGAGGATCGTAACTGAATTGAAACAATGTGCGGCTCGTTGATTATGCTGCGTTGCATTCACTTGTATTACAAGCAGTTGCAATGGATGTGCACGACATACTTGAACTCGTGGGGTTTGGTGTCGTCGTCGTCAATTGTTTCGCGATTTCCCGCACGTTGGCGCAACCGAGTGCGAGAGAAGACGAGTTACGAATAATAGAAATACTCGTGAATGTTATGGAAGGTATTCGCTTTTGCTGAAAATTCACGCGGTTAATTTGAGCGTCAGCGTTGCCAATCAATATTCCTCGGACGAGGAATGACGAATAGAGAGGCAAGTTTATAGAATCGCCAGATCTTTATAGTCGTTGGTAGTCGTGGCATTAGGACAAAGTCACGCTTGGTGATAAATTTTTTTGTAATGCGTAGGGCGGAATATCCGAAAAGAAAACTTGAATAAAAGTGATCGAGTGAATTCGAAGTATGCTTTAACATCTGTCCAAGTGAATAATTCGTTGATTTGCCTATAAAAAGCCGTGAAACGTAAGCAACGAAAGTGAAAATTGAAAGTATAGCACAGTCCGAGATTCGGGTAGGAGTGTCGGTAGGGTGACGCAAGGTGCAAGGTCCATGGTCGATTTGCAAAAGCAGCCGCACGCCGCGTTACCGGTGATCGGGAGCGCGGATGCCGAGGGCCTCGATTGCTCGTCGCGAAAATCCGGAAAATTCGAAGCGAGGAAGCGCCCCTTTTTTGGGAAACTCGAGACCGAGCCCGCGGGGCGTGGAAGAAAGAGCGAGAGCAGCAGCCCGTCGTCCCGTGCGCGCAGGGAGGGTGGCAGAGAGCAGGACAAGGAAGCTGGAGCGAGAATCTCGCAAGTAATTAAGAAGTTGCGCACGGGGCGAAATCCAATGTAGAGGATCCGGAAGAGCCGAGCGTGCGGCCATCAAGATCACTGGCGCGGCACAGCGAAAGCCTCGGCAGCCTCGGCTATCGAATGGGTCCCGCGACATTTCTTCGCGTCGAGCAGAATTGGAAGCCTTCTCGCGCGGCGAGAGCCTCCGTTCGAATGAATAATCTGCCAATAATGACTGTGACGTAGTGCCATCTCTCGATGCGAAAAGGCGAGGCTGCCGCTGCCAAGCGTCTATTCCTCCTTTTGTTCTCCCTCCACTCTCTCTCTCTCTCTTGCTGATTTAAATTCTTTATTTCGAGGGACAGAGAGTTTTCGAGCCCGACGGGGGGAATTAGACGACGTCGCTGGTGTGGGGTAAAGAAAAGAAAAGAGAGTAAGAGAGAGAAAGAGAGAGAGAGAGAGAGAGCCGCTCTCAAATTGGCGATGAGGTATGGATTTTTTTTGCTCCCGCGACGGTCTTAGTCTCGCAGCGCCTGCGTCGGGGTAGTTTGATTAATGCCCCGTGAGTAGGAGAATAGGTTTAAGGCGAGCGCGCGAGGCATGCTGGATGGGCGGCCGGGACGCGTGCGCCAACGAGACTAATTAATGGCGATTTGGTCCTCGATTTACATTTTTCTTTCTCTTTCGCCTGCTGGCCCTTTCTGCGGGATCGCTTTTCTCGGCGAACTCGCGAGCTCCGCGACGCCAAAGTCAATTTGCCGAAGCGAGAAGCGAGCGCGAACGTCATCCCGCGCGCGTGGTCGCGAGCGATCGATTGCCGGCCTGCGGAGAAGAGAAGCAGCATCGGCCCGTAATTTCGCTTTAAAAACGCAATTAGCGCTAGTGGTAGGAGAAAGCGCGGCGTAAAGGGGTGGTGGTCGGCAACCGGAGAGAGAAAAAAATCGTTACGGGACGCGCGCGCGAGAGAGCTGCGCGAGGGGGTGGCGTCAGCCCCTCGGCTCTCTCTTCTCTCTCCTCCTAGCTCGCCTTCTGTCGAATCTCGCGCTTGTAAATGTCGCGCGAGCGAAAGCGTGATCCGCCCGCTCGCGGAGCGTCCGACGTCCCGAGAGCCAAAGTCGAGCGTCCGTCGTCGCGATTTGAGCGCGACGACAAAAGCCAAAGTTTGCACGCGTCGTGCGTGCGTCGTACGCGCCCGTGGACGTGCACCGATTATCGCTCTCCGCAATAACGCCTTCGTTTACTCGTTTATCGTACCGCGTTGCTTGAGAAACGGGCTTTTTGCAGAAACCTCAACTGTAATTTATTCTTGTCATCGAAATCGACTGCGTCGCTCCAAAGACAAGGCACACTCTCGCGGCATCGGCGTGTACATTTTCGCGGCTAGCTCTGCATTGGAGTTACGAGCGCGGTGAACCTCCTGAAGTCGCGTAGCCGAGTCCGGTGTGCTCGACAATCCAATCGTAGTACACGTAAACGGGCGTAACGAAATTGAACTGCTCGACCGAGCGCCGCCACCAGTCTCTGCATCCAGACGCCATCACCAGAATGCCAACAAGCTCGTTGTCGTCGCCGACAACGGGACCGCCGGAGTCGCCGGCGCAAGCTGCCGAATGCTCGTCCGTCGTGACGACGAAGGTGGGTATCCACTTTGGATCCAGATCGTCGAGTGTGCCCACCCTCATTTGAGTTTCCTTCAGAGACGCAGAGTCGGCGCTTTGCTGTAAAATCGTAAATCGCAAACTGCAGACGAGAGCTGGAACGTAGCATCGCAAACGGCTAGGCTTGCACGCTTACTCCTTCTATGCCGAGGCCCACGAGGCTAACGGTGTCGTTGATGGCCGGCGGCTTGCTGCTTAATTGTATTGGCTGCTGGTAGGTGCTGAACGAGATCGGCGCGCGCAACTGAAAAGCGAGCGTGCTGATCAGATCGAGCTCGCGCGGGAGCGGCTATCGCGCCGCGTGCCTCGTAACGCTCACCTTCAGTAAAGCGATGTCGTTGTGACCGATCGCGGTGTCCAGCTCGGCGACGAAGCTGTCCTCGTAATCGGGATGGACGACGACCTTTTCGACCTCGTGATATTCCCCGTGGCCCAGCTGCGTTGTACCGCCAGTTCGAGCCCTCATCGGCACTCTCTGGAAGTGGCTGTCGAGCGAAGTTTTATTGCGATTGAACAAACGCATCCACTGCGTTCGCTCCTCGAGCGCTCATACTTTTTCAGAGCGATCGCTAACTTACTCAGCGCAATGGGCCGCTGTTATCACCCAGTGCTCCGACAGAATAGATCCGCCGCAGTAATTTGTCTCTTGCGTGTACTTATACCACTTGTCGTCGATAGCTACCTATGCGATTCCGATGCACATTTTATTAGCACGCGTTATCGTCTCACGCGACATTTTAATTATATTACGGATGAAATAATGAATGAAAATATTTTTATGTTTTACGAATGAAATATTACGTATGCTCGGCAAGTCATTCGAATTATTTAAAAGCTGCGATTAAACACTTACGTAATAAGGTGCCTCAGTTATAGATATGTAATTTCCTGAACCAATTGCCTCTGTAATAACATGGGAATGGAGTAAACTAGAACGCTGAATAGGCAAGTTACACGCTGACGTAATGATACTTTACCTACGCTGACACTCCAAGCGACAGCGACGATTAAAATTAATATTTCGGTGTTCATCGTTTGATCCGCGTTGACGCGACTTGCTTTATCAATATTCTCTCGCAGTCAACACGAACTGCTCTATTTCCAACGAATAACGATCAAACGTGTTATATCTGCGAAAAGATAACTCTAATCATTGAAACTTTTACGGAAGTTATCTTGCCGACTGGCTGTTCGTTTATTAGTCGTAATGTATGTCGTCTTTTTCAAGACGACGATCAAGAGTAACATTGGAAAAGTATAAATGCAAATTGAATTTTTATAATTTATAGTCTTGAAGAATGGCGAATAAAAAGTAAAGTAAAAGTACTTTAGTTATCTTTTCGCTAATCAATAGATTCTCTAGGACTTACGTTACGAATTTTTGCAATAGGAAAATTAAAATACCCGTATGTATTTTTTTATAGATAAGCAAAAGTGCTGGGAAAACATTTTAAGACATAATCATTTAGGTGCATAAGGATGATAAATTATTATGGATGAAAAATGGAGCTGATTGATGAAGAAAGTTCCGGTTGAATTCCTCACACCACAAATGCGTACCGTAAAAAAGTTTATATTTTCCTATTTCTTACCGAATATCAATGTACGTCGACACCCGAACCGTTGTTTCGCGTATGTCTATATACAACCAATTTTTATCAATTTTTCAAGCGAAACATTCACGTGACAAATTTCTTAAATTAACAGTGCAATAAAATCCATGAACTTCAATAACTGGCTCCAACATGTTTGATAACCCCAACCATATTACAAATGAATAGGTGTAACAAAATTGAATTGCATCTGAAATCGATTGGACCAACTTGTAAATACAGCGCCCATCGTTAGAAGCCCTAATAGTTTGTTATCACGGACTACTGAACCTCTAGAATTGCCACTACAAAATGTCGAATGTTCATTCGTCACTACAAAGGCGGTAGGGGATTCCACCTTGGATCCAAATCATCAATGACATCTACTTTCATTTTATTTATTTATTTTTTAAACACAGTGTCGTTCCTTTTCTATAAAGTATCATATATAAACGTATATTTGAAGAGTTTTATTTAATATATAAATAAATATCTATTTAATCGTGTAAACAAAAACTGCTATAATAGAAAGATATATCGATCAGAATAAAACTAAATTGATGATTTTGATGTTTCTAGTTATGCTAAGAATCTATATTCGCTCCTTCTAATCCAAGTCCTACAATAGATATGGTATGGTTGACCTGTGATCTTTCGCTACTTAATTGTATTGGTTTATTGGTTGCCGGCATTCGCCAAATGAAATGGACTTGACCGACTGAAAAACGCACTAAAAGAAAGATTGAGTTCACTTGAATATTCACTTTCAAAGAGGTAACACCTCTGTGACTGACTGGAAAATCTAGTTCGTTCACACTGTCTTTGTGATCAGGATGCCTAATGATTTGTTTAGTATTGTAATATTTCCTGTGACCCGGTTATGCAAATCCACTGGATCGAACTCTTATCGATACCCTTTCTAAATGGCTATAGGACGAAATTCTGTTAGATTGCATTATTCAATTAGAAAAAACATCTTATAAAGCAATAGTTAACTTACTCAGCTCGGAGGGACGCTGGTATCAACTAGTGCTAATTATAAGAATAGATCCACCAAAAACTTTATTGTTGCTTTGATTATCATAATTTACAATTGTAAATATAGATATTTGATGTTATTTGAAAACAGTTACGTAATAAGGTACCTCCGCAATAGAGATGTAATCTCCTGAGTTGATTGCCTCTGTAATAATATGCTCGATTAAGCGAGTAACCCAAATAGTAGGAGTTTCTGTTAATATCAGCTGCTCAGTTTACAGAGATACTGCAAACACAAGCGACAATCAAAAGAAATATTTCGCTGTTCATCATTTCACTCTTATTAGCATTAACGCGACATATTTCACCAACTTGTCCTCGTAGTATTGAATACGGACAATTACTTACGACAGTGAACAGCTAAGTTATCTAATTCCAAATTATATTTGTACATCGATATTCATCCATATCGTCATTTAGCTGAAATAGATTTATTGAAGATATTTGAAAATTACGTATAAAAACATTTCTTATTTACAAAATGAGGATATTAAAAACAATTCTCATATAAAAATACAAACAGCAGTAGAACGAGAAAGTTTTATATCTCACAGCTGAAAAACCGTCAATTTGATTTCGTACACGCAACGTTAGTTGGAGTCAAAAAAATATTGATATATTTGGTTATTTATTCAGAATATTATGGCATTTCATTTGAAAAATTGCAATGTTTTTTCTTGTGGAATATATTTGTCTAAAAATGACAGTTTAATCAATATTCACTCTTCGTCACGTCGATAATTTAGTTACATAGATGCAGCTGAGAAAAACCACTTTCTTCTGCTTTGAGCTATTTTGATACTAAAAGTTTTGGATAATAATTTGCATTATCTTATTAAAAATTAATAACAATGACATATGACATTTTCAGTTGTTAATCTCTGTGTGATTGAGTATCCAGTTGTAAAATATGTCTATTCTGGTAAGGGCACCAGGATATTTTTTGTTATGACTGACAGACCAGTCCATACACATTTCGTCCACAAAAACTGCAATACCGGCTAGCTTGTTGTCAATCACACCCGGACTACCCGAGTCGCCAGGACAGAAATGCGATGTGCTATTTTGTAAATGGAATACACCTGGAGGTTTTGGAACAAAGGGGGGAGCCGTTGCTGCAACCGACTGCACGGTCTTTTTCAAAGATGGAGGATTATTTAATATCTAGTGCAATAGACAATAAGCATCTTTTACTCCTTATGTGAGTTAAATTTTGATATGTAGAATCTGCCATTAACAATTAGATAAAATTACAAAAGATACATACTCTTTCTAATCCCAATCCAACTATAGTAACAGTATCGTTTTCTTTTGGCGGAGTGGAACGTAATTTTATCGGCTGCTGATATTCATCGAATTTTATTGGCTCCTTAAGCTGAAAATTATTCAATGCTAGAATTATTTCCACAATATTGGTATAAGTGGTGCGGCCTTACTTTTATCAAACTGATATCGTTAACGTGAACCAAGTCTTTAGTGAATTTCGAAAAGTGAAATGTATAATTTTTAGGTATTACTACGTTCTCTATAGTATGAATAGTCCCATTACTATAATTTCTGGTAGCGCCTGTACGAACTTCCAGTTCCTCGTAACCATTTCTGAATTTTAAGAAATTCAACTGTTATTCCTTTTTGCTACTTTTGATACTTACTCTACTAGATTTTAAAATGAATCTTGATTGTGCGTTGGGTGCTTCATGAGCGCACATCAAACGATACATATAAATGAATCATTTTATACACGTGTGTTTTTAATCAAATGATTGGAATAATTACTGTTTTCACAGTATGCATAGACACATACGCAACGCAGTGGCCAGCACTGACCAGCCAATAATCGGAAAGTATTGCCGCACCACACGAACCATCTCTGGTTTGGTCAACAAGTGAAGCCTAGAACGAACATTAAGAAATTACAAATAAAAGTTAATGCTCGTAGAATCACGTTTTTCTACGGTTGTCTTCATCAATAACTTATTATATTTATTTGATATACTACGAATATTTTGCGTAAATACAAGTCTTTTCAAGAAATGATTATGCGAGCAGATTGGAAATATTCATCGGTGTACTTACGTAATAAGGCGCTTCTAATATGGAAATGAATTCGCCGTTCTGGATGCATTCTACTTTCGATAAATGACTGTATTACTTTCAATCGCGAAATTGCCGTTTATGACTGTGCAGCAATTAACTGTTATCATACCTACGCTCACGCACAAAAACGTGATCAGCCAAATTGAGAAAGTAACGGAGCTCATTCTGTGAAACTTGTACTAGTATACGTTTCTGATTTTAATTTTCCCGTATCGTTGCTTATACTGTACAGCTTGTATTGGCAGCCTGTCGCCTAGTATAACAATATTCAGTCAGTCGTAAGGCTCGTGCGTTGATAGAGTTACACATTCAAGTTCAAACTTTTTTTCTGTTTCTTTTTTTTTTATTGTAAAGTTAGTTATCTAATTATTGATTATAAAACTTGCAGTCGCATCGTCACTAATAATAATCTGGATGGTTGTTACTTAACTATTCAATCGTTATCTCAAATTCATTCTCTGGAGACAGTCGGCACTCGGAAAATATACCATCGATGGATTGTTATAGTGATTTATTATCGTAGAACAGTTCTGTACAACAGTCTCTTCGGAAAAGTTATCACTTGCCGTTGGAACACAATTCATAATTGGAAAAAAAAGGCAGAATTTTCGTTGAAAGCTACGATGAAATTTTCGAAAATGAGATTTCCATCCATAAGTTGATCTTTCCTTGATAGATAAGATGTAAACATTGCTTGCATCAAGACGAGTAAGCGATGTTCTATGTTTCATATGAAATACGCTTGGCGATTGGAAAGTAACAGTTCTTGAAACTGCTCGAGCGAATAATTTGAAGATACTGTTATTAGCATGTTTACTTATCTCTGCGCTAAGTTACTTCAATGTCACACTTGAGAAATAAAATTGTTTAACAGCAAACAAGTTTAGTGCCCATCCAAGTGTAATTTGTAAATAAATGCAAATTATACAAAGAAAAGTCATCGGTTAATTTTCATATCGTTATATTTTTCAGCTAATATATGCGTCCATGCGAACCTTGCCTAGTATCCCGCCAACACACAGAATTCACATCAGTCATTTGTACATACGTCTTTGCCGATATTTAACCAACATCGGTGCACACTCGAGCACTTGGTCGCAGCAACCACGATGCGACCCCTTTTACTTTCCCCTTGAACTGAAAAAAATGAGGAAAATGATGTATCCACGCCCCAATTGCCTAGCGACTGTATAAAGAAAGAATTTTTCGTAAAAATTCATCGCTATAAATCAGGAAGAGAGAGAGAGAGAGAGAGATTCGGTTGCGCGCGCGCCAAAGTGTGTAATGACAGAGGCCCGCGCGCGCGCGCGACGTGGGGTAAAGATGAAGTTATTACGGGCGATAGATACGCGGGGCCCCCCGTGGTTAGCGCGCGCGCGCGCGCGCACCACCGATCGACGTATAATATACCGAAAAAGTCGGATTTTTTTTCGGGTAAATTGTTTGGGGATGTACTCGTGTGTTAACAGAGAGAGAGAGAGAGAGAGAGAGCTCCAGGTAAAGGAGTTGTACGGGCTCGCACGTGCCCGCGCTGATTGCTTTTGTGCCTTCACAATGGCAGTTAGCGGCGTGATTCACGGGCCGAGTCGGTAATACTTACTTTGGCCGTGATTTTCATCGAGCGACGCGCCGTGCATTTATTAATCGCTTTCGGGCGAGCAAGCAGACCGACTGCTGCAACCGGCGCGTTTCGGCGACGCGCGGATGCCCACGAGGCACACGATATTTATGTCCGCCCGAGCCCCCGTTTCTCCGCGTGCCTTCCCTCTTGCGATCGGCCCGCGGCGTGATTTCGATGGCAGCGGCACGCGAGCGCCGACTCCTTTCTTCTCTCTCGCTTCTTCGGCCATTGTTTTCGTACCTCCCGGTGCCGGCGATCATCGCCCGAGCGAACGCGCGAGCCGACAAATTGATTTTTCGCCGTTTGACGCGAACTCGCTGCTTATGACTTTTTCATGAGATCGCTGCGGGCTCTTTTCGCTCGCTCTCGCTCCCTCGCGCATGTGTGTAAAGACACGATTTATCCGTACTCATCTCGTCGAAGAATCAGCGAGTCTCGCGAGAAACAGAGAGCAAGCCAGAGGGACTAACGAGCTGCGCGAGGTGTGTGACCCTTCCTCTTTTCCCTTTTCTTCCTCTTATTTTTTTCTTTTTTCCTTCCGAGAGGAGCACTCGTTAGAGCGCTGGGCGTGTCCTCTCGCTCTCCTTTCCCAGGGCGCAGTTTCTTTGAATTAAACATCCTCCGCCCGCTTCAATCAGGCCTGCGCGCGCGGAACGAGAACGAGAAGTAAACTTCGTTTCGGGGCGCGCGGCAGCCAACCCCTACACCGACAGCCAGATAAATGAGAGCTGCACAATGATGGCAAAGCCAAATTTCTCTTTTAGCTCTCTCACTTTGCCCCTCTTCTCCTCGGAGCTACTTCTTGCTTCGCCCAGGCTGGATTTGACGCTCGATCGACGGCCGATCAAGGATATGCCCACGCGCTCGCGCAACGTCGGCCAGCACGCGATCCGTATATATTATCTGGCGACGAACGCGCGCGAGGTCGAAGCGGCTTGGCTCGTCGACGAAACGCCAGTTTGCCGTCGCGAAAAGTCTTCTCTCCGGCAAAAGGGAATATCCCGCGCAAAAATATTTCGGGGGCCGCGCTAAAAGCCCAAGCCGTCCTCGTCGTGGTACCGAGTCGGAAGGGGCATCGCAAAAATACGGCGTGGAAAGCGAGTTCCGCGAGTCGAGCGTAAGGAAGAAAAAGAGGAAGTGGAAGGAGGGATGGAATGTACTCCGGGAGCGGAGTAAGAAACAGACGAAAGAGCAAGCTACGTAGCATCGGGGAGTTCGAGTCAAAAAGAGAGCCGAGAGCATAAGGGTTGCCGTGGAGCTTTTCCTATCCCCCGACGTCTTTTAAAATGGAAAAGAACGAGCGTAGAAAAGGGTAAGGGAGGAATGCCTTGACCGTACGACTACCTAATCAGAGCGGCTCGCTTTTTTCCCATTTGCTTCCGATCGCGCGTGGACGCTGACGAATCTCCGGGCATTTGTGTTAATCGGATGCGCGTAAATGGTTACTAATGGCCACCGCCCCCTCCCCCCGCACACGCGCGCACACACACACACACATACGCGTATTTCCGAGTCGAGAGGACGCCGTGTGAGCGCGCCCTTTATGCTAATCGCAAAAACCCTTCCGCGTTTAACCAGCTGCCACGGCGTTGGGTTTTTTCCTTTCCTTTCCTTTTGTCGCGCTGACTTTTTTGCTCTCGGTTGTTTGTAGGCTCGGCCGCGACTGCGCTGATCACCGTGATCGGACGAACACGCCGCCTCCGCACTCGTATTTACGTTACAGCTCGAGACACTACACGCCTAATCGAGAACGACTTTCTTTCTTCCTTTCTTTCGTTTTTTATTTCTTCTCTTTTCTTACGTCAGGCCGACCTTCTTCGCTTTCTTCGTGCATCTCATTGCCGGCTACACATCTCACCGACGTTTTTTTCTATCCTGTAATGAACTAGCTCGCGTCTGTTGTTGTTTTTTTCTTTTCCAATGCGTGCCACACTCCCCACGAAGAAAAAAAGGGTTGCTCGATAGGGTGAGTCAACTAGACGAGGAAAAGAACTAAGGGGGGTCCTACTTTTTTCTATCGACGAGCGCGAGAGAGAGAGAGAGAAAAAAGGGTTGCGCGCGTGCGAGAGAACCGAAAAAAACAACACGCACGGCGAAAGCACGCGACTGGTTTTCGCGCGCGCGGATCGTTTAGAAAATTAGTACGCCAGCGCACAAAAAATACACGCACAAAGCGCCGAGTGGATTGTGTGGACATTATGCGCTTTTGTGTTTTGATTTTTTGCCGAGTGCAGTTTTTGTCGGTACAGGCCGTGGTTATTGATCCGCCGGGCGATTAGGAACGATTATTTTATACCTTCCTTTTTTTTTCCTTATCCTTTACGCACGCACTTTTTTTACGACGAAAGAAAATAGATAGCGTTTCAAGAACAATTGCCGGTAAGCCGTCGATCATTTGACGCTTTTCTCTTTTAATTCGGCATGCAAGCTGAAAGGTACTCGGCGATACTTTTTTTTCTCAAAAGCACCGATCTCGTCCGAAAGTTCGTAGGCTCACGATTCGCGCGGACAAAGGGCCAAAGTTTTCAACGTCGGGCCGAAAGGGTAAAAAAGGGGTTAGCGCTGAGCTAGAAAAAAAATAGTCGGGGTGGTAGTGTACGTACGGGGGAGGGAAAAAAATTGCGCGAGCGCGAGAAAAGGATAAAGGATGCAGATCCGGCACGTGGTTATAAATGAGCTTTTTTCACAAGGGGTGACAGAGAGAGAGAGAGAGAGAGAGAGAGAGCGGGCAAGCGAGATGCGGGACTCTTTATTAGTCGCCTGAAATCTGTGGGTTGGCAGACACGCGATTATTATTCTCGGTCGATCTGTCGGTTCGCCCGTTGGAATGTTATCAAATGAGGTTCGCAACGGGCAGGCGAAGCCGGGCGCGAAAACGTAGCTGGTGTCTTTGCAGCGTGACGTCTCGCATCCGGTAGAAAGGCGAGCTCCCCCGCTTCGCGAAACAATAGCGCCACTCTGCGAGCTCTTGGGCCGGACGAAATTCGCAGACACCCACGCGCGAGGAGAACCGCCATCGGACTCTCGCGACCATTTTGTACGGGGCGCCCGCAATGTTTTGCATTGCGCTCAGTGCGCATGCGAGGAGGGGGGGCAAACCTGCCGCTCAGCGAGAGAAAGGGTTGAACGCGCGCCGCCTGCACTTGTCCACGCAACTCACTGCCCGCGTACCGATATACGCTCTATCCGTCCTCTCTCTCTCTCTCTCTCTCTCTTTCTCATCGCGAGAGTGGCGAAAAAAAGAGAGAATATAGTGGAAAAATGACTCCAACAATGCGTGACGGTTAGCGGAAAAAGTCAAAAGCGCGTCGGCGCGGAAATGAAAGCGAGGCGCATGTACGCGCTCGATGCATGCATAATAACGCCCGAAAAAAAAAACAAAAAAGACCGTATAACGAAGTGCAGAATAAAAGGGAGAGCGAAACACGATCGACTCTTTGTGATTGACGTGTGAATGCGATGCAAAGAGGTTCTTGCGTTTTTTCACGTAAAAATCCGATGAACCGGAGAAAATAATAACAACTGTCGATGGAGCCGCGTAACGAGCTTCGCGCCGTGACTTTTTTTCCACCTCCTTTATTACACCGACAGCGTCGTTTCTTTTTTTTCTTCTTCCTCTCTCGAC